GACGCTTATAGACCTATTAGGAAAAGGCTTTATACGAGTGAGCAAATCACTGGCCGCATCTCTAGTGCTGCTAGTCCGAAAACCTAGCGGAGGCATTCGATTCTACGTGGATTATCGGGGCCTAAACGAGCTTACCGTTAAAGATCGCTACCCACTGCCCCTAATTAAAGATACCCTACGGAATATGGCATAAGCACGATGGTTCACTAAACTAGACATTATTGCCGTTTTTCACAAGATACGCGTTCACTTAGGAGAAGAATGGAAAACGGCGTTTCGGACCTAATACGGCCTATTTGAGTGGTTGGTGACCCCGTTTGGCCTAACAGGAGCGCCCGCCACATTTTAGCGATATATCAATGAAGTCCTACAGGAGCATTTAGACGAATTTGTCTCTGCCTATATAGACGATATTATTATCTACTCCGATGGGTCGCTTAAGGACCACCGTCAAAAAGTGAATAAGGTCCTCCAAAAACTACAGAACGCGAGATTACAGTACGATATCGACAAATCCGAATTTGAGTAAGAATCAGTGAAGTATTTAGGCTTTATTATACGCGCCGGAAAGGGAGTTTGCGTGGACCTAAAGAAAGTGGAAGCCATTTGGTTATGGGAGGTCCCGAAGACGATTAGAGATATACGAAGCTTTCTAGGATTTGCCAATTTCTATCGGACGTTTATTTCCCACTTCGTAGACCTCGCCGAGCTATTAGTATCGTTAACGAAGAAAAACGCGAGCTTTCACTGGGACGAAAGGTGTCAATATGCCTTTATAGACCTAAAAGAGCTTTTTATCAACGCGCCTATTCTGGCACACTTCGAAGAAGGACGGGAGACAGTGCTAGAAGCCAACGCATCAGGATAGGCGATAGGAGGCGTATTATCCTAAATATAAGACGATGGAACTCTACGGCCATACGCCTATTTATCTTAGAAACTATCGCCCGCGGAAGCGAACTACGAAATTCACGATAAGGAGCTATTAGCTATTATTCGGGGGCTAAAGGAATGGCGCCCTGAGTTAAAGATAGTCCCGCGCTTCAAGATTATGACTAACCATAAGAACTTACATTATTTTAGCCGTGCGCGATAACTTAACGAAAGGTAGATGCGATGGGCTGACCTACTAGCCGAATTCGACTTCGACCTATAGTTTAGGCCTGGGAAGTTAGCAGGGAGACCGGACGCCCTCTCCCGAAGAGAACAGGATATCCCTTAGGACGTAGAGGATGAAAGGCTATCAAATTGGTTCCGCTCGATATTTAAATAGGTACGCGTAAAGACTGGAAGGGTTAGACTAGAAGCGGATATATAGTTAGACTTCAAAACGCTAGTGCCTATGTTCGAAAACGAAGAACTATAGTCCTAGTGGATAGAAGCAAGATAGAAAGATCGGGCTTATTAGGCTATTTCGGAAGCGCTAAAAAATGGCGAGCGACGGTTACTAGTCGAAACATAAGTGAAAACGAGTCTTGCGGAGTGTCACTTAGACGAAAAAGGGCTCCTTTCCTTCCGAAGCTATGTCTAGATTCCCGAAGACGAACGGCTCCGGACTAGTATCATCTAATAGATTCACGATTCACACGTCACGGGCCATCTAGGTCGAGATACGACTTATTTAATCCTATCGAGAAGATTCTTCTGGCTAGGAGCTATCAAAGATATACGGAGGTTCCTACGAAATTACACTATATATAGGAGAAGCACGATCTAGCGTGATACGAAGTATAGGCTTCTAAAACCCCTACCTATACCATAATAGGTGTGGGCGGAAATTTCTATAGATTTTATTACCGATCTACCCCTAAGCGGAAACGATAACGCGACGAACTGTCTAGTCGTGACTGATCGGCTCACTAAGAGCGTAATATTAGTCCTAATAGAATCGATTACCGTAGACGCTTTGGTTCACGCGTTTTTCGTGCATTTTTATATACACTATAGACTACCTCTCGCAATCGTGAGCGACCGAGGTCCCTAGTTTGTGAGTGGATTCTAGACGAGAGTTTGCGAGCGGTTACGGATCTAACGAAGGTTATCTATAGCCTTCTACCCGCAATCGGACGGTTTAACAGAACGAGCGAACCAGGAAGTCGAAAGGACCTTACGAGCATTCGTGACCTATTCTCAGAAAGATTGGGCAAGTTTACTGCCTATCGTGGTAGCAGCGATTAATAACCGCGACGTAACATCGACTGGATTAGCACCCTTCTTCTTTACCTATGGGTACTATATCGACCCTATTAGACTGGAAGACTCCGGACAGTTATAAACTGGTCTAAAAACCACTAAATAAGCAAGAGAGCTATTTATAGAACGACTACGAGAAGCGACTAATTAGGCCCAAGCGGCAATCGCAATAGCGCAAGATCGACAGCAGATACAAGCAAATCGGAACCGATAGGCCGCCCCTATATACGAAATAGGGGATAAGGTATGGCTAAACCTCAAAAATATCCAATCGGAGAGACCATTAAAGAAGCTAGGTTGGTTACATACACGATACGAAGTGATCGAGGTTCCCTCGCTATATACAGTACGGTTAAACGTCCCTTCGGGAGTACACCCAACCTTCCACGTGGATTTGGTTAGGCCGGCCGCTTCTGACCCCTTACCGTCCTAAATCGTGGACGACACGCAACCACCGCCGATCTTAGTCGATGACGAGGCCGAATGGGAAGTTGAGGAAATTCTCGCTGCAAGGACGAGAACGATAGGAAGAGGAAGCCGCCGGGAGGTTCTAGTTAAATGGCGAGGCTACGCCGAACGCACCTGGTAAGACGTACGGACGCTAGAGTAATGCGCTACGCTAGACAAGTTTGAGGAACGTTTCGGGAGTGTCCAAACGAACGATGGTCCGCGCGATCTCTACGAAACACGCACGAAACGGCGCGATCGGGTATAGACAGGGACACTACGGACTCTATTGAAGGGAGAAGGGGGGTATTGTAATAGGCCAGTGCTTGGTTGAAGGTCACGTTCGAGCACGTGACCGATCGCCGCCGACCGCCTCTTTTCCTTGTTGATTGTTTACTTTTCTTTCTTTTCTCTTTACGTTTTTAGTAAACTGCAAACGGCCTAGTTAGGTTGAATCAATCTAGCTTTAGCCTTTCACACTAGGATTTATATATAGTCATCCACCTCCGTAGTGATGAGGGCGAGGTATTTAAGCGAGTGCCTTCGACGTTAGTGGGAAATAGTGGATAAGTAGTGGCATAGTAACAGTGAACAATCGATAAATATGGCCACAAAAACTTAGCTCGAATCACCCCCATCGGGCTCCTATCGCTATGCTTGTCTTATTATTCTTTAACCATTATTGGCATGAGCACGAACTGGTGGAGCCGCAGCTAACTAGAGGCGATTCAAGCTAAACCGAGACAGGAAAAGACCCAAAACCCTAATTTGACAGGCGGCAGAAACGAGGGAAGGCGGTGTCATTAAATACCAAATCGGGAAGGGCGGTGTCTTTAAATACCACATTAGGCGGGCGGTGGCTTTGGCTAGCCACTATTCTGCCCAACGCTAAAGACACCCAACTTCAACGGTCGGTATCTGAACCAAACGAAGGTCAATTCCAATAATTAATATATCGTCGTGTAGCCTGCACTTTGCTCTATTAGATAAAGGTAATTTTGCCTGCTATTAGCCACGGATAGGGCTGATCCGTTCTCCGACATTTGCCTTCTAGACTAAACCTACTAACCTACTAACCTACTAACCTACTAACCTACTAACCTACTAACCTACTAACCTACTAACCTACTAACCTACTAACCTACTAACCTACTAACCTACTAACCCACTAACCCACTAATACTACCCTACTTACTACTCACTACCCTACTACTCTACTTACTACCCACTACTCTACTCCTCTACTTACTACTTACTCCCCTAAACCCCTTACTACTCTACTCCTCTACTCTACTACTTTATTCTACTATCCTACCCTACTATCCTACTCTATACTACCCTACTTTATTATCTATAGCGGTTTAGCGGTTTACCCTACTATCTTACTACCCTACCTTACCTTCCTTAGCTACTAAGCTTATATATATTTGTAGCTACTACTAACCATAGCACATTATATATAATTAAATACTACTAGCAGCCACTATGCCTAGCCTACTAACTAACCCCTTCCGCCCTATATTCTAGCCTCTATACTATCCTCTCTATTATTCTATCTACCTATGTCTCTCTTATAGACCCCTTTACGCTATACCTCTAGTAGAAATAATATATATATCCTACTAGTATTGAGAAGATATCACTTTATTAATTCCTCTTATATATTAGTACGATATATCATTCGGATCTATATTTATAACTACTAAGCGTAATAGATTTCAACGCTTAATAACTTCGTGGATACTAGCCTAATCAGGATACTACTAATATTAATCTAACCGCCAAGACTCCCTCTATTAAACTAGCCTACCTAGGATTAGTCATCTAGTAAAAAGTTTCAAACTCCCTATCCCTATAGATTCTACTAGTATAAGGCTTGCTTACGTAATATAAATCCCCTAGCCTAGTAGTGAGAGGGCTGTAGTATCTAGAACTTCTTCCCTTATAATAATAGCTTACCTCGTTCGCGAGATATTAAAGGATTACTATTAGCCCTTATACTAGCCTTAAGGACTTTATAGGGTCTAGAAGTTAGCCTAATAGCTAAGCCTAGTACTTACATAAGGGATGTCTAGCTTAAATAGGGATAGGCTACCCGCGCGAAAAAGCCTTGGTATCCCCCATCAAAAATAATTCGCGAAAACTAGACCCCCTTATCCCCCACTATTCTAGGTCGAAATCCAAAAATATAAATAAGCCAAAAGATAGGAAAGGCTTTAATATTAAAAGATTTAAAAGATCCGACCGAAAAATACTAAGATTTGACCTACTTAGGGGGGGGTACCGTGTTGACTCGGTACCCCCCCCTTGCCAAGACTTTTTTTGCGGAACACCCCCCCCCCTGTTGGGCGATTCTATGTTTAGAAGCCCCAGAAGTAAGCGGGCGAGCCACCCAGTCCAATTGCCAATGATAGATAGGTGCCAATTGCTATGGGCGCACCGGTAACTGAGTACTGTACGCCCATGGCAGTAAGCAAGCCGAAATTCTTTTTTGGAGTTATCTCGATTTCCTCAGGCATATCGGTCTGGGTGTGCTCGGCTGTCATCTCGAATGTCGTATAAAGCTCCCCTGAGGCTCGTTCTTTGGCCATCTTTATCCGGTTTTGTTTGCGACGGTCCACGAATGAGAATGTGAAGAGGCACTGAGGTATCGAGGATGTTGGGGAGTATATTCAAAATATAATCTTCAGCGATCAGAAACTTGTAAGGTGAGGTGGACGGTTCTGAAAGAGGCCTACTCTATCGGGAATTGGGGGATTGGTGTCAGTACTAATATGATCAACGAAGCTAGTTTGACCCCGGATTTAAACCCCGGCCCTCGCCCCCAAGACCCTATCAAGCTGAGATGTAATGGGGCCTTGTGGACGCGATAATTGGTTATAACGTGGAACTGGGTCTGGAACATTGCTAAGTTTCGTCGGTGCCGCGGAAGCGACGACTCCGCCTTTGCAGGCGCCTAGAAAGGCTCAACCGGTATTAGCCTATCAAAAGACAACAAGCTGGGATGGCTGACTGACATTCCTTAATAGCTCCACTCCCGGAGCCGTAGCACTTAGTGGAGGTCCCCACGAATGTAGGGTCGGGGCATTGTAAGCGAAGGTGATGGCCCTGTATATTTGCGATCAATGCGTGGCCCCGCACTTCCCACCGGTCACGGATATGGTGTTTGTTTCCTCATTTCCTCGGACCAATCATATCAAACGATCATAGTACACATAAGAGTTCCTTCTGTAGAGCGTACTTGCTTCGGCTTTGCGACTAGGATCGAATGCAAGCTTTCTATTACGAGATTTATGTCGGACCAAGCCCATGTTTGGTTCGTTTTGCCGATACAGCAGGAGCTGACCGATGAAATCTTCGAACACAGTGGCATCCGTTGAGCTGCGGAAGACGCGAGAGAGCACGATACCGTCCTGAGCATACGCAGGCAGAATTTGATATCGTTCGTCACGGTGGAATTGTGACACCTGTCGTGGAGCTACACCAAGTGGTGACCAGCCTGTCCGTCGGAACCCAATTCGTTTATCACATCCAGATTCATCAACATGAACAAGGTGGTACGATGCAAACTCGGAGAGGTTATGAAGATAAATTTCTCGTAATTCAGCACTCTGCTCTTAAGCACTCTGTCGGGTGGTCTTTCTGGACCAGCCTTGGGATACTAGGGCCCTCCTAATAATCGAAGTGATTGCTAGTATCTGACGTGATCCTGGGAGCAGATGGTCAAGCTTCTCGGAGCGACTACCCTCCCGGGAGCAAAGTCTGTGTTCCCAGGGGCCATACAGCCGTCATAAAAATAGACTGAGATACATAGCCGAGGCAAGCCTTGTGCCCCGCAGAAGAGCTCCGCGACAAACTACATATAGCTCTCCCGCACGAGCTTTTCTCTATCCAAGTCTTTTGCTTTCCTAGGGAAACACCACCATGAATACGCCGTTACATCGTCGGTCCGAAGCCACCGGTCGACCCCATCTCCACCACGTGGATGTCTATTTGTGCACATGTTTATTATTACATTGCACGGAATTGAAGTTCCGAGTCATTTCTGATCTGATGATCTCTCCTTTCTTGTTTAAAACTGACATAATGTTCAGCGGAGATCCACTGAATGAATTCTTCTACTCAGAAGTCTAGGCTTTTTAAGTAGCCAGCGTAGTTCGCTTTACCACAGAAACCCCGCATCTCCGCATTCCAATAAGTAAAATAAGATTTGCTAGACAAAAAAGCCAGGTCGGGAACGTGCGACATATGATCGGGGCCGCGGAAGCGACACTAGTCTACGCCATTTCCCCTAATTTGTGGCGCTGTTCCAGCTTAATGGCAGTATTGGCTTGCAAAGTCTAAACATTTTTTCATGTTACGACATGTGTCCCAACGTACTTCTGATGTAAGTTAGAACCCGAGATACGGGACTCATGCTCGGCTAGGCCTTGGATTCAGGGGCTTCACCAATTCCAATGAAATAAAAAACCGCTACGTTGCTTCAAAGACATGTAATTTCAAAGTAGAAGTCTATAATATCCCCTGAAGTAGAAACGTATATAGGTTAAAACACAAAATATAGTGAGATGAGTGGGAGAATATCCCTAGTCTGTGGTAATCTGCTCATAGAGGGCATTCTTCGTCCCTGGAATCTGCGATGGAGAAAGACTCGCCCCTCGTCACGTACCTCTCATGTGCTTCAAGGCTACCGGCTACCCATGACTGCCTATCCAGTTCCAGAGCGATTCAACAATATCATTTGGCGGACATCCGAGCCGCTCCAAAGCCTTATAAAAGCGTTGTGGTTCGGCCCAATCCTCGGGACAAAAGACGCCGCTTCTAATGGCTAGAGGAACAGTTGGCCGGAGGACACAACTTTTATTATATGGTGATTCAGTGTGTGCTTTAGTGTGAGCCCTCTCAGTCAACCAGCTTGCATTGTTGGCCTACAAGAGCAGGCCAATGAGCTCACCCGAAGCTGAAGTGAGGCGGCGATTATGAGCTTCGGCTACACAGCTCCTACAAGTTGATTCTAGAGAACATTCTTGGCATTGCAGTTGGTTTTCTCTTGTTGATTTTTGGCAGCATGACTTGATGCAGGCCGGCATTAGAAAGGGTCTGCGGTGCCTCCCTCGCCGGATCCACGATTCCGACCGTATCAAGTATCGGGAGATTTATTAAAATACATAAAGGCACTACGTAAAAGCACTAATGCAAGGCCAAACTGAAGTGGGACGGCAAATCCTAATCCACCCGCGGGAGCCGAGGCCGAAACTGGGGGAAACCAGGGGATTAATAACCGCGTCATTGACCTTGCTCCCACGTCCCGCTCTGAGCCATGCATCGCAGCTTACGCTCTAGACAATCATCAACAAACACCAACAGCAGTAGCAAGTGTTAGGATGCCCACCAAGCTCATCACCGTCTTCGGCGCCACTGGTTCTCAGGGTGGTAGCGTGCTTAACTCTCTTCTGAAGAACAACAGTGGGACTTTCGCTCTTCGTGGCATTACTCGCAATGTGGAATCCGAGGGGTCCAAGGCTCTTGTAGCTCGAGGTGTCGAGATGAGGCAGGCCAGCTATCTTGCCAAGGACCAGATTCTCCAGGCGCTTAGGGGAAGCTGGGGCGTGTTTGTCAACACCAACTCCGAAGATCCTGTAGGTCGTGGTCAAAAGGTCTGCCGCGCAAGAATTTTACTGATATTGCTTAAAGGCTGTCACGAAGCCTGATGGCCCCTCCGATACCGATGTGGGGAAGACAATCGTTGATGCTGCGGTAGAGTCGGGCGTGAAGCACTTTGTCTACAGTGGTTTGGCGTCTGCCTCCAAAATTACGAACGGTGCCGTTTCGAGCAAGATGTTCGACGGTGAGTACCTAAATCCCTTCAGACGTCAACGCAGATGAATTGGGGCTTATGTTTTTCCAATAGAAAAGTATGCCGTTGGCGAATATGCCAAGTCGAAGGCCTTCGACTCCGTCGCCATTGTTAGTGCCGGCTGGTACATGGAGAACTTTCTAAACGAGTATCTTTCTCGTATTGGCGGTGGATTCCCATTGTATACCGACGAGGAAGGATATCTTACCTCCCGATTACCGCAATGGGGCGGCCAGGGTGAGATTCCTTTCATCGCCATCGAAGACGATTATGGTGATCTAGTTCATGGTGTATTTCTTGACCCGGAGAGGTACAATGGGAAATTTATCCATGGCATGAGCCATGCCGCCACCCAACCCCAGGTTGTTGAGTCTTTTGAGAAAGGCAGATTATAGCACCCACCACCTTTGTATGTTCCAAATCTGACGAATTCCAGTGACCGGGAAGAAAAGTCGCTTCATCGCCATAGAAGATTGGAAGGACTTCGGAAAACACGATGAATCCCTAGAAGCAACCAGAAACATGTTTGGCTTTTGCCAGCTTTCAGGTGGCTTGTACTTCGGAAAGCCCAATGACCCGTCCTTACCACGGGAGCTCAAGGCCATGGCGACTAAAGCCCAGGGGAGATCTTCCGGGGAGCTCATGAAGGTGGAGCGCTTTATTGCTCAGCGCTTTGCACGCTGAAAATGTGGGGTGTTCATTGCCCGTATTCGTGTCGGTATTTTACATCCAGACTTAGTAGACAGACACACTTCAACGGCTGTGACGAGGTGCCATAAGACACCTTAGGCAACATTGTCTAAAAGAAGTGGGCGGCGCCTTGTGCTCATAGAAAGGCCAGATATCAATACCGTCGATTAACTAGTAAATAGTTATGTCTTTGTCTATGCTGCCACCCTGCTTGATTCATGCACCACTTCGAAGTCGCAGTGGTGGCGTTAGAATCTACAACTCCATAACCAATGAAAAAGCAGGCCCATAGTGATTCACGAGATGTCACTCGGCGCATATAGTGAAAGTGCGGTCGTGCCGTAGTAGCTTTGGAATAAGCAGAAGCTACTTAGAAAGCCCAAGCTTGCAAATAGGGCTACCCAGCCGCCAATAACGGTGAGCCTAGACTTGTGTCCACCATCTAGAAGTCAGGCTCTGGGGTCAAGGGCGCAAGAGGCATTTTCTACGGATAGTGCCTGCTTGAATCTCCCGGGCAACATTCGAGTTACAGCAGATGAACATAGTTCCTACCGACAATGTTGAAAATTTCCTCCGCACCAGAGGATGGTGGGGCCCATGAGAAAGACGTGGAACGCAAGAATGATGCTATTACTAAGAAACCATTGGCAGAGAACTTGCCATTTATTCCCGAAGGCAGATAGCGCTGCGGAGGACATATTTCGAAGATACTGCCTTTTGGGGATACCGTAGACAGTAAGCTGCTATCTAAAAGTCCGAGCTCTCCTTTAGTGCTTTATTTCTGTACTATAATCTGCTGAAATGAGTACAGTAATAAGTGGATTATATTGAAAAAGCAAACATTTGATTTGATTTTGTAGGTATAATTTCTACGCGAAATTAAGCATTCTTATTATATTTCACATTTTTCTGTGCATTGATTGTAAGAAGTTTCCGAGAGTCGGGGCAATCTGTTCACATTTCTCTTCCACGAGATTTGAAAACTTTCACCAAGGATAGAGTCAACCCGAAAGGTGATAATCTATCACTAAGAGTCATGCAGCTCAGCGGTTGCCTACCTGTTTTGGATAATAAATCGTGCTTCAACGCGGCAGGGGAGCTCTAGAATTACAACGCTAGCATCTCTCTATAAATCGACTCTTCAAAAGCGGTTGTCTCTATACAATCGACAATTAAATCATTCATTTTAATACTCTGACCTTTACTAGGCCTTCACGCCTTTCGTATATCCGACAGACATTTTCTCGCAGCATAGACCTATAGATCTGCACACCCACCGTATGGTTGAAATATTGTTATTCGGAGCCGCTGGCGTGCCCGAGAATCGCACTATCTAGCATAGCGTAAAGGCTCCAGGAAGGATGCTTAATAATCATTCCTTTGTGGGTGTGTTGAAGTTCAGTCACATAACCTTTACTGTCCATATGTGACTCTCTTTACTGAATCTCAGAAATATATCTTCCGCAGTATTTTAGAACGTCGAGAACGCAAGGCAATGATAGTGTTGATGAACTTTAGTATCCAAGTACCCATTGGATATCCGAATATAATTGTCAGTTGGACTTGCATACGCCGCAGCCTGACTCGGGCCTTTCGCATTCTCTGTTTTGACCCTGGGGTTAGTTGCGGACATCATTGATTTTGATAGTTGAAATACTAAACAACACAGTAAAACTTTAACCAAGGAGAAATGATGCAACGGGAAGCGGTCCTGTATTCGTGCAAGAGGAAAAACCCATACGGAAAGGCCACAGCCAACAGAGTAGCAAAGAGCGAGATCAATGCAATTCTTGAAGCTTCTCTTACAGTTCCACCTGATAAGCAATCAATACAAGAGATGGTCACAATCGGCAAATGAGGCTTTGTGGAGATTGTAGTATGGACTGAAATCAGTGTGCCTCGCACCACGCCCTGCTCCGCCATTTCAACAATGATACGACTCTGTAGCGGCGTCACTAACCAGGGTATAGAGATGCACTTCCCTCCCTTGTGGGGTCCATATAGTGGACCTCTTCATGTGTCTGATCTGAAGGTATCCCTGATTCGGGGATGACCTCCCTCAAGCTGCTCATTTCCTCGGCTGCTCCTCCTTGCGCAACTCTAGCCTGCATCAGTTTCAAGAGCGGATCAAACAGCACACTTGAAACACCATTCTCGGAGCGCGTCGGATTCATGTTCTCAAGTGTTTTCACTAAGAGGCTCAATGGCATGCCTTTGCGATCATCTCTCAGGTAGTTGCGATTGTCGATCTGCCTTGCATAGTCGCCGAGCAATGTGAAATAGTTCCGGGACAAGAGCGGGGCCATCTCTTCAAATAAAAAGCGTTCTGCACCTCTTGTAGTGTACAGTTTGGACGATTTCAGGACGGCCACCGCTTGCAGAAAACCACTTGCCAAGCCGAAGAAAGCATCTATCATAATGCATCCTATCAGCGACGCTAAGGCAGGATTGTCTCCGAGGTAGATTGACCGGCCAAGGATACTAAGATTATTTCCCATAGATTCGAAGGACCTCCGATCGCCAGCATAGTAAATTGGCGACTCTGGTACTCCTAAAAGCTCCGGCGACGCGAGGTTAGCACCGTGGAAGTAAGCCGAGAAAGACAGGTTCATTACCATTTCTTGTGACTGCTGAGCCTGATAGCGAGTCCCGGACGTATAATTTATCTAACTTCGACCGGTGCAGGAAAGAGTATCGACATTGGCCAGGAGTTCGTGGACAGCCTGTGCGTTGATCAGGCAGGTGATGACCAGGCGGCTTGCACCAATACATTCGGTCAGGAAGCAGCTGCAAGTGCGCCCTCAGTGACCAGTAAATCAATTTTAGCAGAGGACCGATTCCAGACGGTCGTTTTCCATACCTTCTCAAGAAAGATTCGAGCAATTTCAGAGCCCATTAGTCCCAGACTGATAATAGAAACCGAGCGTTCGACAGTCATCACAGCGGTTTATTCAAGCACGGAATGGAAGATGATTTATGGTGGTATCCAAGAACACCAGGCTTTGAAGTCCAGGAGATGCGGGTCGTGGTATATCGTCCCTTAACTCAGCCCAGCCAGGGCCATATGCTCGCCATGCGGGGGAATTTCTTTGCGTTGCCCATCTTTGTGGGCATCCGAGTGCCCGCGGCTCCGCAGCCGAGTGGTGTACCGCGGGGGCTTGTCTTCACTCAACAAAAGTCAAGAAATCCACATCATTCATAAAAGTTATTCAGTGGTCTTTAGTCATCCCCTCTCTCTCCAGATAATGTTGCCTCTACCGCTTCAGGCTCGGCCGCGGCACGTAGGCCGCGGACCCGTCAACTTAACTCCTCGGAAGAAAGCATCCCATTGACCTATTTGCTAGCTTAAGCGCCGTCCACTATGACTATAAGACTGGCTAACGACGTGAAAGTGCTATCAATAGAGCAGAAAGGAAATAGATCTATCCGGGATCTTGATACAATAGCCTGTTCCTACTTTCTACTTGTCCACAAAACGTCTTGCACTATATCAAGTTCAACATGTCCAAGCCTATAATCTTCATAGGTGCCTCCGGCGCGATGTGTCAGCTTGTCATCCAGCGCTTTATCAAAGCTAATGACACGCCATTTATTCTTGCCGATATCAACGTTGACGCTGCGGAGGCAGTTCGCGCAAGTTTACCCTCGGGGCGCGCAACAACGCTTAAACTTGACCTCTTCGACCATGGTGCACTTGTCAGAGCAATTACAGGCACCGCAATTGTTGTGCTTGGAGCTGGACCATACACTCGCACTGCACATCCAGTAATGGAAGCTTGTTTAGAGGTCAAAGTTCTATATCTTGATTTCGACGACGATGTGGAAAGCACTCAGGCGGCACTTAATCTCAATGAAAGGGCGAAGAAGGAAGGTGTCGCATTTTTCATTGGCTGTGGTGCCTCGCCTGGAATGAGCAACGTTATTGCGATTGATGCCGCTAAGGAACTTGATAGCGTCAGCGCAATTGACCTATTCTGGCTTGTTGGCAATGAGAAAGGTGGAGCCGGGAAAGCAGTCATGGAGCATCTTATGCATATTGCTTCCGGGCCTTGCCTAACATGGATCAGTGGCAAACCTACTATCATCGAATCCTACGAGGAAACCCGATATGCCCCAATGGTGGGCAAGTCTACAGAAATGATCCTTCACGAGACCGCCCATCCGGAGCCCGTTACCCTTCCTCGACTTTTTCCCAAAGCCGACAGCATTAGGTGTTTCGGCGCCCTTTATCCGCCAGGCAAGTTTGGGTGTGCTCGTGGCCTAGGTAATGCTGTTCGGCGTGGGATTTTATCTCTCGATGAAGCCTGTGATTTCCAGGTCAAAGCTCGACACGGCGAACTAGAGCAGGAAATTGGCGGCGAACTTCTTAAGGATCTACTCTCCCAGTTTCCTAAGCTCGAAATCAAGGGTGGAGAGGCCTCGCAGCTTCTCAAACAGGCCAAGAGATCTAGCAAAGCTGCCGTTTACGCTTTTGAAGGATTGCTTGACCAGATCCATAGAGGAGAATCCACCGCAGAGGAGGTACGCGATTTCATAGTCGAAGCTGCGGGATACTATGAGAAGGTGGAAACAGCTGGTGCTCTTCTAGTGCGAGTGGTTGGCTCCCGCAATGGTCATCCAGCTGTGGTCGCCAAACGCACGCCTACGGTGGGTGTTGATTCATATTTACATAGAAGCATGGCAACAATGACCGGCACATCCTGTGCTGCCTTTATGGTATTAGCCCTGCAAGCTGGCAAGACTTTGAGCGGTGTCTTCTGTCCCGAAGACTGGGCTGAGCCGGCGTCATTTTACGGAGCACTCGAGACTGTTGGTGTACCAAAACACGAACTGCCGGAAACGTACAGATATTAGTTTATTTCCCAAATGTGAAGGCGGCATGACAGGACACCTGTGCTCTTGCCCTGCGATCTTGATTTTCCATATAATTCACGCTCCTTAGATCTCCATTACCTTGTGCAGATTACACTGTAGCTATTTCCATCAGACTAGGTCTACTATCCTGACCCTGCGTTCAATGATCTCCCTTCTACCCCCATCCACTAGGCCATTTTAAAATATTAATTAGTCCGCAAATGCTGTTACAGTTTATTGCAATATAAACGAAGTAGAGCACCAGTTATCAAAAGACCCACGTTATTGCAGCTGCAGCTTGACTAGTCCCCGAAATACCCAACGAATTTATATGGAACAGAGAGTGACTTGAGCGACATTTCTGACGCTACTTTACCAAACAGAAGGAGCAATCGACGAGAGCAAACAGAGTATGAAGTGTTTTTGTATTTTCTTCAATATGTTATAGAGTATAGAGCGGCTGTAGATTTATAAAAATTTTAAAGCAATAAGCATAAAGAAAATAGTACATCTGCTAGACCTTGTGAACCGGGGGGATAGTTTCCAGTACACCTCCCATACAACTTTCTTTAACTTCTCCCACAGTATAAGCACTGTGAATTCACTAGTTGCAAGACAGACATGGTAGCGATATGTTCCATTCGACAGTAATGGGCGAAATGCTGCCCATTGCTCTATCCATCCCCCCACCTGGGTGAGTGGGGAAAATCCTGGAGCTGCAAATGTTGGTGCCTTCAGAAGCCTACGGCGACATGAGTGGGGCAACGTGTGTCCATCGGCTCCGCGGTTCCGATGCTAGGAATACGACCTCCATGGGTTTCAGCTCTTGTAACCGAATTTCAGCGATGACAATCACACTTTTGATGTGTTGAGAAATAAGTGGCTAAAGGTAATAAAGGTAACGCGGTGGTGACCTAAGACTCGGCGTCTCAACCACCCGTGAATGCGTCCGCGGATAACCACGTCGACACCGCAGATGGCCTATCGTATATCTAATGTAGCTCATAACGGCTCCGGAAATCTTTTGGAGACGAAACTAGCCCATCGCTTACCGAGGTTTCTCCCGGCCGCGGAAGCGTGGATCTCTCTGTATCTAATAACCCCAGGTTGTGCCATGGGTGGGGGCCGTTTTAGCTAAATGGCCTCAATAGCTACATGCAATGGAAATATAAAGTCAGTACTGGTCAGCGGTATCACATATTGGCATCTAAAACCTACTATCGAGAACTGGTTTTTTTTATAGATATCTATTTCTGGCATCCATCGCTGATATCTATCACAAAATGTTTTCCAAACTCATCAACCCCCCTACAATCCATGGGTCCTCGACAACTTACTCGCATGTCCAAGCTACCGGTATCTCGCCCACATGCACATTCATAACCATCGCTGGTCAGGTTGGATTGGACTTTAAAACTGGCGAAGTTCCAAGCTCCCTTGCGGAGCAAATTCAAGTCGCTTTACAAAACCTGAACGAGCGTCTCAAGTCTGCGGGTGCCACCCCGGCAAATCTTACCAGCCTCACACATTATGTGGTTGACCTAGACCCCAACGATACCTCAAGGTCGGAGTTGGTTGTCAAGTTTCTAGCTGGCCACCGCCCACCAGGAACGCTGGTGGGGGTGGCGGCCCTGGCACACCCTTCGGTGCTGTATGAGGTTCAAGCCACTGCAATCGTGCATAAGAGGTAGCTAAATTGCTGAAGGGGGTTCATATTGTGACTTCGAGAAACTTCATGTGCATAGACTATATTATAATATAGTTAAGTTTTATGGCGCTCAATGGTCTATTAAAAGCACAATATCATGGTTTGACAACCCCCGTGCCTTGGTTATATGGTAAATCTCTAGATGAGACAATGCTTGGCGTACCTCAGGTGATCATGGCAAAAGAAGAATAGCTCTTTCTAAAACAATCGCAGATAAAGTACAGGAACTTTAGAACACTAAATTAGTTTCGGGTTAGGTTTTGGAAGATGAGGCTAATAGCTCGAGTCTGTGGCAGCTGGCATCGTACATAGGAGAGGGAAAAAAAAAGGTCCCGATGTCATTGACCTATATTATCGAGAAAAAGGTAGCGTTGTGTGATTGATATTTTACTTACATAACCTTTGAGAATGTGTTAGAATATCTCCTACTGGCTACTGACTACTTCCATAAAATGTGTGCTTCGCGTAACTCATAGGCAGGTAGTATTACTCCGTAGTGTAAACTACTACCATATTGGCATAGACTTTAAACCTCTTATCCTCTCTTATAGCCCTGTTTGGGGGGTCTTAGTTGTGATGTCAGATATTGAAAGAACTAAGCAATGGAGCCTAGCTTTCTAGCAACCGAACGACGATGACTATATTAAGATGCCAATGAATAGAAATCTGACAAGGTTTTTGGTCTCTCAGGTGATGGCATGGGAATGGTAACTTCAACAGTAGTGAATTCTATAGCTTAAGACGGATACTGGTCATATCTCTAATATATAGTTCGAAAATTACCGTACTTTAGGGAGGATTAGCAAAATTGACCAGACAAGAATGGTCACGCAGTATCAAGTGCTACCAAGGAGAAAAGAAAGACAGGATGGAGAGAAATAGATAGAGCTGAATTCGGACATGATGATAAAGCTGTCTGGGACTGGGGAAAAACATGGCGAGTGGTGAGTCCACGCAATGATGTTTGAGGCATCAGGCAATGATAGACTATTCAAACCTTCGCGGTCGGTGTCTTTTTACTGTCTAGTGCTGCATTCACATCGCGAGCAGTGACGGAGGCACTTTGCATGGCGCCCTCAATTGATCCGGGAAAAAGAGCGGCAACATCGCTACCGGCAAAGTGAATACGCCCGTGTGGCTTTCGAATCTGTGGAAGCGCACCAGTCAGGTTTCCTGGTCGGTGATTCACCCACCCCCCCTTAGAGAATTCATCCGTCGCCCAGTTCTGGCAGGTCACATCGAGCACTTCCACAGTGGGAATAAACTTTCGCAGAGCTGTTTGCACTGCGACACAGTCATTCCCACGAATTGAGGCAGCAGTTGTGCAAAGACACATAACAAGCATGTCCCCATTTCCAAGACGGCGTATTGTTTTAGCCACATTGATGGGATGTTGCCCGCTTGGCGCGAAGATGTGGAGGTCCTCAATTGGACCCTTTACACGGACCCATAATTTGCTGGCCATTACCGGATTCTTCTGTGTAATCATATTTTTCACGTTCGGGGGCAGGTTGGGGGTAATCTGTATGTCGCCCATAGTGTTAAGTGGCGTAGCAACGATCACCCGGCGCGCGTTGATGCGCTGACCTGTCCGCGTAGTGACCAATACCATGGAGCCATTATCACAGAGCGAGGCGACTGGGGCTGATAGTACTAACTGGGCTCTCGATTCTGAGATGATTCCATCTATAAGGACCTTCGTTCCGCCTTTAATACTCCACTGCCCAGCAGTCTCGTAGAAGGCCCGGTAATCCCCAAAAAACCCGGCCACAGAATGGAGAAGTTGCGCGATCCCCTGCTCACGATAGGAGGAACAGACGCCAGCTAGTGCCCCTTTTAATGTGTCTCGTTCGAATGCCGACAAATTTAAAGAGATTATGCGGTCCTCCAGCGACTTCTTCTCAATTTCACCGGTCTCCACAGCGTTCACATCAAACGGTACCGGAAACCACTGACGGGCGTCGCTAAATAGCTGAATCAAAAGGCGATGGATCAATACATCATATTGATCACGGGGGGCTGTATGCACTGCGCCATCTGCTAGCCAATGCACCTTTTTGCTGAGTTTTGGTGGGATCAGCACATCCAAACCTTGCCGTTGCAGCTCTTGCCACACGGCCGGTTGCGTCCAATGCACAAAAGCGCCGCCCATCTCTAGCGACTCGCCGAACACAGTCTTCATATAGGTTCGTCCGCCTACTCTGTCACGAGCCTCAAGAAGAACCACCGAGTGGCCCTTTTGACTCAAGTTGCAGGCTGCAACAATGCCTGCCAGGCCAGCCCCAATCACGGCGACGTCAAATGTTTTCGACATTTCTTCCGGATGAAATTGTCGGGAACCTCGGTGACACATGGTTGAATACGTTGACCAACAAAAGAGAGAGGTGGATTATAGTTCAGCGCAGAGTACGCGGTCGAATCGTATGGCTGTGTCTCGTAGTAGGGAAGCTGTCCCATCAAAATGAACAACTCAAGTCCAGATGACAATCAATCGGGCATGAGCTAAAATCTGAATCACATTTTCAAGGAAAGCGAACCCTTGTCATTTATGGAAACCACATATTTATTTCTGGCGCACACAATAGTTCCAAGGATTTTGGTCTCACACACCCGGCTTTCTAACCCGACATCCAAGACTGCACAAATTCACAGTTAGCATGATCCGGAATAATGCCATTGTAACGTATCTCAAAATCAGTTACAGCAGACCCGCCAACCGTCGGAGCAATGGATTAAACCCGCGGCTGCCGATTGGCAGGGCGAAAGAATGCGGTGAAAAGGAGGGGAAAGTGGGTCAACGAGAAGGATCCGCGGGCACCGAAAGACCAGCAGGACCAACGGAAGCGCCCGGTAACGAATAAGCATACTAGTCTTTGGTTCAGCAATTGCGGGGAGGTACGTCCCCTATGAGATGTTACCATTATTGTTTGTGAACTGCTTTCGCTAATCGGGGGCTCCAATAATCTTGTTTCACAGTCGGCTCTACAGAATAGACATCTAGATTGGCAGACCTTGTTTGGCCTCGTTTTCCTGTGGAGTTCGTAATCCGTATAACGAGCTCCTGTTTCTCAAATACAGGTCTGCACACGATCATTGTGAAGATCGCTTTAGTCAACCGTGCTGCGGAAAAGACCATGCGAAGGGCAACTTGGCTTGCATGCGCGTCTGATGAGGTAGTCTATTTAAGGTTTGTTTGTCTGTTCTATGTAAAACATGGGATAGCAGTATACGTGAAAGGGATATGGCTAGAATTGACTTCGGAAAGCCTCCTATGCGCGGAAGAGCTCATTGATCTAGGCACCGTCTTCGTCTCCTCTCAGGCATGCACAGGCATTTTTTCCGTCGGGAGAATTCTGCTCCCCGGAGGAATCAGGATGGATCGTTTCCGCATTCCTCACGAAGTCCTGGGTGACGTCGCACCCATTCCAGTTCCAGCCTCGAAGGCGATCTGGAGGATGGATATGCGCCCAGCAGAAAGTTATTTAAAGTTAGTGTACTGCACCTGAGCGTTGCCAGAATCTCGAAAATCCGTGAAGAGGCTATGATTTGACTCCGGTAGTCTAAGCCCACGGGTGTGCGCAAAACTGTGTTTTTTGAGGAATCCAAAGAATATATTCTGAAGAATCAGCCTTGTTTACCGTTGATGACTGTATAATATTGCTAAGATTGAGTACCTTCTGGTATTCTATTGGATAACTAATTTATATGCCTTTTTGTATGACAGATGTCGTATCTGTAGAGGGAGGGTATACAGTGAAGTACTCTTACACTCAGGGGTTGTTCCAACCCCCACCATCAATTAATCTCTTTCAAGCTGCCTCCCAGGCGTATCTCTTCTCCTCTACATACAAATGCATAGCGATTTAAGGGGACACTAATCATATATTTACTACCCTTCCACTAATCCCATCCTTTACTAAGAAGTAATGTCATCGGTATGAGTATAGAGGCTGTCTTTCGGGGAAAAGAAAGAAGATAATCTGTTACCGCATCGTGATATTACCCAACACAGATTATATCAATAGTCATGATTACCAGCACAGGCATGTGGCCGATGGCGTAGCTCACACTCGTCAGAGCCTCTAATCGCATTTGTTTTTGCGGCAGTGATATTACTGTAGCTGTTCCTGGATAGTACGTTTAAACACTGCAAGCCTATCATTTAAATGGAAGTTATTGTTGGGTCACATGATATCCGTGCTGTATGCCCTGACACCGGAGGCACTTGTTGGGGTGAGTGATTGATTGACTATCCAAAAGATCGCCGTCGAGAGTGTCTCTCAACCTCGGAAGCTAATATTGGCATTCTACGAGATGTATTAAACTTCACGGTAGTACGTAATTGTCGGGCATACAGGCAAAGGACATAACAACTGATTTCCAACCCCGCTCTTCCTCTTAGAAGGTAAGGGCCATGCTCATCTTGTCCACTCCAATCCCTTCTGGAGGCTCCCGTACTCAGCTAGTGTTATGTCCTTCCAATAGTAGGATCTTGGTTTCCAGACAGAGCGGTCTCCCACCTTCGGCAGGACGCTCTTTGCTTTCTGAACATAGGTAGACTTCAAGTTCAGGGTCGGTAACGTCTTGATGTGCTTCTTATCCTCGGCTTCCATTCGGGGCACCACCATCGTAGCGTTGTCCTTCTCCATCGCCTTCAACACTCGGCATGCCAATGTGGCTGCCACGTCGGCACCGAGGGTCCAGCTAGCGTCTATATATCCTATTGCGAAAATCGTGTTCGGCAGGTTTTCCATCATCGCAAATCTCCACATGAAATTTTCGCCAATGTCATACTCTGAGTCATCAACAGAGATCTTAATTCCGCCAGCCATGCTCAACTTCAAACCAGTGGCCGTGACAATGATGTCGGGATGCAGTTCATCGCCTGATTGGAGCTGGATACTTGTTTCAGTGACTTTCGCAATCACGTCAGTCTTCACGTCAGCCTTGCCTGCCCGAATGCTTTCGTAGAAATCGGCCTCTGGGCACATGCACATTCGCTGCTCCCACGGATTGTACCTGGGGGTAAAGTTAGGGTTCAGAGGCATGCCTTTCGGAAGCTGTTTGGCGGTTACTGCCATCAACATCTTACGGGCCACTTGGGGAAAGAGCCGGCAAAAATTCGACAGTAGAAATGGAACAAAAATCCATTTGAACCGAATGAGTTTCCGGGCCAGAGTTTCCGGAAACAAGAACAAAAGGAATTTGTCAACGGGGTCCTCGCTTTTGACCGATAGGATATAGCTCGGGGAGCGTTGGAGCATCATAACGTGCTTTGCCTCCTTCGCAACGTTCGGAAGCAGTGTAATGGCTGTCGCACCGGAGCCAATGATGACCACTTTCTTGTCCTTGTAGTCGAGGTCCGTGGGCCAATACTGTGGGTGCACCAGGGTTCCAGTAAAATTCCGAATCCCAGGAATATCTGTTTGAAGCGGCTGGTGATAGTCGTAGCAACCCGCCCCAAGAAGAATGAAGCGGCACTGGATGTTGGTCGGCGATATCTTATCGTCGATCAGGTCCAGCATCCAGGTCTTGGACTCGCTGGACCAGGACATTCGGTTGACTCGGTGATTAAATTTGATCTTTTTGTCGATACCCTCTTCCGCTGCGCATTTGCGCATGTATTCGGAAATCAACGAGCCTTTCGCTATTGATTGCCTTTCGGTCCAGGGCCGCCATGCAAACCCGAAGGTGAACAAATCTGAGTCCGATCGGATACCTAGGGGACGTGGAAATCGGTCGTGAGCTTCTGAACTAGAAACTCGGGAGACTCAAACTCACCAGGATATTGAAATAGACTCCATGTGCCTCCAATTTCGTGTCGTTCCTCCAGAATGCAGTAGCTCAGTTCGGGATTGCGTTCTTGCAGCCGGTAGGCGAAGTTGATCCCGGCGATCCCGGCACCGATGATGATAACATCATAATCCAAGTCTTGCTGCCCAACACCCATTGATACGGCGATTCAATGCTTTTTTGCAAAAAATATAAAAAAATATAAAAAAAATGGCTGCCTCTGGTGCCTTAATGATTCTCAGAGTTTGAGGAACGGTGTAGTCCCGAGTGCTACTTTCCGCGTGACGCGCAGATTGACCATTCCACAGGACGATGTTTCTATGTAGGCAGTGAGGAGAAATGGTCGATTTTTATTCTTCAGGGAGCTTTAATACGAAAGACAATTTCTGATCAACAGTTTTATACCAAACTCCGGTATCATCTTATCAACCACATTGTCAATCTTGCGGAGCCGCGGGATCCGACTGTTTGTTCGTTGTGTTCGGGAAACGGAGCCGCGGCAACGCTGTTCTTATCCTCCAGTCGACAAAAGGCAATCTCACTTCACCAGATTCATTCGCCTCAGCATAACAAAACGACTCCTTTGATCACAAGCGAGGCTTGAACCAGAACAAGCGTCGTGCAATTTTACACAGTTTGCCCAATAACTTCCATGAAAGCCCTTCGTGTTCCAGCTTCAACTGGCATGAAAAGATCCTGTAGCTACTAGACGAGGCTGGGAATGATTATTCAAGAGCTGCTTCGGCCAGATCAAGCTGAGATATTCTGCGGTTAACTCGAACAATCAATGGACGGTTCGGACTAGCGGTTCCACAAACAGGACAAACGTAGTAAAAAGTATCATGACTCATCAATTTACCCATCTGAAAAAGGAAATTCTTGGCAGAATAATGCATTTGCCGTTCTATGCGGTGCTGAAGTGTTGGAACCGCGAAAACATGAGGTGCGGTGCGCGGTTCTAGGTGTTGGAACCGGAACGGCACCATGCCCAGGTCTAGATGGTCATTCCAATCAGTACTGAAAGGTTCTGGAAAGCGAGTCAAGACGTTCGTCCTGGGATGTGTGAACGACTTTGCTGTCGTCCCTGGCTCGCACCTAGATAGCTACATTATCGCATCGATACATGTGTTCAAATCGGACCCGTGCGAAGCCGGCGTAGCCGCATGTACTGATTGGACCGCCGGGATCTGCGGGACCCGCGGCTCCCCGATCGACACGGATTTTGATTACGTTGATCAAAGTACAGAGGGCGTCGACACCGGATCCGAAATCCGCCACGAGAATGGTCATGTCAATACATACATATTCCACGTGGCCATCATTATTTTGCGGTATTTCATCTGTAATTCCGGAATATGTGTGCCTTCGCGTTCTAGCGACTTACGACGTGACCGGGGCTTTGGGACCCGTCGGAATCCCCTAATCTGCCGCGGAAGAAGATATGCATATACATACGTCTCTAAATACTGTAGTTCTGAGATCCAAGCTCTATCTTCGTCAAGCTGTAAAGATTCAATCCCCACGCGTTCGCCATGAACCCCCCCAAGCAAAACCTATCTCTGGCCGAAAAGCTTGATCTGCTCCCGGCCATGATTGTAGTCATGTCTGCGGGGTGCTTCTCTCTCTTCACAGCCATCACACGAGGGGAAAAGGGAGCGCCCACCTTGGCTTTGCATATCACGTATGCGATTTCTCGCAAGCTAAGCTCACGTCTGTCAGTGAAGCAAATGCAGTATGTCAATCGCCCTTCGTCAAACATGATTTGTTTTTGTTTTTCCGAGAAGTGTATAAGTTACTAAAACAAGATACATGACCTTGTAGATGGATATCCCCATCTACAGATCAAGTCTACGAACAATATGCGCATTCAACAAAGTTCACGCCTCGGACAGTCAAACTCGCTCACGGCGGATTAGGCCACTGGATGGGAGACATAGATGCGCCGAATGTGCTTGTCTGGTACCACGGTGAGGCCTCGATCTCCAACAGGCCGCTCTGCCTACCTATCTACCTGGGTTTCAACTAATGAACCAACCATCAGGCGGCGGATTCTGTCTCCCAGCGAACCCAAACTACTTCAAGTTCTTCACCCATCTGATCGAATCCTCGAAAGCTGCCAACAAGAACGTCGCGATCTTCATCCTCACTTACACCTTGGCCCCAACCGGACAATACCCCACGCAACTAACCCAGTCCGTTGAAGCTTTGCGATTCATCCTGACAGAAACATCACGCCGTCCGTCACAGATTCTTTTGGGCGGCGACTCCGCCGGAGGAAACCTAGTCTTCGGCGTGCTCTCCCACCTGGCTCATCCTCACCCTTCCGTTGCCGAGCTCAAAGTATCCGAACCACTCGCTGGAGCCGCGACCATCGCCCCATGGACCTCCCTCCAGGACTACCCAGACTACAAGCCCTCAGTTATCGGCGACTTGCTTAATACGACTGTCGCGGGCCCATGGGCCAGTGCGTACCTAGGCAGTGCAAAGAGAGATTGCTATACTGATCCACACACGGCATCGGCGGATTGGTTTGCAGCATACCCAGTCAAGCAAATCCTGGTCACCGCGGGAGAAAATGAAATTCTCTTGCCCTTTATCAAGACATTTGTGAACAATCTTCGAGTACGACCCTTATCAATTTCCATTCTATTACATGCGACGGGAAGAGTGAAATGCTAACTTCTCAGGTGGGATTTACATCAGTTGAGTTCTTCATAGGCAAGCGAGAGTGCCATGTTGCTCCCGTATACAACCTGGCGGCAGGAGATGTGGAGACGGAGCAGGGCAAGACGCTAAAGCAGTGGTTAAGGCATATCTTACAGTGATCGTCTCGTTCGTTCTTTGTGTTTTGATTTTAACTGTGCGGTATATACAGTACAACACTTTGAGAGAACAATGTGCTAGGCCAACCGTGATCATTCACCTCATTTATAATCGCTGCGCCCTGTTCCATCCACATCCCATATAGGATCGACATGTTCAGTTGGTTCAAATGAGGTCTTCGGTGTTTCTTTCAAATATAACTTGATTTATATCCAAGATCTATTGGCCTCCAATAACGCGTAAATTTTGCCCAGAAGAAAGTAAGGTGAATGTTGCCTCTTCTTCTCTTCATTCGAAACTTCTCTCCTAACAGCATCCATAACAAACACGGCACAGTCCACATCGCCAATATGACCCACTCCTTCATCATATAGACCTTCTCCAGAGAATGTCTGGATTGGACGATCAACGCAGAACAGCGGGCTTGAACGTGGAAAATAGTGGTCGTTTATAGAGTACCCGTACAACCAATGGGTGCCGTCACTCCTGGGAATTTTGAGATCCGCAAAGTTATCGGGCACAGCTGCTGAGGTTTCCTGTAGGAACTATTGATTTCGTGAGCCTCCCGCTTCTTGATAAAGACTAGGATCGATGATTCTAGGAATTCTCCTCCGGCTCGCTAGGTATCCGGGGAGACTGAAAGCAAGGGACGTTATCGGGTGGAGCAAGCAGCAGGTCATCACGCGACGTATCGAAGATACTAGCAATGCAAGCCAGAAGCCATTCCCGGTATATTTTGGGCTAGATATAGGCAAGCTTCTCGTAGGTTATTGAGCTAGCGAGAACAAGATACCAGATATTTTTAGGCAGTAGCCGCTCTGAGATACTCGCTGTAATCTAAGATAGGTCGTTAGAACCACGTATCATAATGCTCATTTCATTCTCGACCATTTTTAGTCTTCGAAGACGTGCGTAGGGGTCGATGTCACCTATATATGTAGCAACGCAAATAAGATTGTCCTTGTTGATGAGTGGGAGATCTGTAGGTAGAGGGCGATATACCAGCGGGATATCATCCTCTAGTGCCTTTGGGTGGCTCGCAGTCATAGTCCTCTATACCTATAACCTCGGCAATGTTGAAGTAATATGACTTCAAACCCCATAGCTTATTAAAGGCCTCATCTTTAGGTGCACAGTATTTTGCTCTAGCAGCAAGACTAGAACAAATAGCAGTGTCACTATTCACATATGCGACTCGACGCCCGGCAATGTCAACAGTCCACTCATAGTCATTCATGATTGTAAACTTGATGGACGGGGAGAGAATGTACTGATAAATTCCCTCGCTGCCTCTGCTGCCTTTCTGTGTACTTACTTGCGTAACCAGCTTGCTCTGCGACATGCACCTCCAGAAGGAAGAGGATCAAGTTCCTTGTAGAGATCAAAGTATCCGGCAACCACACAAGCCCGTGCAGCATGATAGATCATGTCCGGATATCGCTGAACGAAGGCCCGCAGAAAATCCTTGCTCGGGACTTCAGGATGGCAAATACAGTAAGGTATTTCGTCGGGATCGGAAATGGTTGAGATGATACCGCTGATGATATCTCGGGCATAGTTCCGCACTCGTCTGCCGGGACGAGGCTATCACGGGTGAGATCCGCCCAAATCCCGGTGTACTGATGATTTCGGTCACCAGAGCCGAGCTGGTCCGGGTCATTGAGGATACCTCGATTGGAACTTCAACTTGATCCCGGCCCAACTCTTTATTTTTGAAATGGCCTCACGGGTTCCTGAAACTTTTTGCCTCGGTATAGAATTATTCACAGGAGAATGCGCTGCCGTAAAACCAAACCCAGTCCCCCAATGCCCCAGCAGTTAAAAAACAGCAAAAATAAATCTCGATTCATCAATGCGCCAGTTTGCCCAACCCGTCTATCACCTCGCCAGTCGTGTCCTTTTTCCCAGCTCTAGTCGCTCTCCCCCTTGGATCGCCCGTCCACTACGCTTCCGACGCCCTTCGTTTTGGTCGCTGCCGTCATCTTCGTGTTTCCGTCCGACGGGTTGATCGGGCACCTTGGCGATAATGTCGGCCAAAATGTCCAACACCTCGTCCTTGGCCACCGCGTGTTTCAGATGGGAAGTCGTGACGCGCTTCAAATTACGGTCCTTGCCTTCAGGGGCAACCTTGGTGACGAGCGGGATCATGAAGAGCTCGAGTGCTTTGGCTGCGGTGGAGGTATAGTATTGGCGACAGGCAATAGACTCCAGGGTGCGCACCATGGGCCCATCGAGGAAGGAGAAGCCGGCTTCCTCGGCTAGCACCATGAAGAACAGAATCACCTTCAGTCGGAAGGTAATGGCACTGGCCGAGGCATTACGCTCCGGGTGAGTGACCTTGCTCTCGACAAGACGGACGCAACGGGTGGCGAGAAATGGGGCACCTTCGTGGTTGCGTTCCAACTCATGAGAAACCCTGGCCGGTCATGCAGTATACATAGAGTCGAGGGAATCAGAAGAGTGTAAGAACATGGTCAGAGAACCGTCAAGGTGGCCGAGTGCCGCCCAATCTTCGTTTGCGAATCCGTCACGCCGTCTTGGCGCGCTCGCGTCAGATTTGACCCACTTGGAACATCGTCGTGTCGTAGTTCAGAGGAATTAATTAGTTGTTATTCAGGAGAAAATAAAACTATATATATACAACGAGAAGAACAAGTTGATTTCTAATCAACTTGGTTCTTCGTATAGATACATCGGGATTAATTCCGATGGTTCGGCTTGGTTCCTCTCATATCACAACACGTCGGATAAGAAGTTAGGGGCTGGAAATATCTGTACACGTCCTTGGAGGCAGAGGTCGAATGAAATGTACTCAAATATACACGTATCTATATCTATCTATGTGTAGCCTGCCTCTTCAAAAAGACTCCCCCGCGCCTGCACCATCGCCGACAGTTCGAGCAGAAACGCATACAGGGGCACCACATTCGTGAACACATGGTCAGCCTGGCCGGGGCCCTTTCTGGATCGGCATTTTCACTATTGGACGCCTCTGGGGGTGGGAAAGGAGTCGCTAGTCGCTCTGGCGCAAGGTCTCTGCTGTCGCAGCCCGTGAACCTGACGAACCACGCGATTACTCATTGCTTCTTCCATTGAGTTTTCCACATGAGATTTTGTGGATATAGTTGGTAATAGAACAGTCCCATAATCCTTACACTGGCACAAAAGTGGACAAAATAATACCTTGTCAATACCATTTTCACAAATACAATAAGCCCAATTCGGGATGAACCCAAGTCCCGGTCATGTTGAGATCCGGATTAGAAGACCAAAAATTCATCTTCTGGTGCATTTGGAACCCCAATCATGAAGGGGTTATATTCCACCTGCGACGAGGCGACCAAGAGTGGCGTACATTTCGGGTCTTCAAGGCTTCTCTCAACCTCTGGCTGCATGTTGCTGGTCTCACTCGGGAACGCTGTCCGGGGCATCATGTTCCGTAATAATGTGCGCTCCTCAGCGGTCGTCAAAAGGTTGTCCAGCAAATTACTGCACCTTTGCATAGATGGCGTCATGGGCATCATGTTCCGTAAGAACATGCGCTCTTCTGCGGTCGTCAAAAAGTTGTCTAGGAGACTACTGCACTTCTCCATAGATGGCGTAGAAGCAGAAGGTTGGAGCCATGGCATTGCCTGGGGCAACGATTCTCGCAATACAGGTCGATAGCAATAGGGCTTTTGTTCGCTGAGAATAGGTAGCGGGGAGCAAGATTCTGGATGAGATGAAGATGAGATAGAACCGCGACGTACGACTCGGCTCCTTCGTTTCGGGTTCTCCATCGGTTGAGGGAGCGGTAACGAGAATTGGAGATCGATACCACCGAGGGCCATGGCGAGCTCCTTCTTCGATAACGGAGGTGTGACTCGCCACTTAGATGCGGAGCCTGAGGAATCGGAACAACCAGATTTCCCGATCCCCCTGCGAGACGTTCTCAGGGAGTGCATGATGGATTCCTCCCTCAGGGTTGGTAATGGGGCGCGACGGGTAGGAGCAACGTGGTATGTCGGGGAGTTCATAGCTTCTTTGGGTGTGTGTTGTCCCCTTTGCATGGCATTGCTTCAACAGGTGAAGCGAATGTTCCTCCAGAGATAGTTTCGTGTGTCAGGTCAATCAGACGTCAAGACCGAGAAACATTGTCAGCTTAATAGAGCTCCAGCATACCCCGTACTTTTGGATGGCGCCTCCAATTAACAATACTGTAGACACCCTACCCCACAATCTCTGCAAGCGAATCGTTACTGGGAAAGTAAAAGGGGCAAGATCCCAATGAGTGGCAAACGTTTGGGGCAATGGAGAAGGGCTTCGCTGCGGCTTCGAGCAAAGACCTAAGATCGGGACCCTGTGAGGAGACCAGCTGCTTTTGGCTGACAGGGAGCCATGTTCTGCAGATCCCATTTCCGCTGGGCTGGGTTGGCAAAATACACGGAAGAATTATCTAACGTGATAGCAGCTGCGGCTCCGCAGCGAGCGGACCCGGATGACTGACGGCAAGCCCATTTTGAATGAAAACACTAAGTGCTATTTTCTCTTTTATTCCTAGGAAGGTGATGAGAAAGCGAGCATCTCTGGCATTAGGCGATTGGGGACTATCCTCGGACGTTCCTTAAACATTAACAAACATTACTTCCCACGCCGCATTGGTACAGACATGCAGGCATTGATATGAGGCCTAAAGTCTGACTCTACAATGATGCAAGGCCTTTCGAACGAGGGGGCAGATCGATATTCGGTGGCCTTGTGAGCTTATAGAGAAGACTGACATGCGTTTGCCTTTACCTCTAGTGCCCGCCAACTACATCCTCGCATAGAAAGCTAGTCACCTACAGACTTTGTAGGTGAGCTATAATTGAGCTTGCGAGAACCCAAAACTTCCCCACTGAAGTTTCAGATATTCCCTTACGGCTGGATGATATTTCGTTCTGGTCTGAATCATACATTGCTTGCGTTGTTACCTAGTATTCCATTTAGGCGTCGGTTAATCCTCTAGAGGAGGCATCATCACTTGCATTCCATCGTACCCCGCGCCATACGAGATTAAAGCTACAGTTTCCAGTGATAGACCTTCGGTGCCAAGTAAATATCCTGGTAATTATCCATCAAGTTGCTATCAATAATTTTGGTAATATCTAGAGCGTGAAATCGAAGGCTGCTTTTGCACCCATTCATCTGTCCCGCAGTCGTCTCTCATTGTCAGGTATAGGGCAGGTAGCCACTCCTACGCTTGCTCTACTAGAGCGTTACTTGGCAATAGCCTCACCACTGGACCAGCAATCGGCTACCGTGCCCTTGGGTAATGCGGAACCGAATGGCACGGGCCCATCGGCACAGCTGGGATTTCCAGTGGCATCGGCATGGTGCAACATGCGAAGCTTCGGCCCCGCAGCTCCGCGGCTCCGCAATTCGGACACCACACACCAAGTCATCATGGTGTTGGGATATTACATCTTCAAAATTATCATGGATGGAGCTCCAAGGCATTTAGGAGTGACGGCTTTAAGGATCCACGGTGACCCCGTTGGGGCCGCGATTCCGACATCGGATCCGCGGCAAGCTTTCATATGGTTTCCGGATTGAATCGGAGTTCGCCTCTTAAAAGAGCCAGTATTTGCAGCTAGAAATTGCTTAAACCACATAACACCTGCTGCTCTACACATCCTTGATTGCGAGCAACACCTCAGCCCGAAGAAGAGCACAGTTCACACAATGGATCCAATCAAAATACCTCGAGCTTCAGCTTCTGCGGACATAGAAACAATCCTGCAGCTACTAAATGAAGTTGGTGGGGTAATTATCGAAGGACTTCTTCGGCCCGATCAAGTTCAGAGATTCAATGCCGAGCTCGAAAAACCGATGAATAGCCTCCAGGCTGGCTCAACACACGAGGAAGAATTCATCCAAGACTTTCACGGTGCGCAGACTAAGCGCCTAACAAATGTGTGCACCCATAGCAAGGTTTTCAGAGATGAGGTCCTGGACAACGACCTAGTCCATCAAATCGCCGCCAAGATCTTCCACCACGAGTCCGGCACATACTGGATGAATGCCGCTCAAGTCATTGAGATCGGCCCAGGCAATAAGGCCCAAGCCTTGCATAGGGATAACAGCTCATACACCGCTTTCAACGCAATAGGCCGTGACGCACCCGAGGTTGTCATCAATTTCTTGGTGGCCTTGACCACCTTCACCGACATCAACGGAGGCACGCGTGTCATCCCCGGATCCCATCGGTGGTCTGACTTTTCAGTGCAACCATCACCTGAGGATACGATTGCCTGCGAGATGAACCCTGGAGATGCACTCTTCATCAATGGCAAAATTCTTCATGGAGGAGGGGCCAATCGCACATCGAACGAAAAACGTCGGGCGATCTCTTTCAGTTTGCAAGCTAGCTTCCTGACACCGGAGGAGGCATATCCATTCCAAGTGAGCCTTGATATTGTGAAGACCATGAATGCCAGAGCTCAGCGCATGATCGGGTTCCGATCACAATTTCCCAAGGGCTCGCCCGGGCTATGGCAGACTGATTGTGGCGAGCTAGGTGATATGCTAGACCTTAAAGGGGCGGACCCTCAATTGCGAGAATACATGAGTGCAGCCAGTCTCACATGAGCTGTGCAAAACCACAAGCAAAGATGTTAAGATTAACTTGCGGTACCTCCGGAGGCTTCCAGCAGGGGTATGAAGCTAGTTGACATGGAATTAATTTGTTTATATTCGTGGAATTCGTAGTAAACCGTATCAACAGGCTGCTGAATGTGATATGTTCGATGGCAGGCCCATTTACGCTTAAACGAGGTGTCGTGGATATGGAGGCAAGGGTAGCGATCGCTAATACACAAGAGGCTTAGCTGAGAAAGTTATGAAAGGCCGTGAAAGAACAGTGTTGGTTAAGTAGAATGTTTAAAAAATTATGTTTCGGTTGTACGTCATGTCCCTGCCCTTCAAATATTTACTGTACAGCCAATTTCTACTCTGACAGTTACAGTGTGCGTCCGCTCATAGCTTCGCTTTTCTTCAGTGAACAAAGAGTCAATTTTTTTTAGAGTCATCATTTGTCTGGTGTTTTGAAATTCAAATGCACACACGTATACGTTCCTAGCAATACGCAGGGCATAAATCTCGGGGCCCGAGACTCCGCGGGCCCGCGGATCCGAAGTGTAATGGTCATGGCGAGTTACCCACGTTCCCCTCTTCTTATCGTTTCGTTTGCCCCCGAAAAGCTAAAATGTACACTAATCTTTCCAGTGAGCTCTTGGAAAGTATAATCAGAAAACGCATCCACGTGATGTTTCTCCACGTTTGTCTGGTCGCGGAGCGCAGAGCTGGGGAAAAGATTCCACCCCCATTTTATCCCCACTTGAGCGTTCTTTCACGAATGCTTCTGCGTAACGGAATCAAGCACGAAAATGGACTTCCTTTCTATTGATAATCTGATCACCGACCCCGGAGAGGATGAGTATATGTTGTCAGGGACAATGCCAACACAATTCCCGAACGAGATACCTCAGATGCTCAGTATTCTGGAGAACAACAACTTCTCCAGCATGGGATGGAACGACAAAGACCATTTTGCGAGATATATCGCACCCCTGGACAATCAGACTGGAATGCAGCTTGAAGGATGCGACACGAATTCGGATTGGAGCACGATCTTGAATCACATCCTACATCAGCCTCCCTCACACCCTGCACCTGATGCCAGTGAAGAAAAGATCGAAGGCCTCCTCTTCCAAAATATCAGCAACCAGTTTCAGGTCAGTCCCGACACCGCTCGGATTGATTCACCAAGCCCTACGCCTACCAGTAGTGTTCAAGAACCTACGGCGCCTCTCCCTCGATCTAAAACCAAATCTAAAATGAAGAGCCATCGGAGGCAAAACCATTCGTGCGACCAGTGCAGGTCATCTAAAAGAGCATGCGACCTACCATTCAGCAGCGGAATCAACAGCCTAATACCTTCAATATCTTGCACAACCTGTCATGTCCGCGGGCTAGAGTGTACAGTCACATGGCTCGCTAGCAAAAAGTCCAAGCTGCGGAGCAAGAAGCGAACAAGAAGTGCATCCGACCTCCCAGACGGTAGTGACTCGATTAATTCGACAGACCCAGGCGTCGCCTCAAACGAAATGCAGAGAATTGGTGTTATACGACCCCAATCTGCAAGCTTATCGACACTAGAACTCGATATAGCCCAACAAGTAACTGCGCGTGAAACCTGCCTACAGCAGTTCAAAATCTACGTTGATGTCTGTGATACGCTCCTATCGACATGCCTTTTGGACTGTATGCCGTCCGGCTACTCTCTGGGACTTGCCGCTTTAGCACCGCTGAGCCATAGTGTGCATCTGAACCCCCACTTCGAGAAAGCGAACAAGTGGGTCAAGACCTGCTGGGAATCAACATCAAGTTCGTGGTCTGCGACAGCTATGGCACCACGTATCTTCCTCACAGTCAGTCTTCTCGATTCCTTGTTCCAAGAAAAGTGCATGAAGCACTCTCGCCCGTCAACATCGCGTGATGGCTCGATTAATGAAGCCTATAAATGGGTTGCAATGGCAACAGCTTCACAATATGTTGTCGACAGGGGCCAAAGCCCAAGAAAATCACAAAGCCGCGATCTTGCACTCGCCACGAGACGCAAGGCGCAAAACGCGGTGTTCAGCAACATCGCCGCTTCTGGGTCTTTTAGGCACTCTTTGTCGCTTATGCTTTTCGGTCTGGTCCTTTGCCCAAAGAGTGACCTTGGAGATCGCGATTTATCAGAAGAGGACACTCCATTTGTTATATGCGAAGGAATTCGTCGTCTTCAGACACTTTGCGCTCGAGCCCAAGAACATGTTCGAGGATTGTCATCCGATGTAGCCGCGAATGTGCTTGAATTGATTGGTGCGATATCATGGTTAGCAGAAATGACGAAAGCTGTGGTTATTGCCTCGTCGAACGGAAATATTTCTCCGATGAATCTAGCCCAGCTTGATCGCAATTCTGACATTCCTCAGATAGCTGGCTTTCCTTCACAGTTATCAGAGAAGGATGCTTCATCGTCCACAGAAAATGAAAGCCAATCAATTGACAACTCGAATTTATCACAACCCAAATTGGAGGAGTCGACTTTGATGAAAGTCCGAGGCTATAGATCTTTTGATATTAATTTGGAATGTGCTCTGGGACAGTCGGGATTGCTTGGTATTTATCTTTGGAAGTCATTGGCTTCCTTGACGCTAGCCGAGAAGTCTGTCCGAACGGGAAATTTCGACTATGAACAAATCCACTGGACCTATAAAACGACTTTGAAGCTTGTCAAGATGTGGAGATCAACTTTTGGTACTTTTGATGATATAACCACAGTATCTATCGGACAGTTGCCATGGGATATTCGACGCAAAGTTGCTTTCTGCTTAAATGACGGCGACCTAGCAGTTCTTTTATTCCATGAAACAACAAAGCAGCTTGAGATGAGCCTCGCTCAGCTGCGGCCGACACCTGAAAGAGAATGGCTGTGCGACATTCTTCAATGGGACAGACTAGCTCGACAGGAGCAACAGCTCATGAGTGCAACCCAATTATCGACCATGGCTTCAATATATCAAGGAGTTTCAAGTCCTGGCTTTCAAAGAGATAGTGCCTTGACAGTAGGCGTTCAAAATATTGGAGCACATCCTGTGAGTAAATTGATCGGCGCAACGTTCTCCTACTGGCTCATTTCAAAAGTATCCTTGCATGATCATCCAAGCATATACGTTATGTGCCAAGGCTTTTACTGAACAGATGCATATGCGAACCATCGAAATGGACATGAAAGGGGTTTCTGAGATGACGAAAAAACTGGAAACCTGCATAGAAGCGTTACGAGGACTACGGGAGAGCTTTGTCACATTTCCGGGTGCATCAGATATAATATCGTGAGCTGAGACGTCGTTCAATGTTGTTCTATTGTGCGCGAGGGAAAGGCTGCCTGGTGTCGATTCGTGATATCTAGAGCCTGTTCAGTTTAGCATAAGAATATTGATCGTTCGATGTACACTGAGTTCGAGCCTCGTTAATACGATTCGTCAAATTCAGATCCTTAATTGTTGCACTTTAGAGGAATTGTTACATTTTCTAAGGATAAACTGGGGGCTATATATACAATGCGAACTCCAAGTTGATTTCCAATCAACTTGATTCTTCGTATAGTCAGTTTGATAATTATTTCCGATGGTGCGGCGTTGTTTCTAACCTGCACCACACTCATCTCACATCACTAACGATAATGATCTGGTCACAACAAAAGAAGACACTATGCAGGGTATTCACCTCGGGAAATATTTTTGAAGTAGGCTTCCGAATCAGGATTCCTTGAAGCTGATTGGCCGTTCTGTATTTGACGTGTTGGAATATGTGTATCCCTGCGTCTCTCATGCGTTTCAGCCCGATGCCCGAACATGGAAAGATAATAGTATAGTGGGAAATGGTACTGGAAGTCTGACCCGCAATAAGTCCAGTGAGACCTACGCAACTCGTTGAGACCTTTCAATTGAGGACTTCTCCACCGATTCAACTGCTGATTTCCTATTCGGGGTTTACATCGACGACTTATTTCTGCGGGGCCAGGTCTTCTCCCATGCTTCCCGTACTTTCCGTATCTAGATTTACACACTTCATTGTAAAGGGGCGGCCTTTATTACGACGGCAGGTAGAATGAAATGGCTCCGAATACGGATCATGAATATACCTGGGATGCAATTTCTCTAGATGCAAAAGCTGTAGCCAAGCTTTCTATGAAAGGACAAACAGGTCTTATTGCACTAGGAACCTTTGATAGTCGATCGAAATATAGACCAATAGAGAATAGAACATCCCATAATTCTGACAAACACAACAGAGGCCCAATTCATATCCTCAATCTCGATGGGCAAGTATAAAGGGAAGCAAAGGAAAATGCTTATGAAGATGCACCATAGTATAGAAATAATTTGAACGGGAGTTCCCAGACGACCCAGGTCAAGCCAACGTTCTCTTGGTAAGAAGTCCCGGCCGCGCCAAAGCGCTAAACCCAGGCTCAAGCAGTAACTTATCGTCATACAAATGACGCCTCCACTTGCCAAGGCATTAAGAGATGTCAGCGAACCAATCTGAATGGCCCCTAACGCGATCACCAAAAGAAGTTTCGCCACTAGGGCATTGACGGGAAGCTGTTCGCGAGATGAGAGCTTCGACATTGCCTGTGAAAATGGAAGTCCGCCCGTGCGCGCTGTAGACCAGTACAGGCGGTTCCAGCTGGCCAAGCAACCAATGCTCGTACAGAAAAAGCTGACTATCACCCCGCCCATGGCCAAGCTAGTTAAGGCTTTGGACCGATGTCCGTCGTAAAAGAGTTGAAGTAGAGGCTGGTTACCAAACGGCTGCAAAAGGGTTTCTGGCTATATACAATGCGAACTCCAAGTTGATTGGAAATCAACTTGATTCTTCGTATAGTCATGTCAATGTCTAATACTCACTCGTCTACAGGGTTCGATTGTTCTTCGCATGGCATCACAACGAACTCAAGATGTACATAGCTAGATTGTACCAAACGAGAGAAATACCTATGTGCTGCTGCGATGCTGACAAGTTATGTATAGAGTAGTGCTATCTATCAGACTCTCCGAAAGCAGTTGTCCGCTTCCTGGAGATAGATCAAAAGGGCTTCTGAAGCACCCACCGTGAAGGACGCTTGCCCGTTAGAGACGGTGGTTACTTCCACCGTTTCCGAGCCCTGAATGGCACAGGTCCCATTCTCAAATGTTAGGCCGGCAACAGTCGGATTCTCGCCAAGGTCGACTCGAGAGGTGGCATAGGGGGCTGTCAGTCGTTTGGCGCTGACGGCATGGGTTTGGATGCCGGACAAGGTGAATGTCTGCGAGGGCCGGAGGCCGCTAGTGTAGTAGTCGGAGTTGTAGAGAAGGACTTTGACCGGAATACCGTGTTGATAGATGGCATAGGCAGCATACGCGGTATCCTGGCTGTCCAGCGGGGCAATTTGCTCTGCACCTGCCAGCGCCATTGTCGCCAAGTACGCACCATAGTAAGGGGCACCCATATCGTAACGGCCCCACCAGCAGTATTGGCCTTAAATGTTATCACAAAATGTAAGCTGAGTCCTGCCTAGAAGTTGCTGGATAGTCACTTACAGTTTCCAATCGTGCCTTGGTGGAAATAAAGTTGCTGGGTAGGAAATAATTAGTTGGAGGATTCTTCGTCTCGGTTTGTGACAGGGTTTCGGTACCTTAACGCCCATGATCACGGACTGCATCACATAGTCCAAGATCCACAGAGCAGCCCCAAAGGTAGGGCTGATACCACCACCGCCTCCAGTTGCTGGAATTGATCGGTCAGAGACACGTAGTGGCAACAGGGCATCCACATACCAGAATTGGTCTCGCCGAAGATATAAGGCTTGTTCTCGGCTGCCGCTGCCGCATACTCAGACGCAAAGGGCTTAATTTGTGATGCTATGTCGCTGTGGCCCATCAGTTTGGCAAGATCCGCCGTGCTGGCAGACTGCGGATAGTTGTGAGAGCAGTAGTCTTTCACGTAGGCATTTGCCGCACCCTCCTCAGCTGTCAGTCCGGCGATATTCATCGGCTCGGTGCCAAAGTAAACACCCGCGGAGATCAGATCGGACGTGGACAAATTCCCGCACACAGCATCCTGCCAGGAGATTTGGGACGCGTAGTCTGCTGCGGGAGACCAAGCCTTGCCATCAGCAATCGGATCGCTGCTTGTGTAGACTGAAAATAGATGGTTAACCAGAGCCTGTCTGAAACACAGGGGGTAAACCGTACAATTTGGCTCATTGCCTAGCTCAATGGCATATAGATTTTTCATCTCATCGTAGGCCAGTGTCGCAGCCGCGATGGTGTTGGACAGGTTATCCAGGCGGCGATTGAGGCCTACGATCGTTTCTCCGTGGTAGTCGGCGGCCATGGAGATGAAGGGCGGTCCGAAGGTAAGCGTCATGGGCGCATCGCTCGGATTAGAGACCGAATAGGTCACGGCCTGGTTGGACGAGGCATTATATGTGGCACGGTCCCTACTCGTCGTGAGTGTTTGGCCATGCCGGAGGGTTAGAAGAAGGAAAATTTGCCCACTGGGTTGTGCCTCCAATCCGGAGAGGTGGCCAAATTCCCGTCAACTCCTGCAGATTGGCTAGACAAGTCTTGGTAGCGGCGACGTCGGTCATGTACGCTGGGAACGTGAAGAATTCCATCCTGCAACTATTAGCCCATGTACCCGGCCCTACGCCGCGCATAACTTACGAGACACCCACGGGGGCTGCAGCCAAGGGCCCGCTGGAATTGGTCGGCGGTCGTTCAGGGACGTGGTAGCTCAAGCTCGAAGCTGAGGTCAAATGGCCCAGTAGGCACGCAGAGAAAAGCAGGAAAGCCATGGAGTTGGTTTGTTGGTGGTTTTGTTGGTGTGAGGGTGAGGCATTCCCAGGCGGCTTAAATACTCCTGCGTGTCATATGGCTGCTGTCTTCATCTCTGCCGGCGCTGTCTGCAAGGTCTTGATGCCGGCGTCGATTAATGGCGGGCTTAGTTCACCCGAGGCCGCAATGCTCGAGACTATGCTCGAGACTATCCATCGGAAGAGCAATTGGTCTATTCTGCTTTTCTAACCGAGACGATATTTACCTAGAACCCCACGGCGTGTGAATATCTCAGTCGAAGTATAGATCGGCGACCCCGGGAAACAAAGGCAGTGCGGGGGCTTCCACTGGAGGAGATGGATAGCCGGCGCTAGAAATCAGGGCTAATCAGAAAGCCCCTTTAGTTGCCGTCTTGGTCAGGAGTCGGCAGGTCGGGGTAGTATTTCCCGTGGCGCCTAATTCCTCTCCCCTGGCGCCACTTTAGCCTAAAATTTCGATACGGCACCCGTTTCGTATGGTAAAAGTAAATAATGACAAAATGGGCATTCAACACCATTGAATTTTGAGGTTATTCGCGATATCTCCTAGTAATAGGAACCCCGAGTAAGGCTTCGTAGAAGGGCTTCTCAACCGTCGCCAGCTTTATAAGAACGTCTCGTCGTCCATTATAAAGCGTGTTATCGCGGTCTAGTGCTTCAAGTCACCCCAATGCGCGTCCTTCGTTGGTATATGATTAAGTGAAGTCTTAGTGATTCGTAGGCCTCGGGTTCCCGTGAGAACAAATTCTGACATTATGATGCCCTCGGATGAAGCGGATGCACCTTCTTTTTGATATATGGAGCCAATGATCTAATATCACCACTTTATAAGCCAATCGGACGAGCATATACAAGACATATTTCGTGCAAAAATGATGAGATGAAGGAAGGATTTGAGCCGGGCCCCTCCGATGCATTGACGATGACGTAATTGACGGACGATTCGCCTACTAAACGACGTAGTTGACGCAGGCCCGGACGACATAGTCGACGGGGCCTTGGGGAGTAATAGAAACATTTTCAGTCATTCGATTGATGCCATTTGGGGAAGAAGGAGCTTCCCTCACGTATTCTATGGGCCCTGCAGATATCAATGAACTTGGCTCGACGACGGGGTGTCGAAGGGAGAGCATCAATATTTCCTCAGTATCGTGCCTCGACGAGAAGACCAGCTATACCAGACGTATTACCAGGGTTTTCGTGAATTGGAGGAAGACCATGATGGTGATCCGTATGCCATGTATAGTAGTCGTCTAGCACTTCTTCCCACGCTTTAAAATTTCGATTATCCGCTTCCAATTCGCGTAGCCGCTGTTGCTATGCAATATCATCGGCCGACAAACCCGACTTTGAACTTGAGGGCGTCGGGTACGGTGGTATCAGATTTGGAGTGTCCCAGGAATCAATATATTCACCACAGGCATCAGACGAAGGCGCGCTGGACGCGTCATACGGAAGCCGGAAATATGCGTGCCAGAAGGAGAGTAATGCCAAATTGTCAAATCATCTAGGAACAACGTATAATTGGACTCCGTACGCAGGATAGTCTCTAGAATGGCCATCATGGCCCTCCTGATGACACACTCCGCATATTCCAGGTCGTGTATATGTGTGTTTTCCATGCTTGCGGCGTCCCTTCTCTGGACGGCCACGCGCTGTCCTGAAGGCGCAAGGACCTCACCGGGAGTTTCCAGGTATATTATTGTTGTTGACTGGGTTATAAGATGTCTTGTAGATCTCCATGTGAGTAGAAATTAGATAAATCTTATGCACATACTCAGCAATTTGATTCTTCAATTTCTAGACCGCAGCAATAGCATGACGGCATGGGATCCGAATGTCTTGGAATTCTCGACACATACATATACAGCGGCTAAAATCTACTATATTTGTACGACCACCATAGCATCTCTGGAAGAGAGTTTAACGCCTTGAGAGCTCATTCTCTTGTTGAATCATTTTATACGCCCAGTCGGTGAAGTCGAATGACTTAAATTGCAACTACCGACGCTGCGCAGGCTTGTTCATCAACCAATTACTGATAATTTTTATAGCTTCAAAGAGAGGTACTTCTCGAACGTTGCCCTTCCAGACTCCGTTCATTGCTTCCGGTATATTTGGAATTATCCGATAAAACCGTGAATTGTTAATGGAATCACGAGATCAGGTAGACGGCGGGATATCACGGAGATATTCATATTTAGGAAGACTCGAATTGTCGATTGCCTTCATACTAGTCTCAAAAACTGCCTCTGTCGGTGCCTTCGCTGCCAGCCAAAATGCATCACGTTCTAACCCGCCAGGGTGGAACTTCATCATTATATTGTCGCAGATATGCTGTGCACAATGGCAGAGCCATACCTTTGGCGTATAATGAGGAAGAGAAGACCCAAGTCCTTCAGCCCGATCACTAATAACCGTGACATTTGGTTCATTGGAGGACGGATACACGCCCACGAATCGCTTCAAGAACAAGCCCCAATTCTCGTCAGATTCTGTTGGGACAATTCCATATGCCAGTAGAAACATTTCATCATTAGCATCCAAGGTGGTGGCGAGAAGGAGAGTAATGTCCCACCTGCTCTTCCAGAAAGTGCTATCTAGAGCAATCAAAGGGCCGCATAATGAAAAGGCCATAACGACAGGACCTGGTACAACAAATAGACGACGAAAAATTCCTTTTTTAGCTTCAAGACAATAATGGAGATCAGGATCTGCATCGCTCATTTGTTGAAAATAACCAGAGGTCTTTTTAAAGGACTGTAAATCATCTCCGAGGCTGCATGCGCTGCCTCTTTGATACTTGGCCACTGTTGAAAGTATGGAATATCATTGCCAGCGGCTTTCTCACGAGCTCGATTTCCTTCGGCGTCAACATGTAATCTAGGTTGAAGACTTCTTGATGACGAGGCAATATGAACTTCACAGAATTTACCATCTGCCAGCCATGATGAACGTCGGGATGGCATCGATGAGGTCTATTCACCGTTTTCTCGACAGATCCGGACAATCTGGCTGTGAATCGAAGTTGGAAAGGACACTCCTTATCCCGACAGTAAACAACGGTCCTCGTTTGTCATTATTCTTGCGTGTCTTGCATGAAAGCGAGAGAGCCACTGTCCACTGAAGCAAGGCATGTTTGGCGTCGTCAAAAGAGTCAGATGGCGCGCCGACGTTATAAGGGTTTGTGAGATGAGTTAGCAGCTTATTAGTGAGATCGGATCATACACGAGAAGCGCGAAGACACTTGAATCCTCGATTTCTAGAGCAGACATAATGAGAGAAGTCAGCATTCACCCAATCAAGAAGCGTGAGGCAGTACAGGAAAGAGTAGGAAGATGAGGACGTCAATACTCAAAACTCAACGCGAAGAGCAGCGCGTCTATCCTGGATCCAATTATAAGAAGAGGCCTGTGTCAAAGTGAGTGAAAATCTATATTGATTCTCAGTGGTTTCGGTGATGTTTCGCGTGACAATACAAATTTCGTGGCGGTGTCGAATCCGGGTTGAAGTGGCCCCGGCGGGGGAGGCAAGGTGGGGTAATAAAATTTAATTCGGGGGGGGATCCGAGCAATTAAGCGTACCTCGTGGTGTCTCGCTCTATGTTTACTCCGCAGTGGTGCGCCGATTGCGATGGAGATGCCAGCAGGAGAACTAGCTATAAACCCGGCCGGCGGCCGACCCTCTGCCCCTGCCCCAGCAGCTCATTACTCAAGCACCCGTTCAAACGATGGATCCCACCAAGACCGGTAGCGAAATGATCGAACATGCCGCCCCGAAGCAGCAGCCCACGACCTCCACCAAGACCGACGGGCCCGTGATGCGCTCTCGGACGGATGGTCTGTCCGTCTGGCAGTGCGCGCGGCGGTTCAAGCTCGTGTCACTGGTTGCCATGGCGGCTGCCTTTAGCGCCTCGCTGGATGGATACCGTGAGTCCTCCCATCTGTGGTCGATTCCCACTCTACTCGGCAGACTGACACTAACCCCGTCTAGAAATCAACCTGAACGGCGGCATTGTCGCCAACAAGGGGTTCATCAGACAGATGGCTCCAAAGGGCTCGACAATCATGCCGGGCCAGTATGTCTCGGCGTGGGGTGGCATTCAATCCGCCGGCCAATTTGTCGGCCAAGTGGTATGTTCCATTTACTCCCTCGACCACAGATCCCTTGCAGACTGTTGGGAGTACATTATCTCTTGCTAAATCAAGTACACGACAGCTGCTTCAATATGCCACCGATAAACTGGGCCGGAAGATAGCTCTTTACATTATCTGGTTGACTCTCGTCGTGGTAAGCAGTCACTCTTTTTGGACTGGCTACGTCCGTGTCTGACAAATCTGACGCGGGAGCCAGAGCGTGTTAATTGAATCCTTTGCGTCTGAATGGCAGCATTGGCTTGTGGCCAAGCTCTTCTCGGGCATAGGTGTCGGCATGCTGCAGTGTACCCTGCCCCTCTACCTCTCCGAGATTGCCCCAACCCAGTTGCGAGGTTTCTATATCAACGCATACAGTTTGTAAGCTGCAACTCAAGCGGTCCTCTGGAGCATAGAATGATGATTGACTCCCTGGCGTCTCTAGCTGGTTTGTGATCGGTCAAATCTTTGCCTCTGTCGCTCTCAACCAAATGAATGAGTTAGAGCCGTACAATTTCCGAACTCCGATCTATTCGCAGGTATGTTGTGGAATATCCGAACCTTAAATTTCTACTCCATTTTGTTTTGATCTCTAACTCCCTCTCTGCTTAGTGGGCGATGCTCGGCGCGACAATCATCATCTTCTTTTTGATCCCGGAGTCGCCCTGGTGGCTTGTAACCAAGGGAAAGCTGGACGGAGCAGGCAAGATCTTGCAAAGATATAATGGCCGCATCGCCGGCTACGATGTCCAAGAACAGATTGTCCGTCTTGCCCAATAATCTCGCGAAACACCCTCTCAGGACAACGCTGACTTGAACGGGCTACTCCAGGAAGTCATGAATGCAACCGTGGCCGCAGAGAAGGTTGTTGCAGAGCGCAATTCAGAAGAAGGCCAGTGGGCCGTCTTCCGTGGTCGCAACTTTATCCGATTCATCATCGCCAGCTGGCCGAAGGTTACCCAGCAATTTGTGGGCTTAGCTGTATTCAATAGCTACGCCACTTATTTCTGTATGATTGACTTTCTGAATACCTACTATATTCTTGCACTGACAGCCCTTTTTCATTTTTGATAGTCCAATACGCAGGCAACAAGAATCCGTTCCTGGTGACGGTCATCCTTTCCTGCGTGCAGTTAGTCTCGATGATGATCTCCGCGACGACTACCGACAGGTTCGGTCGTCGGCCGTTGACGGTTTACCCATATGCAGTGACGACAGTGTCTGTGCTGTGTCTGGGTATCATCGGATGCTTCAATTATACCAAGCCGTCCACAAGCGCACTTCTGGTAAGACCCTCCGCAGTCCAAGGTTTCCTTGATACTGAATTTTGGCAGATCTTCTTTGCGTGTTTGGCTACCTTCTCCACGACTGGTGCCTCGGCTATCGGATACGCCTATGCGGCTGAGATTCCGACCCAGCGCTTACGTGCAAAGACGGCAGGGTGGGCCCTTGCGTTCTCCAATTTGATTGCCATCATGTTCAGCTTCACCGTCCCCGATATGATTGACGGACCCGTTACTAAATGGGGTGTCAAGACTGGGTTCTTGTGCGTGTGCCTAAGACTTGTGGTGAGAGTGGTGACAGCTGACTTGTCTCGTATCTACAGCTTCGCCGTGACTGGTACAATATCCGTCATTATATCCTGGTTCATCTTGCCGGAGGTGGCGTGTCGCACACCGGCTGAAGTGGACGAAATGTATGCTTCCTTTTCCAAAGAGTTCCAGCGGAGGAAGGGCTGACTGGTTCATGACAGGTTCGAAAAGAGGGTCAATCTCCGGAAGTTCAAGAATCACGTGACCGAGGTGGAGATGCATGCGAATGAGCTACATAATGAAAAAGCGCAAATAGCTTGACAAGGGGTCCTCTCACAACCATGAAGGGCTCGTGAGGATGCTCTAAAGATAGTCGGGCCCAACAGGGGGGGGAGGGGGTGTTCCGCAAAATTTGGTCTTGGCAAGGGGGGGGGGTGTTGGCCTAAAGTGGGTCCAACCCCCCCCCCCTCCTAAGTAGCTCGATTCTTGGTATTTTTCGGTCAGATCTTTTAAATCTTTTAATATTATAGCCTTTCCTATCTTTTGGCTTATTTATATTTTTGAGTTTCGACCTAGAATGGTGGGGGCCAAGGGGTTCTGGTTTTCGTGAATTATTTTTGATGGGGGATGCCAAGATCTTTTCGCGCGGGTAGCCTATACCTATTCTAGCTAGGGTTTCGTAGCCTAGGTGATAGGCTTAGCTCTTAGGCTAGCTTATAAGCCTCCTAAACCCTATAGGCTAGTATAAGGGCTAATAGTAATCGTGCTATATCTCGCTAACGAGCTAGGATATTAGAACTAGGGAAGAAATACTAGATACTATAGCCCTCTAGCTACTGGGCTAGGTAATCTATATTACGTAAGTAGGCCTCATACTAACGTAATTCCCGGCCGACCTGGCCACCCGGCCGTCCTGGCCACCCCATCCAAAACCGCGTCTTCCTACCTACCTACCTACTTCAACCACCTATTATGCCACCAAAACGCTCTGAATCTTCGCAGAAATTAGCCAATCAGGAGGGCAAGATCTTATTAGCCCTTAATGATATTAAAAATGGCCGCATCAAATCTCTCCGCGCAGTAGCGAAGCTATACGCAATACCGCGTTCAACACTATAAACGCGCGCCCACGGCCAAACCTCACGCGCTGAGAAACGCCCATCTGGTCATAAATTGACCCAATACGAAGAGGATTCGCTTACTAGGTGGATTATCTCTATGGATACGCGTGGAGCAGCGCCTAGGCCATCTACTGTGCGAGATATGGCTAATATCCTACTTACTGCGCGCGGCGAGACCCCTCCGCCTAGTGTAGGCAAAAATTGGCCATCAACCTTTATTCAACGGCGCGATGAGCTTCGCACACGCTTCTCAAGAAGATATGACTACTAGCGCGCCCTAAACGAAGACCTGAAATCGCTACGACAGTGGTTTGCGACTATACAACGCGTTATCGATGAGAACGGTATACAATCGGAGGATATCTACAACTTTGATGAGACAGGATTTGCAATAGGTCTTATTTCAGCGCAGAAGGTGGTTACGCGGGCAGAATACTACGGTCGGCGATCTATTCTGCAGCTAGGAAATCGCGAATGGGTTACTGCTATCGAAGCAATTTACGCGGATGGTTATTCGCTACCGCCATGCGTGATCTTTAAGGGCCAAGTTGCTATTGCGGGTTGGTTTGATAACCTACCAAGAGACTGGCGAATCGAGGTCTCAAATAACGGCTGGACTACCGATAAGATTGGCCTACGGTGGCTACAAAAACTCTTTATTCTAGCGACTACTACCCGTACGCGAGGCAAATATCGTCTATTGATTCTTGATGGCCACGGAAGCTATCTTACACCCCAATTCGACCGAATCTACGCAGAAAACGATATTATATCGCTTTGTATGCCTGCGCATTCTTCGCATCTTCTACAACCGCTTGATGTTGGGTGTTTTGCTATACTTAAACGCGCGTACGGTCGTTTCGTAAGCGATCTTGCGCGTGTAGGCTATAACTATATCGATAAGTTTGATTTCTTGGACGATTACCAACGCGCGTGGCTAGAAGCCTTTTAACTAAATACTATTCGAAATAGCTTCGTGGCTACTAGTCTAGTGCCAATCGATCTAGAAAGGGTGCTTTCAAAGCTTAATATCTCACTCCGAACGCCTACACCACTAGGTAGTTGACTAAGCAGTAGATCGAGCTAATTCACCCTAAAAACGCCAAAAACTATTATTTAGCTCCAAAAGCAAGCTTCGATGCTTAAGGATCTACTAAAGCAACGGTCAACTAGCCCTCCGAGCCCATCAAAAACTATACTAGATTAGATTATCAAAGGCCACTACATATCGCTACACAACACTGCGCTACTAGCGCAAGAAAATGCGAATCTACGCGTAGCGAACGAGAAGAAACGACAAAAACGCAATCGGTCAACTAGGCAGATACCCTGTGAAGATGGCCTATGGGTCGAAGAGGGCCTATAGCTAGCTCAGCAGCTAAACCAACCAGTTGAAGGTATTAGGTTAGCATCGCATGCGCAGGGCGATCTGCCTAATCAGCCAGATTAGCCAGCCAAAAGGGCTCCGCCAAGGTGTAGCGGGTGCGGGGTGATTGGGCATAAGATCAATCGTTGTAATAATCACTAGTTTTATATCAATTAATCCGTTTTGGTTGAGATATGCCGATTTAAAATCTTCTAATGGGGGTGGGTGGCCGGGACGGGCGGGTGGCCAGGTCGGCCGGGAATTACGTTAGTAGAATTAGTAAGGATAGGGAGTTTAAAACTTTTTACTAGATAACTAGGCCTAGGCAGGCTAGTTTAATAGAGGGAGTCTAGGCGGTTAGATTAATACTACTAGTATCCTAATCAGGCTAGTATTCGCGCAGTTATTAAGCGATTTGACACCTAAAATATGATTTTCTTGCCTGAAACGTGACTTTTCTGCTAAAATTAGTCACGTGCGGACCCTGCGGGTCACCCGCGGGTGAGTGCCAGGTCTAGTTCGGGTTAGGTTGGGTTCGGGTTGGCGCGGGTTCCGACGCAGTCTAATCGGGTATACAGGAACTACATAAGAGGGTTTCCCGCGAACGTGCATGAAAGCGAACGCCACGTGATCGCATAGAGGAATAAAAGGCACTCTCTTGTAATTAATAAACTCTCTTCCTTAAGGATTAGTTCAGTCACAATCGCAGGGTTGAAGCTCTCATCCATATACTTGCAGTTCCATCTGGTCCCTTACCTGGTCCAACTCCAGTCCTAACAGGCGGTAGCTTTACCGTCACCATTATTACAAATGAATACACAGAAAAACTCCCCAAATCTATATAATTTATGCAGAAACGAGCAAGTCACGCTTTCTACCTGTTTGTCCTGTTTGCGGACCCTGCGGGTCACCCGCGGGTCACCCGAGACGGGTCTGGCATCTCGAAGACCGAGGGGTGTGATGGGAACGAGTTCCACCTGTGGGTCGCGCCAGATAACGCCAGCTATGCTCTCGTCAGACCCTTACCCACCCACGGGGCGGGTCGGGTGGAGTGCTAGGTCCAATAGAGAGATAATATATACAGTATTATACAATATAAGTGCATACCCTAATAATCGTTTTATGACTGCCAAGACCTTGATTTTATTCAAAGGTGGGTTTTCCTGGGGACCCAATGGGTACCCAGTTTGGGTCCTGGGTCAGGTCCAGGTTGCGTTACCTTGACCTAGTCCTTGCCGAGGTCTTACACGTGCCCCGTAAATCAAATCAAATCATGCAATGTCAACCACCATCATTTCTCGAACAATCTCGCAAACGCCATGAAGTAGGCAGACAGCGCCACACGCAAGAAGTCATTCGTCCCGCACCCACCTCGAATCTCTCTTCCCGCGAATCGCACCTGACAATGAGGCGAGCTCAAACTGATCGTCCCGGTCGCATTGTGGGTTCAATTGTGGGAACTGTCCTCGCTGCTACCGCAACGCAATACTGGACATCGTCTAGATCTTCCCAGCTTCTATCAGAAATACTTGGCTGGGTCTTACTACCCTTTCTTGTTAAGCATATCAAGCGGTCCAACACAAGAGCCAGGGGCGTGAATTTGCCATTTCAACGTGAAGCCGAGTCCAGGACGGGTTCCTGCTGGATTGTCGCCGTGGCCATAGCTGCTGCAACACTTTGCTCCGCCGAGAATATTTTTGATAGGCTACTACTAGTGAGTCTGATGATTTTCGACTATGTCTTTTGAGCCCATGTTGACAATTGGTAGCCTGCTTTGACGCCGGCCTTGCTTTTGATCGAGAAGAAGTTGCATCCCCAGCACCCGATATCAAAAATAAGACAACCGGGGCCATGGACAGGCTTTGCGACTACGACATGGGGTGCAGTTGCCATTTCCTTATTTGGCATTTATACAATGGCTCATTGGAGCTTTCCGAGCTTAGCGTTATCCATTATTGAGCTCCTTGCTTTGCTAGCTGTCTACGGCACTCTGTTATCAAAGCCGCCACCACAATCGGAGGCCATACCCTTTGTCGATATAGAGAGTAACATTGCATCATTTACTTCGCGAGTCATTGGTGCCTTGCTGATGGCGCTGGCACTTCAGACGATATTCCTGGGGTTCGTACTGTTTGAACCTAGTACGACACTGCTTGCTAGTGTCGCAATTGCTTTCACCTGGTATTTTGCTATGGAAACGGTCCGTCATGCTTTGTATCTGCTTCTGGCCTGATTCTGATATTTCTAGGCTCGTCATTCATCCTGGACCGCGGTAGCGGTCATTAAGATCTTCGCCTTTTTCGCCTCGCGCAACCCATTCATACAATCCTCTGAGAGGCAGGACTTCTCTCACATCATCGGCTCTAGCCTAATGCTGGGACAACTCATTGCGCTGACTCCTAAACAAGTCGCCAACAGAAGGATTCTGTGGGCACTTATGCTAGTTCCAGTTCTTCCATACCTGGCAAACGTGCTTGCCATCCGAGCTGCTAACTCAAGAGCGGTGGTCTTTGCCAATACACACGAGCATCCCGTCGAGACAATTATTCAACGAGCAAATGCCGACTTCGACAACTTGCTACTCCGCCAATCCAAATCCTACGCGGCCGCTTGCGACGAATACCGCCGCCGATACGAAATGGAGCCTCCACCTGGCTTTGAAGATTGGTTCAAGTATGCCAACGCCCACGAATCAAAGATCATCGATGACTTCGACGTCATGTACGAATCAATTAGCCCTTTATGGAGCCTAAGTGGCCAACAGATTAACCAAGCCATGCAAGATGTGCAGCTCTCCCCAGAAAACGAGATCTGGACTTGTAAATTCTCCGGCCAGACGGGCAACACGAGTTGCGTTCATTCGTGGCGTAGCTTTGACAGACACGTGAGCAAATTGTTTAAGCAGCTCATGGGTGATATCAAAGGCGTCCTGCCCGACGTGGAATTTTTGGTCAACCACCTGGATGAACCAAGAGTCATGTTTCCGGCAAAGGAAGATCGATCTAACTACAAATTGGGCATCGGATTTAGAACCTTATTTCAAACACCGACGTGGGCGTCCCTGGTGCAGTACTGCGACAAAAAAGAGTACAACGAAACCGCCACACTTCCCAAACCAACAGTCAACTTGTTTGATCTGTCCTTCGTCCAGGATACATCTTCCTCTAGGAATATCTGTAAACATCCCGAGTACCGCAACATGCACGGCCTGTTCATGAGTCCGACATCGTTCCGGCTAATGGAGGGCATGGTTCCTGTGCTTTCCACTGGATCACCGTCTACCATGGGCGACATTCTATTTCCGAGCCCCGCATACATTGAGTCTAAGTTTGTGTACAGTGACAAGCATGACCTGGACTGGTCGAGGAAAAAGAACAACGTCTACTGGGCTGGCTCTACATCGGGTGCATTTGCTAAGGACTCTCAGTGGGAGAATTATCACAGGCAGCGATTCGTGAGTCTGGCGCAGCAGTTAGACGGGAAAGAGCACGCGTATCTTGCCGACAAGGGTGGGATTGTCCAGTGCGTGACATCATCTTTTCTCAACAGCAGGCTGTTTGACGTTGCCTTCACAAAAGTCTACCAGTGTGCAAAGAAGCCATGTCGTGAGCAGTCGTTTTTCTACCGCATGAAAGCCTGGGCAGGTAAGGACGAAGGGCTCCGATCACGCCTGACTTTTGATCTCGACGGAAATGGCATCAGTGGCCGATGGTACAAACTGGTGGCCTCCAAGTCAGTGCCATTGAAGCAAACTCTCTTTCGTGAATGGCACGATGATCGCCTCTTGCCATGGGTGCACTTTATCCCCATCAGCCTTGGCATGGAGGAGCTCCCTGAGTTGGTCATGTACTTGACCTCGACGAAACAGGGTCAGCAAAAAGCGAAGGAGATTGCAGATCAAGGTAGGAAGTGGTTTTCGCAAGCGTTGAGGGACGTTGATATGAGAATATATGTATATCGCTTGCTACTGGAGTTGGCTAGGTTGCAGGATCCTGAGCGACCAGTGATCTGAAAAGCTCATCCTCATCCATACATGAACAAAATTGTATAGCTTTAGTAAGGTCCATCCTATACGTCGGTTATAATATTCGCTGTACAACTGTGTGGTGTACAGGTGAAACTAACTGGATCACGTTATCTGGAATTCAATATCTCGAATTAATAGTAGTCGGGAGGTGGTGCGCCGCGAAAGCTAAATTCAGCCATCCATCGAATTTCACGAAATAAAAACGATCTCAGACACTACGTCCCCGCTTGGGCACATTCTAATTCTAGAAGTTACAACAAGCAGACCCAGAGCTCCTGTTTGTACCTAATTGCCACCAGCTCGTCTGCAAGGGGTGATACTGCATGGTGGGTAAGGCTGGGAGCATAAGGGACAACCAGATCAATGATGCGGACAACGCAATCACCATTCAATCACTATTGGGAAAGGACAGTACAAAGCCCATATACAGCTGAGCTGGCGGCAATAGCTACCGGTTGGCGACTTGGAACTCGAGGCGGAACAGTAAATTAAGACGGCAGTCTGAACCGCAGCTCCGCGAGACACTCCTAGCCTAAGAGTCAGGTCGAAGTGAGGTGGTAGTGTGTCAAAAGTGATGAGGCCACTGAGGGAGAACCTGAAGACAGCACAGCGAGGGCACAGGTGAAATTGTATATAAATTCCGAAAGAACTATAGGGACTATCTACAGAGAGGTAAACTCTAACATGAGATAACCTATTGCTTGTCCTGGTCCTTCCTTTGCATCCTTCCGCTGCACTTGATAGCTAGCCGGCATAGTTGGCGAGCAGGGCGTTAACCTCGTTATCAGTGGGAGGAGCCTTGCCCTCGGCCTTGTGCATGGCCTGGAGCTCGGCGCGAGCACAACCCTCAGGACAATGGCAGTCAGAACGGTCACCATATGACGTGCAACACCTAGCGAACGTGCTGAGCCTTTGGCTGATCTCACCAGCAGGGCATTGATTGCCGTTAGGGGTACCGCCGGCCTCACGACAGCAGTTGAGGGTGGTGGCTTTGTTGACGCCATAAGGGGAGAGGCATTGGCAATGCCTCGGCAGAGCCGAAGAGAGCGGCGACGGCGATGATGGACGTAGAAAACTTCATTTTGGCCTCAGATGGATGTTGATAAAAAGAAGAATATGATGTGGTTTGGTTTATCTGTCTTGATGATGTAGAAGTTGGCTGTCTGTTTATGATGATTCTCCGAGATTTCCCTGAGGACAGTCGCTTCCTTTTATAGTTTTTGTTACAATCCTGCTGTCCGAAATTTTAATAGAATATAACTGCGCCCAGACTGTCGGGCTAGTCCAAATCCCGATCTAAAATGAACATATCGCGGTTTACTTTCATATTCCAGCCTAAGCCGATGGCGGACACTTTGGGACGTCAGAGACTGACATGAAACGCAGTTCCCATAATTCCTACTCGTCATTATCCACCTGCAATGCTACCCTCATGCAAATGGCTCTTGCTAGCTTCAACAATAATTGTTTCTACAAGGCAGAAGGGAGATAGAACCAATCGCGGCGACTGGGATCATCTCGCTACGCGAGCTTCCCCGCTGTGATAACCACGAGCGCCCTGAATATCAAGGGCTAGAACACATGAATCAGCGGTATTTACAAGGGTCTAAGGCCGTGCTTAGGCCTGACACTTTCAGAAGTTTATATTCCCTTCCCATCCCTCACTATACGGTGCCGGAAATCATAGATCAGTAGTAATGGCGCTAGGAAGATCAGGAGCAACTAAAATGATCCTTCATATGGCAGCATACAAAGTATAGGCCTCTTATAGAATGCTAGATCTAAATTCGTGATTAGTTGGGTTACATAGTCATTTAAATTCAGCTAGAAATGTAACTGGTATTCATATGTATCTGAATAGGAAATTTTGTGTAGGTCGTGATTTTCTCTGATTATTGTTTTCACTAATGCTAGCCATGCGGGCTATCTCTATTCCTACATATATATAGTTGGGGGGTATTGAGTTATTAATTGAGCGAGTGGGTGGCTTCTTTAAGTCCCATATACAAACTCTGGATTTCCTGTAATAGGTAGGAAGTAATTGATATTGATGTGGTTATAGGGGTAAGAGGGCCCTTGCCCTCTATTGGATAATAATGCAATAGGACGCTAAACCATGATTTGAGTCCTAGGGTCTATAGAAAATCGGGGGCCAAGATAGCTGAACTAGCCTCGCCTTATGACGGACCTCTCGTTGGTCATGGCAGTGGATTGAAATCGGGAACGCGGGAAGGAAGATGCTTGCGACAGATAATTAATTAGCTCTAAGCACGGCGTCGAATATCGCCGTTTTGGGGGCCAAAATGCCCTGATCGCTTGCGGATCAGGGTGGAAATGCGTCGTCTCTGAGAGAACGACTATCATTATTGGATAGCGTGTTGACCGTGGAAGACCAAGCGTGAGGGCTGAGTCGACTGACGCACCTAGTGTCGAGTTATGCAGGGGCTAGTGACAGACACTTGTACCGATGTAACCTAGATACATAGAAAGCTTACCCGAATTTAGCATTAGCCCCGGATTCATCGCCGGATTGTCGTCCAACCGACGGAATCCCGCCGCCATGCGCCGCCACGCGGCCACTACGATCCGCAACCCCTCAATTGGTGTTCCCTACAAATGGACTGCGTCACAGCCCACTGGGCCCCTAGTGGGCCACAAACACTGCAAACATAGAGGATAATAATACGTAACAATATTTAGTTATAATGAATCAGCTAGATTATGTACGCCAAGATCTGTTTTTAATGCAAAAATAGGCCGAGATAGGCTATAGATGGGCCGAAGATGTCGGCCCATCGTGGTTTGTGGGTTGGGTTGGGCCGTGAGCCTAGGTTGTGGGCCCATTTGCGGGTTCTGGCGCAGTCTACTTGCAGGATCGAAGGTGTCATATATATAACGTAAATTTGCTATGTAAGATACATCTTCGCAGGCATGCAGAAGAGATTTATGGCCTTGGCACTGAGCGGGCTTACTATGCTAGAGATACAGGATCGGATATTGATACCGATTAATTGAGAGCCTTGCAGGTTTTCTATCAAATTGAAGAACTCTTATCTTTTTTCTTTGCTTGTATTAATTTCCGTGATGTTGGTCTCGCTTCAACTTCTTTAACTAGAGATAATTTCTGTTTGATATATGCTCGCCGCATTGACAAACCCTTACACTTATGCTAGCCTTTCTATCTATAGCATTTATGGAAATAAATAACAGACCCATTCTTCGTCTAGAGTTGACCGCTTCTACATGATTTTCAGTACAAGAAAATATCTTCTTCTGTCTCACACATAATCGGATTTAAAGACGGTTACAAGGGAAGTTCACCTTATCACGCCGAGAGACCTTCAGAAAATCAAAAAACAAATGTAGTGCCTACCAGGAATAATCAACCGAAGGTTTTGAACGAGATTTCGACGGACGTTGATTGAGAATCTCAAGCGTAACAAAGAACCTTCCGTAGGCAATAAGGTTTTGCCTACACTATGCTGTTGTATACCAGTCATGCCAATGGTGTACTGCTGGCTTTGTAATGTATTGATTGCATAGTATTGACATTTGCTCCTCGTTCCGGTGAGTCTTCACAACGTGCAGCGAACCGTACTCGGGAATCACAAAACGAGTGTCGACTTCCCACATATCACGACAACATATCTATCTCTCGCTGACCTTGAAGGTGATGGTGAAAGATGTCTGCACATTTCCCCCACAGTAACGGAAAGAAGCAGAGATCTCTTGTGGCAATGTCGCCGTTAATTGTCTTTTCGTAGCTAGAAAATAACAAGCAGTCGTCTGATCAACGTCGTAAAGACTTATTGGGATAAATCTTTCATAATGCTTTCCGTATAGGACTGAGATTATTGTCGCATCATTAGTCGAAGGTAGCACATTCCACAAGTATCCACATCGCTTTACCCATACTCGGGCCTGAGTAACCAACAGTCGTGTTCAAATGCCCCCCGCGGGGCTTTTTTTGGACAACAGTAAAGCTTGTGTCCTCGTCGACATCTAGGCTTTCCGAGAGTCTGGGGAAATGGAGCGGACCTTTGTTTGTTCCTGTCAGGAGTTGCAAGTTGATGCTCTTCAGCGATGGGAATTTACTACCCAAACTTTTGAGAATTGAAATCCAACATTCATCAGGCAGAGTAGAAAAGGAGAATGATACAGTTTGTAGACATTTGCGAACCGTGTACAGGAGTTCTGGAAGTGCTTCCTCGGATACTAGGCTGAAGCTTTCCAACGTCAGTTCTTGCAGCTGGCACAATGAACTGAGAGTGGATAGGCGGTGGATAATCGAATCTGCTTGGTCCCCAAGGTCGAAGTTGAGATCCAATTTAATGAGCCTTGCGGGATATTGCACCAATTCGACGGTCCAGCCGGCGCTCTGTAAAGCTGCGCTCGTATCATCTGATCCCATCGTGTATTGAAGACTGAGGTCTTGTATATGGGCCCAGGCGGCGGTAAATCCTGGCTTTCGAAGATCCAGGGGGCAAATGCACTCCATTTCCAGGTGGTTGTTGCCTATCGTGCCCTTGGGCTTGAAATGAATGGCAAAAGCTGACACAGGAATAGATAAATTGGAAATGATACTGAGGACGTCTGTAATAGCATCATTGGACCTCAGACTGGAAAAATCGGAAGATTCAAAGGAATGCTCGCGGCGTATTTCAAATTCTTTACAATTCACTAGGCGACTCAGCACTGTTTGCCACTGCTGAATTGCTTTTTGAGGTACAGCAAGATGACCAGAAGGACATCTTGCCCATGAAATTTCACGGCCAAACAAGTTATCTTCAGGGTCCTCGATGACCAGCGGCTGATCGTGCTGCCTTATATGAGGGTTCTCTGCAACCTTTGACAGACGCTCGATTGCATTCTGAGAAAGATGGATGTGCATTGTTTTCGGAAAATTCCGCCCAAAGGGGTGAGCTGTCCTCTCGTAAATACCTCTACAGGTAAGTCGGAGGGCGCAAAATCCGGATGGTTTTAGTAGAATGGCAATGGGCTCGAGAACTTCGACAGGCATCATGCAAATCAACGAAGGTGGGTATTTCCGAGAAGTCCGCAAAGACCAACGGCTTTTCAGCTTATGGAACAAGGTGTTGCCTTTCGGATAGCTCATATTATCCATGACTGATGGAAAATAATAGAAGGTTGAAAGTCTCAGTTTGACTAGGAATAAAGATTGAAAACCTCTCAGCTTTAAGTCCCTTAAGTATGGAAGTAAAGCAACTAACCTGCTTGAAACATAGGGAGGCTTACGTAATGCACTTCGGTTGCATGGACTGAAGGTGAACCGGATGTAATCGTTCGTCAGAACCACCTCCTGCCATGGAGAAATATAGAAGATAATGCTCGTTCTGTCACAAGCCATGATCAAGGGTCTTTAGGTAATCATCATGGTAGTTATGCATGGACATATGACAGGATTCAGGATTGGCCCCTTGGGGGTTGGACCTATATCGTGCACTCCTCGACTAAAGATCCACAGGGTACAACGCTATTTTTCAGGCACTGGCTGAAAATTACAAGCCCAGAACCAATATCCACTCTATGCCATACACTGCCAGTCTGTCTACAGTGGGACACAGGGGCAAGGTTGTCGTACAATGAGAACTGAAAGAAGATGGAGGCGCTAAACTTAAGCTCTATGTTCAGAATGAGGAGCCTGTCTACGTGCGCGATTTTGATAAAGACAAAAGCCCATGTACAGAGATTTGAGAGGGATTGTTGACGATTGGTTTTGTTGAATTATATAGGTGATAAGGAGAGGACGTCTATGTCTGACCTAAGCCCTCGTGTAGACTGGTAGAAAACGTGTAATTTTTATTTTTTATTTTGTGATCCTGTTTGTTCCGCAGTCTATTCTAATATTGGTAATTTTATTGTGTTCTAATATGTGAAGGAAATCCTTTAGTTTTCGATGGTTTCAGCCCTAAGGCAGCACAAGGGGGAATGGCAGGCGAGCTGTCCTCACCACGGAGACCAGAGGTTGGGGCGAGGGCAACCGGCCATAGAGCCTACTTCTAGTAGCGGAAAAAAATGTACAAAGGTAGAGCTACGCGATTTTTACCTAGATACATTAGAGAAAAGGGATTTCTCAAGCATGCAAAGCTTCCCGTTACTCAGCCTCCTTGAATAGTAAATTTGCTCTTGGCCCCATTCATTAGAAAGTATCCGCTTGAGATATGATACAGAGTATCTAGTACATTCGAGAATGTTGCTGATATTTTTTAGTAAATTTATTTGTTTTGAGGAGAGGCCAAAAATATCTTGTTCAGAGATATCTTTCTTTTCATGGTAGGCCCCCAGGTCTCCTCCCCCTCCTACCTGGAGTTGGTAGTACGGAACAAGGGCAAAGACGGAGGTTGGAAGACCTCCGTGCCAACCGCCCCCACGAAATTCTACCCAATCCTTCTTGCTAAGCCTTCTAACTAGGCCATCCACCTAAGACTCCTGCATATCGATATCCACCGGGCTGAAAAGCTGATCTACCCTCTGATCGGGAAGAAGGATTCTCAATCTTACGGGCTCTCTATTTTGGTATAAAATTATAACACCATTTCCAGTCGTTTCAGGTGGGTTCTTCTCTTTTTATTTCTAATCTCGTTTATTTTCTTTGTCTCCTCCTCTATCTCCCAAAATTCCCGATAGACCTGGTCTTGAGATAGAGATCTCTGATCCTGTACTCGTGGTTGTGTGAGCTGTGCAGCACATTAGTACCATCACTAGTATATAGGACAATGTCATACAATAACAATGGAATTTAGGTTTAATTCCTAGTCCTCATGCTTTCATTCAATAGCCCACAACCTAATGGGATGGGAGCCCCCAACTTAACAGAATAAGCCTCACGAAGAGCTCCTTCTGATATCTACCGGCTCCAAGAAAGATAAAATTAGTCCATTACCTCCCGGTAAAACTTCGATGATACAACAGCTTGAGTGTTAAGTCGTTTAAAGTCACTTCATCGCTTATTCTGGCCCCTGTCGTAACCTAGCTTTTGCTACCCCATTTAAGGCCCCCCAAGCGGCCGCTTCGCACCATTGGCTCCCTTCTATCTGGCCCCAAAGGAGAATCTAGATGAACAGTTAATTTGTGATGCAGATATTTCGTAGAAGAGGAGTACATGTAGCTTGAATTGTTTCTTGATCATTCGAAACAACATCATCCATTCCTACTCGCTGCTTCTGCTGCACCGGTAGATCCGCCATCTCACGGGAGTCCAATCGTGGTTGACGACACAGCTACTCAGCTTGTCGATACCAACGGCCATGATTCTTGGATGCTCCCCGCTGAGAACCGTGACCATCTCAATGTGAACGAAAGATAGTAAGCCCACCACTACCATCACAGCCTTCATGGCAGATGATTCAGTCAACACAGCCCTGGCCAAAAGAACAAACAAGGCTTGCAAGCTGAAAACCACATCCATGCCGTCGTACTTAATGCGGAGCCAGGATCCCGGCGAAGGAATCAACTCCGCGTATTGTGTATGCAATAGAGTCACTCTGCCACTGTTGACCCCAACTCACGTCACTATTGCAACCCAAAGCTGTGACTACACCGCTATTCCAACGAGTGGGCACATCACAACGAAGCCCCATTTGGGCCCTGCTACCACGGACAAAAGGATGTGCCAGGTGTGTACTCCTGTGGTGAACAATGAGGATGAATGTTCTTCCATCAAGAACTGCGTTGTCCAGACGGGAACGGTGACTATCGAAGCCGGTAGCTCTTCAATGCATGTCGGTACCATGACTGGCTCTGCACTCTACACTGGCATCTCAAAGGCCTTGGAATCATTGTGTTCCTCTGTTACGTAGGCAAAGAGCATGACGGGATGCTCGACCGACACCGCGAAAGTCAAAAACGTCCCCTTCGTGGATGACGGATTCCTCGCCGAAGGAACCATTGACGTCAAGGTCGACTCTAGCGCGTACAAAATCACCTCATTGCGAGACGCTATGATCCGCAGTGCGGCAATGGCATCGATGCACTCGGCTTCTGGAAAGAATTGGTACAACGTCCAATACGGTACTGAGGAATTCAGAAAGCGAGGCGATGAGTCTTGGTTATCGGGATTGGTCCCGTCCGTATTTAAACGCGAGCATCCGTACCATGAAAGCTATCACGGAACATTCTGTAACATGGCAGGATTTGCAGGAGTTCAGTATTACAGACCTTGGTGGAGACTGGGCCCTCCTGGACCTTCGGACTACATTGACGTTGAATATTCATTCGACTCTGGCGGTGGGGGCGACTTTGCATGTGACCTCCTGACAGACTTTGTTGATTCTTTTGCGATTGTGCAGCCGAAGTTTGCTGTTGGGGATATTGAGCTGGCAGAGGCAGTCAATGTTATATGCAAAGAGCATAAGTGAGGGGCTGTCAGGATGGCAAACACCCTGCTATTGCCCAAAGTTGTCTACATATAGCAGTTCATAGATTGATTTGAGTATTTCTCCTGGAAGATCAGTCTTCTACTCAATTACCCACAGAGTGCAAGGCAGCAGACAAAGATGACATAGCTATCATTGGTATGTCCGGCCGGTTTGTGAGTGAGGTAAGCTTAGGAAAGTTCTAGATCACGCTAGCGGAGGGGCGACATCTACACTTCTAGGTATGAATGGACCACCTGACATGGCTAATGCTGGCTCACCATATTTCTTTTGCCAATTCCAGATTCCAAATCGCGTTTTGATGCTTCGAATTACTTTGGGACGTAGGGCAAAAATCCCCCTCCACATGCCTGCTTTATTGACGAACTCGGCTTCTTTGACACTCACATATTCTCTATGTCTCCGAAGGAAAGCAAACTGATCCCGGTCGGAGACTTCCTAAGATGACCACCTACGGAGCAATGGAGATGGCTGGATACAGCTGTGACTACGACGACAAAGTTGGAACATTCGTTAGGCAGGCTACAGAAGACTAGCTAGAGTCAAATGCCCGCCAAGATTCAGATGTTTACTACGTACCAGAAACTATCCGAGCCTTTGGTCCGTGTCATTCCAACTACTTCTTCAAATGAAAGGAGCTTCCTACGGCATGGTACTGCTTGCTCTTCAAGTCTAGCAGCAGTGTAAATCGCTTGTAACGGAATGGGGCAGCCATTTGCTTAGTCGGTCGAATGCCCAACGCCAGAACAGTAACAGAAGAATATTTCACATCAGATCACAATAGCCAGAAACACGTACGACTGATTGGCCTTTGTTTAAAGTCTCCAGGTGCAACAGTATTAAGTGACTCACCATGCGGCGTGTTATGATTGTACATTGTAAACCAAGAAAAAGTCTCCTTATACCCAGGTATGTCTCCGCGTAAGTCTCCACGAACATAATAAGTATCCACTGGATACAGTGCACCTGCCCAGATGCGGGCCAGTAGTGTATCTATTACAGTACAATACATATCTATATGCGGACCTGCCTCAGGGATCGGTCACCGATCCCTGTCGGATCTTCTCAATGCTGCCAATTCCGACCTGGTCTGTCTGGTAAATTGTGTCCCTCAATGATTTGTTCTTCGTATCAGCTCTCGCACTTACACCCCTTAACTGGCTGGAAAGAACACTCATTTATCCATCGCAGAGTCTCTCTCGGGCCTTTTCAATCATGGCTGTTGTCCATCTCCGAACAGATTCCGACATCCAGGATCCCGAATCACCACCTATCAAGGATGATGCCGCGCTTGCAACACCTTCTTGGAGGTACTGGGTGCTATTTGGTACTCTCTGTCTCAGCGGGTTCGCTGTGACAATGGAGGGCAGTATTCTGGTGACTGCCTTACCGACCATAGCCCGGGACCTGCACACCACCGAGTATGTATGGGTGACCAACTGTTACCCTCTCGCTTCCACCATTTTTCAACCTTTGGTCGGCTGGATGGCCGAGGTATTCGGGCGCAAATCGATCATGCTTGGCAGTGTCCTTGTGTACGGCGTGGGCAGTGCTATAGCAGGTTTGGCGCACTCGCTCGGCCTCATTCTGGCCGGACGAATCATCCAGGGTTTTGGGGGCGGTGCCATTCCATTGATGGCTGAGCTTATCATCAGCGACCAGCTGCTTCTAGCTCAGCGGCCTCACATGCTGGGAATGGTCATGGCTACCTCGTGTCTGGGGTTGGTGTTTGGACCTATCCTCGGCGGAGTGATCGTCCAACATAGTACTTGGCGCTGGATCTTCTACCTCAACGTCCCCTTCGCTGGAGCCTCTATTATCTGTTTGTTTCTGATGCTCGGCCATCGGACGGCTGGGCAGAAGAGCGCGGCTAAGTCGCTGCGAGCCACTACGAGGCAATTTGACTGGCTCGGTAACTTCCTGCTAACTGCCTCCAGTGTTGCTATCCTCCTTCCCTTGACAATATGGGGCCAGATGTAACCCTGGAGCTCAGCACGGGTTATTGTTCCACTGGTGTTGGGAGGTTGTGGCCTGATCGGGTTCGGCACCTATGAGCATAGGTGGGCGGCGAACCCCTTGATTCCCACCCGACTGCTGTCCAGTCTCTCGTCCGTCTCTCTCTATATCCAAAGCTTCATCCAGAGCATGCTCATCATCTGGGTCAACTATTTTCTGACCGTGTACTTCCAGGCGGTTCTGGGGGTTTCGACCCAGCAAGCCAAATTTGACCTCGTGCCCACTATTGTGGCCCTAGTCGTGTTCTCGATCATTGGGGGTGACATCATGTCCCGGCTCCATGGGTTCTGGGCTCTACTCAACATTGTTATTGCCTTTACGATGATGTCGATTCGTCTAGGATTCTTCACATTCGTCACTTCCACCTCTCCAAACGTGGTACACGTCGTACTGCAGATTATCGTCGCGGGCGGTAACGGGCTGCTTTTAGCCACCCTGCTACCAAATTTGCAGGCCCAGTGTGATCCCGACGACTTGACTGCGGTCACTGCGCTGTTCAATTTCCTGCGCAGTTTCGCTCTGGTCTGGGGTATCATTATTCCGTCCATCATCTTCGACCAGACTGAAGAACAACTTGAGCCTGGCGCCCACGGACGTCCGTCCCTTGATGAGCGAGTCAGTCATTCATAGATTCATTACATGGTACCACCAAGGAACAAGTACTGAAACTCTACACGCGAGCCCTACGGGCCACTTGGTGGGGTGCCATGAGCTTTGCGTTGCTAGGACTTGTTTTGGTGGCCTTCCAGCGGCCAGGAAGAAAAACGAGTAGCCCAGCACCCCCGGAGGGTGATGAGCAGAACAATAATGCTGAGAGCAAGAAAGATGTACCAGAATCCTAGATACCCTCCATGTGAACAGCCATACTTTCTTGGCCGATGAATCCTTGACCGGAGGTGTAGGTTGTCACCAAAAATATTGCTAGAACGTCTTTAATGAAACATTTCCCCACTCTTGGATTTGCGTAAGCAACTCTTGTGATGATCCTATCATCGTAGAAATAAATCCAACCAGGAGTCATTTCGGACCAGAGCCGGGCCTTCTCGTGCACCGAAATGTAGTCGCATAACCGTATGTTGGTTCAAACGTGAGGTAAAAAGACCCCGCGCGTCCATACAGTATGTACATTCAGAGAGACCTTCCCTACAGGGATAAAACATCACCTCGTTCAATATGAGCTCACCGAACGGCCAGGTTATCATTGCCGACATCCCCAAAGACAACAATCAACTAGTTCTTGATATTATTGGAGGTGGGTTCTTGAGAATGGGATACATTAGTGCTAGCTGCTAATATACCATTTTACTAAGCGGACGAAACCCCTTATATCAACTACATCAATTCCTTGATCCTGGCCTAGGAGCTAGCCATTCCTTATGTAATCTTCCTGATCGATACCTCCTCGCAATGGGCATATAAGATTCACCCGTGACGCATGGTGCCCGCGTTCAGTGGTGTGGACCCGGAGTCTGGTGAGCCTTTTCATGTGTTTGAGGGCACAGCGTGCTTGCAATATCTGGCCGATCGCTTCGATACCCACTGCTAATGGGCTGGACGCACCCCCCGCCGAGAGAGGTGCGGTTTTCACTTGGTTCGCCTATCATACCGCAGGTATAGGGTATGTTGCTGAGCTTCTCTGGATCGGTGCTCACATAACAGCGTTTTTGTCACCATGGCCAGGGCTATTGCCAAATACTGGCTTTACTTTCTCCGAGGCTATTATACTCGCAAACTCCCATCCAGCTTCCTCATACCGTTGCCAAGTACGTCTTCAAATATCCTACTGGTCAAAAAAGACCATTCCTGATTGATCGCCGGGTATAGATTGCATGAGAATACGAACAAGCAATATGATATTCTAGAGAAGTAATTAGCAAAGAAAGGGCAATAGTACATCGCGCTTGCCGATCGTCCAATGCTGGCAGACCTCTCATACTTTCCTCTTGCGATGCCTTGGATGTTTACCTGTCTCGGGGTTGAGATCAAGGACTGGCCTCATATCGAGACTTGGGCGACCGCGTGTTAGCGCATCCGGCCATTCAAGATATCATGACTCGAGGGAAGAGCATCAGCCATGACATGACCCCAGAGCAAGCACAAGAGCTCAAGGAGGCTGTCTAGAGTTTACCTTCGGGGACCGGCAGGCTGATGACCAGAGACCGACCGGGAAATAGGTCGTATGATATTCGTAGCTTGAATAGTTTACATTTAAGTCAAAATTTCTTTCTCTGTTTCCGTGCCTTACTCGCCTCAATTTCAATGAGAACTTCATTACCCTTAACGCAACCCATACTGGAGCAGTTTAGAAATGGCGGCCTACACCTCGGTCATTGCGATTTATCGAGCCTTGGTCTCAGAAGAAGGGCTTTCCGTTTATTCGAACTAACCCAGAGCCAGACTATTATTACAGGAACTTTGAATGGATTGATTCCTCGGGTCAAAACAGAGATGCTCGAGACCAAAAAGAGACCTTTAGTCTCGATCAGCATGGGTTTGCCTATACCAATGAAATCGAATGTCACTTCGGAAATGCATGATATATTGTGGGAGAACGACTGCGAAAGAATTTGCGAGAAGTACTATCTCCGCATTGAAGCCCACGTTAAGAAGCAGATGGGGGCATCTCGTATGATAATCTTCAATCACACCTCACGTAAACGACATCCGGAGTTGGGAACATACGAGAACCCTACTGATATGGAGCATCCGGCGACGATGTTCAGTAATGCTTTATCTTCTCACATACTACGGCTCTGACGATGATCTTGCATAGGTACATTGCGACCAGCTAGCAGGCTAGGCAGCATTGAAATTAACACAGTCCGTTAAGATTAACCTGTTTGCCAAGTCGACCAAAGGCGCACTCCGTTCCCTGAGCAGAATGTTCCTGCAGATATCCACAACCACCCACAAAAGCGAGTGTTGATGATAAATTATAAGCTGCCACTACATATTCCACTGCCTTCCATGTTTGGACTAACGGGGTAATTAGCATGTGGCGTCGTCTGTGCGGCTTGGTGCAGGATTCCCCTCTCGCTACCAAGGACTATCGAAAATGCCCTGAAGATCTAATTTAATCTACCGATCTCTTGGACCAGACAAATAATTACCGCGGGAAAACGGTGACCTTTTCGCATGGGCCGGAGCAAACGTGGTATTATCTGGACCCACAACAGACCCATGAGGTGACTATGATCAAGATCTGGGACAATAAGCAAGACGTCGAAGCCAAATTTAGGTGGCAATCATTGGTTATTCTGTAGCCGAACTTGAGAGGACTGATACAAGACGCAGCGTGTCCCCATGCTGCCTTTAAACATCCGAATGCTTCAGCAGATGCGCCTCCTCGCGAGAGTATTGAAGTCCAGCGCTTTGCTATTTTTGGCTAGAAATGGAATGTGAACGCTTCAAATGTTGCAAGCGATGGCATGGAAAGATGGTGGATGAATCAATTCCCGGTCGTCGGGCTTCGGGCTTCGGGGGCATTAAATCTGTTGGCATCTGATGTACGTAAGATCGACGCACAATACTCTCGGTCGCGATTCTAACCTTCCATTGATTGTAACCTTTCACGAACCGTTCAAGGATCTGGCCCCAGGAAAAAGTTGCACATACAGACAAACCGCCTTCCCGGCGATGGTGGGGACGGCACCTTGTCATGTCGATGATCGCCCCATACATGACTGTCACATTGGCTCTCCTGCTCGGGTTTCAACGATTCTACATGTGCTCAACGCCTCCGTCCGTAGAGGATATACTAGCAGCAGCCCCTCTAATCGGTAATCACCTCGACCAACCCCCATTCCTATAGGCTGAACAGTCTCTAGATGGACATAGTGATTTCCCTATCTGGATCCGAGCCTTTTACCAGACCCATATCTATCAGGAGAACTTTACGCACGATCCCCTCTTTGGGCAGGTAGATTTTTCTCGCCTGGCGCAGGTCCGGCTACGAGATCAATTCTGGAGCTTTTACGTTGGAGTGTAATTATTCATACCATCAGCTTCTCCCATATTCTCCTACACTGATTACGTATGAAGCTTAAAGACCGACCCTGCCGACCAGTCCGACGACACCTACTTCGAAATGGTCCGTGACATGGTCCAACAAGTTGACATTGTACATCATCTGATCAAGTCTCACCCTAGTCGACTCCAGCGCGGTGGCCCAAGAAATCTTCCAATCCGACCGAACGCGCATTGCCAGTCTCCTTGAAATAGAGGAATTGCGCCAGATTGCCAACAGTACCATTGTGCTCCAGTGTTATCACGCCATGGGGGTTCGCTACGCGACTCTCGCCTACGATTCCCGTAACGCCTTCGCAGACAGCGCCACGCCGACCACCAAGGCCTATCTCCGGCCAGTCGAGCCCTTATTCACGAAATGAACCGCATCGGAATGCTGTGGACTTGGCCCATGTCAGTCACGCGACCCTGCACAATGCCCTCGCCGTGACCCGCGCCCCAGTGATCTTTTTGTATTCGTCGGCCTTTCCTCTCTGTCCTCACGAGCGCAATGTTCGAGACGACATGCTGGAGCTTGTCCTCTTGAACGCCGGGGTTATCATGTTCTCCTTCTACCCAGAGTACACTTGCTGTGCGGACCCCGCGCACGCCTCTATTGCCGGCGTTGCCGACCATATCCAGTATATCCGTCATCGTGTCGGTTACCAGCACGTGGGGCTGGGGTCGTATTTCGATGGCATGCCCACCTGCGTAGGGATTCAGGGCATAGAAAGAGGAATCTCCTTGGTCTGCCATTTTGTAAGAGAAAAGGGTAATGTGAGGTAAAATAAAGTGAAAGGTCGTCTTTTATCTAATCTCAGCTATGAGCTATATTTATGGACAGAAAAATGACCTCTCTTCTCCGATATACACGATATTATAGAGGAAGTCATAAAATAAGGGGTCATAAAATAAGGGGTAGTTATAGACAACGTCACGAAGTGAGGGGTAGGTCTAATAACCGAGGTTATGTAGGTTGGTAGGGAGAGAAAGCATAGTTAATACGGAAGTGATTTTAGGATCCTAGAGTCTATAAGGTCTTTATAAAACTCCATTTATTTTAATAAATATAAGATTGTGATTCTATATTATTACTGCAAGTTGCCTAATATAATAGGATGTCAAGCTATATACCCTCCCTAGGACTAACTAAGTGGGCGGGCCATATAGATATTTCGTGAAGGTCTTACGATTATCAAGGACTTTCCTAATATAGGCTGGTTAGAGAGCAAAACAAGAATGCAAGGCGTAAGTCGCACGGACATCCTCCTTCGGTTAAAATCCTGTGACATGGTGCACTCAATCTAATGAGACTGGTCGGCTATTAATCGCCAGGTGGCGGTGGATGCCTCATCCGTGCGGCCACCGTCGTCAGTTCTGTTAATTACCCGACGCGAAGCTTTCTGAACCCCGGATTAGCGTGGGATACCCGCCAATGAGGACGCGCTGTTTCTCCCCACAAACTCCCCGCACAATATCTACCCCGGGCCGATTCCTGATAGGCGATAACAGAAGGCGAAACAGTAGGAACATGCGGTTGTTTTCCAGCAAGTGGCTATTTAAGTTGCAGACTTTCCCCTGTCTTTCCTTTTTCTCGCTTTATCTTCCCTTGGCCAACCCAAGAAAAACCAAAGAGAAAACCCATTTACAATGGGAGAAGGAACCGACATTGCGCATGAGGAAGTGGCACAGCCACCCGCTCGGCGGCCACGCCAGCCGACCTTTCTCGGCCAGACCAAGGCTGAGTGGTATATATACTGGATCTGCGGTGTTGCATCCATTGCAAATATGTAAGTGATGATGTCCATTCTCTGTGATGTAGGAGAAGGAACTGACAAAATGGAAATAGATTTCAAGGTTTTGATTCTGGTATTTATTCCGTCATTCTCGCCGACAACGATTTCATTGATTACTTCGATGTTCGGGGAGCCAGGTCCGGAGTTGTGGCCAGTATGGGTAAGTTTGTTCTCCATATCTGTTTTTTTCCCCGCCGACAAGTTACTGAAGTGCCTTGCCTTGGGGATCTACAGTCAATTTGGGAAATGTGCTAGGAAATTTCTTCGTGGCGTGGTGGTTTATTCGGTGGATGGGTCGTCGGCTCGCCTTCGTCTTTGGAACCATTGTGTTGCTTGTCGGAGTGGCTCTCCAAGCTGCCGCCGTGGCCTATGCCATGCTCGTCATTGGTCGGATTGTGTCTGGTATCGGGACCGCCATGTAAGATGAATGATCCTCCCAAAGCCTCCGGGAATACTCTCACGCTGACTATTCCAGCATCGGGACCAATCTGGCCGCATATCAAGCCGAGGTATCCTCGCCTCTCATTCGGGGCCGTGTAGTATCCTTTGTCCAGGTATCTTATCAGGTCGGCGTACTTATTGCATACTGCGTGAGTCTCGGGGTGCCGAAGATTGGAGGTAATCTCGCTTGGAGAGCCGCAACTGCCCTTCAAGTTATCCCCGGGGTTATCCTGATTGTTGCTGCATTCACCATTCCGGAGTCGCCACGTTGGATGCTTGAGAAATACCCCGACAAGCCAGAGCGAGCACTAAAGCTTCTCTCTCGGATCAGAAAGCTCCCTGTAGACGATGAAGAGGTCCTGCGAGAGCACCATGACTTGGTAGCTGCCCATCGCTACCGCAAAGAAATCGAAGGTGAAGTGACCTGGAGACACCTTGTGAAAAACTATAGTGTCTGGAAGCGGGTTGCGTACGGTATGGCGACCATGGCAATTGGGCAGCTGTCCGGTGTGGGCGCCTTGATGATCTATGGAGATTTGATCTTCGACAGCCTTGGGTTCTCTCAAGGTATCATGAATCTTCTATTGAATGTGATTGTTGGCGTATTGGCCCTAATGTGAGTGTCCTTTTTCACGGTCTCTCCTTGGTATCGGCGACTGACTACCCGTGCCAGTGCGAGCTTGGTCAGCTCGATGGGTGTTGACAAGTGGGGACGACGCATTACTTTAATCACTGGGTGCACCGCTATTGTAAGTGTCGCGACAGTTCCCTTATGTTCTATACAAGAGGACTTATAGGCCATGAAAAGGTCATCAGCTATGTGCTTATCGGCGCCCTCGCAGATGCCTTTCCGGCTGAGACCAATTTCAATCGCAGTGCGGGAATTATGCAAGTCGTTTGCATTTATGTTATCGAGATGGTATTCCGGCCCTCACGGGATAATTAAATGCCTGTGTCCTTGTCAGGGTTCACGACTAATGATGTCGAACAGGCTTACTCTGGCTGTCTCGGTCAATGCGCCTGGATCTATGCTTCCGAAATATTTCCCAACCACCTTCGTGACAAAGGTATTAACATCTCCCAGGTCGGTCAGCAAGTTACCACTCTCTGGATTAATCAAACCTGGCCTGTGATGTTTGACAGCGTCGGCCACAACGCCTACTATATTCTCATGGGGATCAACATTGTCTCCTTGACGGTTGTTGTACTGTTCTGGCCCGAAACCAAGGGTATCAGCCTCGAGCATATGGATCAGCTCTTTGGCGGTGTTGACGCGGTAGAGGTGTATGAAGACAAGGAAGCTCGTGCACAACATATTGAAGAGAGCAACTCGACGCGTGCGGAAGCGCAGGAACGCTCGTGAGACGCGACTGTAGGATTGCAACGATGATCCGATGTTAAAAGTCTTTATTGTTGCCAGATTGCTAATTGTATGATAAACATAAATGCAAGCCCTCCCAAGATCTCGAATGCTTCCCATCAATTAATAGCTATCTTCTTGTTAAGACTAAGGTTGGACTAGCTAAGGGACTCGATAGTACTATAAGTATATAGACGAAAAATTCAACAATATAATTGTGACTAAACTAATTCTTGAGGAAGAGGATCTATTAATAATAGAAGAGTGCTTTTTATACCTTTATATAATCATATGGAGTTAGCTTTATATAGGTTCTTAGAAAACTCTTATAGAGTTCTTGTTATATTTAACTAGGAATCTAAATAGCCTTATATTATTTGGGGTTATAATAACTATTCTCCCTATCTGAAAGAGTTGTCCTTGACACTTCTAGGGTTAAGATAAGATTGCTAGAGCATATTATCATTATATTTTCAATACCGAGAGCGTAATTAGGTTAGACTGGCCCTTGATCCTTCCACCAAGGTCGCCCACTGGAAGATCTAGCGGGAAATCGACCGTCGACAGTAATTGTGCGAACAGTAAATATCATGTCAATAGGTCAAGAGTGAAAAAGCAGGCTCCGCCAGCCTATAGAGGCAGGTCCACTAGCATCTCGCTCATATAAGATAGAATTGAGAAGGTGGCGTTGTCAGGGCAAGAAGAAAATTCCTGATAAATTACCTTTTGCAGAGTTGCACCGCGGTCGGTAGCACCCTTCGTGTTCTTCCAATAGGACGCGATAGTCAGGAACATGAGAAAGAAAACGAGACTAATATGGAGAGAAAGGATTATGAACATGAAACTGATGATGCCAATCGATCACAAAAAGAAACCTATAGGGCTATTCTTAGTACCCAATCTTCTCTTACGGTCTACATTGATCCGCCATCAAAATCCCACGTACCTAGTGAGGCGGAAAATATATCCTTTCCAGCTGCTGATTTAGCCGCAGTTGTTGCATGACCCGTACAAACTCCTCCTGCATTATACGATGGTTGCAGCGTGGATGCGAGAAATATCGACTTCGAATTGAATGAGAACTCCGGCAAGAATCTTATTGAACGCTAATTTGGGGAATAGAAAGGAAAACTATGAAGATAATGCTCAGTCTTGATAAATAACTCTCCCTTTTAGGCTAAATACCGTATAAAAGAAACAAAGAACAATATTGGGGTGACATAACGAGTTACTAGACAAAATTTATTGTGAATGATTTTGACTCATCACACTCGTCTGGCTCGCTTCGGGGAGTACGACGGTGATCTAATTAGCATTCCGTAGGACAAGCCGAGACCAATACATGGTGTCGGAGTTCTCATGCTCATGTCTTGCCTGAAGACCTGCTGTGGCCACTAGGATAATCCCTGGATCCCTTCCACCATCTCTGACTTCGCACCTCAAATTGCTATTCGAATTATGGATCGAATTGCCACTCACCAGTCCTCGCCCAGCTCACGCTGAGCAGCAAACTTGACAGCCTCCAGGACATCCTCACAAATTTCTCTGGGAGGAAATTGCGGCGTTTTGTCATCTTGGTAGACACCCGTCTTGACCAAGATGGAGAACCAGTCAGTATCACTGATATGGTTGTACTCATTTGTGCCCCGGATATCGGACTCGGGTGTATCGCCTACAAAATAAACAGTGGCTGGCGGTTTATCAATACCGTACGTCTCCTTGCGCCATTCGCGAAGCAGTCTTGTCGCGAAACCGAATGTCCCGAGTTGCGGTTTCCCAAACGCAACGGTAGTCAGCTCCTTACCAGTTAGTTCCTTATAAAGAGCTTCCACCGACGTCCGCAGTGCACCCATTCCAATTCGCGAGTGCTTGTGAGAGGTGGACCACACGATGTCATTGTGGGAAAAGTAAATTGGCGGACCCTCGTCAAAGGTCTCGGAGCGAGTCCCTAGGCGTCCATCCTTTGACATCAGAAGATCGAGGATGATCTGCTGGTCACCGGCCCAGTCTCTGCTGTCAGCGAATACGAATATGGCATCGATGGTAGACTCGTCGAAATTTCTCTCGCGGGAATTGCGGTACTCTTCCTCTGTCAACTTCCGGAACGGCGTTGTGTCATGCTTGGACTTGATGATATCGCCGGGGGTAACCACGTCTTTGAAACCATAATCCTCGGCGACGACGCGGCATTTTTCACCCTCGCCGCCTACCACGAGGACAGTTTGATACGCGTCGGACATTTCGCGTATGGGTGTGTGTCCACAGATGAATTGTCCAGGGGAGATCTCGATCTGTAGCTGGCGACTGAGGTCAATACAGCGTTCTTCTTCCGTCTTCCCGCCGCCATTGGTGACGAAGATATACGGGCTTAGGATGAAGTTAGTGTGTGCATCTCGCGGGAGAGAGGCGAAGTGGTTACATCTTTACTCCATATGGATTGTCCCCATTGATGTATTTCATCGCGCCGATCGATGCTGGAAGCGGCTTCCCCCTTTCACGAGAACACCATCGATGTCGAAGGCGATCGCGAATTTGTCTGTATTGCTTCGGTCTGATTTTTCAACATCGGGGGTGATCGACTCGGAGGCCGTTTCATCGATGCTTTTCCTGGCTCTTTCCAGCCGCGTGGCAATGGTGTCTGCGTCGCACGGTGCCTTCATATTTTCGGGAGGAGCAATCACAATTGGACCGCTGTACAGATCGCATCGCCTAGAGTCGGCGGAGGATAGCCTCCGCACAGTAGTGGCAGTTTTTGCTGGCATTGTATCGACTGAAGGGAGATCTTTCGATATCCATTCGCCTTTGTGAAATTATGAATCCCCAGAATGATGTTACCCATACTTTATACTATGATACTGAGACCCGTGATTTTTGAGCGTAAGTACCGCCAGGATGTCATCATGACGAAACGTAGGTTTTCGTTCGTCCGCATTTCGCACTCTACAATATGGTTCGTTCCAAACTCTGTAGGATAAACTCTATGGAAATCCACGAATGTCAGCTTTGCATTCCGGATTATTGTAGCACCGTGTTGTAAGCTTAGCGATTGAGAGCGCAGTGATGTTAAGGCCTAGAGAATGTATAATACTGCTCCACACCTATTCTACCCACTTAACCCACTCTCTTCGAAAAACAACAACTACTACGTAAATCTAATTTTTGAAACGTAACGTAACTAGGTTAGCAATTTTGATGATTTGTCACCCGCACAAGCCAGGAAAGCGACTGATGACCATGGCTACTATAGAAGATACATCTCACATCCTTGTTTTTCATGTCACCTGAAAAGTGGCGTGTAATATAGTACATATCATCTTCACAATCTCAAATTGACCGTATCCCAGTTACTGCTAGCCTCCTTCAAATCCGATGCTAGTTGTCCGGCCGCTCCGTCGATCACAATCATATTTCTACGACCCAACAACCCAGTCAGTATCGTCTTTTTGCTCCTGGCTAGATTGCTGCTTTGCCTCGGGGCCATTTACGTGGTAATGTCCCCAGCCCCAATGACGGCGTTGCTTCGGATGGGCAACATTATCTATGTGACCTTGTAAATATATACCAGACGCAGAAATCCAGGCGAGGGAAAATTAAATCGTACCAGTTGCTGTACCGGCAAAAGCCTCGTTGACGTGAGAGTCAGGCTGAGCAGACTCAGACTTTTGATTGAGTGGCTCTGGCTCGGGAGGTTTTGCTGCGTTAGGGGACTTGGGTGCATCCGTTGAGTCGGTTGAGCCTTGACGCTGGCGATGGTGGAGCGCGTCAGATGCTCTGCGGAAGAAGTCCGACATGATAGAATATAAACGTTTCAATAAATCGATTCGAGTGGTTCAAGTATGCTTGGTGATGTTCTTGGGAGGACTAGTTTCGACTATAACTTTTGGTCATAGAAGACCTCCTATATAATTTACCTACCACAAGGCAAATGACATCATATGGCCTGGTTGACACTATGTTCTCGTGATCACTCCTCTTATCCCTTGTATTACAGACAAATAGGGTAGCTAGTATTGCCACTACGACCAGTAAATTATCGATAACTTTGGGAGCAGCAGGATGAGCGCATCATATGTGGGGAACATAGTGGAATACCGCGGTGAGGAAGCTCGGTCCAAGACGCCCGGGTCCGACGCCTCCGAAAGCATGTAGCTACTCGGGCGTGTCGGGTGATGCACGTCCCATTTGAGGTAGAACTTTAAAAGTACCTCTGTTGAAGGATTTTGGCTGCTGTGAACATACTCTTTGTCATTCTCGGTGCTGATTGGTCAGGTTTTTCCGTACCATGAGATACGGGGCGCACGAGCTTATGAGAGCTTTTCCTTGGACAGACTAGCTTTCTGGCACTGGGGAGACTTTCAGGGAAAAATAAAACGTCGAGTGCCCCGCCCCGCTTCTTTGCCCTGCTCAACTCCAACCTCCCCCCTCCGCTCCCGGCAGACTTGGTCTGTCTTTTTGTTTGTTCTTTTCGTTTCTCCTTTTTGTGTGCGCATATCGCGACCGTCATGATACTAGTTTGTGAAGCGGTACTTTGGCCGATTTAGTACTTAATCAGTCCTCGTAAGCCAAGTTTGATCTCCTGATAGGTGATAACCAAATGCAGCAGTCTGTACAACAATTACGTGAGCCTGAAGGATGAATCAATTATCCAAGGAAAGCCGCCCGAGCACGCGTAGAAAGCCAATGTAGATGAAGTGTTGACACAAAATCTATTCAATGCTGACATCAACTCTAACAGCTAAATCATGTCATGTAAAATTGACAAACATTCCATTTGTTGTGTCTTCAGTCTTCTCGCCGGTGATCAAGATCAAGATGTTCTGCCGGCAATGTGATGGAGCGATCAAGCTTGTAAGGCAATCCCCGGTGGCGGCCCCGAATCATCATGAAACAGATGATCAGCTTGCTGAATGTATTAAATTGGCCACTCAAAGACGTATCAACGTTTGGGTATCCTAAACTGAGGCCTACATTACCACTACAAAGAATGTTAGTTCCCAAGTAACGCATAACAGTACCAAGTATAAAGAACTTACTAGGCCGATACAACTTCAAATAGAATCGAGAAGATAGATAATGCCTAACAGTTGTTAGTATATCCACTAAGATCAGATAGCAGGTACTGACCGGGATATTATTATCTGCAATCTTTCCAGACTCGGCGATGCAAATGCAAAAAACTCCGAGGAAAATGTACCAGAGGTCAAAGCTCAATTGGTTCTGTATGTGATGTAGAACATAGGATCCACTGCTGTCTTCATTCGTCTCATGGTCTCCAGCGTAGATACCAATGGCTTTCTCTTCGTAGACGTTGGATGCTCTGACGCTAATAGCAATTGGAAAGGCGGAAATATACATCATGACGACCAAACTGAACTGTACTGCGGGGTTAACGTCAGCCAAATTGAAGATAGCCATTCCTGTATGACGCGAATTGGCGGCTTGGAAAATGGCAGCAAGTACTCGAGGCCCGGCAGCAAGATTATTCACTGCTGGGTTATGAAGGTCCAGAAGTAATATAAGCAATGTATCGGTGAAATTCAACGCCAATAGGATGCCAAACAAGATCCACGTCGGGCGACTCGGGAAAAGCAGTGTATAACATCTGCGTGGATGATCGAGCAGAAAGTTCAGCGTTTCTTTAGTGGATGAATTATCCGGGCAGAGCTTGAAAATTATCCATATGACAAGTCGAAGGAGGCATGGATAGCAGGTGTTTCCGGCAAAAGCGAGAAAACTCAGCAGGATGAGCGGAAACGTGGCATCCTGGAAAGACTCCATCGAGTCTGGTGTTAAAGTGAAGCCTAGATTGGAGATTGTGCTTTGCGCGGTGTAGAACCCCCACCAGGTGTTGCCTTGACCACATTCTATGAGATAGTCGCGATACTTTGGGTTGGCGTGCTGAATCCAACCCACAAGGCAGATGGCGCCGAAGAGATGAAGACCCAAGAAGTAACCCACCACGATTTTCAGCAGCAGCTTCAAACTTCGATATTCAATACCCCCAAGCCTCTCTCGATCTTCGGTAGTCAGGTTGTAGAAGTTCGAGTTTCGACCCAACGTTGCGTGCGACGAGATTTGTGGCAAGGCCAGTTGTTTGATGGCTGGCCTTTCTCGTGAGGTGGCATAGTCACGACTTGTAGAACCGCCTATCACGAACATCATAGATGCAACTCGTTCAAGAGGCCGTGTGGAGGACGGTATAGTGCTAGATATTCTTCGGCGGATGGACATGGGACCAGGGTCGAGATCGTCATCGCGAGATACTGTGGACACTGCCTTGATGGAGTCTGGACCGTCAGGTTATGCGTGTAGACTGCGGTGCAAGCGAAGATGTCAACGTACCACAGTCAAACAATCGGTCGTCAACCTCGACGATAGCGCTTCCTGTGGGTCTCGTCAGCATCAACTTTGATAGCGCTTTCGTTGTAATTTTACCTCTGTCACGTTTCCAAGGAGGAGGGATACGAAGGGCTTTGGATGAATTAGCCAGTTCTCCTCGTGGATCTGCAGCGAAACGAATGGTTTGCTCAAAGTCAGAGCTGGACGTCGTTGTTGTCAGTTCGTCGGTCGGTTTGTGTTCAGGTGGAGCACAAAAAGCTGAGCTACCACTTTGATTATCAATCCCCATTGACGTTGGTGAGATTGCCTCGTCTTTATAAAGCACTGGTAGATCATCGTTGTTCCCAACGTCTTTTCCTTTGCTCTTTCCGAGGTCATCGCTAAAGATCACATCGTTCGTATCTTCAGGCCGATCATTTGACTTCAAGTCGCATTCAGCGGAGGTTTCTCTGATGGGATTCGGCCTCAAGAGATGGGGTGCTGGAATCCAATGTAGATCGGCATTAGAACAAGTGTCGGCAAAGCGTAGCAAAAGGGCTACTCACAAACTGCTTTGAGATGCTTCTCAAACCATATCAGACGGACGACAACCACAATAATGTTGATGAAGCCCAGATTACCCAAAATTGGAATCAAATATAGATAGACTTGCTGGTAAGTTTTCAGCTGGTTGATATTGACCCTATGTGACCATGAGCCCGGTTCTCTTTTCTGGGGCTAGTGGAACTGACGTGTTCAGCCCCGATTCCGTGGAGGAACTTGCGCCGAAGAAGTAGGCATCGATTGCTCGAAGGTTTCCATGAGGATAGATAATGACCAGGCTCAAAATCCCCAGAAGAAGAATCCACGCGTCTGTGGCGGCTGGTTAGCCAATCTGGAACTCCTCTAGTCGAGGCTTTAACGCACAATGCAAGGTAAGAAAGTTTACCGGTGGCTTCCACATGGCGACCGAACAGGAAAGAACTCGCGCAACAGCAAAGGATTGTCGCGGCTCACAGATTTCAGTGAACCCCGTCGTCGGGGTGGTTGAAATAAATCGCTCATACGAGCTTGTGGCGTTCTGACAAACTCAGGCGTGCGGGATTTGTCTCAGCGAATCGCGAGTCGAGCTCAGGGGCCCGTTTGCAGTGAAACTTAATTAATCCCACTGCCACGAAAATCATGCACTGGGGTCTGTCTTCAATAAGAAATTTCGGGTTAAATCAAAGATCAACTAGATAACATTTGCAAAAATTCTAGAAGTAAACGTTGTTCCATCTGATGACTTGACCCAGCAAAAAATGCTTAGATCCACCGTGATGAATGAGGGCAGTGGGCTGCGCGGTGGATGGCGATCTAGCGTACCAAACAAGGACGAGATAAGCCAGAAGTCGGTAGATTGAACTGAGCTTTTCGCCGCCTATACCGTCTGCCTAGGCACGCAATACACACTCTATCCTATGGGGATGTGCCCATCGCGGTAGGATGGGCACATTTGGGTTTCGTGAACTTTAGGGGAAAAAAGTGGGGCGGGTGTAGGATGGGCACATTTTTAGACCCTAGGATGAGCATCTATCCAGACGGTGGATAGAGCTCAAAAGAGCGCCAATTTACATGAGTAGTAACTTTATAAACGAGGGGTGTTTCAGAGCTATACGGACAATTTATAGGGGTGTTGTAGGGATTTAAACCACCTACACACATCTTCCATCCTGCCTGTACCAATCAGATGCGTGAGATAAATGAAGCGGTCAGAGATGGCAGAAAGGATGCTTCCATGCTGAATTAGTAGCTACATAGTGAAAAGGGCATAGAATTAATGCACCAAATCCTGACGGAAAGGAGCTTTGTATTGCCATATCCCTGAATTTGACAATTTATAGGGATGTCTGATTAAATAACCAATGATTCTAGATATATCTGGTCTTTACTGCTATATTCCTTCCGACACTTAGTGATAGACAATATGTGTGTTCTCGTAGTGGAACCTTGTTTGGATTTAGGGTGCAATGAAATGTGTTCTTAATGTAAGCTGCTATCTCTACACTGAATTGATGGCTTGATGAAGAAACTAGTGATTTTTTTCCTCTTGAAGTAAGGAAGAGTCTTCAAAATGATGAACAAGTCATCAAAGGCGGTGAGGAGCGACAGAATAGTGCCACACCTCGGCCGCATCAACCAATCTTTTTTTCACAACTCGAGAGAAGAAGAATTTGTTATTTTCTGAATTATGATTGCCACTTTGCCTTCGAGAGACCCTCTTGCTATCCTACCCCCGGAGATTGTGTTGCAGATCCTGGACTTTGCTCCTATCTCTGCGCTAGCGTCCTTGACATCCGTGTCTCGGGCGTGGCACCAATTTATCGACGTCACCCACCAAGAAGCCATCTATTCCTCCGAGACCAAGACAACGCAACCCTCCAGAGGTGCCGGTGACCTTTCAGCCGTACCGGACCCCCTCAGCTTCTGTAAGCTTTTCGAGAACACAACATCATGGAAAGACCTTTGCAAACGCCAAACGCTACTAGCCCACAATTGGGCTAAGCAGCGTCCAGTTACTCGGGAATCGGTTTTGCAGGTCGGTAACGATCCTGTTTGGCGCTTCCGCGCCGACTTCAAGCGCCGGTTTTTCATCTCCACGTCACATGCCGGTGGCTTGAATGTCACTGATATGGATACCGGCCACATCCTATGGCGACTTCCCTCCACGCTGGTTCGTGAGGAGGATGCGGTTCGTCCGTATGCTCATCTAGAATACCAAGATGGAATGGCTGTATTTGATCGCGAAGGAGACGCCGTGGAAGTCTGGCAGGCTGGTCTGGAAGACACAGCCCGTGGAGAGTTTCGACGCATCGCAATCTTAAACCACGATTGCCAGACGAGAGGCTTTCAGTTGTCTTACTGGACACTTTGTGTTGTCTCAAATGAAGGACAGGGCTTCGTGTACGATATGGCTGAGCGACCACCCAGATTAACCACTCATATCACCATTGAGCATGGCGCCGTTGGTCATTTAGATCAAAGTGAGCATGTTGTGATTTATTCGCTCGGGGTTCATGGCTATCATATCCACGACAAAAAGTCGGGTGAACTTTTGGGCGTGTTACATCCATCGCGTGCTTCCGAAAAGTACCACATTCGGCCCCCTGCAACCCCATCTCTTTCTGCGAGTGCGGCCTTGGCAGGAACTGCACGGCATGGCCTGACACGCCAATACCTCCCATTTGAGGCCCCTCGTACGAATTGCTTAACACCTATTGAACTTGCGAACGGTCCGCTGCCGCTCCCGAGTGAACCTGACCATGTCTATCATCGAGAAGATGAATGGGGCGCTGGCATGCTCCACGGCGACCTATTTGTCGGTTTCTCCCGTGCGGGTCGGGTACTTGTGTGCTCCAACTGGCGAAAAGCTCTCCAGGACCAAGCCAGCTTCGCCAAGAACAGTGCCCTCCTTGAATGCGAGTCGGATGGGTCAGGTTTTGACCTGGGCGGTTGGCTGTCGGTGCGCAACCACCGCGTGATGTTCGAGATACAGGACCAAATTTACGTTATCGCACTGGATGACCACGACAAGATACAAAACGTCGATCAACCTACCCGTGCCTCGTACTCACTGCTTACCAGTTCTGCCCCGCAGCTGGCTATGCCAGTCAGTTTCATGGCACTTTACGATGATGCGATCATGACCACCTACACTGTATGTTGTATGACCTCAATTCATAGAAGTTAGCGAGCAGAAGAACTACGGCTAAACAAAGAGGCTTCAGACCCTCGGCCGGCGTCAACCCCTCGGTAACGTCCCAGGCCGTGCTCCGCTTCCGCAACATGAAAACCTCGGCCGAATTTTCCCTACCAAGGCAATCCGTATTGTCACTCTGGCCCCTGATCTTTCTAAAGGCAGATGTTTCATAGCTTCCGAAACCGACACCCCCGAAGAGTCGACTCGAACAACTTCCAATCAATCAGGCCCTCTAGTCGAAGAGATTTGGCACTCGCAGGCAGGATTACTACAGTTGGTTAGTATGCTTGGCGATGAATTTGGAGGAGAGGATGATGATGACGATCATGAAGTTGGTGTCTTTGCTGCAAATTTTCATGATGATGACATAGACAACGAGTGGGAAGACGTGGATCAGAACGACACCGCATGAGCATACACATGGAGGTACTTGAGCGTCCGTATTACCGATCTGGGCTCTGTACAACCTCCTAAAACCCGGCCAGTCGGCTAGCTCGGAATTTTTTTTATGTTCATTTGTTGGTCATGCAATCACTTACTAACCCAACCCCCCCCCCCCCGGAGGGCCGACCCCCAAACCAAAAGAAAAAACGAAAAAGAAACATGTGACAGCCTCCTCCACTAACAATTGCCTATGTCCAAGGGGGTGTAGCATAGTCGTGTATAACACGACAGATTGAAAGCTCTGTTGGTGACGCCTGAGATACCGTCACTTAGAGCTTTCTTTGGAACATGGGATTTGGGACAACTTTTTCGACAGGTACACTCGTCAAAGTGATCGATTATGTGGTTTGAAGCCAAGTATTTAAATGAGCGCTGGAAAGATGTGGAATACCCACATCACTTGTTCGCATACTTTCCACATATACCTTTTTAAACCTTTTTCAAAACCAAGTCGCACATGTCCTTGTAAGGAAATTTGTAATCGAAGCTAAAAAGCCAGAGAAGGCGATAGTCGTTAGGCATGCCCCTCTCAATGGTCAAAGGTTGGAAAGGCTGAGGTTTGGAGTGCGTTTATATGCCCTTGGCACTCTACATTCAGTCACAGATAGGCTGATTTACCTGAGCGGCAGGCACACTGCGCGCGACAATATGCTCGCTGTATTAATTGACCACAAGGCGGGATTTCTGGATATTCAAGTTGTTACTGGCTGAAGTAGCTCATTCAAGGCTAGGTGGGTCACAAAAGCCATAAATAAATTCGACATTTTGAATCTTGGAACTGCGCTAGTTCTACCTAGACAGGGAGGTTTGAAGCCTTCGTGATTTTTCCGACCGTTATGCAAATAGGTCGGGAATCCCTACCCTCAATCGCCATGTACATAGTGGGATTCTTAATTAGGATCGTCAGACAAGAAAAAGCCCTAGGTCTGAATCGGCAGGTATTGAAAATCATTTCCCCACAGTGTCCTGTTAACGTCCACGAAACTGCCCTTGTGTCGTTTGACACGGGAAAGGTGTGGGGCGTCAAAGTGGACCCAGGAGAAACATTACCCGTGTTATCTGATCTTTTCTTGCTCAGCCCTGACTCAGACAAGCTTTACTGTGGGTCCTGGGTTTGTGCCTGAGCCTCTGGATCGGAGGAAAGAAAGCTTGCGGCCAAGTGTCCTTACCCTACGATTTGCATGGTTCGGAGCTTGGCTATGCGAGTGGCCTGATCTACGGAAATCCGCGGTGGGGTTTAGCTACCAAGACGGGGTTATTCAACGGTTTTTTCGACATATCGTTCTTGGGAGGAGTATCCATATAACAAAGAAATTCTTGTCCAGCCACAAGGAAAGCAAAAGATAATGCGGTCCCATACTGGATATCTTTTTTTCTTTTTGAATCAAAGTTCGTGTTACAACTCTAAGAACGAAAAACATAGACTATGCAATTGCCCTCACTCGGTCAGATCTGGTACAACCTCGATGATTGATTCCATGCCGGGGCTGGTGTTCCAAATGCCATTGACTTTCAAGCCTACACTTGCCAAAAGGTCGACCCACTGCCGCTTGGATCTCTCGACTCCGGCACCGATGCTCATCATCTGGATGTCCATGGCTGACTGCATTCGTGGTACATTGGTATCTGAGAGGACAAAGTCGACAATAATAATACGGGAATATCTCGGATCCATGGCAGACACAGTGTTGAGGAGAATCTTTTGGCAAATGCGATCTGGCCAGTCATGAAAGATGGCTCGGAAGTAGTATGCCCGCGCCCCTTGGAAATCAGCAAGATATAGTAGGAGATTGAATATGGTGCTTACCCTTAATGGGTTGTGGATCAAAAAAGCTATATCCCATAGCTTCTATCCCGGGTCTTTTGACGCTGGAAGCGATCTCTGGTATGTCCTGCAGAATCAATCGACCTGACGCATTGAGAAAACGTGCGTGGAGCTTGACCAAATCATGTCCCTGATTCCCCCCAATGTCAACGAGGAATACTGCTTCCGAGTGGTGGATGGCTCCGTCCATCAACCTCTCCACGGGATATACGTCGAACCAATTCGGCCTTCCCTCTCGTCGACTGGACATGTACGAATTGAATAGAGCTTGGTGCTGCGTGTTTTTAGCAAGCCACTCGAATTGGCTTTGTCCAATTGTCCATTGCATAGGGCAAGCCGAATATTCTTTCGGGTTGGTATAGTTGTGTTGACGAAGATACTCTGAAAGCTTTGAGAGGGTGGGAGCCGTGAGGTCATATCTAAGCCAATTAGTATCAGAACATATATTAATGTTTTGGCAGCTCACATGCACTGAACACCGTCTCTCCCAATTGGCTGTGTTAAAGTGATAGACTTCTCCGTGGCATAGTATACCTCTGGCTTGAAACTAGCGCACAGCCCTAGAGAAGTCATAACACGCATGAGGCGGACTATGGAATTGATTAGAGTGTTTCATGAAGATGAGAAAGACAAGTCTCACCAATCAAGTCCCTCTCGGCCCCAGTGCACATGGAGATCTCTGTTGCAGAAACTCCTTTGCCGGCTCTTTCCACAAGCAATGGGAAGATAGCAAGATCTACGACGGTACGAAGCGCGGCATTTTCAGGAGGCTAGAAGCGCAGCAAGTTAACAATAACTTTCTCGAGTTAAACTTGCATCGAGGCCTCACCTGATAGATTAACCTCAAAATCGTTTCGGTTGGTGTTTCAACCGCCAATTTCAGTTCATCAACCAGTTGAAGCAGACGAGCGTGACTATGACCAGAGGAGAGGGAGCCATGTGTGGTCTCCTTCTTGATCTTGTCAGCCAAGGACAGAATTGATGTGGTTGCCATCTTGCACCAGAGGGAAATAAATAAGTGATTTGAGGAAGAAGACACGGCCAAGCCGGCCCTTTTATATTTTTTCAACTGCCTCTCGGTACCGCCACATCCGCGATACCAATGCAAGAACCGAATTTGACACGACCTTGAAACCTCCGATTTCGCTCATCCACAACATAGAACACATCATCTGAGGGGGAACGAGTGTCCATCTATGCGCCACCCTTGCTGATCACTACGAAATATGGTTCAGGACGGGAGAAACAAGACGCAACTAGTCCCTTGGTGGCCGAACTTTCTTTGTCAGTGTCTCCACTCTATTGCATGGGGGGAAGGTAGTGTCAACAGAGGGAAATATGATAGCAGATCCCGTTTATCAGATTACGATCGATGCAGGTGGAGATCATGAACCGATTAGTGGCTATGTCATCCCGGGCCATCCCTTTTTTCTTACTCACTTGGCCCCAATAGCGCCTAAGCCCTAGCGTAGCTAGATACTTGATGTCATTAAGTCAGTCCGGAGCAGTCGTTGAAAAAGCCAAGGTATCTTGAATGCAACACCTGTGTATCGAAATACGGGCTAATCCAGGAAATTGGGGGAACGCCACTTCGGAGCTAATCTTCCGTCGCAAACCCGAACAGTAATGCGCATCAATCGGAGCCAAAAAAAAAAAAAAAGAAAAAAAAAAAAGAAAATTCCGACTTGCCGCAGATTCACCGATAGGTTTCCTATGTCTATTTGTAACATTAGCGGCAGCCGGTAAGCAAAGGTCACACTTACTTGCCTAACTACATCCTTGGGGTCTGACGGCCTATCTTGGTGAGCAATAGATAGGTTTCGAATCTATATGCCTTAATCAATTCAAAAGCACACAGAAAGGATGGTAAACTGGGCAGGGTTGCCAAGGAAAAACCGGGTCGCGTCATCCTACAAATCTCACGGCTTAAGGGAACCGTCTCGGATTCTACTACCCTTCACAAACTTCGTTTTCTCGCATTGAGGCCGACTGTGACTTTGCTTTCTATCGCTTGATGAAAATGCCTTCATTGCTTTCCTAATGCGATTGCAAAAAACTGTCGATGGGATACATGGCCGACGGTGGGTTCGTCTTGTAAATCTACAACAGAAAGTCTTTGGCGCATGTAAATGGCAGACTCTTAGCTTACACTCTGCTCGGATTATCATGAGGCCAGAAAGAGATATTTTCCACAACAAAGGTGGTTTCAACTAGACTGTCTGAAAATGATAGTGGAGCCTACCTGAAACATAATAAATGGTCATCTTGTTTCGCAGCTCTAACTCAGCTCTACTTAGTGAAGAGGGGAGCTCAGTGGCAGTCTGTCGCAACAGACAGGTCGAGATAGCAGAAAGGATCATCGGTTGCGCTCACCACATCACATCATCTATGATGGGCAACGACCTCTAGCATAGAGACCGCTGTGGTTGACAGTTGGACCAAAACTAAGGTGTGCGAGAGAAGAAAAGCGAAATAATTGAACAAATCCTAACAGAAGAGACCAGGCCATCTGCTTCAGCACCTAAGCCGGATCTGAATGTTAGAGCCTTGATTCGACAGCTCTCAATCTGGTGGTCATCCTGATTCTTGGATAATCAGACGGAAAAGGTGGAAGCAAATTATAGGGAATTTGATAAATGTAGCCAATGTAAGATTCGGACACGACCTAGGGGTCAGTTTTGTTATATGCTACATTCGAAGATCACAGACATGCTATTGCTTCCATAACTACTCTGCGGTGGTATCAATTTCGTCGGGCCTCCATAGCATTCTTATCTACCGACTTCTTCGCATGTGGAAAATTGTTACCGAACGTAGCTGCAACATGGTAGTACCCTCAAAAAGATTATTTCAAGCGCACAGAATTACAAAACCCTAAGCGAAACGTTACGCAATCCATTGCCTTGCTTGCTTATTTCCTTTAGTAATCTCAATTCTTTTTCCTGGACCCGTAACCTATTATACCTCAAATGGGCCTTTTTAAAAAACACTTAACGTTCATTAACGATGGAAGCCAAACCTACACAGGAAGGTTTGTTCAGTTTGAACAATTGTGCTATGCTCGTTCATGGGTTCCAGCGTTTCCAAGTGGCAACCTACTGCCTACAACCCACCTCTGAATTACAGGAATTACTTGCGACGTAAATATAGTCGGTTGTCGAGGTACACGCAATGTGAAACAGAAGCTGAGAACTAGAGCTTCGAGGCCGTGAAGTTAAGACCCCAAAACCTTTATACCGCTACAGGAGGTATGACTACTTCCATGGTTGTTGCCTGCATGGCTCTACGTGACTGATTAATTGCCTTCAAAACGTTGTTTTAATTTAGGCTTTCGATGTGGCCCAGCCTATATCCAAAATTGATTTTATTGATAGGGATCTCAATCGAAGCTGCATTTTAGCGTGCCTTTAAAGTGCCCTTCTTAATGGCGCTGAGAACCGCACCCTGGGTCGTGCGTAGCCGCCTGAAATCTCAATTTGTTCAGCGCCGTTCTGTTCATAGAATAAAGTCACACATATCTCCTAAGTTATCTTTTCACTGATTCGCCCAAGATTTTATTACCACGCGTATTTGGCCTTTGCGGTAAGTCGTTTATATTAAAAAGGCCTAGAAATTGTATCTCACCCACGTATTGATGTTCTTGTGGCGAGAGCGACACGTTTCCGTATACACGTTTCCGTATCACAAAATTGCCAGCAGCCAAATTCATATCGTTAAAAATGTGAAAAGGCATACAACGAAGCTGCACTGTGTGGTATAAGCAGTTTGAGCAACTAGGATAAGGAGAGTGCCATACGGGATTGGAGACTCAAAAAGCCCAACCGTCAGGATAATAAGCTTCGCATAACTGAACGAAATGTCGGAGTGCTCAAGGCAGCCACCTCCATGTGTTTGTCGAGCGGAGATAGGAGAGACTTTGAGAGGGCGTTCCGCGTCTATGGGAGATTTTGCGTCCATGATGGATCTTGACAGAAAGCAGAGGTCAGGAAAGATTTACTGAACTGCTGCAGGAACGGAGAAAGAAGCAAGCAAAAGTCTCGGAGAGAAGAAGAGGAAGGAAAGAGACAGCCTTTGAACTATCTACAAGACCAGTGGTCAATTGACCCAAAGCTCAGCACCCATAGGTCTGTTGACAGATCTCAAGGCCCCAAAAGATGAGAAAGAGATCGGCAGGGAGCAAGGGAAAGAGAGCGGAGTATTCAAGATTTAACGTTTGACGGGTACTGTTGTCTCTGGTGACATAGGTCCTATTTGCCTAGATTAGTCTAGTATTTCATTGACTAAGATTAGTGTTCTAAGCCTTGAAAAGCTGTTTCATGGATCCTTGGCGTTGGAAACACGACCACCGAGGAAAACACTGCCGGCGATGCCAATAAATAACATCTTGTAAGAGCGGATTTTAATAACCCCGTGAGTTCCACGCCTCCAGTACCCTAGCTAGCCGTGGATGTAGAGACCAATACCTGGTGAAAGGGTCATCCTCGTTGAAATCACGACCTCTCGCTCCCCGGCTTTCTAGCCTTAGTACATAACAAGGCCAGGCCCCAAACATAACTCCCATTCCCCCAAACTCTGTTTGTATCTTACTCCAGCCCATCGATTTCAACACGCTCTTGTATTGTCCGATATATCCAGCCAAATCGAGTATGATAAGATATCCATCCGGTTTCAGGACTCTCGCAGCTTCAATAAGTGCTATTTTCCGGGATGCTTTGTCCGCGTTGTGAATCGACAGACTTGCTGTTGCCAGTGACATTGTTTCGTCCTTGAATGGCAAATAGATAAAATTGGCGGTGTGCAGGGTAAGGTAATCAGTCAGATTTAAGCTGGCTGCATTATCGTAAGTTGCCTCGGGCGCGTTTCCGCTTTGGTCGCCCCTGATGAAAAGATCAATCCCATACACCGGATCAGGTGTTCTGGTCATTGAAAACGCGACATCTTTCTTCCGCTCGGCAATCTTCATGAGGACCAGCCCCCTGCCACAGCCTATATCAAGAGAAGGATACATAAATATTTCTGGTGGCACTTTAGCGAGAAGCTTGTCCCATGCATTAAACTTCCCTTTCAATGAGGTGTAGAGGTAGAGCGGCGCGAGGAAATTCGATGCGACGAGACCGAGAGGAGAGTCCATGCCATATGAAGGTTTATGCGGAGCCGGTCGGTTTGTCAATAGGAGTCGAGCAATGTGGTTTTCGGGCGGGTCATCGGTGGCGTAAATGAAGGACATTTTGGTAGGGGTTTTGGTCATGAACCAAATGCACTGCGGTGAGTTGATAGACATTCAACCTTTTCATGACAAGATACCTCTAGGCTGCAAGTAGTCAATAAGCTTTTGAAGCCACCGAGGCACCCTTTCCACCCTGACTGGCTTAAGTAGTGGACGAGAAGGGTGAGCTCAGAGACTAGATGGCGCCTCGGCCCAAGAAAAAGGCATTGGTGAGCAAAATAAATATGGCTGTTCTATCTGCCACAGTTGAAGACCATTTGCTTGATTCGAATGTCGGAGAGCCAGAACGTAGCGAGAGGAAAGATTATCACCAGGCGTAATCTCACGTCACCACCCACAAGACGCTACCAAAGCGGGGATAATTTAGTGTATTTTCCGACCAATCAAATTTATGCCTTTGTCAAGGGTACATAGGGGAATGGGATGAGAAACGGCCACGCAGGGAATTGTAATTCATACCAGATCAAAGAGTAAGCAACATAATATTCTATTTATTCGAACTATGATTTGCACGGTCGGAACAAGCAAGAGGTAATATATAGCAAAGACATTGCTGAAGTCCTGAAGATAGACAGGCATCCCAACCAATCCAATCCAAAGCATTATACTCCATAACTAGTCACCCTCTGATCATGTTACAAGACTTCATTTAGTCCGATTGGGATTGGAATTTGCGTATACGTGCAAATCCGCACATGTGTTTGCTGCAACGATTATCCCAAGGTAGTATCCCCTACCTATAGAGACAGGGGTCGACAATCTTCAGTTTGGGAAAGGTCCTTGAGTTCGGCAAACAAATTTTTGGGGACCCCTCCTCCCCCCACTCCTCCCTCCTCTTCCCAACACCTGAACAGTCTCAATATGCACCTTGGTGGAAACCCTCTTTTGTGAATTTTGACTACATAGTTCCCATCTTGTGGTTACCGAGGCTATGTCTACCGATGCTAGAGTCCCCCGTTTGAGCGTCTACTTGCCAACTCGTTGAGATCACATTCAACCAGGAGGCGCGGCTTAAAACCAAAACGGAAATAAGGCTCCGGCAAGTCAATGACGCCACGGAAAACCCGGGGAATTTTTCCACAATGGGCATTAACAAAATTTTGGGGTAGCCCCCCTTCCTCGGCGATCTGCATCATCGTCAGGGCAGATCGACTGTCGTTTTGCCTACTGATGAAAGTATTGCTCTCCCCTTCCGGCAAGAACTAACAATTTATGGCACCGGCAGTGGGTGGGGGTTTCCTGCATGTCCTTATAGTGCTGCTCAAACAGACTGAGCATTAGGATAGCTCGTGTCCATCTAAATCATAAAATCATTATCCGAGTGGGCTGTGTGAATGCGAAGTCCCGGGAGGGGTTGAACTGGCGAGAGCGGGGCCCTCGGTGAAACGAATGGGAGGCTGATCAACTGAACATGGCGGTTGTCAATGCATCTCTCGAGCCTCTCTGTGGACCGGCCCTTGCAAGTGCCATAAGACTATCACCACTTCTCAATTTCACGGACCGCCACCACATGTGTTTCCTATCTCTCCGATGGGCCTGTATCCGAGGACCCGAGGCCCCGTGAAACGGTAGATGGGAGGGAAATCTGGGGAACCGGTGGGCCAGCCCGTTGATCATTGCCTGCGATCGCAAAGCGATCGCCACTGCGAAACCGCTAAGATGGACGCGTGGGCCTGGCTCCCCAACAATCTGGGGGCCGAGGCAGAGTCCGGGGGCGGCAATGAGGGGTTTCATGTGGATTCTCGGCGATCAATGGGGGACAGACTCGACATATATGATGCAGTCACTGGCTGTCATGGAGGTCTCACAAAACCATAACACCGATCCGAATTCTTCCATTGTTGCTCCATCCTTGCACCAGGCCAATTGACAACACCTCGCGCACAATGGCCGCGGACGGACCTAAGCCCGGTTTCCTTGGAAACATCAACCAGGAACAAGAGGGCAAATTGCAGAAGTTATGGAGCGTCCTGCTGAGGGCGGCAGAAATGCCGTCCAGCGAAGAGTTGTCAAATGGATGTGTAGAGGAGCACGCTAGTCCCACCCAGCCTCAACGACGTTCATCGCTACTCGGTCGCACCCAAAGCAACATCTCCGACAAGAGCACCCCAAAAGCCACATCGGCGTACCAACAGAAGCTCATGGCGTACCTGAGAGAGCTGGGCATCAAATCCCAGGAGACCAAGCAAGTCGAAAAAGCGCTCTCCGAGATCACTCCCACCGAGTTACGCAACGGCATCCTGGATACCCTCAAGCATGACCACCCAGATGCCCTGCTTCTGCGCTTCCTCCGAGCCCGCAAGTGGGATGTTCCTAGGGCGTTTGCTATGATGATGGATGCCATTGTCTGGCGAGTGAAGGAGATGCACGTGGACGATGAGGTTATGGCGAAGGGAGAGCTTCATGCACTGAAGCAGGAGCACAGCTCAAATTCCGCTGAGCAGAAGGCTGGAAAAGACTTCCTGGCTCAGATGCGTATGGGCAAGAGCTATGTGCATGGTACGGACAAGGTGGGCCGGCCCATCGTCGTTATCAGGGTCCGTCTTCATAAGCCTGGTGCGCAGAGCGAAGAAGCCCTGGAGAGGTACATCGTTCATGTTATCGAGTCAGTGAGACTCACTCTATCTCCTCCTGTCGAGACTGCCGTATGTATCCCATCTCTCATTGGACGGGTATTTGCTGATACCCCCTCAAGGCTGTACTCTTTGACATGACGGGTTTCTCTCTTTCCAATATGGTATGTGTAAAAAAGATCTTGTTTCCAAATAATGGCCGTGGGACCGGAGAACAGTGGTAATTAATTGTACCTTACAGGAATACCCGCCCGTGAAATTCATCTTGAAGTGTTTCGAGGCGAACTACCCAGAGTCATTGGGCATCATGCTGATTCACAATGCTCCCTGGGTCTTTTCTGGTTCGTGCATCTTGTCTTGATTATTGAGGTATTCAATTTCGTCAACCGGCCTCGTGACTGACAAATTTCCACAAATTTCCAGGCGTATGGAGACTCATTAGAGGCTGGATGGATCCCGATATTGCGGCCAAGGTCCAGTTCACGAATTCAGCAGCTGACCTTGAAAAGTTTATCGCTCGCGATCAGATTGTGGAAGAGGTGGGTGGCGCAGAGAAGTGGAAGTACGAGTATATCGAGCCCGACGAAAAGGAAAACGCCACCATGGAGGACACGACCACCCGGGACGCACTCATTCGTGAGCGACAGCAAATCGGAGAGGAATTTCTGGCAGCAACCTCTGAATGGAATGAGGCTACCAAGTCAAAGGACAAGAGCAAAATCCAATCAGCCGCAAGTCAGAGAGCTTACCTCGCTGAAAGACTGCGGGTCAACCACTGGAAGTTGGATCCGTATACACGTGCACGTCTTTGCCTCGACCGAATGAGGGTCATTCAGAAGGATGGGAAGATTGATTTCTACCCTAAAGAAGTTGAAATCGAGGAAAAGCCCCAGGAATCTGGCAAATCATTGGACACCCAGCATCTGGAGAGCGTGAAAAGCAATGGAGCGGAAGCTATTGTTTCATAGTTTCGGCCGAGGTGTGCTTTATCTTTCAGTGCGTGTAGATTTTTCATTTCCTTTCGCAAGATACGAGTATTCAGATTCCCAGTTTAGAAATTCATCTCGATTATCTCAAGAGACAACCAACAGCGCCGTGGCACATAACCGTAGTAATGAGGGCCGTGCTAGTTAGTGAGTACCGGTAGCATGGCCCCAGGGGGTCCTAGGCTTCTCAAAGAGCGTAGTTGAATGCTAGTAAATAGACATCATACTCTTGATGGCCCCCGCGCCACAGCTGCAAGCAATTGGCAACTGATGATCCAATTAGTGTGGTACACGAGATTTGTGCTGACTATATCGAATTTGCTTTAATGGAAGCCTCTCCAGACTTTCGATTCTCTGAGTAGAGCTGTACTCTATAGGATTTGTTTCTGGTGACGAGAGGACTGATTTTCTGTCTATATAAAATTTAGACACCACTTGCACCTCTCGTTCGACGCTACGAGCACGGAAACTGCCATTTTGCCAGTGACAGTGTATTTGCAGCACGATGCTTTGCGGCTGGAATTGGAAGGATAGGTTCGTGGACGGCTGCCATGGAATCCCGTGTATCCGTTGCACTCGAACTCGAAGTTCTACTCCCATCTCTGTAAATAGGTTCCATGACCAGCTTTCATTCGACGCCCTAAACTTTTGTTTTCTGAACTGGCGTCAATTATCTGTACCTGGTTGGTTCTGTAGTTCAGGGTTCCCAAGGTCCTCGAGCGCGGCTTCCCGTCAGAAGCTGAGCCACGTCGTCTCCCTGAACTAGAAGCACGTCTTCATGTCTCACTCCGAACTTATCGATAAGGTAGATCCCAGGTTCCAATGTAAAAGCCATGCCGGTCTTTAGCAAGCTCACCGTATTTCCTTGGTTCAGATACGGGCTTTCGTGGGCTGTGGGGTGAGTCAGGTCGATCAGCCCGATTGACAGGGGTGTATCAAACAGACATTTGATGCCGATACCATGGCCAACACGATGTGTAAACATTTCACCATACCCTGCCTTTCTGATGACCTCGCGTGCGGCAATATCTACGCTGGCTGCGGTTGAGTTCTCACGTATTTGATCAATGGAACGAGTCTGCGCCTCAAAAGCAATGATGGTAGTCTTCGGTGGCCTCGCCATCGGCTCGGACGGATTCAATGCCTCGATCATCGGAAACATTGAATTGTTGATGGGGGTTATTTATCCGAAGTCGCTGACCACTGCTGTAGCCACTCGGCTATCTAATGCATTCATGGTCGGTATGATCATCGGCATGCTGTCCTTTGGTTACATCTCCGACAAACTGGGCCGCAAGACTGGCACTGTTCTGACAACCACGATTTTGGTTCTTGGAATTTCACTGAGCGCCGGTGCCAACGGTTTGACTGAAGACGGCATGTTTTGGATGCTAATTATCGCTCAGGGTATCGCAGGTGCTGGGGCGGGTGGGTAAGTTGGCATTCGTCGCTGCTTTGTGCTCCGTTAACTAATATGATTTCACCAGAGAATACCTTGTTGCAGGAGCAGGTGCTGCTGAAGCCACAGATGAGGTACTGGAAATTCGCAAACGAAGAGGCTTCATTTTTGCCATGATTGGTGACCTGTCCGCCTCTCTCGGATTTGCTTTTGGCTCCCTGGTGCCACTCACTTTGCTTTTGTGTTTCCATCAACGAGTGCAACATTACGAAGCCGTGTGGTGGGCCTCTCTAGCTATCGGGGCTATTGCTTCTCTTTCAATCTGCTGGTTTCGCTATCGTATGGTTGTCAGCTCTGCGTATCAGAAGAGCTCTATGAAGAAGCAGAGAATTCCCTACTACTTAGTGATCAAAAAGTATTGGCGACCTTTGCTCGGCGTTTGCGGTTCGTGGTTCATGTAAGTACTCCACTACTGTGTGGACCTAGATCTCTGTGGGTAACTCCTAGATCTCTGTGGGTAACTGCAGCCATTGCACCAGTTACAACTACATCTCTTACCCTTTCGGCTATTTTCATCCACTACCGTCGGTCGGGTCAATCCATCCTCTTCATCGTGTTCTATGGCATCTTTCTCACACTCGGAGAAGTTGGCCCAGGCTCCACAATTGTTCTTACTGCTAGTGAAAGCTTTCCCACCGCCATTCGTGGTCATGCAGTCGGATTAGCAGCTGCTTGGAGTAAGGCTGGAGCAGCGATTGGCACTCAAGTTTTCAAGCCCATTATGGCCAGTTGGGGCTATGATGAGCTTTGGCGATAGTAATGACTGCCCGAGGATAAATGGAACTAAAAAAGAAGTCCAGAATATATATACTGCTTCCGTGGTGATTTATTCTGTTTCTAACCTTTTTTTCTAAATCGACCATATCCCTATTTTACTTTTCATGTGGCTTGTTTTTGTGGCAAGTTTCTTTCACAGGGAGGTTCTTATTGTCCAGGTGTCCAACCTAGTGAAGAGGGGCGCTTAATGGCAGTTTGTTAAAACAGATGGTTTGAAACAGCAGAGATGATCACCTAGCGATGCTCAACACATCAGATCGCCTATCAGGGTCAACGACACTTGTAGAGCGCTGAGCACCACCGGGGTATGGGGAAGAGGTACAGAAAAAAAAGAGTGCATTATTTTCTATGCCCGAGAGAGGCTTAAATATACTACAAACTGATGCAGGACTTGTCCACATAGCTCCGTCCGCAACCTAACCGTAGTCAAGATCAGCGCTAGGAGCAGCATGCTTTCCATCATCCGAGCATACTCAAACGGCTGCCGTGGCTTCGCAGGTAATGACAGACAAACAGGTGCAATTAAATATCTCGCTACACCACCTAGGTCCGTGGAGAATGCCATTCTTAGTTGAGCCCACGTGAAGGGCTAGGGAGGTAGGTGCAAACTAGTATAAGATAGGCGTCTTTCAATTTGCTCATCAAGCACACCATCTATTCACAAGCTCCTCGGCCCGTATTAGTTTCAGGCAAATACTGTGCCAGTCAGAATCTCCGACCGGGGTCCGAGGTGGAAAAGCGGAATATGATAGACCGGGGCATCCACAGTGACTGCCTGTCCCCCTGCATAGGTCTGGTTGGTCCACCAGTACGTCCACGGCTTCACCTCGTCGCCGGGTGTCTGTGGCAGGTAAACAGACCACTCGGTCACATTTGGCTTGGTGACTGGCGTGACCAAGAGCCGCGGACCGAACATGTACTGTTGGGTTGTAATGTTGCTGTTCTCTTGGGTCCACGTGGAAATCTGGGGGTCTGAAATTTCGAAATCCATGTAGAGCGGGCGCATTATCATACGACCGGTCTTATGGAATTGAGAAAAGACCTGACGGATGTATGAAGACAATTGGTAGCGAAGACTGATATAAGAGACGATGATCGGGGTGTTCTCTGCACCATACGACCACGGCTCATTGGCACATGTGTAGGCATCCTTGGTGTCGCATGCCCTTGAACCATGTGTGCGCATAAACGGCAGAAAGGTCGTCCACTGTAGCCATCGAACATAAAGTTCGCGATATTCAGGGGTGTCGATATTGGCGCTCCAAGGCACTGTTGGATCCGCTTGAAACCCACCAGCGTCCAAAGTCCACCAACCCCAGCCGGTTGCAGCTGCGGATAAACCGCTGGCAACCTGTGCACTGAGAGTTTCCCAGACGGCAGTCGTGTCCCCTGACCAGATCATACTGCAGAATCTCTGAGAACCGATATAGCCCGAGCGACTGAGCGATAGATAATCACAAGGAGCTCCCATCTTGGTGGACGTCACATTCCGAAGACCCTCTTCGATTGCTTGCTGATGGGCCCATGGGTAAAGCTTGCCGACGCTGCTTTGTGTACCGGCGGCATATAGCACTTCTGGAAGAGCAAACGGGATGGATTCAATATAGCTGCTCTGGCCATTATTTTCGAAGGCCTCGCCGAGAGATCCTCCATCAGCCTGATCAATCCAGAAGTTTTTGATGCCCTTGTCGAAGTAATGTTTCTTCAAGTTATCCCACAAAAAGGACCGCGCACCTGGGTTCGTCGAATCGTAATTGCGAATGTAGGACCCATTCCACGAGTCAGTCGTTCCGGGGCCAGATCGAGTAGCAGACAGGAATCCTTGCGCCATCATGTCTAGATAGTTGACGCTATTATCCGACACGCTAGGCCATAGAGATGCCATCATTTCGGCATTCGTCAGCTGCTTGACTTTTTGCGACATTTCAGCCACTTCTGGCCATAGACGTGGGTCGAGGGCCCAGTCACCCTGGTGAGCCCACGACTGGTAATCGATAACAATCAACGACACTGGAATCTGACGTTTGTTGAATTCTTCCGCAAGAAGAATCACCTCGCTTTGGTTTTCATAACGTAGCTTCGATTGGATATAGCCTAGTGACCAGTCTGGTGGTACGGGCCCTCTTCCGGTAATGGCGGAAAGCCGTTGCTGTAGCGTGTCATAGTCACCGGGTTTCGATGAAGCTGTTATCACATAGTCAACCACTGTAGCTGCATCTGTAGTGAATTTGTTGCGCAGCGGCCCAAATTCCATTCGACCGGTCGAAGGCATATTCCATACAAAGCCATAGCCTCTGTTACTCATAAAGACTGGGGTCGGAATATGTGTATTGAAGTTGATAAGGTCGGTGGTCATTCCCTTTTTATTAACGAGATGATCCTGCTGGGTCCCCGTCCCATATATTTGCTCGTTGGGTGTTGTACTGAAGGAGAACTCTGCGGCAAACTCGCTTCCGGGGCCGGTCCACGAGTAGTATCTTGGATTGATGGATTTGAGCGGCGCATACTCGTTTGTGAGCAAGGTTTCCGAGCCGTCGGTTTCCACTCTGTAAAATGCCAGGCGATATCCACCAGGATTGCCACCCCAGCCAGACGTGCGCACAATCATGTTGCCATTGCGAATCTCCTCGGATTGATTGCCATTGAAGGCGGTATCGAAGCTCATACCATGCGCCTCGCCATTCTCGGGCCCTTCAAGTGGAGGGTCGTAGACGAAGCAGACCTCATGCCCCGTTGGGGGGCGAAAAGGCCAGGCACGCACTCGAAAGCCATCATAGCCAAAAGGCTGCACTAAGACAGTCTCTTGACCGTGTTGCATGCGGAACCCTTTCGAGGCAGGTTGGTGATAGCCTTGTGCCGGGGCCGCCACGGTGCTCCCGGCGTAGAAGGCAAGCATGCTAGCAAGAGAAAGACGCATTGTGCTTCAAAGGGACCAGATTGCCAATGATGCCGAATCGAAGGCTCAATAGTTCTTAAGCTCTTTTTTAAGATCGAATCATGCTTCCAATTTAGCCTGAATTGAAGAACATTTTGGGAAAATCCCCTCCAGGAGCGTCATCGAGATGCAGATCGGCATTCTCAGTTACTCCAGGTGTGGACGTAAATAGTGCGGAGACAATGACGGGTATCTTCTAGGTCGCATACAAGTCCGAACAATACACACGCAGCAGGGAACGGAGGAAATTATTCTGAAGCTAGGCTGAATATAGTCAGGCAAGGAAGTTAATGCGAGATGTAACAGCAGATCATTGTTGCTCTGCAGATTGCTCTTGACTCTCGCGGTTATTTGTGAGACAGCTTTCGCCGCTCCGAGCTCTATACTGGAGGGCAGAAAAAAGGGTTTGAAAGGTATATATAAGCAAGGCAAGATAGAAAATGAAGCCGAACTAAAGAGTAGAGTCACGAGTAGAGAGGGTATCGGGATAAGAGATACTCGAAATGAAGGGAGACAGTGACGATAGTTAATCAAAACCGAGTGAGCGACGCATCTCTCGGAGTTTCAGTTTCAGGCATCCTCAGGCAACAAGGTATTGGCAGGTCTGCCGGGCGGTGAGTCCCTTGTGATGTCACACAAATCCCGTCGCCGAAACAGGCTCATTCGACAAGACTGAATACGATCTAACATGGGAGGAGGCAAACAAGTGCCTCGTAATTCTGGCTCCGAGGGTACATCTGGACCTCCAACCTCAAGCCAGAATACCCATCTCCACGCCGTGGTTGACTTGGGCAGGTAATGGCTGATCCTACACCCCGCATGCCGACCTTAATGATTGATATGGCGTAGCAATGGCATTCGATGCTCGATCTCTGACCTGTCTGCTCCTGTGACTCGCGTCATTCCAACCGTCCATTTCCACCGAGTCAACATCTCTCTTTATGAAGCACAGATTGATCCCGACACCGGCAACCGTATCCCGATTCCTCAGTCTGTGATTGATCGAGTCGTTAGTGCTATCGTCCGATTCCAAATCATCTGCATGGAAGTAGGCGTTCCGTCCCCCAATATTCGACTCATTGCTACCGAGGCTACCCGAACGGCCGTCAACTCTACGGCATTCACCGATGCAATTCGCGACACAACGGGCCTCTCGGTTGAGATGCTACGGAAGGAGCAGGAAGGTATCATCGGTGCATGGGGCATCGCGAGCAGCTTTTCGGACGTGGAGGGGCTGGCCCTCGACCTCGGCGGAGGCAGTATGCAAATGACCTGGATCATTTCGCACTCGGGCAACGTCGACATCAGCCCTCACGGGTCAGTCAGCTTTCCCTATGGAGCAGCGGCTTTAACACAAAAGTTGGCCGACTTGGAACGAGGCAAGAGCAAGGACGAGGCCCGTGCGGCAAAGGAACAATTTCGCCGGGAGATGGCGAGCAACTTCCGAGCTGCTTTTGAGAAGCTTGAAATCCCCGACGGCCTGGTCAAAAAAGCCCGGAAACAGGGCGGATTCCCTCTATACCTGTCCGGCGGCGGCTTCCGCGGCTGGGGTTATCTGCTCCTTTACCTCCATCAGACCCGGGGTCAAAGCTATCCTATTTCCATCATCAACGGATATTCTGCTCCCAAGGAAGATTTCGAGAACACCGAGGTCCTCGAGGAAGTCGCTCGCACGGCGCACGAGATCTTTCGGGTGTCGGATCGACGACGGAAGCAGGTGCCATCGGTCGCGTTCCTAGTGAATGTGTTGGCCGAGTCGTTGCCGAACGGAATCAAGGAGGCGCATTTCTGTCAGGGCGGCGTCCGGGAAGGGGTGTTATTTCGCGAGATGCTGCCGGTAGTGCGTCAGCAAGATCCTTTGGAAGTCGCCACCAGCCGATATGCTCCTTCTTCGGCGGCGTCAATTTCAGCGTTGATACTCGCTTCTCTCCCGCGGCCTGCGGCCGGGCGGTCGGTCCCTTCCTCCTTAAGCGTGCATCTCATCCAAGCCTTTGCCAATGCTCTTTACGTGCACGCAACCATGGCGAAGGAGCTCTCCTCCAGTGCTGCACTTTACAGTACAAGTACGGGGATTCTCGCCTCGACGCACGGAATTCCCCATTCACATCGCGCTCTCTTGGCGTTGATGCTTCAAGAACGATACGGTGGAGAGCTTCCGCCGCGCGATGTGGATCTGAAGTCTCACCTCCAAGGAATACTCACCCCGGAAGAAGTTTGGTGGACACGGTATATTGGGAAGTTGGGCCTTGTACTCGGTCAACTCTATCCCACTGGGACCATCGACACATCCAAGCCACGCATCGTTCCATCCGCTGAGTGGGCCAGTGGTCTTGGGAAGAAAGGGAAGAAGGATGGCGTGAAGTTGAAAATTACGATTCAAAAGGTTCCTTCTGACCCAGCACATCTGAAAGCGGAATTGGAGCACGACGTTAGAAAGATTGAGAAGGTAGGCAAACGCAAGAACTGGATTGGGGGGAGCCATGGCTGGGGCATGAAAATCTTGGTAGATGTGGAGGAAGAAGATCTTCTCCTGCCACAGACCTCTACAACTTGATGCCGAAGCAACACACGCTGGATCTACGTTAAGACGCAAACCTGGCTTATTCGGCCGGGTTGCATCGGAGAGCAAGACACATGTTTTGTACGGCCCGTGACCGGCTGGCAAAGACATATCCCTATCGTATGGCCATTGGCATTCCTGGCGTCAATTCTCATCTTTGGCCCAATTTGGAATTGGCGATAAGCCGCTATTCGCCCCTTTTGTCAGCGCGGCCCTCTACTTGGAGAATTTGTGCGTCGCGGGTCCACCGAGAGTCGCCCTGTCTCCACACCGGATTTCAATTCCAAGTAAATTTTCGTATTCCCTACTGGTCTCTTCCTTCTCCTTGGACTCTCTATAGGTATTTTCTCGTCCGGACTTACGAGGCTGGTGACGGTAAATTATCCAAAACGGCCATAGCTGTGAACAAAGATTCTTGACTTTTCAATTCAAATACCACAACCTTGGAGATCTTGCGTATCTCGGTTTAAAAGCCCGTTTTGCCGACGACGCAGACATGAAAACGGGCAATCGGGACATGGGGTGAAACCTCCATCCCATACCTAAAACGGATTTTTAGTACCTAACAGGAAACGTATGACTGGAAAGGATGCCCTCATGTCTCCATCCCGGCAAGTGTAAATTTGAGCCTCGCCCATTTCCCTGCGGCCATTTTGTTAGGTTTTAGTGAGACAATCTAGGATTTATTCTCCAGTCTGTTATTGGAGGGGTAGTTATTCTTTCCTGCAGCAAAGGGGCAAGGAAGGAGAGCAGTGGGGAAGGCCAGAATATAGTGTAGTGGACAACGGATGATACAGCGGCGATGCTTGGATTTGAGATCTCGCTGATTTAACGCTGTGTCACTGGAAGGTTTTGATTGTAGTGAGTGTCATAATTCCATAAACCGGCGCATCATATTTCACACTCGTGTGCATTGCGCATCAGGATATTATGGAGATCATAATCGTGTGATTTGGGGAGATGTGATATCTTCCCGGACAAATAACAAAACTTCAACGTTGTGGCCCGTCACGTGGCGATTATCAAACGATCAACAATCAGATAAGATGTGATGATGCCAATTTCGTCTCCAAATTGTCCGGGCAGGTGGAATACAACAGGAAGGCGGCTAAAGCTGTGTATTTTCGTAAAAGCCTCCGAGGAATATTCTTCGCATCGCCTTGATTTTTCGACTGTTTTCCAGGGACGAGTCTTCCGGATCCCAGAATTTTCGTGGTCAGCCGGTGGGTCTCGGCCGATCGGACTGTGCGATCATCGGTGCTCCGCCTTTTCTCCTCATCGCTCTTCCGCATCCCTGGACTGGCAGCCTGTCACCGCCAGCAATCATGTTGTTCTTCCGATGGCTGGCCATCGCGCTCGGTGCTCAGTTTGCCCGAGGCGAAGATCTGCCGATGAATGAGCGATGTGTGACCGCCATCTACAACGCATACAACTACGTCTCCTTTGCAGGCGCCTTCAAGGGAATGTGGGATACTCGGTGCCAAAACCCCCTCAAAGTTGCATCTATATATGCAGCTAGTGATGTGTATTGCCGGAACCAGGAACGAACAATTGGGCTTGCGCACCTGGCTACATTGTGTCAAGAATTCGGCCATCGCGAGCTGCTCCCAAGAGAGGCCGTTGCGGAAAATTTGACCAGAGATGCCATTCGTAATATGCGCACCGTTGCCTACTTGGAAGTATCCAGAGCCGAAATGCTTGACAGTCCGGTCCTTCTCTCTGCGTCTTACTTCAATCGAATGTTTAATACAATCGTGCGTCCTCACACTTCTTATATACCATTAGCATGGAGCGACAACAGGCTAACTAATCTCCTTATGTTCCATGTATAGGGCTCATGGCAGTTTGAGACTTGGTCACATCATGCATTTGGGTAAGGATCTCATATCCTTTTTTATATACTGCTGGTGTGGAATTGATGTGTAGTATTAACATCTTCTTTGACAATTAGCTACATTGGATATGTCTATTGGGCCATTGTATTGATATGTGGAGCTGTCTATCGATTATTCTGTTATGCATTTCATCCCCGCAAATTTCGAGGAGAGCCAGGCTTGGAATCTCACGTGTATCCCCGATCTGGCATCTGCCATGTCTTACCATGGGTGGAACGTGTCTTTCGTTGGCTCCAGACCCATTTCATTATTCCTGCACCTGTTGCCGCAAAAGGCCGAAACTTGGTAGGTTTTACATTCTCTAACCGGGCTGAGTCACTCGTGGTGGCAGGCTTTTGGCTCATCAGCATCGTCTTGAGCCTGGTGGGCTATCGGACGTTTCCAGGAAATATTTAGTATGGATAAGATTTTCCCCACTGTCATAGGTGACCTGTCTGACGGAATAAAGCTGGCCTGATATTTCCAGCCAGATCTTACGCTATTCGGCTGACCGAACCGGTATCATGTCATTTGCGAACTTCCCCTTACTGTGGTTGTTTGGCGGGCGAAACAACATATTGATCTGGGCGACAGGATGGAGCTTTTCTACCTTCAGCGTTTTTCATCGCCATGTTGCGCGGGTGGCTACACTACAGGGTGTAGCACATTCATTTCTCTACTGCGTGATCATCGTTCGAAGTAAGTGATTGACTACTTGGCCGAATCTTGTCCTTATAATTGTTGAACCGTATCACCATGCAGCCAATAAACTATGGAAAGACCTTTCAAAGTTATATATACTATGGGGCGTACTGGTAAGTGCCCGGCATCGTGAAGAGAAGGTTAGGATTCAAAGGTTAACGGAAGGCCAGGCGTTTTTTGTAATGATCCTGTTACTTATCACCTCCTTGGGGCCAATTCGAATCGCGACATACGAGGTCTTCTTGGTCACACATATCCTGTTTTCCGTAATTTGCCTCATTGGGTGCTTTTAGTGAGTTTACTCGAACTATATACCCATTCCACGGCTGACATCTTTGCAGCCACACCATAATATTCGAGGGGAACGAGTACTGGAAATATCTGTGGCCGTCTGTGGCCGTATGGGCTATCGACCGGGCTTTAAGAATCGTTCGACTTTTCTGCTGCAATATTCACGTCCAGTTTTCCAGCCGCAATATTATTCGTGGCTCCGAGAGCCGCATGACATATGACGAAACAGCCGATGTGATTCGGCTCGAAGTGACGCCAGGTACCCGACTACAGTTCACTCCGGGTGACTATTACTTCCTGTATCAACCATTTCGATTGAAAGGCTGGGAGAACCATCCTTTTACCGTCGGAGCCATATCATACGAAGTCGGACATGCACAGCAATCATCCCAAGCATCCCGAGGGAAGCCGGACGACTTGTGGGACGCTTCTGAGCTGCCCCTCCTGTCCGAGACGCAAAGAAAAAATAACGAGGAAACAACGGAGGAATTCGCCCGAGAAGAGGACACTGCCCGGTTGAAGTTGATTTTCTGGATTCGCCCCTACGACGGCTGGACGCAGCAGCTGCGACAACAGTGCCTGCATTGCAAGAGTCAGTCGGTGGATGCAACAATTCTATTAGAGGGGCCTTACGGACACAACTTCCCGCTTTGGAGATACGACTCGGTCTTGATGATTGTGGGTGGCACTGGAATTGCTTCGGCCGTGCCCTATCTCCAGGATCATCTCCGGCGAACTGGTGAAGCCCAGAGCCACATCAATGAGGAGACACGAATTCGGGATATCGAGCTGATTTGGACTGCAAGACAATCGGCTCTGCTTTGTGATATCGCTAGCCGGGAGCTAGCCCCCGTTCTTGCGCGAGAGGATTTCCATGCCTCTTTCTATACTACCGGTGCTTCTGTTGAAACTTTGCAGGATCGTAACAGGCCCCGCTGTGTCATTCGGACAGGCCGGCCTCAACTCCAGTCACTCATCATGCGCCGTGCCTGCGATGCGTCCGCTGCCGGTGTATCGCTCGTCATTTTCGTATGTGGCCCGGCCGAAATGGCCGATGAAACACGTGCGGCGACACATCAAGCAATGCGACAGGGCTACCGGTCGATCAAATATGTGGAAGAGTCTTTCACCTGGTAGTCAAGACGCCCGACCCTCCCAAAATTATGGTATGTGGCGACCGAGATATTTCGAGATGTCTTTCTGGTGTACATAGATCGGTTACTTTCATTCTCGTACCAACAGAGTCTCTCCATAACCGACAGAGCTATCTGATGCCCAACTTCAATAGTCTTCTTGCAACTCTGATTATTTGCGGAGTCGGTTTCTATTACTCGACCGGAATCATAACAATTGGTGGATCAACCTGAAGGAGACCTGCTTGGGAAAAGATGTCTCGCCAACGACGCCGGTGACCAAGTGACTGTGCGTGATGTAGGAGGTGGCTGCTGCAGCTTCTTGTATGGTACTTTGTATGATCGATTTCAAATGGCAGTGTGTGGACGAGTCAAACTCGAACCAAGGCCCGTAGCGGTTGATTCTATCGGCGTCATGCATGCGACCTTGATGAGTCTCCAAGAGGCTCGAGAAATTTGATAGACTGTAAAATCATTTGTTGAATCGATACTTTGGTGCCGTTCGGCCCTCATGTTGTTTAGATATTTTTTTTTTCTCGGCCCCTCGGCCCCGGATTGATAGATCATATTGACGATCACTCCGGGGAGACCCAAACCCGGATGGACCGAAGAAGCAAAAGCGCTGTGCTAAGGCAGATCTCAATCTGGTGAAGCCACATTGCATAGCCGCTTGTCGTGTAACCCTCGCGATGTGTGTATTCCAACGTTGGGTTCTCACGACTCCGTGGGATCGACAGGGACGGCTGTACCCTGTGCCTAATTCCTGCAGCTCCCGCGTTGATAATGTACGGCGCGATCTTGTCCAGCTCGCACTGCCAAGCATCGGAGACCTGGTTCAAAAAGTTATTTGTGTTCAGCTGGAAGCAATGATCAACGATAGCCACGCATGCTATTGCTTTCCAGGCGTGATATCAGTACAGAGACGGTGTCGCCTGAGATGCCATCAACTTAAGGCTGGGCATGATCGGTCCGGATATAAAAGAGTCAAGAAATGCGGTCTCATTTCTGTCCTTCATCCTCAAGCTCCTCTTGTGCAATCCATTCACTCAATCACCTCTCAGCCACTTTTGAAAGCCCTTCGTCCATCCAATCCAACCATCGGAATGGAGTTCTTCACCTCCGCTCTTCTTCTTGCCGCCACTGCGATGGCCCTTCCTCAGCCCGGTGACGGTGATGGTGGTGGAAGCCACGTCAAGTTCCCCGTCGGCGACAAGACCACCCTGTCTGAGGCTCAGGCCAAGTGCGACAACGACGCCAAGGTCTCCTGCTGCAACAAGGCTACCTACACTCGACACATCACCAACGTCAATCAGGGCGGCCCTCTCGCCGGTGTCTTGCAGTCTGCCCTCGGCGGTGGTCCTGGCGGCGATGGCCTCGGTCTCTTCGGCCAGTGCAACGACATCAGTGCCAACAGTAACCGACCGAAATAAACCGAAGAATTGCATCAGCTAATTCTATGACAGTTCCCGTCCTGAATGTCGTCGGCGGCGGTCTTGACCAGCTGGTTGAGCAAAAGTGCAAGCAACGTTTGTTTTTCGTTTGTCGCCATCCCTTGGGGCGATTTATCTTAATTATAATAAAGCAACCTTGCCGTGAAATACATTCTCCGATTCTCTTCATCCCCATTATGGAGACAAAGCCGCAATTCGGTTCAAGATAACCTAATAGCTCCGTGGCGTTGATGGCGAGAACCCAGCATCAAAACTTGCCGGAAATCCTGCCCACCAGGGTATCTCCGGAAGATGCTGCAGGGCAGATAACAGGCCCGTCGGTTCGGATCCCGCAACGGGGACATTCACTTGACACGAAGACACCAATATGCGCCAAGGCCGCGCAAAATAACCTCGATTTTCTGACTTCGCAACCTTTGGAACCTTGGAATTATTGTCCGGGCCGAGACCGGGCTGATTGGTTAGATCCTTCACGATAAAGGTACCTTCATCCACTCTTCAACGGAATACGAGGTTCCCGAGATGATCCCAGAGCTAATCCAGCCGGGATCCGTGGCCCACTGGACTGCTAAGTCCCACTCAGGGCTCGGACAACGACGAACCGAAGCTGCGTCGACGGTCGACAAATACAATCCCCAATCCCCAACCCCCAAATCTCCTCCTCCTCCTTCTCAACTGGCGGGTTTTAATATCGAACGTGTGCGAGAAGGCAAATGCCGTGCAGAACCCGTTATCTGATCCCGTGTGGAGCGCCACGAGGCGGCAGTAAGCGAGAAAATAAAAAGTCCGGTGACGACCGGGAAGAGACTCCCGCGCTAGGAAGGCCGTAAGGCGATCATCTTCGGGTGTGAAGGGCCCTCGGAGACCCTCCTGGAATCTGGAGACGAAGCCGATCCCTAAACCGGTTGTTCATGCACCCAGTCCAAGCAGAACCAGAGTTCCCAAAGCTCCGAGAGAGCCGACACAGGGACGTAGACGAAGACGCAGCCCTAGGCAAGTTGCGCAATAGCCGTGCCTTGTTCCAGCCTAAAATGGAGCACGCCAAGAGCTGGATTTCAGAAGCTGGATTTCAGAACCGCCTTGTGTAATTACGCATTCCCGGCGTTACAGGGATCCACCGCGGCGGATCTGATTTGATCGCGGGCTAATCTGATCGGATACCAGAAATTTGTGGCGGTACCTGCGAGGTAATTGTTCGGAGCCTTTTTTTTTTTTTTTTTTGGCTAAAAGCCCCGGTGTCATCTTTCTGAATCCGCTCCCATTTTCCCTTCATATCAGTATGGCTACCACCAGGAGTGTTCAACGCTTGCAACAGACGCTTTCGCACGTCCTGCCCGCAACGGCACCGCTGCAGTGGTCCATTGTCGCGGGTCCGACGCACCCGCAGCTGTTGGACATTACTCTAGGGGAGTTGCTGACCCTGCAGGCTCTACAGTACGGCGACTATGAGTGCCTGGTATTTCCCTGGACTGGGGCACGGTGGACGTACGCCGATCTAAGGGACGAGGCCGACCGACTCGCTCGGGGAATGCTAGCCATGGGCATTCAGAAGGGCGATCGTGTCGGCGTCATGGCAGGCAATTGTGAACAGTACATATCTGTCTTCTTTGCGGCTGCCCGCGTGGGTGCCATTCTGGTGGTGCTCAACAACACCTATACCCCCTCCGAGCTGTACTATGCTCTGAATCACAGCGGTAGGACGCGTCCTTCGTGATGAAGCAGTTGCCGTGCTGACGCAGACACAGAATGCCGACTGCTCTTCATGACCCCGCGCATCGGACGCCATAGCCTCGAAGAGGTCCTGGCCGAGCTGGGTCCCCGGCCCAAGCAAAACGGAACCTCCGAGTCGCTCGAGGAGATCGTCATTGTGCGCGGCGACCACGGCCACTTTTCCACCTACGCCGACGTGATCAGTCGTGGTCTTTCGCAGGCCGCCCATGTACTTCAGGATCGCGAGGCCGAATTGCGCCCGGGTGATGTATGTAACCTGCAGTTCACCAGCGGCTCGACGGGTAACCCCAAGGCGGCGATGTTGACGCACCAGTAAGTTTCGTGGTCCGTGGGGAGATTGACAGGGCTGACTCGGCAGTAACCTCGTCAACAATTCGCGCTTCATCGGCGACCGCATGAACCTGACCTCCTTCGACGTTCTCTGCTGCCCGCCGCCACTCTTCCACTGTTTCGGGCTGGTCTTGGGCATGTTGGCCGTCGTCACCCACGGCTCCAAGATTGTCTTTCCCAGTGAGACCTTCGACCCCAAGGCCGTGCTGCACGCCATTTCCGATGAAAAATGTACCGCCCTCCACGGTGTGCCCACGATGTTCGAGGCCATTCTCAGTATTCCCAAGCCGTCCAATTTCGATACCTCTAACCTGCGCACCGGCATCATTGCGGGCGCGCCCGTCCCCCGACCACTTATGAAGCGCCTCCTGGAGGAGTTGAATATGACCGAATATACGAGTAGCTACGGTACGACGATGACCGCTTGTGCTCCACCCCCGATTCTCACTAATCCGGCGTCCAGGCCTTACCGAAGCCTCCCCCACCTGCTTCAATGCCTTCGCCACCGATAGCATCCACACACGTTTGACCACCGTGGGTAAGGTATTGCCTCACGCTCGCGCCAAAATTGTCGATGCCAAGGGCAACATCGTGCCGGTGGGCCAGCGGGGCGAGCTCTGCATCGCCGGATACCAACTCACCATGGGCTACTGGAACAACCCGGAGAAGACCGCCGAGGCGCTCGTCACCGATGCCAACGGCGTCACCTGGCTCAGGACCGGTGACGAGGCCTCCTTCAATGAGAACGGCTACTGCAGCATCACCGGTCGCTTCAAGGATATTATCATTCGGGGTCAGTTTACCTCGCCTTCCACGCTTTCTTTCATTTCCTGTTCCTCGACTGACTCGTGCAGGCGGCGAAAACATTTACCCCCTCGAGATCGAAGAGCGCCTGACGGCACACCCACACATCGATCTGGCCTCCGTCATCGGTATTCCCGACCATAAATACGGCGAAGTGGTCGGCGCCTTCGTCCAGATCACCCCTGGCCACACCCGCCCCACGGATGACGACCTTCGAGCTTGGACGCGAGAAACCCTCGGTCGGCACAAGGCACCGCAGCACGTGTTTGTGTTTGGTGAGGAGGGAGTCCCCAGCACGGTCCCCGTCACGGGCAGCGGAAAGGTTCGGAAGGTGGAGCTACGACAGATAGCGACCACGGCGCTGGCTCAGCGAAGCCAGTAGAACGTACATAGAAAATAAATACCCTTCTGGTTTTTTGTTCGATTCATGCGCGGAATTGAAGTTTTATTTTATTTTACTTTATTTTGTTTTGTTCTGTTTTTGTTCCCAACCCGCGGGCCATGATCTTATCAGATGCCATGATTCGTGTGAAAATTTCACGCTAGTAGCGCTGACGAAATGGCAAGTGCGTCCGTGGCGTCAGCGAACACGGCGGCGGAGTCGGCCGCGCCGCATTGCTGCAATCAGATTAGATGGGGATCTTGTCTGATCGATGATCCCTCCGTGATTGGTCCGTATCGGGTATTGAGTATTACACATCTCCACTTTACCGTTCAACCCCATCACACCCCTCCCTCCCCTCCTCTGTACACTCTCCGAGGCTCCGGTTTCAATTACGCTGTCTGGGTCAAAGGGTGGGTCAATGTCTCAATGTGGCGTCCCCACCGATTATATTCAGAGGTCAAAAAAGCCGTTAGCGTCGGGACGCGGAATGGGTTGTTCTCGAGGGTCTTAGACCTTTTCAAAGTTGTATGAGAGTTACATGAAAGAACTGGGATGGCTCTCCACTATAAGCGCCTACCGCTTTTGGGGTAGCTCAGCTGACTTGGCCAGTATGGCCGTCTGATGCGGGTCCTCATGAATCCTATGAAGGGATTCGCGATGTTGGCCCAGAACGCCGGTCTTGTAACAAGAAGCCTCGTCATGCAGGGGCGCGTACAACCCTCCATGTCGGAGGAAAGCACCCTAATTTATGGTTGATCATGGATCGTCAAACCTGCGGCGGCTCGTGCAGTTCAGTGATCTCAGAGACTGCTGACGAGTGGGGCGTGTCGTTTCGTTGAATCCTGCGCGTCACATCCGCGTAAACCCAACAACTCGGAGCTCCTTGCATGTTTTGGTATTGAGTTGATTCCTCCTCACCGTTAGCTAGGTCGCCAAGTCGCCTGTGCCTCGTTCCGTCGACTGGACGGCTGGGATCGGGTCGGACCTGGTAATTTTCTGGCGCACGGCTGTCGTGCCCAGCCCACCGGGTGAGACACAGACCCGGTGTCGCAACACAATCTCATCTGATAAGATTCGGATCAGTGGGAGCCGAATTCTGGAGTCATATCGGGCTACATTATTACATCCCTGGTTCCGGTGTTCTTTCTGGCCCTCTTGTCACCTCCCGATTGTCTCTATCCCCTAATAGCGAGCCCCTATGTTCACGATGCCCTCCAACGACGGTGTACTGGCTGCAGCCCGAGCTTTTCGAGTGCTCATCATCGGTGGCTCTTACGGGGGGCTCGCCGCCGCGTTAACCCTGGTCGATCTGTCGCGGGGTCGTGTGCCTCGCTTCAGCTCGAACCCCGATGCCAAGCCTCCCCCTTATCGCGTTCCTATACAGATCACGGTTGCGGATGAACGAGACGGTTACTGTAGGCATTTCGCTTTGTTTTCTGTGTTCGGCTCTCACTGACTCTCCAGACCATCTTATAGGATCCCCCAAAGCTCTGGCTTGCGAAAAGTTCGCCTCGGAGTCATGGACTAGGTTCCGAGATATTCCCGCTCTCAAATCCCCAGACATTACATTTATCCAGGGTAGCGTCAGTGGGGTCGACTGCGCAGCCAAGGTCGCCCGAATTCTCGAAACTGAGACCCAAAATACCAGGACTGAACCGTACGACTATCTCGTAGTGGCATCTGGGCTAAGACGAGTCTTTCCTGCCGTGCCTCAGTCCCTGCGGAGAGCCGAATTCCTGGAAGAGGCCAAGCTGCATGCAAACGACGTTCGAAACGCCCGGGGAGGAGTGGTTATCATCGGCGGCGGTATGTTCCCAATCTTCAGATAACACTCAGAATGTTCCCATGGCTGACAAAGTTGCGTGGCCCTAGGCGCGGTTGGTGTCGAGATGGCGGCCGAGTTGAAGATCCTCGTCCCACAGCAGCAGGTCACCCTGATCCACTCTCGGAAACGGTTGCTTTCGTCAGAGCCATTGCCCGATGACTTTGCCGAGCGTGTGGACACGATTCTGCGCGAGGTAGGTGTCGAGGTGATCTTGGAACAGCGCGTTGTCGACACCACTGAGGTGGACGTTGACGGTGAGCGCCGCGCGTGGCTTCTGACTCTCAGCGATGGTCAGAGGCTCACTACCGGACGCGTTCTCAGTGCCATCTCAAGGCCCATTCCCACATCAATGTATCTGTCGCCCGATGCCCTGACAAACGACGGTTACGTGAAGGTCCACTCATCGTAAGTATTCGTCTTGTGAACAATGCTTTTCTCTGGGTAGCGGCATCGTCTAACGAGTCCGTAGACTGCAATTCTCAGGGGACGTCTCCAACCCAGAGCACCATTTCGCCGTGGGGGATCTCGCGGCGTGGAACGGCATCAAGCGCTGTGGCAGTGCGATGCACATGGGCCACTACGCCGGCAACAATATCTACCAGCACATACTCGCGGAACGCGGTGCTGGAAAGCCGAATTTCATGACCCTCAATCCTTTCCCTAACGTGATTGGACTGGCCCTTGGGCATAAAGCCGTCAGCTGGACCCCGGACCAAGGCACCCGCCACGGCGAGGATCTTCTGACCTCGCTGTTCGGGGAAGACATGGGAAACACGAGTATGTCTACCCTGCAAAAAGTCGGTACATGAAGCTGACTTGGATATCCAGCGTGTCGGAACTATATGCGATTTAGTGAGCCATGTGAGGCATGACCAGGATCGAAGGCCGGATGTTCTTTCTCATGATTTGCATGAGAAGTTCCCATGTCAGGTCTTGGAGATTGCTTCTGGTGTTCTGGTCTATCGAGTCAGTTTCCCGGGCCCACGACGTTTGCTTGTTGCGTGTGACATTCTCGGTATGAGGCTGGGTCGGATCTCACGTCAGATGTAACGGAGTCTTCCCTGCTGGCGCGCTGGAATCCCGCCAGCAGGACACGCACTCCGAGGTGTTTCGCCCCAAACGGTCGCGTGCGCCGGGCTGAAAGCGCTGGCATGAAAGACAAAGTACGAAAAAGGCACCCTGAATAGTGATCTGAGCCCCGGCACCGTACCTCGCAGTGCCCTCGCGGGGTTTCAGACCACACTCAATACAAAAGCGCTTACTGCTATCACGCCCCGCGCGACATCGCCGTCGTCGCAGCATGCGGTCGGCAAAGCGGCATGCCGGACGTAGTCTTAGACAGTAGCGACAGGTGTAGACATCCCGGTGGCGGGCCCAGTCCGTAGACTCGGCTAGTAACAGCAGGTCATGCGACGCCCGAGGGATGAGGTTATGCAAGTATCCACAGGTCAGCCGTAGCACGAGGACGTCACAAACGGGTAGAAAATCAGCAATTAAGATGTGTAGTTCGGGCGGCAGAGTGAAGAAGGGCGACATCAGGGAGAGAGGAGAAGAGGAAGCGGTTGAACATGGCAGATCAACGCTGAACTTTAACGTTTCCGTTTCTTCTCTCGTTGACTTGCAAAAGGAAACATTTCGGGTTGATTTCTTCATACAAATAATCCAATTCACCCAATTGACCCAATTGACCCAATTGACCTTGAGGCGTTCCATCCTTCTCCACATTGATCCTTGTCACCGACCGTGAATCCTCCTTGCGCCCCATCTAACCGCTGTCGCCTGTCACCCGTCATCTGTCACCGTCTGCAATTCGTTCTCTATTTCTTCCGTTCCGCGCTTCCACCGAAAATGTGCAATTCATCGCGGAAGCGGAGGCCCGTCCCCACCAATTAATATCGAACGTGCAATTCATCGCGGAAACGGAGTCTCCGAGGATTAGCAATCGGTTTCCACTCGCTTCCACCCCGCTCCTGAATAACGGAGCAATGCGAGCTCTTTAAAACAAGACCATAGCAGGTCCGACCCTCTCCAGTTCTCACCTCATTTACATCCACAATGGCACCATTCGGCAAGATCTACTCGTACACGCCCAGCCCTCGGGTCATGAAGGTACGCCACCCGCGTTGAACGGCGATTCCAGATGGGACTAACCCCACCCATAGGCCCAGGCGGCCGCCAACCTGAACGGCCTGGAGCTTGATATTCCGGAATTCGCCATGGGCAAGACCAACCGCACCGACGATTTTCTGTCCAAATTCCCCTTGGGCAAGGTGCCCGCCTTTGAGGGCGCCGACGGCACCAACCTCTTTGAGTCCGACGCCATGACCCAGTACATCGCCGAGAGTGGCCCTGCCGCCGAACAGCTGATGGGTGCTACGCCTGCGGAGCGGGCTACCGTCCGCCAATGGATCTGTTATGCCCAGGGTGAGGTGTTGGACCCTGTCACCCAGCTGGCCCTGTGGCGTTTGAACGTCCGGCCTTACGACGAGGCCACCGAGACCAATGCCCTGCAGCGGCTGGAACGCTCGCTGGCCTGTCTGGAGAGCCACCTCAAGGGCCGCACCTGGCTTGTGAACAACGACCAGCTCAGCCTGGCTGATATCACCGTCGCCTCTGCTCTCGTCTGGGGTTTCTCCATGGTGATCGACGCTGAGATGCGCCAGAAGTACCCTACCACCACCGCCTGGTATGAGCGTACCATCGAGGCCGACGGTGTGAAGCAGGCCTTTGGCGAGAAGAACTTCGTCGAGAAGCGTCAACTCTACCAGGGCTAAATTACTCGGGTTGTCCCTGCAGAAAGTAAAGTCCAAGAGAGTATTATGATCATTGAATTTCATTCCTGAAAGTATATACAGAGCGTGACGCCTGGGAAATCATGTGCAATGCACGCATAATGTAGGATTTGCGTAGGTTTCGATAATCATCAACGGGCATCGCGGCTTCGCAAGCTTCCTTCGGTGGTTTATACAGAGCTTCTTCTACCCCACAGTCCGTAAAGCCCGTGGGGAGAAGACACGGATCGCCTTACAGACGAGCCATCCCATTTCGGTCATTCTTGGGTTTGCCCAGCGCCCGAGCGATGTTGCGACTGGCCCAGTCGGCAATCCCCATGTTGGTGACCATCGGGTTCACACCGCTGGCACTCGGGAAGACAGACGCATCCACGACGTACAGACCGTCGGTGTCCCAGACCTGACAATCGGGATCCACGACGCTCGACTTGGGAGACTTGCCCATCCGACATGTGCCCATTTGATGTGCGCTAGCAAACAACCCCCGTTCCGGATTCAGGGGTGACTTTCGGCGCAGTTCGGCAATCCAGTTCTGCAGCGCAGCGTCGTTGGTACCGTCTGGATTCTCCATCGTCGACTCATCGGGTCGGATAAATGGAGGCATGTCACGGTAGGTCGTGTGGAACTCTTTGGCGCCCGAGATGTACGCAATCTTGGCACTAGCAATCAATCCCTCCACGATATGTCGGCGGTCAAATGCGGAGACGGTGTAGTCGACCCGGACACTCCCGTCCGTCGGGTCTGGGTAGACACGGCCGGTATCGCGGTCCTTCGTCAAGGTAATGAAGCTGGTGCTGCGCCTCATGCCGGCCGCCCACAGCTTGTAGTCCAATCCACCTCGCCAGGGGAAGACGGGAATAAACACAGAAGGCATCATCGCCACCGCTTCAATCTTCACACCGTGTCCATGTCCGTCGAGATCTTCAAACTCGTTGACCACTGTAGTCAACGCTCCGCCTTCCCACGGACGAACCTCGTCATCAAACACGGCACCAGCTCCCATAACTAGATCGGGAAATTAGCGTTCCGGTCGTAGAATGCCGGTGAGGGGATTGCTTACCCGGGTGAAGATGGAGATTCTTTCCAATCTGGGGGTTTTTGAGGCCACTGCGCATCAGCAGAAGAGGGCTCTGCAGGGTTCCAGCAGACACAACGACCTTCTTAGCCTTCACAATTACCTTGCGCTTCACGGCATCGCTCCCACCGAGGCCGAGATACGAGTCCCGCGAGGTCCACGTTCCTTGAACCCCACTGGCCACACGCTTGCCATCCTTCTTTTCAAACAGCACCTTGTCCGCACGAAAGCCTTCGACGAAGATCGCCCCAGCCTTCGCAGCGTCCACCAGGAATGTTTCGGTAGGGCCCTTCTTGCCACATGACGCACATCCCAGCGTGCAGTATCCGCAGTAGTGTTGGGCATTCCCGGTATTCTGGGGTACAGGATTCGCAGCATACCCCAGCTTACGGGCACCCTCCAGAATCACGCTGTTTCCGCGGTTGTGCTCGACGTGCTCGGTATTCACACCCATTCGGTCGCAAATGCGATCAAGACTCCGCTGGAATTCTAGGGAAGTGAAAAATGGCAGACCGCCGTCGGCCCATTCCTGACGAACGTACGCTTGGGTCTGTAGAGATGCAGACCAGTTGACGGTGCCACCACCCCCCCACGTTGAACCCGCCAGAACGGCCATGGAGCCGTCGTCACTGGCAGTAGCACCGGCATTCTCAAACAAGCTGATGTAACCGTCATTCGCCGTCATTGGGAAGGATTTGCTCGTGTATGAATATGATTTCTCCACCACAAGCACTCGAAGACCGGCCTCCGCCAGGTTCTTTGCGGTAACGGCACCACCGCATCCACTTCCGACGACGACCACGTCGGTCTCGATCGTCTCCGGCTCATCGCTCGGTGGGAATTGCAGGAACTCAAAGGGGAATGAATCCACGGGTTTTCCGTGCACCGGGACGCGGGGAAAGCCAAGAACATCATTGATCGTCGGGCTAGACATCACCCACGATTTCTTGACAATGCCAGTAAGACCGCGGTAGACGGAGCGAAGAGGGGGCAAACGAGAAGTGTCCCAGCCCCGAAAGACCTTTTCTCGGAAAGCAATGGGTTGTTGGTGGATGGGTGTTGTTGAGCCGGTCAGAATCAGTGAACCGGCTCGGGTGCTGTTCGGTCATGTCAGTCAACAATTCTCGACTTGCGGAGTACGCAAAGACAGATGCCTACTTGAGTGCATTCATAATGAAACCGAATCCAGCCTTGCCTTCGTCGTGCACGTAGCTGCCTAGAATTCTCTCCACGTACGAACGGAAGACGGGGTTGGACGAGACATCTTCCTCCAGATAGCGGGCTGCAATCTTCGCAGCGTCCGGGCCGGGGATCAAAGAAGTCAGCTTCGAGACAGCGGCATCCCATTCGCCGGTCGAGATCACTTTGTCCGCAGACGACTGAACGGTGGCAGCGGTGCGGATCGATGGCACAACCGCGTCACAGAGCGCAAAGAGGGTCGTCCACTGCGCATCGGAGAAGAAGCTCAAATTGGGGGACGGAGGAAGAGCAACCTCCAGCGGAATGTACGTTGACATCGACTTCTCCGCCATGTTTGGAATCAAATCGGCCAGCCCACGAAGAGTCGATAGGTCGAGAGTGTGGAGAGGAGAGTATATACACTAACCCGCGGACAACCTCTGGGAAGCTTTCCCCGCGAAAAATCCGGTGCACGGCCAGCGGATCATTGAGGTGCAAGAGAGCCTCGGTTGCGGAGACGTGGATCCACTGGGGGAAATGGGTGGGGGCATGCAACGGATGCGGACAAGAGCTCGTGCAGGCCAAACAGCCGAGATTCAGGTCCATGTGAAGTTATAGAACCCCACGGTCGTCCAGGGGTCGGGCGGTTTTATCTACAGTGGGAAAGAAGGGCCGTACATCTGAACGCCACCCAATGCCTCGGGCCGGCACCTATTTTCCCTATTCTTCCTAGCGGCCGCTGTCGAAAAAATGGGGGTAATCGTGGTACCTACTGTAGAAGAACTACCCCGTTCACGTTCGGCTTCACAGTAAGCGGTCCCCGGCTGAGCTCGAGTATAATTCAAAGGGCTGACAATGAAGGATATCGGTGTGGTTGCACGTAGCATGGACGAGTGATAGACGTCCGTCCAGAGAGGATGGATAACCGTAAGGAAGAATCAATCCCTCACTTCATCGGGGAAATGCAATTCGAGTCCAGGTAGTTCATATGTCCGGCAATGTCCTTCCTCCTCGGGGATTCAAGGTTGACGCAGGGGCAACCCCGCCAACTCGCCAACTCGCCAATCCGCCAACGCGCTCCGCTCCGCTCCGCTTCTCCTCCACTTCACATCATGACGGACTCGGGCCAGTCCACTCCCCGGAGCAAGACTTGCAACTTGCCCCCCGAGAAGGTCTTCTCTATCCAGATCGGCTCCGAGCTGTTTCGTCTCTCCGGTGCCTCAATCGCCTCGGATGGTCGGTAACCCCCTTCCCCGAGGCCGTGATCGAGCACTGACCAGAACAGCCCCTTCCTACTTCTCCCAGTTCTTCGAGGAGCAATTACGCGTGACCGATGCCGCCAATATTCGAACCCTCTATATCGATCGCGACCCGGCTACCTTCCAAGAGATCGCCAGGCACCTGCAAGGTATCCACGGGAGAGTACCAGGGCGCATTGAGACACGGCTGATGGGTCACAGGCTACCATGTGCGTCCTCGGGATGGCGCACAGTTCGTCAAGCTGTTCGCCGATGCTCAATTCTACACCCGTCAGAGCTTCCCCTGATGCGGGATCCCACCACGCGCTGACCACCTGCAGTGCCCCGATTGATGTCCCAGCTGTTTGAATCCGAGATCTTCATCCAGATCGGGGACCGCCACTTCCAGATCCCACGGGACATCTTCTCGAGCCCCGGCGACTCTCCCAACTTCTTCACATTGGGATTCGGTGCCTTCTTCGCCTCTCCCTCCGAAGTGTTTCCCGGCCTCGACCGTGTAGGCCTCCTCCGACCTCCTGCGATCGTTCCCCCGGCCGTCCCCAATCGATCCGCGGACGTCTTTTCAGAACTGCTACATCTCTTGCGCGGCTATCCGCTGCACTTTCGAAATGAGATCCACCGCGCAGAGCTCCTGCGTGACTGCCGTTACTTCCACCTGCGAGGCCTGGAGCAAAAGTTGATCCCCCACGAAATCGCAGTCAATCCCTTCAGCCAGCGCTCGGAGATCACTATTCGACTGGAAGACGTGCGACCGTCGGGTATTCAATCCGCCCGGGACGTTCCGTCGAAGATTTCGGGCGGATCGGTTATGTACACCCGTCCATTTGTAGACGACGATCCCGCCGACTTGATCCTTGAAATTGGAGACGAGTCCACGCTGGTCCATCGTGCAAGTCAACGCGCCAACTTTGTCGGCCTGGCAAAATCTCGCATGGCCAGTCTCCTGCAGGTGGTGGGCAAGAAGATGGATCTACCGGATCCGCATCTAGGGGGTCTTCCCATCAAGATCCGTCTGGAGCGGGGGACGGATCTCACCGTTGACGGTGAATCCGATGCCCAGCGTACAGGTATACAAACCGAACCAGACCTGACCGATGCACCTCCGACGAAGCGTCAGCGCTCCGACGAGTCTACAGACGGGCCTTGGATCGTTCGAACTGGACAGTGGCGGCTGCACGTTCAACCCGATGGTCACGGCGCATACGAAGCAATCTTGATCGCCGTGAAGCTGAACGTCTACACCACACCGCGGGTTCGAAATCAGGCTCGAAATTTCTTATAAAACCGAAGTCGTCCCGGGGTCAGGCGCAGCTACGAGAGTGGTGTATGATACTATGGTAATTTGTGTTTTGCATTAATGATCATCATCTAATCAGAAAACCCTTCCCATTCCCCTTCGTCGTTATTATCTTCTTGGTCATCTTGCGGTGACGCGGCTTCTCTGGCTGTGTGACTAAGGGAGTCACGAACGAAGCCGGCGACGAAGAAGCCTCCGAGGCCTTCGGCATCGCCTGACCAGCAGCGCAGGCAAGCCTCCAGGTCTTCATCGGACAAATTAGCGACCACTGCGCTCTCGTCTGATTCCACGTCGGTTTCAGCATCCCGGTCGCGCCGAATGCCACGGTATTTCCACTTCCGCAGTCCCTCCGGTTGCTCGTCGCGACGTAGAAGCCGCCAGCTGCGCTGTTGAGCAACCTCCGAAGACAGGAGACGAGCCACGACGGCCTCGTTCTCAATCAAATGAATGGAGCAGGTGCTGTAGGTAACATGGGTTGCACTGGAAAACTTCATAGCGTGTTCGACAATTCGTGCCTGGAGATTCGACAGTTTGGTCAGCCGCTCGTGGTCAACGGCATCAGTAGGAATGTCATTCTCGTCCGAAGGTGAAGCAGTGGAGGCCGCTGCCGTTGCTTTCGGCTGCTGCTCCTCGGCTTCGTCGCCATCGTCTACGCGACGCTTCCGCTTTTTGCTTTGCGACTTCGAGGGCTGGGATGCTTTCGAAACGGGTAGCGTAAGCTGGGGAACGTCATCCCGGCCGACGATACCGCTGCCCGAGCAGCTAGGATCGAGCAAGAGGCCTGAAACATTCTCGAATTGGGAATCCATAGGATCCAAAGCCAGGAAATCCTGTCCCTGTAGAACGGTGACGGTTGGATCCGCCCCGGCTAAAGAAACCATCTTCTGCAGCGTCTTAGAACGCACTCTGGATGCATCCATAGAAAAGATCTGTTTTCGAGTCTTCTTTTGCTTCCGCTGTTTCGCCAGTAGAGACGCCATGTGTGTCGTTTTATTCCCCGGGGCGGCGCAGCCATCCACGAGATCACCTTCCCAGGCATCCTGAGGCCCGCGGTCCCCCAGTAGCAGGTATGCAGGGAAACAAGAGGCTTTGTCCTGCAAAATAATCTCCCCGTTCTTGTAGGCAGGGGAAGAGGTGAAATCGGCACCAAAAGGAACGGCCACCAGGTCCGGGATATGGGGGTCGATATACAACAATTTTCGTTTCTTTGGGTCATCATCCTCCGGTGCCAACTCCGCAAGAGTTTCTACACACTCGTAAGACGAGAAGGTCGTGCGCAGTTGTTCATCGAGAGTACTGCGGATGTTGTTAATGCGCACCCATCGCGGATAGATGAAATGGCTGCCGCCATGGGCCTGTCGCTTCTCGCGCAGAAGAGCTGCCTTGAGCTGCTCGACCGTGGCGCATCCCCGGCGCACACGAGCCTTGGTAAATTCAGCCTTCAGCCGGACTTTATGCCGTTCCACGGCTTGACGGAGTGGGTGAGTAGCGGGAGCAGCAATGCCTTTCTTGGAAAGAAGGTGGTCATGGACCAGGAGGAGGGCAAGGAGTGGACTGAGCTATACAATTCAGGTCTCGGTCAGTCAGCAAGTATCTCCGGGTGGGAATCACAGGAGGATCTCACCTTGCGTTCCCAGGTTAGAATATCTGCACGCTCAATGACCTCGGCGAGGACTCGGTCCCATTTGGAAGCCTCGATGATTAGTGCGTAGATTTGCGGCGGCGTCGCACGCAAGTTGCGCGCGCTGTAGATGCGGGATTTGAAGGAGCCACCCGAAGATGGCTCGGTCAAGATATTGACCGCATCAAAGTAGAGTGACATGGAGTGCGATGCAGTAGAAGAATTTCCAATGTTCGTGGAAAAGTCGTTGCGATGGTCCGGGCGGTGTGGGGCTGGACAAGGTTGTGGACTTTCCCAGAGTTATCAAGGTAGCTGGGCAAGCATTGAAGTTATATCTCGGGGGTTCCATGGTCATCGGATATATTCAGGCAATACCAGGTCCATTTTCAGATGGGATATTGAATACTTCGGGATCTTAGTACATACCTAGGTACATATCGGTCTCTATCAGACTGTGAATATATACCGACGGCTCGCCTCCAACATAGCTTCAATGCCTTTCAATGGACACAAGATTCAAATGTTCTGACGTAAAATCCCAAATCAGCAAAACAATTCATTTTCTACAGCTAGGGAGGCTCTGCTCAATCTGAATCCGTGGATATGACCGGGGTAATAGCTATGTTATATGGCGAGTATAGACGGGCCGAGGCGCATGAGGAGTACATAGTAGATAACAGCCAACGAGAGCTAGTCTTATCGAGCCCTGATAGAACGCACCCCTCATTTGATAACTACCTTCTCTTCCATCTCAATCAGCGCCAATCTTGGAACCATGGCCTCCAAACCCACCTTGACCACGGCCATCCAACCGCCCCCCGGTCCGGAGCTGTCCCTCCCCGACCAGCCCAATTCCAATCCCCCCGTCTTCCAGGATGCGATGGCCGTGCGCATGCGTGTCTTTGTCGACGAGCAGGGATGCAGCGCCGACGCTGAGATCGACGAAGACGACGCGCGCAGCTGGCAATGGGTCATCTCCGCCTCCGCCGCCCCCGACACCAGCATCCCGGTCGCGGTGATCCGTCTCGTCCCACCCCCGCATCCACCGCACGAGTTGCTGACGCACCCGGACGTGACATCGAAACTTCCCTTCGACTGGGCCCACGAACCCTGCGTCAAGCTCACCCGCGTGGCGGTCCTGCCGCAGTATCGAGGCCTGGGATTGGGACGGCGATTGGTCGAGACGGCTCTCGAATGGGCGGTGCAGCACGCGGCGGAGATCGAGGAGGCGGCTGCTAGGGTGGCGACGAGGTTCCATTGGACCGGACAGCCCGTCCCGTGGCAGGGATTGGTTCTGGTTCATGCACAGGTGGAGGTGGAGAAGATGTACAAGGGGTTGGGATTCCAGACGGACGAGTCATTGGGACGGTGGGATGAAGAGGGGATCGAGCACGTCGGCATGTTTCGACGGGTGGAGGTGGCGAGGTGACGATGTGACGATATACCCGGGAACGATACAGGTAGATCTACGGATGCTACAGCGGACACGAGGTAGAAGAACAGATTCAAGATTAGACTAGATTCATCTGTGGGGAGTGCGACGCAACAACCCCGTGCCATTTCGTCCTCGAACGTTGCGGGATCAGGCATCAGAAGACAGGCAGAAAATGAGATCGCCGCTCAACAGAAATGACGGGGTATCCTGATCAACGAAAACAGACCCAAAAAAACACAAAAAAACACAGGAGCCGCCGATATCTCTCGGAGCAGCTAAGCAAGATCCTCTAAGCGATATGTAGAAAAAAGCACAGGAAACAGGAAGCGGGAAGCAATCGTAGAAGACAGATAAAGAACATAATGCCCGTGGCCCGTGAGAACGCCGTAACCGATGGTCGCCAATTCAAGTCGTGAGAAATAAAAGGTAATCGAAAAAGGGGGTAGGAAGAAGCCAAGATGCCGGCAGCCAGACCCGCTGACCGCAAGAGAAAAGTGATCAGAAGGTGCTCCAGTTCCAGTCGCGAGGAACACTGGCGGCGACCTCGGCCGTGTGGCCCAGGTCAGCCTTGAGAGCGGCGCGGCCGGATTCCTGGCTGGTATCGAGATTGGAAGTCTCACTCGAGTCTTCGCCGTTGTTGGCCTGGTCGATCGAGTTCTGAATTTTGCTCAGACGGTCGGTCCGAGTCTGCTCCCAACGCTGATGAGCACTCCAGCAGAGATCGCAGGCCCGGGAAGGGACACCCTCGGGATGGAAGCGAGCATTCTGGTCGAGCGGTACGACGTGAGGGGTGTGCGAGGAGCAGAAGACATGGCCGCAGTGGCGGCAGTGGTGACGGCGCAAAAACAGACCGAAGGAAGAGCGACAGGTGGGAGAATCACAGTTGGGCGAGGCCGCGTCCGCCTGGAGAGTGAGAGTTAGCGGGGATGAGAAGGCCGAGAGGGAGGGACTTCAGGAGGATGGTCTACTTACTTTCCAGTGGTCGCGGGTGGGAAGGCCGGTCACCTCCCCGAGCGACTCGTTCTTCATCCACTCGTGCTCGGCGACTTTGCTGATGCCGCTGGACTTGCTCTCCATGGTGGAGCGGCGACTGATGGGCTCGGCCGACTCCTCCAGACTGTCCAGGGAGCCATGGACGCTCCGAGGGGGAGTGATGGGAGACGACTTTTGCGGGCGCTCGGTGGGACGGAGAGCGGCGGGCACGTACAGCGGGCCCTTGGGCGGGCGCAGCTGGCGCGACTGCAGCGGCAGTTGGTGAGGAACGACGATGGCCAGACGGGGAGACGTCGGCGAATTATTTGAGGGGGTGGTGGTGACCGAGTTGGTGGGAGAGGGTTGACCGTGGACCGAGATCTGGTTCGGAGCAGTCGGAGTGATGGTCGCAGTGACCGCGGTGACGACGTGGGTAGCCATTTGGGAGGTTGGTGAAGGTGTGGGAGGAGGGGGCAAGAGGGAAAGGGGAAAGGTTAACGGAGGAAGAGACGCAGCCGAGCGAGGCAAAGGGCCATAAAGAGTGATGATGTCGAGGGGCAAAGGAACACACGACAGAAATGGGGGGGGAAGGAAGGGAAGAAGTGAATAGCGGCGCGGTGAGTGGTCGGCGTGGTGGAGACGGGAGCGTTTGAGGCTACGAGCCGGGTGTGGATGTGGTGGATGTGGTGGAGGTTATTGGGGAAACCGCTGATCGGAGGCGAAGTACGGAGACGGAGTCGGGAGTTACAGGATACGGAGACGCCGAAAGTAGAGGCGAGTACCGCAGTCGAGTGAAACGAGTCGAGTCGAGTCGAGTCGGGGAGTTTGGAGACGAGAGAGAAAAAGGGAGAAGGGAGAAAGGACGGTATATAGAACGAACTACCAGACTACCAGACTACCGGACAGACCTGGACCCGGGACGCGGTACCGGTACATCGCTGGACTTGGTACTTTGGCCGGCTGCAGTGCGCCCCGAACGGGCGTTGCTCACCGCTGCGCGTATCCCTCCGTCTTCGTGGAGGATGGGAGGATGGAGGATTGACCGCTTCTTCGCGTTCCCGCTCTATACCTGCGACCGGAACTATACCACCGTCCGCTCTCTGCGTGATGCCGTCCCTACGGCATACTCCGTACTCGTGATTCTGCACACCCGCACGGTTGCCTCTTCAGGACTCTCCACCGGGGCTCCGCGGCCCCGCCGAGGGCGCGGCCGAGGAATCATGGTCCATCTATTGTACAGTACGGAGTATCTCTGATGGACTTTCACACGGCCAGAGCAGTCGAGTGTCCGGAGTACATCCGGGAGAGATGAGGTCGGTGATGCATGCTCCCCTTCCGCAACAAACCAGACCGACTCGACTCGAGATCGAATTCCGGGCGTTTTTAGAGTTCACTAGCGCAGCGCGACCACCAATGGAGAACGAGGTGGCGCTACACCCTTATCGCCGCACTGTGATTGGCCCCCCGTCCCTTCCGCTTGGAGAAGCCCGAAGCGCGCCACGTGCGGATCTCGCGCTAGTCATCTCCGATCCAACCAGGCCTCGTGCTTTGCCAACCCCCCCGAATGCGGCAATCGTCTGGAAGGTCACCTTCGGTCCTTCTCCGTTCCGTCCTTGGTAACGGAGCCCGAGTCTAGGCCGTATACTTGGCTGTCTGTGATTCCTCATACTACGGAGTACTGTGTACAGTACTCCCCTGGCCAATGGTACTTCCCTGTACGGAGTACTGTACTCCCATTCCATCCCCGAGACATATGTAAGTCGAGACTTGGATGCCGCCCGCATCGAGACTGCCCTTCTCTTGTGTCTGTTCCGTACACCAGTACTACACTACACTGGCGCCTTCCCCGAGGGCCCCTTTTTGGGTGGACGAAATCATCCCCGGACTCGATACGCACGGATCAGGAATGTTACACCCCTGGATATGAACCCCTCGATCGGAGATCTGGGGAAGATCGTACAATTGTACCGCTTGCGGTCGACGTAGTGTCTTGTACTCCGGGTATAGATATCCGGCTGGAACGTCATGGCGTCATGACTGCTTCACCCCTCGAAGCTGCTTCAGCTCACCTCTCCGCCATTGTCCAAAGGATTCGATCATGAAGCTCGCCGTCTTCAGCGCGAAATCGTACGATCGCACCTACTTGGACCGAGTGCTGGGCCAGCGGTTCACCGAGCTGGGTAGCATCGAATATCACGCCTTCGCCCTCTCCGAGGAGACCGTGCCCTTGGCGCGAGGCTGCCATGCCGTCTGCGTCTTCGTCAACGACACGCTCGACGCCTCCGTACTGCGTGCCCTGCATGCAGGCGGCGTGCGCGCCGTTCTCCTGCGCTGCGCGGGATTCAATCACGTCGACCTCGAGACCGCCGAAACACTCGGTCTCTTCGTCGCCAACGTGCCTGCCTATTCTCCCGAGGCCGTGGCCGAGTTTGCCGTCGCGCTGATCCAGACTCTGAACCGCAAGACCCACCGTGCCTACAATCGCGTGCGGGAGGGCAACTTCAATATCGAGGGCCTCTTGGGCACTACGCTGCACGGGAAAACCGTCGGCATCGTCGGCGTGGGACGAATCGGTCTCGCCACCGCCCGTATCTTCCACGGCTTCGGTTGTCGACTGATCGCTCACGATCCCTTCGCCGGCGACGAGTTCCGTCGGTACGGCACCCTGGTCGATCTCGACACTCTGCTGCGGGAGAGCCATATCATCAGTTTGCATTGCCCGTTGACCGAGGGCACCCGCCATATCATCAATGAATCATCCCTGTCCCGCATTCGGCCCGGCGCCCTTCTCGTCAATACATCGCGAGGAGGGCTGATCGATGGGACGGCGGTCATCCAGGCTCTCAAGACCCGTCGCCTGGGTGGACTCGCGCTGGACGTCTACGAAGCCGAAGGCGAGCTGTTCTACAACGATCACTCGGGCGAGATCATCGACGACGACGTGCTCATGCGCTTGATGACCTTCCCCAACGTCATCGTCTGCAGCCACCAGGGATTCTTCACGCACGAGGCCTTGACCGAGATTGCTACGATTACCCTGCGCAACTGGTCCGACCTGGTGGACGGGCGTTCATGTCCCAACTCGTTGGTCACCGAGGGCCATGCCCTCGTTCGGGCCGACACCGCCCCGGTTCGATTATAGTGAGCACGGGTCTACCGGTGGATGGGAAATTTTATATTCAAAAATGGCATTCGTGATTTAAATGGTATCGTGGTATCATCTACGTCCTCGTGTAAAGCGGCATTCAGCTTCGCAGCGGCCGAGTACACTGGAACTGATCTCGCAGGGCCTGCCAGGCACGAGGGATGAAGCGGTGTCCGTGAACAATCAGCGGCACGACTGCGATCAGCCACATCCCGTAGACGATCCCCACGGCCAGCGCCAGCCGGATCTGTTCCGACGCGTGCGCGATGATTCCCGGTCGTGGCCGTGATCGAGGGCCGTGCGATTCCTGGTCGGTGTGTGTCAGCGCCTCCGCCAGCTGCCAGGCCGCTCGGCGGTTGATCTTCTCCCATGTTGTGTCGTCTGCGTACTGGCGCGCGGCTACCGTCAAAGCCGCGCGCAATGCGGCGTCCCGAGATACGTCGCGAGTCAGGGTGGTGAACTGATCGAGATCATGGGGTGGAACGAGATATCCGGTCTGTCCGTGACGAATGATATCGGATGGCCCCCCTTGATCGCGTGCGATCACCGGAAGGCCACTGGCCATCGCTTCGAGTACGACCAGCCCGAACGTCTCGGTAATGGAGCAGTGCAGAAACAGATCGGCCGAGGCATAAGCACGGGCCAGTGCGACGCCGGTGAGGAAACCGGTAAAGACGACGTGATTGCGAACACCGTCGAACAAGCGTTTCACTTTGTTCTCGACCACCGGGTTGCGGTTCCCACCCACGATCAATAGCTTGAAGGGCACCTTGTCCGCTGCTAACCGTGTCGCGACTTGCGCGAGGAACTCGAACCCCTTCTCCGGCGCGATGCGACATACGCAGATGAGAATGATTTCTCCGGTCGGGGCAATCTCCCGGCGATAGGCCTCGTCACGGTACGACGGGGTGAACATTACGGTGTCGACGCCGCGACCCAGCTGGACCAGTCGGTCCGTCGGGGCACCCGCATGTTCCAGATACTGGCGAATGGCGGAGCAGGGGTAGAAGATGGTGTGGACCGCGCGCGAACGGAACAAAAAGCCCTGGACAACGGCCAGCAGCCAGACCCCGAATTGATCCAGGGGTGCGGGCAGCATGATCTCCGAATAGGCGGACAGATCGGTCTGGAAGTTAAGCACGACGGGCGGAGGCGACCGCAGCTGGCGAATCTGCAGCAGCATTTGGAACCCGAGCGAGGCGGGACTGGCGAGATAGACAATGTCCGGCTGGAAAGACTGCCGGTAGACATCGCTGATATGAAACGGATAGACCACGGTCAGGTCTGGATTGTAGGGCAACGCGCAGCCCGGGAGGCGGCGCTCCCAGGAGGTGACGGTTTGTTTGGAGGCATCGCCTTTGAAATGCGGCGCAACCAGAATGAGTTCGGCGCCGTGGTCACGCAGGTACTCGACGAGACTACGCGTAGTGCGACTGACGCCGTTGACGGGACCCCAGGATTCCGTGGCCAGCAAGATCTTCTTGCCGACCAGGATACTGGGGAACTCATCCGGCCCCTGAAACGAGGCGAGCAGGGGGGCAGACTCCATGGCGGTACATGATGATCCAAGAGGGGGGGGGAAACTATCAGATAATAAAGAAATGGATGATCCAAGTCACATAGTTCCGATTGACAAGGTTCACGAGTTAAGCTCCTCTGAGTTACTGGCGGCCGCACGTGCCGCCACCGCCGGTTGCAAATCGCTGCTTGGCGACCAACGGCATCGCGCGCCTCCAAAGCGTGCGCGCATCGCGTCCTGTGGATTGGTCTCGATAACGGTCATGGTCTGTAAATTGAGGGGTGTGATCGTGATCGTGACCGGACCGCGAGCTCCTTTTTATTTTCGTGGTAGTTTTTGTAATGTAGTTGACCTCCATCCCGTGGTGTATTCCTTCCACATCCATCATGAGCCACGATATCCCCATGGAAGACTTCTCGTCACCGTCTGATAGCAGTCTGTCCTGCTCGACAGCGCCCACGACTCCAAGCTCCAGTCCGCTCGTTCGGCCCTCGGATGTCGACGATCTAAAGCTGGGGTTGCCCCAGTCCAGACTCGGTGAATCAGACCCGAGAGACGAGGCGGTCAAGAATGTTTGTGTGGTGGGTGCAGGTTACGTCGGTAGGCTTCATCCTGAAGGAGAGAGAGCCGTGGCAGCTGGGAACGGCCTTGTTGACCCGATATCACAGGTGGTCCGACGGCGGCAGTGCTGGCCCTCTATCACCCCTCCATCACCGTAGAGGTGCTGGACAGGGATCCGGCTCGTATTCAGCGATGGCAGTCGGCACACCTGCCGGTTCATGAGCCCGGACTGGACACCGTCGTGCGCATCGTGCGCGACGGCGCCGAGGTGGAGGATGAAGCTCCCACCCGGGCGTCGTCGGCCGCGGCAACGCGTGCCCAGAACCTCTTCTTCACCCGAGACACCCGAGCCATCGCACGAGCGGACATCGTCTTCATGGCCGTCAACACCCCGACCAAGATGTTCGGCGTCGGCGCGGGTTGTGCTACCAACATGACGGCCTTTGACGGGGCCATGCGCGACGTCGCGACCCACGCCAAACCGGGCGCAATCATCGTGGAGAAGAGCACGGTGCCCGGAGGTACTGCAGAGCGTGTTCGAAGAATGGTAGGGTTTGCCCCGTCCTTTTGAAAGCACACCGGATTTCTGACCTTGACCAGCTGGCAACCCTTCGCCCCGGAGTGCCCTTTGAGGTCCTGTCTAACCCTGAATTCCTCGCCGAAGGCTCGGCCGTTCAGAACCTCACGATCCCCGACCGTGTGCTGATTGGATCTTCTTCGACCCCCTCGGGACACCGGGCAGCTCAGACGCTGGCCAACCTCTACTCGGCCTGGGTTCCTCGGGCACGGATCCTCGAGACCAACGCCTGGTCTTCAGAGCTTGCCAAACTCGTGGCCAACGCCATGCTGGCGCAGCGCATCAGCAGCATCAACTCGATCAGTGCCATTTGCGAGAAAACCGGCGCCGAGGTCGACCAGGTGGCCAAAGCAATCGGTCTGGATGTACGGATCGGACCCCAGTTCCTCAAGGCGGGACTGGGATTCGGTGGCTCCTGCTTCCGCAAAGATATCGCCAATCTAGCATACATGGCCGAATCGCTCGGACTGGACGACGTGGCACATTACTGGCGACAGGTTAACGTGATGAACGAGCGACAGTGCGACCGATTCTCGCGCAAAATCGTCGATCGCTTCGAGGGCAACCTGGTCGGGCGCAAACTAGCCATGCTCGGGTTTGCCTTCAAGAAGAATACGGGTGACACACGCGAATCGTTGGCAGTAGACGTGATCCGCGTGCTGCTGGAAGAGCGACCGGCGGAGATCGCCATTTTCGACCCTTACTGCCGCCAAGAAGATATCCTTCGAGAGCTGGAGCTGGTCTGCCCTGGCATCGCCGAGGGTGGAACCGTGAAGATTCACACAGACCCGTACATGGCCTGCTCTCAGGCTCACGCCGTTCTCGTGGTGACCGACTGCGACCAATTCCGCAATACTCCACGGAAACAATCACCACCCGCTGCTTCGCCTGTAGAGAAAGGTCTGGCTCGAAGCATCGCTGACGACTGCCATGAGAACGTCAAGCGTGCGTGCGCTCGCCAGGAACGCGAGACGTGGACGCACGCGGGCGTGTCCTATCAACTGACGCCGCAGAGCTGTGGCTCCGACTGCGCAGATTGTCGCTCGATTTCAAGACCAACCACGGAGGCAGTCGAGTGGACGCGCATCGCGTACAACATGGTTGAGCCCAAGTGGGTGTTTGACGGACGAGGACTGTTGGACGCGGCGGAGTTGGCTAATTTGGGCGTTCGGGTGGATGCGGTGGGAAGGCGGAATGCACTCGACGTTTTGGCCTAATTTGTATCTCTAGGCATATCGCGATACCCTTTTCATCTTTTCTTTTTCTCATTACCCTGCTCATATAATCGGATACACGAGTCACGAGAGGTCTGGATCTTAGAATGGCATTGATATTAACTCTCATTACTTGTTGGTTGCGGAGACGATCTTGAATATCTATGTAGATTGCGTGGATGGAAGACGGTGGGATCTTATAGGTCTGCGTTCAGGTTCGTGCGCTATTCCAGCAGGGGCCGAGCGTACAACGATTGAGTTTAGTCACATCACAACCTTGGAAAGCCTTGAGAACCCTGGAAAGCCCGGTATGAAACTCGTTCAATACGTTGTAGCAGGTGTAGACACCCTTCTTTCAGGCAGAAAATTAAACTAGTGCAAAGGCCTTTGCTAAGAATTTCATTCTTCTATTCATTGGTACAGTCATAGCTTGGAATTCTTCGAGGCACTGTATTCACGGGAAATGTTCAACTCCGGCCACCACGGGTAGTCGGGACAGCTGCCTTCTCGAGGATCGGTCTCAAATCTAGGCTTGCGCTTTTCGAAAAACGAGTTGACCCCTTCTTTGTAGTCGCTGAGTAAAAGTCAGACATCTTTCTCTCGATTGATTTGCTGGTTGACGACATACCGTTGACCGATCATATGATGAAACACCCTGGATTCGAGCAAGTGCGCTGCTTCGGGTGAATCGCCGCCTTCCCACATCAACGCCCGGCTCATCGAAGAGGCGAGCGGACTGACATTCTCCGCCACATCCTGAGCAAGTTCCAGCGCTCGCGGTAGGACCTGGGAGGCATCTGGAAGTACTTCGGTAAAGAGATCGCCGAAATGTTTTGTCGAAGGCGGGTACACACCACCGGTGGTGATTAAATGCATAGCGCGCGAGAAGCCGACCAGGCGAGGAAGGAAGTAAGAAGCACAGGATTCAATGGTTAGGCCACGCCTGGCAAAGACGAACCCGTACTTGCTCTTTTCATGACATATTCTGATCGCCGCCGGCAGAGTCATCGTCATCCCCACCCCCACGGCCGAACCCTGGAGCGCGACAATGGTTGGTTTATGACACCGATGCATCGCCAGGCTGACTCGACCCCCACTGATGGCCTGATCAGCCTCGGACTGTTGAAGATTGTTGAATCTTGCCGACGTCAGGTACTTACATATCACGGAAATCCGCAGCTCTGCCCTCACCGTCCCCGAACCCGATATCAAGGTCCATTCCAGCGCAAAACATCTTCCCTGCCCCAGTTAAAACGACTGTTTTGACCCGGGGATCGACGTGAAACATATTAAAGGCCAGGGTAAGGCTATCGGCCATTTGCGGGGTGAATGCATTGTGCTTTTCCGGTCGGTTTAATGTAACAATCACCACGGGCGTAGCAGTTGGGGCTCCGAGAGGATGATGAGAGATTCGGATATGCGAGAGCCCGAGGGCTTCGTAGGTGGCGGGCACATCGATCGTCGGAGTGGGTGGCATTTTCTAAACCTTTTGACTCGATATACTAACGGCTGCGGGGATATTTCTCAATTAATAATACCCAGTCCCGGCGAAAACGAACGCCTAGGGTTGATGCGGATTGCATCGTGCCTCGGTCCCCCGGCCGCATTTGGGTTCAAGCGGAGAAGATCAGCGAACTTGACCCATGTGGACAGGACACTTCCACTCTTGCATGATATCTGGGGTAGGACATCCCAATAGATCGGTCAGAGATGCCGGTGGCTTCCGAGGTTGTGTCTGGTATACAGTACTCCATGGCTGAAGGGGCATGTTCATAGTCGGATCCTGTCGCCCACCATAGAATATGAATTAATACTTTCTCGATCTTCGAAAAGACTACCAACTTCACTTGCACCCAGACTGTAACTACTGAATTTTTCACCACCGTGAACCTTTGTATGCAACCCTCGTGAAGCATGAAGATCCCATATACAACCTCGGATGCAGCTATCCCATTCCAAGCTTGTTTCTAATGTAGAGAATGTAGGTTACAATCGAGTTGATTGGACGCCAGCGTCTTTGCCAAAAGCATTCATGCTACCCTGTAGAAATTTCATGGCTCCGAGTTCCTGTTTGGAAGGAAATTACTATTCTGTTCGCCAACAGTTCGTTAGTCGGCAAACTTTGTCTTCAGAGCCCAACTAGCACAAACTTCGAGCTGGATTTTCACTGCATCGATAAACGAGTATGGACAATAAAATGGGCCGGGGAAACAACAGCCGGATTATTTCTCTGGGAAAACGATTGTGCGCCTGGGAAGGCATAACTTGGATGCGGCTCGTTATTTCTTGTAGATTGACCGTCATGTTCAGAGGTCGTTCCATCCACGGCCGTCAACGACGTGGCACCTGCTCCAATTCAAGAAGCAGAGGCCAACTAAGATGAATGGACTAAGCAAAGCTGTCTAGTTGAAATGATCATGTCGCTCACGATTCCCGAGGGAGGTCCGGGGTGGCTTAGCCCAAGGTCTGACTTTTAAGAGTTTGGTGTAGCCAGTATGAAAAAAAACCAAGAAAGGGACCGATCAGACCTTTTCTCATCAGACAGCGACTGAAAGTCCCTCCGTTGTCATCTCATGTGTAAAATAAGGCAGCTAGAAGACCCATCAGGAGCAGGAACAGGAGCAGGGAACACACCAACGACGGAACGAGAACGAGAACATCAAGCCGCGCTGGATACTCGATCAGGGCTAGCGGCGACCCATGGAGCGACAATCCCAACAAATGCGCGCGCTTCACATGTACGCGGGTCCACCTGATCTCGGCCCTTTATCCTTATCAATCGAGCTCGAGTGCCTCGGGCCATTGACATCATCCACTGCCAAATACCAGGTTGAGTCGCACCTTATTTAAATCTACTTTCTCGTCCTATTCGCTTTACCTACGACCTTATACCGATTCAATAATTTAAATCATGGCCGACAACAACCAGGGCTGCAAGATCACCCTCTACTGGTAGGTAGCTATGCTTCCGATTCCGAAAAATCGATACCCAGGTACTAATGCCAGACCAGGCTCGAGCAATCTCGAAGCCACCGCATCCTGTGGCTGCTGGAAGAGCTCCACCTGAAGTATGAGTTGAAGATTTTCAAGCGTCGCACCGACAAGCTTGCGCCCGCAGAGCTCAAGGAGATCCATCCCCTGGGCAAGTCGCCCATCGTCACGATCGAGGCCCCGGGCTCCGACAAGCCTATGGTTCTGGCCGAGTCGGGCGCCATCGTCGAGTATCTGTGCGATCACTTCGGCAAGGGGAATCCCACCTTGGTGCCCGAGCGCTATGTGGCCGGTCGCGAGGGCCAGGTCGGCGGAGAGCGCGAGGAATGGATGCGCTACCGTTATTTCATGCACTACACGGAAGGTAGTCTGATGCCGTACCTGGTGATGACTCTCGTCAACGACAGTAAGTGATGATCGCATGCGTCTTGTATTCTGGATCGGTGGTGGGTCCGGGCTAACGTTCCTAAAGCCATACGCAAGTCACCTCCGTTCTTCGTCCGCCCGATCACCAGCATCGTGGCCTCGCAGGTTGAGTCTGCCTTCTTAACCCGCAACATCGATGGCAACCTGGCATTCCTGGAGGACCAGCTGAAGACTGCTCCCGATGGTGGTCTCTTCCTCTGCGGCAAGGACTTGACCGCAGCGGATATTCTGATGAGCTTCCCGGTCATCGCCGCCGGCCAGCGAGTGTTGCAGGACAAGAAGAACCAGGAGAAGTACCCCTTGTTGACAGGATATGCGAAGAAGCTGCAGGAGATGGAGAGCTACAAGAAGGCCGTTGCGAAAATTGAGGCGGCCGAGGGATCCTTCTCAGCCTCTATGTAAGATCCACGTTGGATGAGTACACGACCATGTTCTTTTATGTATATGCTAGCTCTAATGATGTCTAATCTTCATGAAAGTAAATGTATTTTCAGACTGAATTGTGCTTGGTAACGTGACCGCTCCGATTGGCGACTCTCGGAGAATGAATTGGGATATTCATGCGGGAAATAAATAGAACGCATCGGCGACGTAACCGTCGTGACTGCAAAGACCAAAGTTCTATAGATAGAATTAAACGATTCAAATAAAACAACAGAATAGACAATGCTTAGGAAGAAAAGAGAGAGGGAGCACGCTCAACTACAGCAAAGTTCCTACGTAAGCACGTGACCGTCCCGGCCCAAGGCCCGCTGACACATCGCATCAGGTGACCTGAACCTCATCTCGTCCGCACGTCTGCAGAAGCGACGGCTGTGTGTCTACGCTACGAGTTACATCGCAACCATGGCCGGCCCCAGCAAGTGTACGTACAGGTAACTCCTTGCTTTGCATTGTATCATTCGCTAACCAATTGACCAGCCCTGGTCCTTGACCCGGCCCTCCAGAGATACTACGGTACATCCTCCTCAACCACATCCCCTCGGTTCCCGCGCTTCACCCGATCCTGGGCAGGACGCGATCGCTCTGCTGTGTCTTGAAATGGCAATTTGCATTGACATCGGTCTACCCGCTTCTTCCCGCCGTCTCAACCGACCCTTGTCCGCAAACAGATACTAACGGACTCGACAGAACTCAATACCAACCGCTACAAGTACTGGCGCTGGAATTCCCGCCATGCCTGGATCTCTTTCATTTACATGGCTGTGATCCCCGGTGCTCTTACCTGGGCTGCCTACAAGACCGAGGTATGGATCGAATTTCCCCGCCTTTTCCCGGTCGTGGCCACTCCGATGTGAGGAAACTCATCTGACAATTTATAGGGTAAGTACGAGCTCCGCGGCAAGCGCAAGGAAGATACCATCTCGGAGTGGTAAAGAATGATGGAAAGATGATTTGATTTGGTGGAGTGGCAATCGCCGCTCGGCGAAGTGGTGATCAGCGAGCTCTTTCACCCCGGCACGATCGCGTCTTGCCATGGGTTTGGAGCGAAAACTGCAATTTTTTGTGCCGGTGCCTCTGGCCGGGCTATGTACCTTACTACGAGCATATACCGCATTGACTTTCTTCTGTTTCTTCACCTCGCGGCCACTCCACCTTGGGAACATTCGGAACCAGGTGTAGACGAAGACGTATATTAATTTGTTTACTCGAGATTAATCGTACATCGTTGCGAAACGGGTATCCTAAATCTCCGTGGCTGCCGCATGTTAACATATCCTAACCCACATCTCTCGGATCTTCAGTACGGGGCCCATCCCCGGCGACCACCACGCCCACCTCCCTCTGGAAGCCTCTCGCCTCGCTTCCACTCGCCGGGAGGAAGAGTAGGGGGGCCACCACGATCCCCACCTCGAGGGCCGCCCCGGCCACCTCGACCAAATCCATTATCTCGGAATGCGCGCATACCACCGCCGCCTCCCATCCCAGGCGGACCAGAGGCACCACGAAGCGCCGGCGCAACTGATCCATCCTCGAGAGGAGGGAGGATGGCACACTCCACATAGTCTCCAACAATGAACCGAACGTCTTGCAAAGCCTTATCTGCTTCTGAGCCTTGGAAACGCAGTGGACCTGGACGAGGCCGTGGCTCGGCCCGGTCGTCTGCGTCTTCCTCGCCGCGGTACGGACTATCTCTTGGCGCAACAATCACGCTTCCCAAATCTTTGCTCACGTATCGGCCACGCACATCGGGGCCCATTATAGCTGCGCCGCGAGCGTCGGGATAGATCAGACGAAAGCAGAGCCGAGTGCCCACGGGCGGGTCAGGCAGTAATGAAGGAAGTGCGGAAGTGAGGAGCTGTGAAAGTTCACGTAGGGTACATGATTGCCAGGTGTAGATCTCAAGATGAGGAGGAAGCGGCGCAGCTGCTGGAGGAGAAGACTCGCGAATGCTGTTGGGTCCGCTGGCTGGACCACCGCGGCGGGGAGGGGCAGGGATGCTGTAGTCGGAGAGATTGTAATAGTTGTTGTTTCGATAGAAGAGCTTCAAATGAAATGGAACAGTAGTATGGCGGTCGATTGAGGCCTTGGAGCCTTCTCGCGAGGGAGCAGCCATGACGCAGGGCGATAGTATCGCGTGCAATGTCAGTGCAGAGATTTTGGAGATCAAAGCAACGAACGGTAGATTGTAATGCGGGCTCGGTATTTGCACGTAACGAGCTTGCCGACGACGTGGTTCGAGGAATCGAGTGGGGAGTGAGGTGGGTGGTGAATTGGAGAAGATCCCCGAAGCAGCGAAGCTGTCGGAGTGTCTGACCTTCCAACCGAACATTCTTTTCCTCCTGCCACATCACCCCACGCGCTACTCTCCAACAGATCGAGTTCAGCGCCTATATCGGTTGCGCAATCTTCTACATCAGACGGTCTGTGATAACCATCGGAAAAAAAAGGCCTGCGCCGGGCAGCCTCCGCCACCATGGATTTCGCCGCTCTCATGTCCAAGGAGATCTCCAAGGCAAAAGCTCCCGATGCCTCCAAGGCTTCCGGTGGAGAAAAACGCAAAGGCTCGCCGGCCGAGCCAACGAAAAAATACCTGCGCCGAGGAGAAGTTGAAGCTGCGCGCATTGCGGCCTACAATGAGGACCAGGAGCGGTTACGGAAAGAGCGTGAAGATCGCCTAGCCAACAAGCGCAAGCACGAGGAGGAGGAGGCGGATCGCCGACGGGAGCGGGAAGAAAAGAAGCGCAGGCTCGCTGAGGAGTCGAAGAAGAAAAGAGAAGAGGAAGAGGAAGCCCAGGAACGTGAACGGCGGCGTAGACTCGGTCTGCCTGAACTGCCTTCAAAGAGTGACGATAATAGCCCGGGCCCCGAAGATGGACAGGAAGAAGATATTGAGGAAGACGAGCTCATCGAGAAGCTCAGAGAGCTGGATGAGCCGGCACGACTGTTTGGCGAGAATCATCGCTCCCGACTTCGACGATACCGCCGCCTTGTTCAGCGCGCCGCTTCGCAGCAAAAACTGACAGACGGACCGATCCCAACCACCTTGGAACCTGTTTCTGGCGGGGAAATGATTATTTCGGCCAAGATTCCAAAGGAGCAAGACGGTCGATTGTTTCTACTCCGCCAGCTGGCGTCTTATTTCAACATGGTACTTTCGGAATGGGAGCTTGCTCTCGCGAAGCGCGACGTCACTGTGCGACAGAGCTTCCAGGGCAAGCAAGCGTACAATGCGATGTTGCAATCTCGAGAAAACATGAAGCCGCTGTACCGCCGACTCGAAAAAGCAGACCTCGAGGACGGACTTCTAGAGCCGATCGTGGAGATTGTTCACAAGGCACAGCAACGGAGATACGTCGATGCCAATGACGCATATCTCCGGGTGAGCATTGGAAAGGCGTATGTCTCCCCCTCCCCCCAATTCCTATGATACCGAGAATTATGCTAACTGGACGATAGTGCATGGCCCATCGGTGTGACCATGGTTGGTATTCACGAGCGATCTGCGCGCGAAAAACTACACCAGAGTGACCAGCAGGCACATATTCTCAGTGATGAAGCAACGCGCAAGTACCTGCAGAGCATTAAGCGGTGCTTGACCTTTGCGCAGGTGCGCTGGCCCCCGGAGGATCAGCTCCAGATCATGGGCTAGAATGCCACGAGTGATGTGTTTGATATACCCATAGCGTTTAAAATTGGAGATGTACTTTCGTCTGTTCGAATTGGCTATTAGCATCAAAATTCCAGAAGATCCCAGTTGCAGCCATGCATGGCGGGTCCACTCCGACCTCAACTTTTAGACCGTTGAACGGACTCCTTTCCTCGAAACAGCTCGTCATGTTCCTCGCTCTCGTGTCCACCTTCGGCCTCTTATGTCCACTGTATCTTATCTACAAACCCCCTGCCGCATTAATACGCTTCTTTCAACGTCGCTGGCCCGACGTTTTGTTCCGTCACGTAACTGCCGAGAGAGTTGTCGCGTTGACCATCGACGACGCCCCATCCACGCACACGCGCGCCATTCTCGACCTTTTAGTATCAAATGATGCGATTGCCACTTTTTTCTTGATTGGGTCTCAGGTTTTTGGCTATGAGGATGTCCTCGCTGAGCTGGTGCGCGCTGGCAATGAACTAGCCAACCACGCGATGTACGATGAGCCATCGCACGAGCTAAGCGACGCGACCCTTGCGGAGCAGATTCATCAAGTACACGCCTTGATTCAAGATGCGTATGGTGCAGCAGGACGGGTTGGACCAGATACTTGGTTTTTCCGGCCAGGCTCGGGTTTCTTCAGCTCGCGAATGCGACGCCTGGTCTCGCAGCTGGGGTATCGACTCGTGCTCGGGGACGTGTATCCCCACGATCCACAGGTGCCGTTTGCAAGCTTGAATGCGAGACATATTCTGAGCATGGTGAAGCCGGGCAGTATCATCATTTGCCACGACCGCAGAGAATGGACCCTGCCGATGTTACGAGAGGTGTTGCCGGAGCTCAAGCGCCGCGGATATCGCGTTGTCACGGTATCAGGGCTTCTCAAGACACACTGAGTTTACGATAACAAAGCGAAGTGCAAATTGACCATGCGCCCAAAAGCGTACGGATTCGGAAAGAAAGCTTCAATACGTCTAAAGGTCAAACCATGACCGTGTATACATACATAATACATCGTCGTCGTCTCACACACTATTGTGTTAGCTCCTTCCACATCTGCGCCAGTGTTTTCCACCAGCTCTTCGCAGTTGTGGATGATGTCGCCGTCAGAACCTTGCTGAACGTATCCTCTCTTGTCAGATCAGACCCGGTGTTGGGATAGATATGATGGCCGTCCATTCCATTCATCACAGCGAGGGAGGAAGATGGAGGGCGAGTTGACACGACACTGCTTGCCATGCTACGTATTTCCCTGTCGGCATCTCGATCACAAAGTAAATGACCAGCAGTAGAGACACATCCACCGTAGGCAAAGCGGACCAGCGAGTCACCGGTCAGACTTCCGATGATATAAACACCGGGAGCAACTTGCAGATCTTCAGTCGCTTTCACGCGAAGAGTCTGGCCCGATACAGTCGAATCGTCCGATTCATGGCCTAGGACTTCGGATCGTAGCTTGGAATCCAAATAGTCCAAGGAACCCCGGCGGCCAGCAGCGTATACGAGACCCCGCACAGACCGGGTGAACGTGGAACCGTCCGCACGGTGAAAGTTGACTCGAGCCAAGCCATTTTCCACTTCCACGTCGGTGATCTCAACATTGCACACGCCTTCGTATAAGTCGTCCCAATTTCGGCTTTCCAAAAACGAGGTGGAAGTGCCGCGGCGGTTTTTGGGCCGCTGATTCTTGGATGTCGTGTTTGCGGCAAGGGCGGCTCGCTTCATTAATCGATACACACCGGCATATTCCGGGTATGCCCGTTGGTGACAGCTCCGGAGCGGCGAGGGGCGATCCTCGGGAGACCATCTGAAAATATGCAATATGTTTTGGTCAGGTGAGGCAGATATAATTGCATCCGCGGCGGAGAAACCAGACCCGATGACGAGGAGTGGAGTTTCCGGCGTAGATCGGGTTTGAAGCAACGGCCGCAGGATTGGCGCAGGCGGCAGCAATTCCGAGAAAATGCCACTCGCTAGCACCAAACGCTTACAACGAATGTTGTGGGACCGAATGTAGAACCCTTCGGTTGTGCGGGTGATGCCTTCCAGCTCTTCCCCACATCGGAAGACATCGTCGATGTGGACCGCCGTGGGGTATGCACGGAAGTAGCCGGCGATCTCGCGCCTCGTCGGCCGCGTGAACGTCGGTAGTTCCTGACCGGTGGTCTTCTTATGGTGGTCTGCAAAAGAGTAGCCGGGGAGCGACAGCATCGCCGCATAGCTCAGAGTTTGGATATCCCAGCTGGCCCCGTGGGGATCTTCGGTCCATTGACCCCCCGGATATGACGGCTTCCCAAAAACGAGGTGCGGGAGGGCCTTTTCAGGTACACGGCGCCACTCAACATTGGACGCGGTGTCGGTCTCATCGATGTCGACACTGGGTCGTACGAGAGTGTCCAGCAGAACGTTGACGGGTAAAGCCTGGGTCGAATACGACAGACGAGAGGCGGCGAAATGCGCCGTCAACGCTTCCACGTCGGCGTTTAACAAATCGGGCGCATCTTTTAACTTGGCATCTAGCAAATGATCTGGGTGTGGAGGGTCCCGGAAGTAGAAGGGGAGATGACCATGGAGGATGTAGGAAAGGATCATAGCCGACGGCCCATTGCCTATTCACAAAGATGATTAACACCAGAGGCTTCGCGGAATCAACGCAGAGGAACGCAAAGGAACGCAGTTCTCAGACCTACCGACAACGACTGTATCGGTTTCCATGGAGAGCGGAGTCTCGGACGCTTCAACCAGCGTGGGGCATTCTGGAGACATGCGACGAGATCACGCCTCATCCAAACCAGACGAGGAGTCACACAGGGTACCAGGAACGGCCATGAAGGGGAAGCATCATGGAGGGGAAGCAATCGCGGAGATCAATAATCATGCTGACAAAAGCCCGAGGTGGGGATCTCCGTCCAGTTCCAGAGTTGCTTGGGGTCGTCCAAGTCCGGAAGTAATTGGACGGGAAAGTAGGAGCGCGAGAAATGGCATGACTGCTGCCATCACCGGTACGTCAGAGATGCAAGGCACTTCCTATCCCTTTCAAAGTCACTCACGCCGGACAGCTCATCCATGCGTTGAATGGCGAAAACTCTCTGGTAGCCCTAAGCCCTACTTTCCACATCCGGATGAGGCGCTGCGGGATGCGCGCGCCTGGGGAGACTCGAGGCGTCCATGCTTCTATGCTTCTATACTCCCATGCTTTCATGCTTTCATGATCCTCTTGCGCCCCTGATTTGATCGCGCCGTCCGACCTGCCCGCGCGATCATGTATCATCTGGCCAAGTCGCTATATACGTACGCGACCAGCAAAGAGGGTAAGTCGCCGTCATCTCCGGGCCCTCTCCTCATCTAACGTGTTGGGCCCCTTCCAGAGTACTCCGTTCTGTTATTAGGCCTCGACAACGCCGGAAAGACCACACTCCTGTCCCAGATCAAAGCGCTCTACCAACCGCGACCGGATGGCGCTCCGACCCCCAATCCCAGCAAGACCGTCCCGACCGTCGGCCAGAATGTCGCGACTATTTCCCTACATGACATGAACCTGAAGATTTGGGATGTCGGCGGTCAGATCTCGATGCGCGGTCTCTGGCAGAGCTATTACACCAGCTGCCATGCCATCATCTTCGTGGTGGACAGCGCCGACGTGGGTCAAGATCCGGATATCACACGGCTGCCCTCCGCACCCGGGCGCCGTCCGAGTTCAGTGTCCGGTCCTTCGCGAAGCGGCGACCTCTTCACGGAACAAAACGTTGGGATCAACGCGGGTGGAAGCGACTTCGGGCGCCTGGACGAATGCCGGCAGGTCTTGGAATCGGTTCTGCAAAACGCCGACGTCGCGGGAGTGCCCATCCTGGTGCTGGCCAACAAGCAGGATCGGGAAGATTGCGTCGAGGTGGTCCGCATCAAGGAGGGCTTCGTCCGCAAAGTGTTCGAGGGTGAAACGGGAAGCGGCGTCCGAGACAGTCGCGTGCTGCCGGTCAGCGCGCTGATGGGTTCGGGGGTGCAGGCGGCCGTCGAGTGGGTGCAGAGCCGCGTCAAGTGGAATAAAGAGGGCCGACCTCCGGTGATGCGGTGATTTACAAGTTGGCCTTGAACATACATGCATACTGGCGTTTGATAATCTTAATTCTGTTACCATATACCAACGAAAGTTTGATCAATTGCGCGTGCCTCAAGGTGGAGTCCGTCTGGACACTTCGTATAGATTTCACCAGACCAGACAGCCCGGACCTGGCAATATGCCTTGGCGAAGGGACTGTATATGTCCGATTTTGTTTGAATAACGAGGGAAAAGAAGAAACCAAAAGACCTTTAACTTTAAGCCACCAGGATGATTCTAGGATGATTCTAGGGCGATTCCAAGGGTCTAGGGACCACGTGGATGCCCCGGTCCTCAGGCTGCCACCACGGCTAGTAACTAACTACTAATTATGCTTCGCACAACGGAGTAGTGCGTCACAGGGTGCTCAAGGTGCATCTGTGTTTGCTTTCACGACTGCTTTGCTTCGGTCCAAAATCAAGGAAATCCAGCCATTATTGCGTCTAATACTGCAATCCTCCCAACTTTTGATTCCCCACCTTTTGATGTCACGAACCGTCGACGATCCTGATCATTCGAGCTGCACCCAGAACCCGACGTCAAGGGATCAATGAATCGAGTTTAGACATGCAGGATCTGTATCATCGGATCCACAGGGAGACCTCCTCCTAACTTGACTTGCCAGTGAAGGGCCGGTCTCGTGTGCCGTCAATTTGACGTCATGTCCTAGTATACATTGAACACCCAAAGGTCCAGTTATATAAGCCTCTGCAATCCTCCTTACGTCTGTTGTCTTTTCATATTTCCTCCTTTCATTTCCATCAACCCTAAATATCCATCATGAGCACCTTGAACAACGTCGATTCCGTTTCCAACCAGCCCGGCAGCTTCAAGCCTTCTGTTCCGCCCGAAGGCCCCATTACTGACAAGGGCGTAAGTTCAACTATCAACTTTCAACTCGATTCAATGATGGAAATGGCTAACATCACCCAGCACAAGCCCGGTGTCAAGGTAAACGAGGCCGACCAGCGCCCCGAATACCACATGCAGGCTTTCCCCGCGGGCACTGCTCCTGCCAGCAACTCCTACACACCTAATGCCAACGATATCGGCAGTCAGGCAAATAACCCTGATGTCCTCCGCGCACACGGCAAGGAGTCTACTTACACCTCTCCTGCCGACACCCTGACGGGTGCAACCTCCCAAGACGTGCACGCTGGCTTGGGCAAGCCTCTTCAGGGCCAGACTAACGTTGAGCTCGCTCACGATGGTGCTCACGGCCGAACGAAGCAGCCTGCCGGCCTGGAGGGTGTCGGAGCCACTCGCGAGGACCGCGGCCTCGAGCGCCAATTCGCCAACCAGCGCGGCCTGGAGAGAGAAGAGGCTGTAAGCAGCGGTACCCGTGGAAACAAGGCTGACCGTGCTGCCGAGGACATGCAGCCGGAGGGAGCTGAGACACTGGATACTGAGTGGAAGTATGAGCCTCGAACTCAGCGGGAAAAGAAATAAGTTTATTACGTACCACGATGTTATGACGCGGGATCTGGAAATCTCGCTGGCTATTGAGCAATACATATATATGAGTGTTTTCGTCTTTAACGGGTATCCGGTGTTTGAGCCGAGCATGTTTGAACATATTCAGTTCGTTATCGAATAAAAAAAGCGCTTTCTACAAACACCAGACATTAGAATTTATTTTGCCCGGGCGTTGTAAAACAAAAAATAAAGAAAAGATGCTCAGATGCATATGAGTTGCAGAAGCTTTGATATTACATATTCATAAGTTAATTGCTATTGGATTGATTATGTACAAGTCATGATACCGGATTATCATCCTCTCTTCAAGCTCTCACCGACTACTCCGGGCGGTAGTCGATACTTGGGATTTCTCGTCCAATTGCTTCTTTGGCCAGCTTCTGGCAATGTCGATGTTCGCCCGAGGAAACCACATCTCGAGGAAAACGTAAATCAAAAAGTCAATGACCACGCACAGACAGAACAGTTTACCGGCCCAGACACCGCAGCCGTAGTACCGTTTCAGACGATCAATCAATGCGAAGCTTCGCACTCGGTCTCCACTGGCTTCCCAACCCTGACCGGGGTAGTAGCCATAGAACTCTTCCGGGCTGATGTCGCCCATGATACCTTGGTAGACCCTCTCAGTGCGCTGGGCCACGTCCCGCCAGGAATACATCATCTTGACCTGGTCATGAAACCGGTCTGTTCGCACCTTGTTCGAACGCAGTGCGGCGATAGCCTTGCTGGTTGCAACTACCAGATCGTCCTCTTCTGGTTTAGCGAACGTGGTCATATGTTGGGGGAGAACCTCTGGAATACCACCGACACGGGTGCAAACCACATATAACCCGCAACTAGCAGCTTCGACAATAACCGTCCCAAATGCCTCTGTCAAACTGGGATGGAGGTAGATATGGCCTCGGACCATAACGTCCCGCACCTCTTCGTGTCGAACCGAGCCAAGCATTTCAACTTTATCCTGGAGCACGTTACGTTCCAGCATTTGTTCTAGGTCGATCGCCTTAGGCCCGGACCCCGCGATGATAAAGCGTGTGTTAGGGTTAGAAGCAAGGATTCGCGGAATCGCCGCGATCAAAAGATCTGTGCCCTTATTGTAGAAGAGACGGGAGATGACCACGATCGTAATGGTGTCGTCGGGCCCAATTGGTGTGGGGGATGGTCGAGGGTCGCCGGGGGAGCTTGGGATCTGGTCAAGAGCACGAGGGGTATATGATAACGGACGGAAATTCTCCGCAACGACGGCATTAGGAATCACGGAAACCATTAGAGGATCTAACGAGGCTCGAAGCACGGTATTTTCCTTGCTATGGGTGAGTCAGTCAGTGCTTTTGGAGGCTCCTGTAAACAAAACCTACCAAGTATGGCTGACGCAGATCGCATGATCGACATCGCTAAGAGTGAACTTGAGTAGCTTATTCGTGAGGATTGAAGCTGCATCGGCAAATCCAAAGAGGGAGTGGTCCGTAAAGACAGTTCGGAGACCCATTGTCCGCGCGTGGAGAATAGCTTCTCCACAGAAGCTACTGAGACTGGCATGGCCGTGGACGATCTCGATTTGCTCTCGAATGACAATGTTGCGGAAAATGGGAAAGAATGAAAAGACGGTAGGGAAAGTCGTCTCGCGATAGATGATGAAGAAGGGGACGTGGTAGATCTTCAAGCCGTTTGTGAGGTAGCGGACACCTGTCCGACCTTTGTATGCGTGAGTGATGATAATCACTTTGTGTCCACGATCGATCAGTTTCTATAATCCCGTCAGGATATGCCCGAGACCTGCGAGGACGCGAATATGAGGGGCGTGGCAGCCTACGGTCGACAATTGGTAGATGTGACTTTCGATTCCCCCTGGGAAAGAACGGTCAGCGTCTGGAATTCAAGCCGATTCTTGTCTATTGAGACCATTGTGACTTACCTGGTTGAGGAAAGAAGAAGTCACTGACCATACTGTCTCAATAGAACAGTAGAAACCATCGTCAGTCTATTGGGACCATCATGGTGTCATCATGGTGGCTGGCGCGTTGAGGACTCACGCAATGTTATAAGGCATTTTTGCGGCTCTGGCCCTTGGGCAGAGGATTTCTTGGTAAATTCCAGATATTCCGCGTGTTTAGCATCCTTGCGCTGGTCGCAATGAACACCATGCACACTCGATCGCAAAGGAGGAAGAAGCTCGAGGAGATACTGCCGGGCGGTGATCCAAATCCAGTGACGACGAATGTGTATAGAAGAGGTGCGGGAGTTATCACGTGATGATAACGGGACCGAGCCGTGCGATTGTACTGTGTAAATGGGAAAAGCTTGGCAAGGGAAAATGAAATTTCGTTTGCATGTGTTTGACGAAAACCACGTGCCCAGGTGCAGCGAGTTCTCAAGCTACGTGCCCTGACCTGTAGTCACCAATTCCGAGGAATGCAGCTGAAAAAAATGGCCGGATCCGAGGATGTCCTCGATGCGACCAAAATGTCCTCGACTCCCACCTCTGGCAAGACTCAGAAACGAAAGAGAGATGCCGGCGATACCACCACAACCACTCCGACACCAACCAGAAAGTCCAAGAAGCGCGAAAGCCAATCTGCCGAAGAGGGTACCTCCAAGAAGCGATCGAAGATCAGGGACAGGCTTCAAGGTGATGATTCCCCGAACGCGACCTGGAAAGAAAGTGCTGTCCCGACCAAGCGCCTCAAGACGCCTGCTGCAAACTCGGACGACCATGACCGTAAAGCGGGAAAGAAGTCAAAAGATGGCAAGCGAAAGAGCTCTGGGAACGATGCTCAGCCAGTTGAAGAAACTGCATCTGTGAGCTCGGAGCCTACGAGTGACCAGGGCGCAGAGGGGTCGACCGAGGACAAGCCCACGAAGAACAAACACGCCGGGCTCTTGTCCAAGTTCGAGCGCACCAAGACCGCTGCTGCCACAAAGGCCAAGAAGTTCAAGCCTGAGATCGAGGAGCCCAAGGAGGAGACTGCCGAGCCCGTGTTTGCGAAGGGCCTCGAGCCTTTGCCCCAGCCTGAGAATCCTGAGGAGCCCGAGACTCTACCGACATATTCATCTCTACCAGAATGGCTGGCAATTCCCCAACGGACATCAACCAAAGAGCGAGCCAAGTTCTCTGATCTGGGCATCAAATCTGACCTTCTTCAAATTCTTGACGAGCGCGGCTACAAGGAAGCGTTTGCAGTGCAGTCCGCCGTCATTCCGCTTCTTCTCGACAACAGCAACAACTACCACCCCGGCGATCTGTGTGTTTCCGCAGCAACAGGTTCTGGAAAGACCCTCTCCTACGTGCTTCCACTTGTCAGCTCCCTGAAACCCTTGCCTGCATCAAGATTGCGAGGACTGATCGTGGTTCCCACGCGCGAACTGGTGCGACAAGCGCGTGAATCATGTGAGCTCCTTGCCTCCAGATCCGGACTTCGAATCGGAAGTGCCGTGGGTAACGTGGCTATCAAAGACGAGCAAAAGCTTCTCATGCGGGTAGATCAAGTGTACGACCTAACCACGGTCACCCAGCGACAGAATACAGGCTTACAGGGAGATGACTGGATCGACTTCGATCTTGAAGCCTGCGTCAACGAGGCAGTAAATGCCAACGAGTATCTGCCGGGCCACATCCAGCGATCCGAACCCAACGTTGATATTCTCATCTGCACACCCGGTCGACTGGTCGACCACATTCGCTATACTAAGGGGTTTACTCTCAAGTATTTGGACTGGCTCGTGATCGATGAAGCCGATCGGCTACTGAACGAGAGCTTCCAGGACTGGGTCGACGTGGTGATGGGCTCACTGGACTCCCGTCAGGCTCCCGAGACCTTCGGACCCTGTGGCAAGTGTTTGTCGGACATGAAGCTCCCCATTGCTACGAAACCACCGCGAAAGGTTGTTCTAAGTGCAACCATGACTCGTGATGTATCTAAGCTCAACTCACTCCGATTGGCAAACCCCAAGATGGTTGTGGTCGGGGCGGAAAATCTCTCGGATCTCACCGACCTCTCCGTCGAGAGAGGCGACGCTTCTTACGACTTGCCGCCAACCCTGCACGAATACATGGTTCCCATTCCCGAGGCCGCCCAAAAGCCACTGTACTTACTGCGTCTTCTGGAATCACGCATCCAGGTCGGTGTGGACGCCACGCCTGGCACTGCCAACGGTGATGATGCCGACAGTGTAGTTTCTGATGATACGAGCTCTGACTCGGATGACGATTCATCTGACTCCGATTCCGACTCTGGTTCCGACTCCGATTCCGACTCTGATTCAAACACCGACACCGACTCGGACACGAACAGTAATTCCTCAAGCGACTCCGAGGATGAACTCGACCCCGCCGAGCATTCGGGCAAATCTCGTTCGAGTGTGTTGGTCTTCACCAAGTCTTCCGAATCCGCATCGCGGCTTGCTCGTCTGATAACCCTGACCAAGCCATCGCTCGCCAAGCAGATTGGGGTCATCGTCAAATCCAACAAATCTTCTGCCTCTCGCAAGACTCTGTCTGCTTACCGGCGAGGCCGAACTTCGATCATCATCGCCACCGATCGTGCTTCCCGTGGTCTCGATCTGGAGTCGTTGACAGACGTTGTCAACTACGATGTCCCTCACAGCATCACCACCTACGTCCACCGTGTCGGGCGTACTGCCCGTGCGGGCCGCGAAGGATCTGCCTGGACTCTGGTTGCTCATCACGAGGGGCGCTGGTTCTCGACTGAAATCGCGAACAGCGTGGATGGCCATATCACACGTTCGTCGGGCATTCATCGGGTGAACGTCAAGATTGACAAGAATTCGGCGACCTTCAAGGGTTACGGGAACGCTCTGGAGAGGCTGGAGAAGGAGGTCAAGATGGCCGGGGCGAACAAGTCAAAGTGAGAATGAAGCCGAGGACTGTATTTCACGAATATCCCAAGCGCATCGTCGCGTGGATAGCGCCTGTTATCCAACTGTAGAATATGATTAACAATACGACTATCACGAACACGTTTATTTTCACGAAAGAGCTGTATACTTCGCAAACAGGCCGATTCCGCTCGGCGTTGGTCCGCATCTCTCACAGTACGGGGCACAACCACAGCAAACCCTGTGGCATAGACTAACTCAGCAGGTTTCGGGCAGGAGTCGCCCGAGACACCGACTTGAAGCGGAGAAAGTGGGTCGTATCTGGGGGAGAGGAATCCGGGGCCCTGAGATGGTTCGGAGGATGTCCGATGGGGATACCCCAATTGAAGAGTTGAAGACACTCGAATCTCCTGCCAAGCTCATCTTCTCGTTCCTTTGGTTGCTTGGCTCGAATCAAACATCATGGAGAAACACGAGCAGGACGTTGTCACAATATCTGGTGAACAGTCGATTTTCCGACGTACGTGCCCTCATTCTTCTCCTCTCCTGTCTCCTACTAATATACACATCCAGCGGAACCGCCATTTGCACGATATATTCCCGGCGGATTCTCACCGTCACGATGTATGAAACTTCAGGGCAGGCCGATGACCTATGCCATCTTCCTCTTCTCAGGATGTGCCATTCTCTTTTTCGGATACGATACTGCAGTGATGAGTCAAGTCAACAACAATGCGAACTACATGCAGCGCATGGGCGTCGCCGGTGGCAGCGATCGCGATGCTGCAGCTATTGGTGGTCTGGTCAGTCTCTGGTTTGGAGGATTTGCCATCGGTGCGTTGATTGTGGGCTACGTCGCCGACTCCATCGGTCGCTTGAAGACAATCCAGCTGGGATGTCTATGGGGCATCCTTGGTGCAGCTCTGCTGGCATCCGCACAGAACATCACTTGGCTCGCATTTGCACGAGTGATCAGCGGTGTGGGATGTGGTCATCTGAACACGATGGTCCCCGTCTGGACATCAGAGCTGGCAGATCCTCATCTGCGCGGTGCCTTTGTGGCGGTCCAATTTACCCTCGCCATGGTCGGGTCGACAATCGCATACTGGATGGAGTTCGGTTGTCTCAAGACCCAAACAATGTCCTTTGCCTGGCGCTTCCCTCTCGGTTTCCAGATTGTCTTTCTGATCTTCATCCTGATTGCGGCTCCTTTCTACCCTGAGTCGCCTCGACACCTGGCCAAGATTGGCGATCTGTCTGGAGCAAGGACAGTGCTGGAGAAGTGCCGCATTGAGACCGATGAGCAAGTGATTGAGACCGAGATGGAAGAGATCGTTTCTGCCATTCGCGCCGAGGCCACGTCTACATCACATAGCTTCTACAGTATGCTGTTCACCAAGGACAAGCTACACACGCGCCGACGTGTAATTCTGGGTTCCGGGGTACAAGTTATGCAAAAGCTGACTGGGATTGACTTCATCGCGGTCTATGCTCCAAACATGTTCGCTCTGTCAGGCTTTTCAGGCGATAAACCGGCCCTTCTGGCCGGAGGCAACTGGTTTGGATACATTGCCAGTCTGGCGCTGTCCATCTACCTCTGCGATCGAGTCGGCCGACGCAACTTAATGCTGACCGGATGTCTTCTCATGGGCATCGTCTTGATTGTGGGAGGTGTGCTCTCCCATGAGACGATTGCCCATAAGACCAGCGACCCAGCAATGGCTAGCAAATTCGGGTCTGGCGTCGCAGCCATCCTATATATCTATACCTTTATCTACGGCAGCACCTGGCTGACGACTTGGTAAATGACACAAAGCACCTTCTTTCGAGTTGACAGTTGCTAATTTTTTGACAGCTGGGTTTACCCCACCGAAGTGTTCCCGCTCGCAAGCCGAAGTAAAGGTGCCGCATTGGCAACCTTTGCTTTTTCCATCGCTGGAGGCACGATTAACATGATCATCCCGTATCTCATCCAGGCAATTGGATTCTGGGTTTTTATCCTGTTTGCCCTGATCAACCTGTCGCTGCTGGCACCTATATATCTCTTCTACGTCGGTCAGTATCATTATCGTTGTCTACTCTTTACTGTTCTGTTCACTGACACTAGCAGAAACTGCTAACCGTCACCTGGAGCAGCTCGACATTCTCTTCTCAAGCGATAGTTGCTTGGCTTGGAGAGCGGAGAAGAACTTTATTGAAAAGCTGAATGAACAAGGCGGAATTTTAGGAGAAGATAATGAAAAGGGCAGCGTGGAACAAGTGGAATGAAACCTCCCTCTTGATACCAGTCGGTCAGAGACTGAGGTTACATCACAATGTGTAGCTGGCTACATGAAGCCATTGGTGACAGGATAACATCTGTCTTAGGTAACGCATCCCGGATTGATGCATCTCAATATAACATGTCATATCTTCTAATTTAGTTTTCAGAGTCGCGGGCAACGTAAGTCATCAGCCGTGCCCAGTATCCGAAGGTTAGCTTAGTGGAGCATCTGCACATGTGGGCACCAACTCTTTTATCTTGCTGTTTATACAGTAGTCGATTAATTAGAACATGATAGAATAGACTCGGAGTTGCCTCCCGAAGTAGCACAAGGGCCGCCTCTCCGCACGCCGATCAACCTTGAAACGACCCGTTTTACCCGTCCCCAAGAGAAATTTCCGATCTAGATCAAATACCCGATCGATAAGAATTGGCCAAGATTATAATGTTGCAAGCTCCGCATTTGAGGGGAATGGCACAATGTCACCGTTACTACCGAAGACTGGTAGCGTTTATATACATGCCGTCGCTTCAGCCCTTCATGCCCACCGAGGTAGCTGATCCCTCACACCCTCCACCATGGCGATCATGAGAAAACTTGTCTGCGGGCTTCTCGCCTTGTTTCCTATTGCCAAAGCGGTCATATTCAAGCCGCAAAATGAGTTTCAGGCTCTTTTTGGAACAAATGCGTCCTTTGCAGTGGACTTGCGGCCATGGTTTAATAACCGGGCCTTTGGATTGAAGCCCAATGATTCCAGTTTCGATGGCCAGGGGAGTGAGTAGCCTCTGGTAGCGACCTCGGTGATTGAAAAGCACAACTCGACTGACACACAGTAGACTCTTACCCGGCAGAAGAAATGCCACCTGAGACATTCTCATACGGAGGATTCAACTATCGCTTTTCGGCATACAACGCTTCTGGCAACGACAATGTGCTAGTCCACGGCCAGGAAATAGAGGTCCCCCGTGGAAAGTACTTCAGCTATCAGATGCTTGCTGCTTCAGATACCGGAATGGCATCTGGATCGGTGACTGCGAAATACGAGGATGGTAGTAACACCACCGGTGCGCTGCTGGTCCCGGCCTGGTGGAGTTGGCCATATCCTGCTGGAGGAGACTTGGTCTTCTCCTCTTACTTGACCGAAAACAATACCAACTACAATAGATCCAATATTTTCCAAACCATTAACTGGCTCGACTCATCAAGAGAACTGGTCTCGTTAACTTTCCCCAAATCCTCATCGGGATCATCTACTTCCCCAGGAGGGGCGTCTGTGAACACAGTGCTCCACATTTTTGCCTTGTCGATGCTACCGGTGTCGAAGAACAGCTCGCGCTCAATCCAATTGGAGACACAATATGGTCGCTCAACTCAGAAGTGGATGGAGGGCTCCGACAAAGTACAGATCGTCGAGGTTCTTGTCAATAACTTTGGGTCTTCGTTCGTCTTACGGAATGATAGTGTGCGTGTGCACATCGAGTCTCCAAGTCTGGAAACTGTCACAGAAGGCACTATTCATCGCCTTGGACCCGGTGACCAAGCCATAGTCGAGGTCGGGGTTCAGAACCGCTGTGGAGTGACACCGGGAACTACCGGCCCAGCGACCGTGGTCGTCCATGGTCAGAATGTTGCATCTGTCAACTATACCTTCCAGGCAACCTACGGCATCAGTCCTTATGAAGCTACTTATGAGTCGGTGTACAGCCACGAATCACCAAACTGGTATAACAATGCTAAATATGGTATTTTCATCCACTGGGGGATCTACTCGGTGCCCGGCTGGGGCAACTCGGGGTCCAAAGAGAACTACGCGGAATGGTAATCGACGAAATAGACCTTTACATTGGAGTCTGTGGACTAACGAACTCAACAGGTACTGGTGGTGGCTGAACCAGGGGCCGAACCTTCCAACTGATGTATATGATTACCACCTGAAGACATACGGACCGGACGTCGTGTATGACGACTTTATCCAAAACTTCACGGCAGATGCCTGGGATCCCAAAGAGTGGGTAGATCTCTTTGCCGATGCAGGTGCCAATTACTTCGTCCAAGTCAGCAAACACCATGAGGGGTACTCGCTGTTTGACCTTCCGGAGAATGTGACGAAAAGAACTTCGGTGGCTCTAACACCACACCGTAACCTGGTGCAGGTGAGTCAGATCACGGAATATCGTATTTTCATTGTCCTGTTCCTCATCTTGCCCTAGGAACTTCTCAACGCGTCAAAGGAATACCAGCCACATCTGCACCGCGCGGTATATTACTCTCTACCAGAGTGGTTCAATCCCGATTACAAGAAATATGGATTTTCGACATGGCCCGGAGGTAACTTGATCATCAGAAATGATATCAGCGAGCTTTGCTGACAATGAATAGGAAACGCCACCAACCCATTCACGAACGAGACGCTGCCTTATACGGGATACGTGCCGGTCAATGACTACATCGCCGACAAGATGCTCCCCGAGATGAACACACTGGCCGACATGGGCACGGAGATTATGTGGTGTGACATCGGTGGACCCAACCGCACTCTTGAATTTGCATCCGAATGGTTCAATCGGGCAGCCGATCAAAATCGACAAGTTGTCATGAACTCCCGCTGTGGCCTTCCGGGGGACTTCGATACTCCAGAGTATGCTCGATACAACGGAATCCAGACCCGGAAGTGGGAGAGCAACTTGGGAATGGATCCATTCAGTTACGGCTACAATCGAGCGACAGCTCTGGCGAGCTATATGAATGCCACTACAATCGTGACTAGCCTCGTCGATATCGTCAGCAAGAATGGAAACTTTCTTCTCGATGTTGGCCCCACTGCCAATGGAACAATTTTGGATGTGGAGCAACAACATCTGCGCCAGGCCGGCACTTGGATCAAGAGCCATGCCGAGGCCATCTTCAACACCACCTACTGGTTCGTCACCCCCGAGGAAGGAGACGAAGTTAGATTCACCACGTCGCAAGAAGCGTTCTATATCCACACTCTCGCCAAACCCAACAGCACTCTGACCTTGTCGAGTCCTATTCCCTATGTGCCCGGTGACCAGGTGACGGTTGTGGGAGGAAACATGCACGGAACAGTGGTGCCGAGCGCAAAGTCCAGCAATGGCTCGGTAACATTGTCTGTCAGCAAGGAGGTTGCAGCTGCAGACCAATTTGCCTGGGTGTTTAAGATTGCATATTAATGCAGCATTCGGAAGCCCTCAGAGATAGCAATAGCTATTCAAATTGCAAGCCGATTGGAAAGCAAATACTTATTACCGCCGCATATCCGGGCTCACGTTCTTAGTCGAAGTGAAGATGTACCAATCAATGTGTACCGGCAAAAGAGCCATAAGCAACACCGTAGAACAGAAGCTTGCCACGGGGACACCGCCACTGATGCAGATCCCACAAGCAGAATGCCAGGGTCATTGAATCCAGCCGACAGCTGGGATCTCCTCTTTCGGCAAAACCGTCGGGAAGTAACTCCACCGTGGAGAACGTGCATCAGACCACCTGGAGCTCTGACGGCCGCTATATGCTCGTGCATGAGTGGCGGTCGCGGGAACTTGAATCAGATAGATGGCAAACAGGGATTTCAGCCTATATTTTATCTCCTGACTTTGCTGATTCACAGCTGTTATGAAACCATGACGTATGTAGAACTTAAAAGAGTACTGGGACTTGAGATTCAAGGTGAGAAACAAGAGAAATAGTACAAGTGGACATATTTGCTTCAGAGCCTTGGGGTATTGTCAAAAGTCAGTTTGCGTTGACCCACACGAATCCCTTCATCTCCAGCCTTTAAGCCGATGTTTTGCCGACGCCTCTTCAAAGTCCGTCATCGCACGATTCAGGCTAAATTTAATATCGCAACAAGCTTCGGAGAATCTCCGCATGAAAGGGCCTGATCGACTGCGGGACTTGCCGAGTTCGGGGTTGATGTGGGGACGTTGATGACCCCCGAGTTTTCGGCGGTTTTGTTCATAGCCGGACTGCAGCCGTGAGAAGGGGGGATATAAAATAAAGCAGGGGCTGATGATGCGATAACCAAGTGCGATCTCAACAATGTCTGCTGCATTGTTTCTGGTGGCGGCTTTGGTGCCGACCGCGTTGGCCCAGGCCAACACCTCCTACGTGAACTACTTGACGGAGGCTCAGCCCAATCTCGATGCCCAGACACTCGCAACGATTACTCTTTCCTTCCCTGACTGTGCTCATGGTCCATTGAACAAGAGCTTGGTGTGCGATACCTCGGCGAGACCCCATGACCGCGCGGTGGCTCTTGTTTCCATGTTCACGTTTGAGGAGCTCGTGAACAGCACCGGAAACAACATTCCGCCAATTCCTCGCCTTGGTCTACCACAATATCAAGTTTGGAGTGAAGGTCTGCATGGGCTGGACCGTGCCAACTTCTCGGACTCTGGAGACTACAATTGGGCCACCTCATTCCCACAGCCGATTCTTACTATGGCTGCCCTCAACCGCACCTTGATTAACCAAATCGGTGACATCATTTCGACCCAGGGACGCGCATTCAACAATGTTGGTCGATATGGTCTCGACGCATACGCGCCAAACATCAATTCTTTCCGTCATCCGGTTTGGGGTCGCGGACAGGAGACTCCTGGCGAGGATGCTTACTGCCTGGGCTCAACCTACGCCTACGAATACATCACCGGTATGCAGGGTGGCGTTGACCCAGATCACTTGAAGATTGTAGCCACCGCGAAGCACTTCGCTGGGTACGACATTGAAAACTGGCATAACCACTCCCGCCTGGGTAACGACTTGAACATCACCCAGCAGGACCTAGCGGAGTACTACACTCCTCAGTTCCTTACCGCCGCTCGCGATGCTCGTGTACACAGCGTCATGTCATCGTACAACGCTGTTAACGGCGTGCCAAGCCCAACCAACTCTTTCTTCCTTCAGACCCTGCTCCGCGACACATGGGGCTTTGTGGAAGATGGATATGTCTCATCCGATTGTGATTCGGTTTATAATGTCTTCAACCCGCACGGGTACGCTGCCAATGTTTCCAGCGCCGCCGCCGACTCCATGCGCGCTGGAACTGACATCAACTGCGGAACTTCTTACCAGTACTACTTGAACGATTCCTTTTTACAGGGCGAGATCTCCCGAAGCGAGATCGAGCGCGGAGTTGTCAGACTTTACTCCAGCCTCGTGAGCCTGGGCTACTTTGACGGCAACAACAGCAAATATCGCAACCTTGATTGGTCTGATGTCGTTTCTACCGATGTATGGAACATTTCGTATGAGGCGGCCGTTGAGGGTATTGTCTTGCTCAAGAACGACGGCACCCTGCCGTTGTCCAAAAACATCAGCAGTGTCGCATTGGTTGGACCTTGGGGCAACGCTACCCAGCAGATGCAGGGCAATTATTATGGAAACGCTCCTTATCTGACCAGTCCGCTGGCGGCTCTTCAGGCCTCGAACCTAAAAGTTAACTATGCCTTCGGCACCAATATCTCATCTGATGCCACCGCTGGCTTTGCTGATGCTGTCTCTGCTGCGAAAAAGTCTGATGCAATAATTTTTGCAGGAGGTATCGACAATACTATTGAAGCAGAAGGTATGGACCGCTCTAATATTACGTGGCCGGGTAACCAGCTCCAGCTCATTAAGCAGCTGAGTGAGCTAGGCAAGCCCCTGATTGTTTTGCAGATGGGCGGTGGTCAGGTCGATGACTCAACCCTCAAGGCGAACAAGAATGTCAACGCTCTCGCCTGGGGTGGATATCCTGGCCAGTCTGGTGGACAGGCTCTCTTGGATATCATCACCGGCAAACGTGCTCCTGCTGGCCGATTGCCAGTGACTCAATACCCAGCGGAGTATGCGATGGAATTCCCTGCCATAGACATGAATCTGCGTCCCAGCGGAGATAACCCCGGTCAGACATACATCTGGTATACCGGGAAGCCTGTTTACGAGTTTGGACACGGTCTGTTCTACACAACTTTCAAGACCTCCCTTGCACGGTCAAGAAGTTTGAGCAACGGGACCTCTTTCGATATTGTTGACCTTCTGTCGCGCTCGCACGAAGGCTACAATGTAGTGGAGCAGGTCCCCTTCCTGAACTTCACCGTTACCGTCACCAACACTGGAAGTGTCCTATCAGACTACACAGCCATGCTGTTTGCCAACACAACAGCTGGGCCGGCGCCCCTCCCCAACAAGTGGCTGGTTGGCTTCGACCGCATCGGCTCTCTGAAGTCTCACGCCTCCCAGGAAATGACTCTCCCTGTCTCCTTGGATGATGTTGCCCGTACGGACTCACTGGGAAACCGCATTGTCTACCCTGGGAAATACGAACTAGCCTTGAACAATGAGCGCTCGGTGACCCTGTCATTTACCCTAACTGGGAATGAGACTGTCATCTCAAAATGGCCGCTTGATGAGCAGCAGATTCCGCCTGCATAATCCCGAACGTTGAGAGGCTTAAAAAGGATATCGATCTTGTCTACATAATTTCGTTCTTTAAACTATAGATCGTGAATAAACGCCTGGCATGCCAAAGCACATGAATCAAGTCAATTTGCAACAAATAATTTCTCCAAGTTATCCTGGTAATGTGTCAGTTCCTGAATTTGGCTCGCTTATACCCCGGTATGCCTAGTCCCCCTAACCATCAATCTTCCGGAAGTAACGAGGTTCCGGTCGTTGTTCTAGACTTGATTCCCCGCTTTAGTTCTCGCTGCACTCCACAGCAATGGGCTGCAAGGAAGTGGAAAGCCCGAAGCGGTGTAGAAAACCTGCCGAGTTGCTCCCCTTATTTCTAAGAAGATGATGGGATGGTAGACTCCCGTGTTGGCGTTAACGAGACACTTCGAGTCGATGCCCGGTCGCTCAGGTGTCCAGATTAAGGATACGGTCATCGGCTTCGGCACCGGTCAGTTCGTTCCCCGCAATCGACCTTCCGCATTTCGCATCTCGCATTTCGCAAGTTGTGACACAGCCCTCCACTCTCAATCTACTTCCGGCAGGACTATGGACCTCAGTTCTTCCAATGTCCTGTCGATGTCGGGCCTTTCTTCCGTGAGCGCATCGGCGCGTGGCCCGACCGGAAGTCGTCAGATTACCCGGAACCGGGCGAGCTACAGCTGCCACGCATGTCGCCGGCGCAAGGTGAAATGCGACAAGGTATGGTTCTTGCCTCTTGTATCGATGTCGCATCGCTGACTTTGATTCCCACGTCCATAGGTACACCCAATCTGCGGGAACTGTGCGAAGACCGGAGCCGAATGCGTGTTTGATGTGTCGTCGCTAAAGCGGGAGGATGCGCGCGATGACCCTTCTCGAAGTGGACACGGAGTGAAGCGAAGGAGGGGAACCCCGCGAAAATGGGAGGACGACGTGGACGAACTGCAGTCATTATATGGACATTTGAGGCAGGCCGAGTCATCGCCGGACCAAAAATCAGATCCCCGAGCAATCGAGGCTCGGCTGGACAAGTTAATGTCGATGATCGAACGACTCGGTGGGACTAGCCAGGCTCTCGAAGCGGCAGAGAAGCAGTCGGCCGCTTCGACCGCTGGGATGGAGTCAGCCCTCATGGAGGAATTGCGACAGAGCAATGCTCGGAATGAGAGATCCGTTTCTTCGCGGCAAGCCAGTCCGCGTCGCGCCGTTGCAGAGTCAAGTGGCGACGAGTTTCCTATCCCGTCTGGCCAAGCAACTGACTTGGTCGATCCGGTCGGAAGTCTGAACCTCGGGCATCTGAGTCTGGAGGATGGCGGGAAATCGAGATACGTGGGAACGACATACTGGGCCTACATCTCCCACGAGGTATGGCGGTTTCCCTTTTTTGTCTTGCTCGCAGCAAATATTTCTAACAAGCCATAAAGATCAACGATCTTAATCAATTGCTGAGAGATCAAAACCGGTCGCATGAACAACAACCTTCGGATAATGTTAACGAGGATGATCTTCTCAGCAACGGCCGCCGACCGTGGAAACAGTCGATTGATAGCTCAACCTTCTCGACTTCGTCGCGTTCCCCCCGCGGTTCCTTCCATCAATCCATTATCTTTCCTTCCGGCGACTCCCCGTCCGTGAATGAGAAAGTTGTCGAACCGGAGATGCTCGAGCATGTTCCGTCCAGACGCCAGAGCCACATCCTGTATAAGGCCTTCATGTCTGGCATTCATGCCATTAGTCCCGTCATCCACCCCCCGACGATTTTGAAACTTTACAATGCCTTCTGGGACTGGTACGACTATAGTAGCTACTCCGGAGAGCCATGTCCAAATCCTTCCTTTTTGCCCCTCCTGTACGCCATCTGGTATGGCGGCTCTGTCACGATCTCAATGCGAACGATCAAGGCCGAATTCAATGTGCCGTCCCGAGTCCCGCTATCGACTATTTATAGCGAGGAGGTTACTCGCTGGTTGACAAAGATTTCCTTCCCTCGAAGCCCCTCTCTTCAGGGACTCGCGGCATATCTCATTGTGCAGACGATCCTGTCAAAAGAGGAAGAACCTCTGACTAGCAGCTTATTCATTAGCCTTGCGATGAGAGTGGCACAGACCATGGGTCTACATCGCGACCCGGCCAAATTTGGAATCGAGCCCTGTGAGGCAGAATATCGGCGCCGATTATGGTGGCATATCATTCACATGGATGGCGTGGTGGCAATGTCCAGTGGGCTACCTCCTCTGGTCAGCGATGAAAACTACTGGGATGTCCGGGAAACGAGCGAAGTTAAGGACACTTTGCTCGGTACGCCAGCAGCTGAGCGATATGAGCAGCTACTGGCCACCAAGCAGCGACTGCCGGACAATCCTGACGACCCATCTCTCGGTGGTGGACCGTCGATGGTGAATGTATTTTACCTGAACGCCAGAGGAAAATACATTATGGCTCGTGAGTAATATCTAACCATAATCCAAAAGACAGAGCTAACCCCTGGTAATAGGCGCCGTTCGCCGGATTCTGAAGATTCAGCTGGGTACAAAACCAGTGACTCGCAGAGATATGGAGGAACTCCGGGCAATTCTTCTCGATCTTCAGCTCAAGCTGAAATCTATAGTGGATAGGATTCCCGAAGTCAGGGCAACCGATAATGCTTCGACATCTTCTGGTCGCGCCTTGTCCATGGCCAAGTCTCCAGCTGACGCTTGGTCTACCGAGAACGAGGTCCCCGGTGAAGGTATAAATGGCTGCCCGGAGCAGTACCACTCCCCAGTCCATTCTTCATTCCACAAATGGGCCAGGATCATTTTATTACTGTACATTGACAAGGTTGGTCGAATCCAAACTTGGACGCAGCACCGTCATTTGTCGCTAACGTGTCCTCTTAGGCATTCTGCGTCGCTTACCAACCTTTCCTCAAGAATGCCCGCAGTCGTATTTGGCCAGCTGCACGACAAAGGTGAGTAGTCGAAGTTCATCCATATGAAGGACCCTCTAACAAATTTAGCGCACTTCGTCACTGCCATGGGTTTATGGAAAAGTTCATTCAGCTGGCGACAGACCCTGACTTCCAACCGTTCCAATGGAGCTGGCCTGGGTAAGCTATCCAGACCTCATCGTAGGGAATTCCCGCTGACCTTCTTCCAGCAACCACCAGCCGATGCATGCAACAATGTACGCGAATTCATCTTTGCCGCTTCATGTGAATCTAACTAACTGTGGACAGGATTATGCTCATCGATCTATACGAACGACCGTATAGCCCGGAAGCATCCAAGTCTCGCGCATTTATCGATCGCATCCTGGCTCTGTCTGGCCCGGATGGAGGTGTTGTAGGCGGCGAAGACGGTGTCTCTACGCAACGACCACTCAAAGATGGCGGCCGCGAGGCCTGGGATATGATCCGCCGTCTCCGTCAAAAAGCCTGGCAAAAGGCCGGTCTCAACCCACAAATGCTCTGGACTGAACAGGACCAAATCCAAGCCGGCGTCGCGTCACCAGCTGGAGAACCGCAGAGACTTCGTGGTCCATTCTACTCGGGGCCTGAGTCTCAGGCAGCATCAGCGACGGCACCGAGCCAACCTACTGCTCCAGATCAGCAGTTGTCGGACTTCAATAAGGTCTTCTACAACATGACTCGCTCCCATCTGCTTCCAAACCCCGCTGTCTCAACGGCTTCACTCAGACCCAGTCCTCTCCGATACTCCTACCAACTGCCTCCCCCGAACCAAACCTCTTCTCAGGCAGCACCTCAATATAACCCCACGCCGGCAGCTGTCACCATACCAGGAACCGGTAACATGGCTGCTACGTCTGCCATGGCAACATCACCGGCGACATCCACTTTGGCCAGCTCCCCTGCGACCCACTCCCCCACTGCCCCTTCCACCATTCCTGTATCCCCTCGGCAAGCCATCCCCAACATTAACACCCCACCAATGCCTTTCATGGATCCAGTTTCACCTGCTCCGCCCGGGGGACTCCCCACGCCACCCTCCATGGTGGATCCTAACCTCAACTTCGACTGGGATCAGTGGGATGCGGTGTTTGGACAGCATCTCCCTATCGCTGATGAGCTCATGGAACTGGATCCCGTCTCCGCATTGGAGTTTGACAACCTTGCAGCTCCATCTGGGAATACCCCCGCCGAGGTTGGAGTCAAGAGATTCCAGGCGGTATCCACATCTGGCGATGTTGGTCTCCCATCTGTCTGGACAGACCAGGGCTCATTTAAATCTGAAGGGGTATCCTCGAGCGATTGGACCGGGTATTGTTGATAATGGAATTTGCCGACCTTGGAATTAATGCCACTGTAACGTGCCTCGATGATTGCTGTATGATGCGTGGATTGTACACATAACACACCAGCAAGACGCTTTGGGATGATAAAAAACTCGGCTTTCTTGAAAGATACATCTTGGAATATCCCAATTAAGGGTGTACAATACAGCTCCTATGGTCTGTACACACCCCTCTACGCAAAAGGTATAGATGAAGACGTAACAGTATATCGATTCATGAGGCGTAACTCTTGACGATCAGATGGATCGACCAATTAGGATACGAAGATGCGTAGTGTAAAGCCAGAACAGACAAAAGGCCCGGCGGGAGGGAAGAGGCAAATTCCCGCGTCCGATCTAAGCATGATGCAGAGAGTTCGCGTTTCTTCATAGCTTGCTTTCTTCAGGTCAAGTGCATTTTTAGGGCCGCCGAGAAGATCAGATCCTTAGACCTTGGTCGCTCTGAAGCCGTGCTTCCAGACGGTGGCGTAGGGGGTAACACCGTCCTCACGGAAGTCAATCAGGACGTGCCTAGTATGAGTTAGCAAACGGGGTCTCAGTGCAGCGGACATCAATGGAAACGTACATGGCATCGCCGTCCATGGACTGTCCCATCATGACATCGTAGTTGTCGTAGTTGGCAATGATCTTCTTCATGGCAGCGGGAGCACCCTTCTTGAACTCATCGATGGTCTCGGTGGGAGCACCGTTCTCCTCGAGCTTCTTCATAACCTTCTTGAGGTAGCCTAAAGGGAAACGTGTTAATTGAATGAGCGGCATTGCAATGACTGAGACAGAACGAACTCTTCAGGTGCGCCTTGAAGGAATCCTTGGAGGGCTTGAGGCCCTCCTCGGTCTTGAGCCATACAAGACGGAACTGGTCCTCAATGTCGTGGACCATGACGGCCTCACCCTCACCACCTTCCTCATCTCCGCCCTCGGCGGAGGGGTTAGCACCCTCGAGCTCGAAGTCCTCGTTGGCCCTCTTGAGGTACTTGCGGCAGTCGGTCTCCCAGAGGATGGGGCAATCAGCGGCGGGCTTGATATCGAAGGTGTCGGAGAGGATCTCGTCTCCGGAGATAATGTCCTGTGATAGTCAGCCGACAATTCATACAATCGGGAGGCGACCATGCGCGGATAGAGGCACATACCTCGTAGATAATCATGATGGCGGTTTTTAAAGAAAGAAGTCTTTGAAGAAGAAGAGCGAACGGGGTTGGAGGAGAAAAAAGAAAAACAAAAAGGAGGGGAAATGAAGTTTTTTTTTAGTGGCGGCAGGTGGGGGAGTTTGCACGTGTTTGCACCCTCCTATAAATCTGGCCTGATGACTCAGCCGTTCCCCGGTTCCAGTTTCGGAAGTATACGGTGCTAACTACGATGGAAGCGAAATGAATTCTATGCATGCATTCTAACCTGTGATCTAAATAGTTTCTTGCATCCCGCTCACTCTGCTCGGTGCAAGGTTTCTTCGTGAAGATCAAACCCCGCATGAGCGACCATGTCAACCCACATCTCCTGAAATAGATCACGAACAGAGCATCACAATCGATAAGAGGGGGCTGGGCTGGATTCATTCGAGCATGTCCATCGACATGGACACGCGATCAAACCGCCTGTCCTTATGCTCGTTCGTTTGCGGACCAGGTGGTAAGTGAGCACGATTGCTGTCACCGAGCACACCCCAGTTGAGATACTGTATTCATGTACATCGAAATTTACATCCTATTTCACGTCATAGGCTGTGGAGGACGTGAAGCCCTTAGCCAAATTTCATCCTCCAAATCTCCATCAAAATACAAGAGGTCAGTATCCGCTGACTGGTAGACCCCGTGATATTCATCTTTAATCTTCTGTCCAGTTTTAGGTGACAGCCACGTATATCTCTCCACACTTTCCGCTTACGCAGGCAGGCCCCTATAGATCCCGGGAGGAGATCCCTAGTAGTCTCTGGGAGGTTCCCCCCAAGGGACATACCTATCAGGAAATTCTTATATCACTCATTATTAGGTGGGCATTACGGGCGCGCGAAAATTGATGAGCCCGACCATCGTCGCAGGAGCATTAGCTCGGTGACTGCCGGGCTTGTTCGATGCGAAAAAGAGCTTAAATCGACCGGAACTTTTTGCCCCTTCATTGCCGCGACGCATTGGTCGAAGTCGTACTTAGCCGGAGGTTCCTTGCTATTGCCTGACCTGTTGGATTTGCCGGAAGCGTTAGCAGGCTGGTCTGTGGAAAAAACGACAGAGCTTTCCCCCGCCTGGTCATCGGCAGCCTCGGATAGACGCCATTAATGGCGCAGGGGGTGGTGCGGAAAATTGGTGGGGGGTTGAAGGAAGATGGGAGGTTGAAGGAATGCCTTTTTCCCTTGGCCTGACACCCATTTTGTTATCGGCCCCTGATGCCCCACCGCATGCCCTGTGAAACAAAATAGTTATCAAATTCCTTTATTTTAGTTCTTATCCACATTTTTCTGTTTCTTCTTTTGGTGCATTGTTGAGTTGGTGAATGGCATCAAGTATGCATGCTCCAGCGACCCCAGCACATGATTTTGTCCTGTCCTACTCGTCCTGGATCAAGAAGCGAACCTCATTCGTTCTCTTTCCCAACTGCGGTTCCTGATATCGGAGTAGACGAATATCTGTGGGCGCTCCTGTTCTCTATATATTGCTTATGCCGATCCCAGAAGGCAAGGGTGGTGGTAGAGAACAGGTTAGCTACTGTAGAGCCTCATATGTCCCTTCGCACATCTCGTCCGTATCCATGAGGTCTGTCGCAAATCCCGTAGGCGATGTGTAGAACCATCAACCGTCAAACACCAGCCAGCCGTTCAGCAAACGCTCCCGTCCTTTCGAAGCCGTCTGACCCTTTGGACCTCAACCAGCCGTCGGAGAACCACGGGCCTGGTGGACTCTCCCCGCGGGTCGACTGATTTGTTTATTTTGGTATCTGCACCTCGTTTCTGCTCCGTCCGTCGTTCGAAATGCTGGCTACCTGAGATTTTCAGTCTTCCGACACACTTACAATCCACCCCCCTGATGGAAAAGATAATATGGCACTGGTCACCGGTCTCTTAGCTACGATGTTGGTTTCACTGCCATAACAAAATACTGCTGCTCATTGTGAACCAGGTGAGTGGTCCATACGTAATGGATGACAGCCTGGAGAGAGTCGCTGTCAGTCAGTCACCGGGAATTTTTGGCTAGTATTCCTTGAGTCAAGCCTGGATCAGCTGAAAGCCAACTTGGAAATACTGAAGCGGACGATGGTGTTTCTGCTAAATGCAAATGCGAACGTATTTCTGTCCGTTGCTTGCTTTCACAGTGAGTATATATCACCGCATGACACGAACGCGATTGGATGACGACGGATTCGCTGATCGTGTGCCTCGAAAAGAATTGAAGCAAACTACGCGTCCTTGCGATTGTACTATACTTGTTTATTCGCGCTGCCCAGTTGCATGCGAACCGCCTTCTACGTATTAAGCAGCGGGTGCCTTTATACCGTATCGAACTGATTCAATAGCTAGTCAATAGTTAACACGTCGCAGTCCAATGCTATGTAATCAACTGATGCAAGGCTGATTCATACAGTACATGGGATGTGGATTATCATCCGATACGGTAAGTTACCACTCTCCGCTCGGCCTGGCCAATGGACGATGGAATTACGGTACCAGCGGCGTTACAGCAACCACCGCATCCGAACTCGCGCCACTCGAATCCGTCGCCTCCTGATCGCGGATCTTTTATCTTCTAATCTTTTTCCCTCCCCTCCTTTCTCACTATATTCTTATCGCCTTTTTTCGTTTCGAGTTGGCGCCTTTGGTATCGCGCTTGCCTGTCAGCTTCCGACTCCCCTGCAAAGTGGGCAGTTGCTGACTTCCTCTCTTTCCTCCCCCATCTCACCTGAATCCATTCTTGATTTCCTTTGTATTCTTCCACCTTGCACGGAGAGTGGTACATTCTCACCACTCCTTCATCATGGCCAACGCTTCTGCCACCTTCGATCTCCCTCCCCTGCCGAGTTACACCACCTCCGTCCGCGAACCGCTCTTTCCGCCCGTTCCCGATAACTATGTTGCCCTCATCCTGCCCATTATCGCCTACTGGGCCATGTCAATGATCTACCACTACTTGGATGTGAACAACTATTTCGAAAAATACCGTCTGCACACTCCCGCCGAAGTGTCGAAGCGAAACCGCGTGACTCGTTGGGAAGTCGTTCGTGATGTGGTCTTGCAGCAGGTGATCCAGACGCTGGCTGGTGCATCCATGGCGTATTTCGACCCGGTGGAGACCGTTGGACGAGAGGAGTATGATGTCGCCGTCTGGGCGCAGCGAATCCGGTTTCTGCAGAAGGCGATCCCTCCGATGTTAGCTCTCATCGGGGTGGATGCTGCCGGCCTGGCCAAACAGGTGTCGCAGAACGGACACACCATGCTTGCCGGTGCTCTGGCCGGAGGATCGTATCCGAGCGTGATGCAGTCGGTGATTCTTGACGGTGGCGCGGAAGTCTCGGCCCCGGCCTTTACGAGCTGGGAGTTGTCCTTGGCCGGTTTCATCTACTGGTATTTTGTTCCCGGCTTGCAGTTCATGCTCGCCGTCTCCATTGTCGACACTTGGCAATACTTCCTGCACCGGGCCATGCACCTGAACCGTTGGCTCTATGGTAAGTTGGGATGAAGTTTATCCACCGTCGTTGCCGCATCTAACCTTTTTTTCAGTGACCTTCCACTCTCGCCACCACCGACTCTACGTTCCCTACGCCTTTGGCGCCTTGTACAACCATCCCGTCGAGGGATTTCTTTTGGATACGGCCGGTACCGGCATTGGATTCTTGGTTTCTGGCATGACCAACCGCCAAGCCATGTGGTTTTACACCATTTCAACCATCAAGACCGTTGACGACCACTGCGGCTACGCATTCCCTTGGGACCCTCTCCAGCACTTCACCTCCAACAATGCCGCCTATCATGACATCCACCACCAGAGCTGGGGCATCAAGACCAACTTCTCCCAGCCCTTTTTCATCTTCTGGGATCGCTTGCTCGACACCCAGTGGAAGGGTGAGGTCAAGCTTCGTTACGAGCGGGCTCGTGAGAGCGCCCAGAAACAGGTTGACGCGGATGCCGCCCAGGCTGCAGAGGTGTCGGCAGTCGAGGGACGCGAACACGAACCCGTGGTGGTCTCTTCCGAGGGGCCAGCGACGCGAACTCGCCTCCGCCGGAAAACTGTCGACAGTTTGAAGGGACCCAGCCACGGCGTCTCAGGGAGCGTCCTGCACAATTGAAACCGTGATGAAATTGAATATGTCCTCATTACTCATGCATTGTTTTGTCGGTCCTCGGAGCTGCCGGTCAACTCCCCGAGACTTGCATTGTTTCTATCATCATTCATGTATATGGGGTTACTGATCCCTCTGTATTAATAATATGAGACTGCCAGTCAATTCTTTGTACATGGTTTTCTCTACGACTCCTCACCGTGATTTAGTGTCGATAATGTCTTACAAGTCGGCACACTCGTTTAACAATTCGAAATTCGATATCATTTGCACAATAGCACAATATCCCATGCGATGGACTTGGAAAACTAGCAAAAGAAATTCAAAACATTCGTTCATTTTCGATTACCCGTGTTCAATATCTCCGTATGGAAGTCCGTCAGATCATGTTCCCTTGACCGCACACCAGGCTCCAAGTGGTCATCGCAGCCTCTGGCTGCTTTCTGGATGCAAAAGACTGAGATCGAGGGTGAGGCTGGATCTCAGGCGCTGCATCATCGTCATCTGAGTCTAAGGAGGCATCCGTCCAGTAATCACTGCTGGAATAATGCGAGACAGAGCGCTCGTGCTCATGGTAGTCATAGCGTTGCGGAACCTTCGTGCGCGTCTGGCTCTGCTCTTCGAACCGAGACTCCACCTTGCTGATCCGGAGGGGTGCAACTCTGGCCTCTGGAACCGACGTTGCTCGGGAATAAGAGGTTTCGTTTGCAATCTGCCTGCAAGTCTTGACCATGCTGAGCTGCCTCTTGACGTCTCCCCAGGAGTGAACGGAGGCTGTGCTATTATTGGCCCCGGGAGATGGCTCGTAAAGGCTCACTCTTGCAAGACTACTTTTCGAGTGATGGGAAGCGATGTTGCCTTCTTGGATCACGCCAATGGAAGGAACATGCGAACGGCGATAGTCAGGTATATCAACTGCGCCGTCGGAATTTCTGTTATGATGGCGTCTGTCCACACAAGACTTCCGCATATGGCGATGCGAGTGCTTATTATCACGGTACCGGGCCTTGACGCATGCCTTTCGAGTGATCTTCATTTGAAACGCCAAATTGCTAGCGGTCCCAAAGAGCTTGTCCGCTTCGTCGTCGCCGAACTGGCGGATGCATTCGTCGACGAATACCATGAGAGTAGGTGCTCGATGGTTCTTACGCGTGCGAGTGCGGCTCTGCAAGACCACGCGCAGATCTCGGATAATCTCACTGTCTGCAGCGATACGTGCGAGGATACATGCCGGACATCCGTTAATCTGATACGGCAAGGCGTTAGGAGCCACCGGATTGTTCATACTAGGCTTGGTCCACATGCCCTGCAACGCTCGCAGCCTGGCTAGAATATCTCGCTCGACGGGCGGGACTAGTTCTGGATATACATCGAGCTGCCGAAATCTCGTCGTAACCTCGCTCTGGACCAGGGAAAGACTATCTGTCATCAAATCTGCGTTCAATCTTTTGTGCACCTCGCAAAGCCCCGATGACCTGATCCGACCCAGGGACAGGCGCGGTTGGCGACGCAAACACTTCGGCAGAGACTGAATGAGCTGCTCAATGAGCGGGACCTGGTGAAAAGAGGAGCCTGTATTGTCTAGATGCAGTATCTGCGTTAGCATCCTCACCTCTCTTCTGCTCAGCTCTGTGACTAACCCAGGGTAGGTCTCACGAGGTATGGATTGGGGTCTGGCCTCCACCGTGAACCGTTTGGGGACTGGGTTACCATCCATGATTTCGAGTGCCGTAGTTTGGGTGGAGGATCAGGTGCTATCTGTAACAAGCAGGTATTTATATCGTCGAGTTCGTTGTAGGGTGACAACTATTGTTCACGATAGGGCCAGCTTGGGAATGGACGGAGTTCTTATACCTTTTATTCCCGGGAACCCTGTCTTGCACGCTTTCATCCTTTATTGATCGGACACGTATCATGCACCCTGCCCTCTCAAAGCCATTCAGGCTGGATTGTGATGCTGTGCTTTGTTTAACTTGGCCATATCGTTGAGTTGCTATTTATAATATTCAACTTCTTTGTTAGACAATGGCCATTCAAAACGTCTCCTGGTGTCTAAGCATTTCAAATGTCATTTTTAGATCACAATTACAAAGAACATCAATGAGAAGGATGCCCAACGTAAGTGAATGAATGCATTAGGATGAATATTTTATACTACCAAACCGATCGAGGAGGATCGGCAAATCTAAAGATCCAGAACAATACGGCCAATGCCCCGAGAGACACAGCTGAGCATCGCAGTATCCTTCTCATTGTCAAGTAGCCCGGTACCGCGATGTTCGACTCGACCACTGCGTACACCAACACGGCATGTCCCGCAATTACCCGCCTCGCATGTGGATGGGATATCAAATCCAGCAGATCGGAGCGCATCGAGCAGACTTTCGCCCGGCCCTACATCCACCTCTTTCTTGGTCTCGGCCAATTCTGCAGTAAATGGGTCACCTGTGCTGTTTGCTTGAAATGACTCGAAATGAATGTTCTGTTTGGGAAGGCCGAGTTCGTCTGCAGCGTTCTGTACGGCATTCATCAACCTCCCCCCGAGCAACAGTAGATATGTGTATTGCTGTCGGCTTGCTGAAGGGCTTTGGACACGTCGAAAGGCTTGTCCAACTTCTTGGAATAAATAGTCACGTTGGAGAGAGATTGGAGATACGGTTTAAATGCCACCTCCTCTTGTGATCGTACCACGTAGTGAAGGTGATATGATGCATTGCTTCGCTCTAATTCCAGGGCAGATGCAAGCAATCCCGTAATTCCAATACCTCCGGCGATAAGAGTATGGTGGTCGGCTTCCTTAGCCAGAGGGAACGTCGCGACGAAGTTGCTGATAGTGATCACTTCTCCTTCACGGATGGTCTGATGGAGATAAAGGGAGCCTCCTCGACTCGCATCTCGGTCCAGGGCCACTCCGAGGGTGAAACGATTCTGGTTGCCTCCAACCACCGAGTAGGCTCGGATGAGACGACCACCTAATTTCAAGCGCACGTGTGTTCCCGGCAGAGCTTCCTCCGGTGACATTCTGGGATGAACCGCCTCGAAAACAAAAGATTCAACGGCGGGTGTTTCTTTTCGCTTCTGCGCCAGTCGATAGTCGGCCCACATGTCGAGAGCCATGGAATCGTCACCCAGCAATCGTGCTTCTTGATCTTCGAATTTCTTATTGAGTCGGTTCTGGAAGATGTCTCGAATTTCATTGCCCAGCTCCTCAATCTCAGCCAGTTCCTTCATGATTTCATAGTTCTCCTTTTCGATATAGAGATAATGTTGAACGAGGGCTACTGTCCATTCCGGATGCGGCCGCTCCAGCAGCTCGATATCATCGCCCGCATGAATGGAGCCCTCGTGGAGGATACGATAAAACCAGCCCGTCCGAAACTTTTCCTGGGTGAGTCGCGATATGTTCTTTTCTTGGAATCGGTGGTTGAGTTTATAACAAGGCTGTCGGGGCATGCTAACTTGGACAATGACATCGCGCCCGATGCGATCAACGTCCCCGATGCAAGTATTACGCTCATTTGCATTGCGTGCAACCAGGTTTTCCCCAAACCCACCAACGCGAAAGAGATGTTCACTACCGCGTAGCTCTTTACCCCAGACATTGTAGTGCCGCGAGCAATACTGTAGCAGTGCCTTGTCTGGGCCGCCATGGAATTCGTAGGCATGCTCGTCGCCTTGACAGCCCAGCTTGTCCACGGTGACTGATCCGTACCGGACGGACTTGAAGATGGCGGACTGGAGTGGGAGGCCAAAGACCGGTTTGCCTTTTCCAGTGCGCACTTCGTCCAGCTGATCCCGCTGCCAGGGCTGCTCCAATTCGGCAATGATCAATTCTTCGCTGACGGTATGCATTTCTGCGTGTTATATTTTCAAAAGGTCATCGAGAATTCACAAGGGGACGGCGACACAAGACGGCGGTTGCGGAATACGCCGATAGCCCCCACGGCTGTGTGTCAGCTTGGTAATGGAATCGGGCCCGAGCACAAGACTGATATCGGGGTTCTGTGAAGCCCCGCATGGTTTACAAGGGTTATGAGACAGGCACAAAACCTTGGAAGCCGAGATGCATGTAGTTGAGGCCGAGAAACGGGCAAGTTCATAACTATCACATGATAGGCGCCAATTGTCAGAAGTGAAATTGTGTGACTAGTATGGTACTGAAAAAGTACCTTTGGCATTTTTAGTCCAGCGGTCAGATCGCCGACACCAATGGCAGTTGCCTCGCGCTTTGTTTGCCAAGTTTCTCGTTTCAAATCCGTGAGGAGAGTCGGGGTCACTATGCTGTCTCAAGTTCGTCTTGTCAGGCGAGGTCCTAACGCGTCTCCCTTGCCATATACCGCATCGCCGCTCAAGCTGGTCTTGAACGACCTCTGCCTGTTTGTTCAGAATTCATGGGCACTCCCGAACATCATTCTACCTCTTTGCCTCGGGCGAACGGCCTCGCTCGATGAGCTGCACCCGTCCTTTCAAAATGGAGTGTCAGTAGTCACCCAGACTTTCCTCACCGTCAGCCAACTGCTTTTTCTCTTTTCCGTGCCGCTTGGGATTATGTTCGTGATCCCCGCTCTATGGATCATTCTATACGTCACGATCAGTTTGGTCATGAACTTTGTGATTTGTATGCTGGTGTTGAACGGCTTCGGACGGGTCTTGGTGTCACAGGTGCCGGTGAATGAGCAGCCTGGCCATGAACGGGAGCAGTGGCTTTTTATAAATGGAGTGGCGGGCGGGTGAGTGCGGACGTCTAGAAAATGATCCCTCACTAAATATGCTTCCACCTAGTCATTATTGGGTACAAAATAATATCGATCAGTTATCGTACACCTTTGGTCGGAAAATCACCGGGATACACAACCGCACGTATGTACCACATACCCCTGAACGTCTGCGTGTGCGGTCTGACTGTTCTAGTGCTGGCTTGACTTTTGATCTGATCGAGTGTTTGATCCAGCGAGGCTTTGCCTACGCCACTGGTGACGTGCGGAGCGCCTACCCGATGGTCAAAAAGGCACTGTTAGATCCCGCATGTGAGAAGGTGGTCCTCATACTTCACAGCCAGGGGGGTATCGAGGGTAGCTTGATTATCGACTGGCTATTGGATGAGATGCCGCAGGACATTCTTGAACAGTTGGAAGTGTATACATTTGGAAACGCTGCTAACCACTTCAACAACCCTCGTCGTACGTGGCGACGCGGGCCCAACGAAGGCTCAAATGGTCACCGACGAGCCAACCGATCCATTGGATACATTGAACACTATGCTAATGCGGCTGACCCGGTCACTTGGCTGGGGGTTCTGCGTTTTGCCAATATTCCGAATCGCTATATGGGCCGGCTCTTTGTCCGCCCAGGATCAGGTCATCTGCTGAACCAGCATTATCTAGACAATATGTTCACCCTTGGCCCTGATATGAGAGTTCTGGAATCGAATCCTTTCATGGACATGGAAGTGGAGACCACAACAGACCCGGCTTTGGAGAGGACCATGGGCGGCTCAGAAGAGCCAGACGAAGGTCGGGAGGAAACACTACTTCCTATACCTATCATGGAGAACCGATCAAGACAGGCATACAAGCCAGACGATAACCGAGAGCCTCTTCGTGTGAAAGATTTCAGTCGTCTCTGGCAATACCGGAACGGAGGCTCGCCGGGACGACAAAAGAGCGATCAACCGCAAGACTTTGAATGCTTCTCATGCCTCGACAGGTAACACCTGACCACATAAGAGGAATGATTCTCGTGATCCGCAGATGGATTGCATGTTGGATATACCCCGGTTCGCACTGCGAGTCGGCACTTTCAAGCTCGAAATGTAGATTGGTGATGTTAGACTCGAGATCTAATGTATCTATGACCGCCTTAGCAGGCCTCTATGAATAAGGACAAACGTTTACTTCATCGACTGGTTGCCCTTCAGTCATCCCAGGAGGAATTGAATATCTTGTCACACGACCTTCGTCATAATTTGTAGAATGTGGTTTTGGGGATTGTACATGAGTTCAGACGAGCGCCACGGATTGGTGATATCCACAGCCAGACTCGAGCAGGTATCAAGGAAGTATATATCCTCTATCGTATCAGAAGCAAATAACGCCCATCGCCGTGCAATGCAAGTGGAAGATAGAATGGAAAAGAAGAGAAGTCGACCAATCATTTACCCTTCTTCTTATCCTTCTTCTTCTTTTCCGCGCCTGCTCCGGAGGGCTCGCCTCCCATCCCCGGCATGCCGGGCATACCAGGCATTCCGGGAATCTGGGGCATCCCGGGCATTCCTCCCATGTTCTGCATTTCAGCCATAGCCTCTTTGAATGGGTTGTCGCTAACACCGCCGCCACTGTAGGCTGGCGAGTGGATGGGCAGAATCTTGCCAATCTTCCAGCCGCGCGGGGCGGGAGGAGCCTCGGGGAGCTTTTCGGGCATAGGCAGTCCACGGATCCGTAACCGGTACGGTGATTGCTCGGTGGTGGGGTGAGCTTTCAAGTATTCCGCGACGAGGATGTAGAGGTGATGTTCTGCAGACAGACGGAATTAGCTATGCCCGAAAAAAGAGCAAATGTCCCCAGATCCGCCGACAGTGCCACCCCACAAGCGGTGGAAGAATCATTCGAAGACTTACTATTCTTGATCTTGGAATTCACCAATTTGCCATTCTCATCCTTGAGCAACACGCGCACTCGTCCGGGGTTCGCCCAATCCTTGGGGTGCAGCTTCTCGGGTTCCAAGCCCGCCTTCAATCCCAGCATCTGCACGGCGTCCACGATGTCACGAGCGAGCGGATTTTCCACTGCCAACTCGGCACCGACCTTGCGACCATCTGCGCGGGAGCGCGTCTTGTCAAAGTAGACAGGGTAGAGGCATTGGAAGTGTTTGGGGATTTCGCGCTGCGGCTCAGGCATCGGAGCCTGAGCCATGGGAGGAGGGTTCGATGGACGAGGAGCTGATGCAGGGACCGACGCGGGCGCGATAATGGTGTTTCCAGTAAGCGGCGTGTCGTCGGAGGGAGCGATCTCCTCGGGGTCGGAGTCAGACAGCTCCTCGACTTGGGCGTGGTGCGACATGATGTGAATTGGACGTGGAGTGGGCGATGGAGTTGGAGGAAGAAAGTGCGGGTGTGGCCTCTGCGCTTCTGTGTCTGTGCGGGCGGAGTCGGGGGCTCGCCAGTTGCCGCCGCTCTATGCGGGACTGCGAAAAACACCTACAATGGCAGCATCTTGATTGACATGGATCCTGCCTTCAAACTTATTGTAGTCACGGAATTTATAGTCCTTATCACCAATGCAATTTCGATAGACCCATTCATCATGAAATATCCTTGTAAAACGGTAGAAAGTGCTTCAGCCATACCGAATTACGCTCGAATGATGATATAATGCGGGTCCCCCCCATCTCTATGGTTTGTAGCTGACTGTTATATTGAAGATTTCCGAAGTCCTGCCTATATTCTTTTACTTAAAAGCCGTGTCTCATCTATATAAATGTACCTGGGTTGAGTCATCACCAAATGTTATTCCCCGCAGTCTTCCACACCAAGGCTCTGAGCGCCCTACCATCCGGAATAGGAATGCCTAGGGAGAGCCCCCCCCCCCTCAAATACGACTCTCTCTTGACACCCTTCAATCATAATACGCAGATAGCGATGCACAGTGGAAGCCCGGCGCTGAACCAATGGACCTATCGGCTTCCCCCCGCTCGGCATGCCGAACCCACTTATGCCCCGCAGGAATTGCCTCGGGTACTCGAGATTAACAAGTATAAGAGGAAGGCATTGTCCACTTCTCAGGACGTTGACTACATCGTTCTTGATATACTCCAAGTATCGTCTTAGACACCATATACCTCGGTATGTATTAACTAACTGAACACATTCCTTATACTAACATCATCTCGAGATTCCCTCCAACATGCCCAGCGCTGTTCTGCACCGAGACACCCGCTCCATTCCCAAGAAGGCTGTGGGTGGTAAGGGAATCTATCTCACTCTTGAGGATGGCACACGGTTTCTTGACTCGACTGGCGGCGCCGCTGTCTCATGTCTAGGTCACGGCAATGAAAAGATCAATCAAATGATTAAGGATCAGATTGATCAGCTTTCATACTGTCATTCGGCTTTCTTTGGAACGCAGGTCTCCGAGGATTTGGCTCGGCTCCTGACTGAATCTACTGGCGGGAAACTTTCCAAGCTGTTTGTAGTCAGCTCAGGTATGATGAGACTAACGACTGCAGTTATTCATTCTCCATTGAGCTAAAGAAATATTTCTCCTCAGGTTCCGAGGCCGTTGAAGCTGCCCTCAAATTGGCTCGGCAATACTTCCTCGAACTGCCGACTCCTGAACCTCAACGCACCCGGTTCATTGCTCGTCTGCCCTCTTACCATGGTACCACGCTCGGTGCCCTAGGTGCCGGCGGACATGTTCTTCGGAGACAGCCATTCGAGCCATTGTTAGCACAGAACACCTCTCACGTGTCTCCGTGCTATGCCTATCGAGGCAAAAAGGAAGGCGAGTCTGATGCAGACTACGTTACCCGACTTGCTGCCGAGTTGGACGCGGAGTTTCAGCGTGTGGGATCCGATAGCGTGTGCGCTTTTATTGCAGAGCCTGTAGTCGGTGCGGTATGTTATTCCATCAATGTTATAGAGGAGCCAAATATTCATCCAGGATATGTACCATAGGCTCTTGGCTGCGTTCCTGCTGTCCCCGGCTACTTCGCCGCCATAAAAGCTGTGTGTGAGAAGTACGGTGCCTTGTTGATCCTGGACGAAATCATGAGTGGCATGGGCCGCTGTGGCACTCTTCACGCCTGGGAGCAGGAAAATGTCGTTCCCGATATTCAAACCATTGGCAAAGGGCTAGGAGGTGGTTACGCCCCTGTATCGGGGATCTTGATCGGCGACTCCATCGTGCAGACAATGGACAAAGGCACTGGTGTCTTTCGACACGGGCAGACATATCAGGGCCATCCCATCTCCTGTGCAGCAGCGTTAGCCGTGCAGAAGACCATACAGGAAGATTCGCTCCTTGAGAATGTGCAAACTATGGGCTCTTACCTGGAGAGTCAACTGCGTCGACAGTTTGAGGATCATCCGTATGTGGGAGATATTCGGGGCAAGGGGCTGTTCTGGGGAGTAAGTATACAGTGAGCCAACTATCTCGAGGAAAGTGTTTACTAATCTAAACTCACAGATGGAGTTTGTCAAGGACAAAACCACCAAAGAGCCGTTTGATCCTCAGACCCGATTGTCATTCCTGATCCAGGAAAAGGGTTTGCAGCCGGAATACGCCGTCTCGCTCTATGGCTGCCCAGGTACAGTAGACGGTATCCGTGGTGATCATGTGGTGTTGGCTCCACCCTACATTGTGTCCAAGGACGAAATTGATATCATTGTGGAGGTGACGGCCAGAGTTCTAGCTGATGTTCTTGCGGAGTTGGAATTGTAACTAGAAACTATACCATCTAAATCAAGAATTGCTTACAATTTGTGAAGAAACAAGACTGAGCGAGGTATACCGAAAATACCAGTTCAAAGAATAATTCATGTGGGAGACTATACCACTATTGTACATTAAAACAATCCGAGGAAGATCAGCTCTGAGCTTCGATGGCGGCCAATTTTGGCGCAGCCGCATCAATTTCCATCTGTCCCTTCGCAGTCCCGTTCGACACGATCTCTTTCGGCATGGAAGATGCCGCCCACAGGCCAGCAACGGTCTCGACCGCTCTTTCAACAACCACACGAACGCGATCACGAAGAACAGGGTTGGTGCATTCCACCTCCAGGCTCTCCAGCCAAACTCGGGCGACATGCTTGTCGACCGTGATTTCGAGACCAGGGACCGGAATTCCCAGGGCCTGGAGACGATCGAGCTCAGCCGACTCGATGTCAGCAAGCCGTTCCTCGTTCACCTCGGTTTTAACACCGTCGGTTCCCTCGGAAGTGCCATTGACGAGATCAGATGGAACGCGAGGGCGGTCGATGGGGGCAATGTTGGTGCCGAACTGCGCCTCCAGCATCATGAGGAGACGGGCCAGTCGATCTTCAGCCCCCAGCTGAGAGTGGGGGTTGGGAAGAGCAGCAAAGTCATCGTCATGGTGGTGGTGGTGATGGTGATGGTGCTTGTTTTTCGCGGATTCTGAAAGGTAGCAGTTGTTAGCATAGTTCAACAATGCAAGTTCAATATAGTACATACGCTTCACGGAGGCTGGGCTGCTCTCGACCGTGAGAAGGACGGCCATGACAGCATCAGCAACTCCGTCGTTCATCATGTTGCCCTCCCACTCGAGTTCAACCTCCCGGGTCCGCGAGTGATAACGCAGTATAACACATCCCATGACAAGGAACGTTTGTGTCTCTTCCATGGAGATTTCTTCATCGGCCACCTCCTGCTTTGCACTTGATTCATCCGCATCCCCGTTGATTTCTGTCTTCGTTTCGGTCCTTGGGTTTGTTCCCACTTCTTCAATGGCTCCAAAAGTACCTTCGAGAGCCCATCGAATCAAGTCCATACTCGCAGAACTAAGGGTCAGGTGTTGCTTGCAAGTGATAGTGGTTGTTGTCAAACCGGCGTATTCACGAAGGTCATCTGGGGCCATCAAAGCCAGGTCAAAGCCGTTTTGAACGAGAACCCCAGCCATCAACTGGCTGTCATCCTCATCCTCAGGCGGCGCGATCTGTGCGAGCTTACCAACGACCTTGGCAAACTTGTCTTTTCTAAATGGGATGCGGACTTCGTCGCAATTTGCAGGAGTGTACACCTTGACCTTGATAGTTTTGTCTGCATTAAGACTCAGAAGCTTTGATTTGAGACGCATCATCTGATGTTTCTCGCCATGCACAAGGATCTACCAAATAGGTTAGTGGATAGCATGGAAAAAGTGAGGGCAATAGGTACATACCACGACTGGTGCAGCGACTTCTTCGATGAAATTGCGGTTTTCGACACCATCGACATGTGCAGCAAAACTGATTTCGTCGATAGTGCAGCGACGTGGAATCATCACTTTCTGATCTTCGTCATTGCCTCCAGGAACACGGCCACGGCCTTGGATTGCAGAAACTTTGGACATGATTGCGGGGATCTGGTCAGGCTCGTTGAGAAGCTGCTTGGCCATAGTTCCTTCGACACTGTAACCAGTCATAACGACTCCGTTACGTTCGCTCGGTGCCCACCTTTCGAGCAGCTCCCGACTGGTGCCCGTCTGTAACATACCAGGCGACGAAAGGAGCACACAAGGGGAAATATCTTCAAACCGCTCGAGACTCCGCAGACTTCTGATGAAGCGGAAATCCCATGGGCCGGCACTCACACTCTTGTCACCGCTAGCTTCGGCTTCCGCCATGCGTTGCCGGAAGAGCCGCTTGATGTTGTCATTCATTGCTCCAATATAGGTCTGATAAACAACCATGCATCTTCTTGCCATATTACCGATGTAGTAGATGGGAATTTTCTGCAGCTCCGGATGCCGCTCCCAGTATTCCTCAAGAATGAGTAGCAGCTCCTGGGCTCGTCCGAGGGCGAATACAGGCAGCAAAGCACGACCTCCGCGGTTCAAGATACCGGTAATTGATTTCATCAGCGCAGCCTCACGTTCCAGACGGGGCGGATTTGAGGATATACCGAATGTAGATTCAGTAATCAGAACATCGATCTTGATGCCTCGAGGGACCTCTGCAGGTATCAAATGCCGGTCCTCCTCGCGGGAATAGTCACCCGTGAATAGGAGATTCAATCCAGCAATCGACACCAGAAACATTGCGGCGCCTAATACATGGCCGGCTGGATAAGGGGTGATTTTTATGCCGTTGATAGTATGGGTAGTGTTGAAGTCGATCGTTTCGATCAAAGGAAGCGTTGACAGATGGTCTTGCTCGGTATAGAGGGTGGTACGCTGATCAGAGGAGGAGGAGGTATTGCTGACACGAACATTGTCCTGAATGAGCCATTTGTAGATTGCCTAGAAAAATACGGATTAATTCGCCATATCCAGCGCCTGATGCCGGAGATACGCACCTTGGTGGCATGGGTCATCATGACACGACCGGCAAAATTAGTCTTGCTGAGAACATAGGGAAGGGCAGAGGAGTGGTCGACATGAAAACTAAAGGAGCACAACGTTAGCAAACTGTCGCAAGAATAGTGAGATGTAGATATGTTCAAGTGCCCTAGGAAGGTGTGAGATAGACAACACAGCCGCCAGAACTGTATCTGGCGTTTGGTATACAGGCAAAGTATGAAGCGGGGCGGATGGTAGAATCAACAAGCATAATCTCCCAGTGCTCCAATCCAAGTATAGTCGATCCAAAAGTGCATCGGGGGGAAGAGACAGGGGCATTGCACGTACTGGCTAATCAGCAAAACGTCAACCGTACTCAAGTCGAACTCATCAAAAAATGGAAGCGCGGAGAAGCCTTCTTTGGCCGGATGCATTCCTGCGTCGAGCTATGAGGTCGCATATCAGCTCGGCGTCAATTATAATGGTATTGCGGATCAGATCAGGCCTACCATAACCGTCTTGCCCTTGTACTGTATGATATGACATGATCGTCCGACCTCGTTTCCTCCTCCCAGGCAGTAGAATGCAAGCTCATCTGACGGGTCGACCGGCTCATCGTCGACGGCCGTACCCATCGCAGAAACTTTGCGCTTAGCTGCCATCGTGGAGCGAGTAAAGGTGTTTGCGTCCTAAGGTCAGGCGAATCCGAGATCGATTCGACGGAGCAGTTGAAGCGAAGGGCGCAGAGGCCCAAGTCGCGCGGTTGGGGAGCCTGGCACTGAATGAACACCGAATACCCTGGCTCTATTCCATGTGGCGTAATCGAGGCAATTCCCGTGACAAGAAGTAAAGAGAATGCGATGCGGTGAAAGCCGCGACGCAGCAGGAGCTGGACGTGGGCGGGTCACGTGCAGGCAGCGCGATCCGCAAAACCTCGAGAAAGCTCCCTAACCCGCTTCGTCCCGCATCTTCTGCTTCATCATCGTCGACCTTTTCACCTCGAGTTACCCAAGCTCATCTTACGCGTCAACTTCATGATTCAGCAGCTCTTCTGAGATGGTCACATCTGGTGCCATCTGGTGGTGCGAGCAAGTTGCTCACTTCGATAACCACGCGTGACGTGCCTTCACCTCGCCCGAACTGCGCGACATCAGACTCTCTCGCCTCTTATTCGAATCGTCGCTCAAATATCATTCACTATGGCGCAAGCTAGGCATCCACAACAGCAGCAGTCGCCGCCGCCGCCGCCGCCGTTCTCCACGCAGCCGTTCTCCCCTCCCGTCTCCTCTCCGTCTCCTCACGCAACATCCCCCCTCAATGGCGGCCCAGCACCTCCCCCATCTAAGAAGCCGCGCCTGTCACCGATTCCCCTATCTCAAGCGCAGTCCCCGTATGCCTCTCCGGGCTTCAGCGCGATGCAACTTCCTCAAGGCCAACCTTCAATGAACGGAACAGCCCCGAACAGCATGCCCTCTACCCCTATCGCTCATCCCGGTGCTCCTCTTCCGCCGGCCGCCCCAGGAACGATGGGACCGCCTTCTGCGCCGGCAAATCGTCCCGTTGATGCCTCTGAACTAACGGATGTTCTGGCATCATCCGGTATCGACGTTCGAGAGGAAGAAGCTTTTCTTACGCGCAGCTTCTCGGGTCAAAATGCGCAGGCGCAGCCTCCTTCCCGAGGCCCACCACCTATCAATACGTCTTTTGCATCCCAGCCGTCTACAGGAACAATCTCGGCCTCTAGCAGCTTCGGTGACATCAAGCCGATGCTCCACCAGGCATCGTTCTCATCACAGCCAGTTTCGCAGATCCCAGCGCCCTTCAAAGATCCCAACGAACCTACACGAGAGGACTCAGAGGCAGCAAGAAGAGCGCAATTCGAGCTGCAGTCCCCATTTCTCTGGACGAAAGTCCTGGAACAGAAAATCCAGAAAAGAGGATTCGATCTGGGTGTTCGCATTCCCTCTGAAGGCCTCTTCCATCCAATGGCTGGGAAACAAGCTCCTATTGAAATCACAGGTCGAGATGGGTCTTCAGTAACTCGAACAGGATGTACAATTCTGAACCAGGAGGGCGCGCCCTTGGTTGACATTCTGAATCTTCTGTCTCTCTCGTGCGAGGAACGACTTAGGGGGGTAGTTGACTATGCTTCTGCTCTCTCTCGCAGCCGACGAGCGCATTCTGGAGGGACAATTCCTCAGGAGTGGCAGGACATAGCACAGCCTCTGGGGCCAGTCACTGGGAATTCCGCAACTCCCTCGAAGCGTACGTATTATTACAGGAAGTTTGACCTTTCATATACTGACAATCTCTTTAGGGCCTCACCTTGATAGCGAGACTACCAATTCCAAGCCTATTTCTCAGCGATATATCGGCCTGGTGAACAGAGAATCCTTGCAAGAGAACCGACGTGAGGCAAAACGCAACAAACGCAGCGCGAACGCCATTTTGGGTGAAAGTGCCAGTATCCAACCTTCCGATACTGCTCCCTCCACACCCATTGCCGAACGAGCACCCAGCTTCGATAAGAAGTCGATGACGAAGAAGGAAGCGAAGAAGCTGATTGATACAAAGGCCAGCGAGGCTCAACAACACCAACAGTCTGTGGAGACGGCTAGATTGGCAACCAACAGTATGCTGTCAGGCCGCATGTTCGGCTCCAAAAAGTCTTATTCATGGTTGAAGCCGGGTGGTTCGTCTAGCGGATTTTCATCCCCATCGCGTCCAAATCCCCCAACGACTCCAACCCCTGGGCCCGAAAAGTCCAGTCGCCCCGGGGAACAGCCTCTCACCAACCAGGCAAAACGACTCGGAACGTGGCGCGAGGATCAGGAGAAGGGAGCTGGCATCCAAGTTCGGGACATCCTGTTCATGCTCGAGGCTGATGGACGGGCCACCAAGCACATCCAAAAGGGCTATATGAAGGATCCGAAGGAGGACCGTGACCGCGGGGCCTGACGAAGTCACACTTGTAACCTTATTTTCTTTCATTTTCTTGTGCCTCTAATTTGTTCTCTACCCGGAGGTTATTTGCATTGTCTGCGCGCGGTTTGTGGCGTTGGGAGGTTTGCACCGGAGATTGCCGGGATCTTTGATTTCTTCCATCTACTGCATCTTTCGTGGAGGATAGAGTTACCTTCCCATAAGGACCAGATCCGCTGCTTCGCTGTGTTTGCTAGGTCTACGCGTCACCCATCGAATACAGCTAAGTTGCGGGCAATAAAAAGAGTGACATTAACGTCGTTATAATCGGCAGCCGCCATGATTTCTCGATAATTCGTTCATCGCACAACCGGCTCATTCTATCGGGCATTATATCTGGCCCAGCGCCTCGCGTGCTCGGCTCATTTCACCTTCGGAAGGCATGTTGACAATGGCCAAGTACAAAACTTGCTATATCAGAGATTAGCTTGAGATTTGTTGACGATCTTCGAGGCCTCTTACCTTCTTAAGCAACTTCGCAACTGGTGTCAGAGGGCTCATGTTGTCCTTATTGTCTCGCAACGATGGCAACTTCTCAAGTCCCCTGTCTGCATTATCCGTTCCGAAACGCCCCCTGGATGGGGCCTGTGTAGAGTCTTGGGGGCTTCGCAGATCCCTCACATTTCCAATGATATCTTGCAGCCCAAAGACCCCACCGTGCGGCGCATGAGGTGCAGGCTCATTCGAATTTGTATCCCAACGGGAATAATTGGTATTCGTCGCGTTGAGTGAACATCCTCTTCCAAATCCCTGCCCGCCCTTCAAGCCTGAGAGCTTCTCTCTCGTAATGTGGCCACCAGTCACCAGGGCAATGAGATCACCGCTACTGGCCGGGTGGTTCGGGTCAGCATATCGCGATGTGAAAGTCGGCTTGGGGCCCTGGTTCAAGTGACTGTCGGGGTTTTTGGCTGTCTGTTATTGCAGATGAAGGTCAGTAAACTAAATTCGGAAGTGTGTCGAGACAACTTACAAACTTGGCTTGGGCCCGCTTATCCATATATTTGGCGACGAATTCTTTCTTTTTCTTCATCTTTGATAGCTTTTTCTCGGCATCTTGATCGGCGGCCAATTCGTCGATCTGCGGGAAAATCAGAGGCGCAACCTCTGGAAAGATATTGCCATATGTCTTTCCATCGGAGGATTTGAGCTTGTGCTGGAGTCGTCCCAGCATATCGGAGCTACCACCATTGGCGGCCTTGGAAATGAAGTGGTCGAGATCAACCGTTGTGGATGGAGCATCGGAGAGTTCAGGGTTCCAGGTCATCACGAGGCAGTAGAGACCCCGAGGCTGAAAGAACTCTTTATTGACCTTATCGAAGAAGGTGTTTGTCCTAATGCATTGTGATCAGCACCTGGGAAATGATGTCGTGGTTCAAGTGAGACTCACTTTCGACGACCATCAACGGCAATTGCAACGTCCGTAGCAATATTAATGGCTATTGAGACGGCAATTCCAGTCACAAAGGGTAGCCACATGGTCCCGATGGACGCCAGGTTGATCGCATTGAGCCATGGTGATGCTTGGCAGGCCTTCTCGGCGGTAGCAAGGAAATCAATGAACATGGCTTGGTCAATCCCGCAATCGCCGAGAGCAGGAGCATACGCGCGGATGAAGCCGCGTGTACGATCCTTGGGTCTGCGCTGGGGCAGGACAACGGGAGCTGATAATTGAGTCCGCGGTGCTTCCGGGTTAGGTGTGTAGGGTGGTGGAGCAGGATACACGGAGATGAAGCGATCTGCAAGACGGCCCTCGTCCATATCCTCCTTCGATCCTTTCTCTTGCAATGGGCGAGCGAGCTCATCCTGTGCTTCATCGAGTGCCCATTGCTCTTCTAGGGTCCCCGACCCCGTTCTCTCCGTGATGCCGAGTTCCTGTACCGACAATTCGGGAAGTTTATGTTCATCACCATCCGCGGGACTCGTACTCTGCCTTTGGTCTCTTTCGTTTTCGCGGCCGATCTGACTCTGTTTCTTGGATTTGCGAGCAGAGATACCCTCCGAAACGAGGCCAATACCTGCGGCAATACTTTGGACGGCTTTGCGGGTTGCCATACTCTGATTCAATTCCCTGTCGGTGGTACGCTAGGTAGTTTCAGGATCGTAATTGAAATTGATGAATACTGCAAGGTTCTAGGAAAGATTCAATAGACGCGGAAAGCAACGCCCTTTTAAACCGTCCAACTTGGTATCGCGAAGTATACTCAATTGGGGGCCAGTCGCGACGTTTGGATCTATAGATCGCGTATTCAGCAAGTCAAACCACCAGCCGTGACTTTGGTGTACAAAATGCCCGAATGATTGGCTCGAGCAGCAGCAGTCCCAATCGGGTGAGGAGTGCGATGGCTGAGCCCGGCCCATCCGATGCTTATTTATCACGGCTGCCTGGGGCTACGAAGCTATGCAGCTTAGCGTCCGCAAATGACATTCCCCGAGGATCGCTGCAGCCATTCCAGTGTGCTCCTTCGGAGGCAGTGTCTGCGCCACAGACCCCGCGGGGAAAGCGACCCTGTTCACGTCAGCCACCAGGTAGTCCCTAAGGCCGAAGGGCCTAAACGATGGGCCCTGTCGATGAAGGCGTGATTCAATGTTACGTCAAAAGAGCACAGTCTCGGATGAATTTATTGTCGGGGACGGTCCGCTTGTGTTGTCATATCGTGTGTAATGCAGATCGGCCGGAGATTTGCCGATTCTCCGCTCACTGGGGAACCTTTATTGCTCTTCGTAGCCCAGTCTTGCGGGAGTTCCTCGGCCGTTCTACCTGTGGAGGTAGTTTTATAATCTCCAGATACGACCACTGACAACAAATATGGCGTCCAAAAACATCTTTGTCCTAGACCCTTACCACAAGGATGCAATCGCTCTACTTCAGTCAACACCCGGTCTGGACCTCGTTCTGCCAGATGATCCCCGACGGTCCCAGTGGCGTGCTGAAGCAGATGGCATCATCGTTCGCTCGGAGACACACATCACTGCCGCCGACTTTGAAGCTGCATCACGGCTAAAAGTGGTGGTGAAACAAGGCGTGGGCGTCGACAACATCGATCTCCAGGCCGCAAAGTCCGCCGGTGTTGCCGTTCACAACACGCCAGCTCTGAACTCCGAGGCCGTGGCAGAGTTATCATTGGCTCTTGCCCTGTCATTGAGTCGACGTGTGACTGATATCGACCGAAGAATCCGAAAAGGCGAGCGCGTCATTCGGAGTCAAGCTCTAGGCCTTAGCCTGTTTCATAAAACCGTGGGAATCATTGGAATGGGCAATATTGGGCGCGAAGCCGCGAAAAAGTGGGCAGGCGCTTGTCAGTCCACTATCATCGGGTACGACCCGGTCGCTCCCCAAGATGTCTGGCAGGACATTCCTCATCGACGGGTGAAGGATCTCAAAGACTTGATACGAGAGTCGGACGTTGTTACCCTGCACGTTCCTCTCCTCCCATCCACGAGGGGAATGATTGGCGCGACCGAGTTGGAGCTCATGAAAGACAATGCGATTTTGATCAACACCGCCCGAGGTGGCCTCGTCGATGAAAAGGCCCTTTTGGGGGCGTTGAAACAGCGACGCATCTGGGGCGCCGTCCTTGATGCGATGGAGACGGAGCCTCCTACGTTGGATGCCTACTCGGAGCTCCTCGAGCTTGACAATGTTATTCTTACACCTCATATCGGTGCGTCTACCATTGAGAACCAAAGTAATAGTGGTATTGCGGTGGTAAAGATTCTTTTGTCTGTGCTTGCAAACGAGAAGCATGTCGCCGGGAAACTCGTATAATAGCGAGGCAAAGACGAATGCAGGCGGCCACAACAACAATGATGGCGAGCTCTGGATGCAGCGCTTTAGACGAGACGACACAAACTGGAGTTCATTTCCACCACACGTGCATAGCTCGCAGTATCGTATCCCTATTTATATATTTCCTCGCCCGTCTCTCATCATTTGACTCTCGGCAAACGAGGGCGGAGGATCCTCTGCAAGCAGCATTTCATCCTGCAAGCGTGAAGGTGGCAGCACCTTGACTTCATGACTGGCACCCATTTTGATCCTCTCATCATCGAATACGCCTCGTATCTCCCACGAAAGTTGATGTGTGTGCTTGATATTGTACGTCGTGAAACTTGGGTATAGCCTCCCAAGATTGTACTTTCCCAACCTGAAGTCAAGAAGGCCACCAACATCAATGAATTCAACTACGGGCCCAGCTTTGGAATCGGGGGCGCCCAAAATGCCCCACGACATATAGACATCTTCACTGAGGGTCCGTACAGCGGCAGAGCCAATCAATTCTATCTCTTGCGAGTCGGACGCTTCCAGTTCGCCACACTGCACCTGGATAGTTGGCTTTAAACGCATGACTACAGACTCCAATTTGATTTTTTGCGGTACGCCGTGAATTATTTCGCTGGTGCGGTCCCACGTGGGTTCAATCCCGATTCGCAGAGGCATGTAGTCCGTGTTTTCAACTTGCAAGAGCGTCGGCAGTTCGACATGAACTTTGAACGCGAAGCTGGGCAACTTTGAAGAGCCAATGAATTGCTGTGCCATTTGCGTAAATGAAAGTCCGGAGTCTTTAAGGCCGGGCACTAGTCGCTGGGAAGTGAATCTTCGGTTGTAGGAATGCCTTTGGAGCTGAAAATCCGTTACCGGTGGCTCGGCGAGGAATCGCTGCACTTGCAAAGGCAACGCAGCTCGACTCGTTTTGGTCTTTCCTCGTTCCCGCAATTCAAGCTCAGCCTCCAGAACATATTCAATAAAAGCCCCAATGCCTGATCGGAAGCCTCGGGAGCGGAAGACCGACGGTAGTGGCTCAACTGCGACTGCTTCTGGGCCGAGAGGCAGAAATGAACTTCTGTGACGGATGTGCGGCCCCGTGAGACTTTCGTAATTAACGATTGTTGGAATTGTCATGGTAAAGGGCCATGAGGTGCCCTCGCTGGTCGACTCAATATGGATGGGTTTATCGGCCAGTAAGATTTGGGCGGTTGCTTGGGAATCAATAAGATTGAATTGCCCGAAATAATCCCTATGGGCCATGCCTCTCGCCATGATCATTGAAGAATTGGATCTTCCGTATAGCTTAATCGTTAGTCGAGCCTCAGGCGCAATCGTTGGCGCTGTCCGGTAGATTTTGCCGACAATGACATCGCCAGGGCTGAATCTCAATCTGTTCCCTTCCAGCTGGATTCCCAGTGCCGGGCAAGAAATCGCAACGGTTGGGGCCATTTTCTGCTGAGTCGGTCAGAGAACACTTCCCGGGGTCGATTTCGCGGGGTGAGATAAAGAAAACGAAGACCAAGAGGGAAAGCTATTGGCTTCATCGAAGCCGAGGTAGCATCCTCTTAGTGGCATAGTCCCATGAGAAAAGCTCTGGTGGCTGAGGCATCGGCACTGGGATTGGCTCTCTCCAGTCTCGCAATAGCTACTACTGAGCTTGTTTCAGAGCTGAGCCATTCATTTTTGATCGCTAGTCTTTCCGCATAATCCCGGTATCACCCACCAACTTCCCCGCAGTCTTATCTCCGCTGGATATGCCTGATTTGCTTCGAAGCACTCGAGAACTGTCGTGAAATATGTTCAGCGACGATTCAAATTTCCTTCTTTATTTGAATTTTATTGCTCTCTTTCTGTGAGCGCTAAATTGAACTCCAAACTTGTGAAATAATAGACAAATGGGGCCGGGGACAAGAGCAAACGAAGACATTTGAAGAGCGACAATAATGGCCAATGTATGCCAGCATTCAAATGTATCTATAATTGTTATTCACCCTCCGTCACGGCCCCAGGTTCTTTGTACAGCTAACTCGAATTTTCGATTTCACTGGAAATTCGTCGATCTCATATTCAGGCCCGGTCATCATTCTCAATCCAAACGCCACGACCAGCGTCACCACGCCCTTCACTTTCTATCTTCCGGTAGTATCCACCCTTCGAGTTTTCAAGATCGGTGCCCCTCTGAGCACCACGCTTGTAGTTCTCGGTCTCACGAGTGCCCTTGAAAGCAGGCGCAGCGAGAGTCAGACTGGCAGTCATTACAATAATAACAGCAGAGAGATTTGTGCAAGCGTAAATTAGAGTACTTAAAATCAGCAGATAAAACGCGTACTGTGAACCTCTGGGCTTGACAGATTTGACAGCTTTGTTCGACGGAGTCGATAGTCCTTGAAGAGCTTGAAAGAAATTGATTCTCCATTTATTACGGGCTGGCGTTCTATACTTGAAGTCTTACCAAGCTTGACAGAGGTTCGGTTTCTGCTCGCCTTGAGCCCTCGTAGATTGTGCGAGATTGCTTCTTTCCCTCATTTTGGGTCGAATGTGCAGGTGACATTCCAGAGAACTCGCCTTGCAGGATCGGCGTCCCCAATGCAGATATCCCGGAAGTTGAAGACGGTGGGCCTGGTTGATTGGCCCCGCTCTCCAGATACCTGTAGACCCGTAGACTCCAGTCTTCGGTTGAGTCGATGACACTCATGCATTGTTGTTTTTTACCGTGGATTGATGTCTTTGCTTAGAACGTTGCCCATCTTAATTTACCTGAGTGATCCTGTGCCTTGTTTCGGGATTCATTTGAATAGGGTCCCGGTCATGAGACCTACATATAGTGCGCCGTCACCGGACGTGATAGGAAAAGATATCCAACCGCATCCCGGGATCTTCACCACTAACGTTTGGAAAGGGTGTGGAAATCCAGTTCAATCGAATTACGGTTTACTGGATCGGTCTATGTGGAGAAAAACTTGAATATATACCTAGGTATCTAATCAGAAAGTGGAAGATCGCTACGCAGGCGAACGGGAGACGGGTAAATAGAAGGCCATTTCACATTTCGCGCCGAGAACCTCCAGAGGTCGGGTGAGCCCTTTGGAGCCCTGCAGTTCATAGCCGATTTCCAGCCATCAATTCCAGTTCCGGCCATCTCTGACGCCCGGTATCGAATTTCCCGGCCCACATGGCCATCGGCATAAGTCTGACATGCTTGAGCGGCGAGAATTTGAAATGAGCGGCGATAATTTCCGACGCTTTCACAGCGACCGAAAAGACTGCAGAAACGCACAGTCAACCTTAATCGCAATGGGGGGGCAATTCCACGCCGCCCCGGGCGAACCCTTGCATATGGAGATCGATGCACAGGTACGGAGTAGCTACAGCAGACGCGGTGAGAGCTGACCGTCTTCTCTCGGCTTGAGCTAAATTACGTGCATGTCTCAACGCTTTCCTCTGTATTTCCTGACTTCCCCTTTAATTTCTCCCATTTCTCCCATTTCTCCCATTTCTCCAATTTTAGGGAGAGCTGAGTCATCTGGTATGGCCAAGATCAGGTGATCCGGCTTTTGCCTGCCTTTTGAGATAGGCCTTGATTTGCAGATTGATTTGGATTTACTATCAATTATTCAGATACGGCACTAGCTCTGCCGGTCTAAAGACCGGTATCGTGAATTTCCGCGTTTTCCAGTGTGGGTTGGGTCCGCTAAGCCAGGGCTTGGATACTCCATCGCTGCCGGTGGCGGGCTTTTGCACTGTTTGTGCCCCGATATTTCATTCCGACAAGGCGTGCAATTGGAATGAGAAGGCCCCGAGGCTCTCTAGGGAACTCACTTTCGCTTGTCTCTTTGCCTAGGCGCATGGGCCCGTTCATTCCGTGTCTGGGGTCAACACGACCGTCACCGTTCCCGTCACCTCACGGTAATCGTAATCTAGAGCCAGATTGAGGAAACAGAGTAAAAAAAGGGTCCAAGAAAAAAGATAGACTAGAAGATAAAATATGGTCTCGTTCTCGAAGTAAAGTGCGAGTTTAGCGCAGGAGCCGAGTGCGCGATGGATCGGCACCGCTCGTACGTCCGCCAACTCGGCCATCATCACCACTTCTCGCCTTTTGCCTTCCCTTCTTTCCCCCCTCACCCTTGCTCGCGAGCCCGCAAATGTCACTCCGTTACTCTCCAATGATCTGCGAAATCCATCCGCCCTCTTGATATTCTCGAGGAAATGCCTCTCTGAACACTGTCCTGTTCTCCGACCGCCTCGTCATTGTCACGTCTGGCGAATCCCTTCCGACACATCCTTCCCCCTGCTCGCGCCCAGTCGTACTGGTTCGTCCGAACCGGTGCGTTCTGCCTGGATATTCTTCTCTCCTCGAGAAGAACTCCCTTCTCCCTCCGCCGACAATCGGCCGTGAACTGCGCTCTTCTCCGCGCTCTCTACCGTTCGTGTGACGGACGGCACTCCTCCGTACACAATGTCCACGCCATCCACGGCCACTGCAACCCATACTACCCACCAGCATTACGGATATCCTCATTCCTCGTACCAGACGACGACCTCTTATCCGGCCTCGACAACCTCCGCGGCGGCTCGCCTCCCCAATCCCTACGCCTACTCCGTCCCTTCGCCCACAACCACCACTCTTCCTTACACCCAATCCTCGAGACTCGCTCCGGCGACGTCGACACCCTCGGGTATGGCGTCTCACCAGAGTGGCTCTAGTGCGGCCCCTTCGCAAGGGGGTCGGAGGAAGAAGCCCGACTGGGGCGAATTCTACAAGAATGGGATCCCCAAGGAGGTCATCGTGATCGATGACAGCCCAGCCCCAGAGGCATCCAAAGCTCTTCCCGCGCCTCCTGCTCATGCATCCGCCGCTGCTACTCAGCCCCCGTGCCTCAGCCAGCCGGGAAGCGACGACGGACGGGACTCGAAACGGCCTACGATCTGAGCTACTACGACCGGCCGACCTTCTCCACCAATCCTCAGCAATATGGGGAGAACTCATCGCACTCGTTGTCGACCGACCGAACCACCTCCTTGCATACCACCGCCCCGACATCACTGGGCTCGCAAGGTAGCTCGGGCGTTAGCAGCGGTATTTACAGCGAAGACGCCACCGTAGGCCAAAAGCGCAAGCGGACCACCCGGAAATCCGCTCGCGATGAGCAGAAACGTCGGGAAGAGGAGACTGTGGGAGACGCGTTCCTCAGCTACGTTCCTCCGCCAAAGCCACCAATCAAGGCCAAGGATGTTCCCGTGCCTGTAGTCCGCGATGTGAGTTTCTTCTTGTCTCCGAATGACTTTTCATTGCGAGAGTCGGCTCAGCTAAACTATCCAGTTCACGAGTACACGCCACGAGAAGTTCGACGATGACGACGGTCACTATATCGTGACCCCGGACACTCCATTGACAGATCGATGTAAGTGAAGGTTGCCAGAGAGTTGTCCTGGTCTGTCTGATTGTTTCTTCCTTTAGACTCTGTCATCAAACTCCTGGGCCAGGGTACCTTCGGTAAGGTCGTCGAAGCGTACGACAAACAGCGGAAAGCGCGCTGTGCCGTCAAAATCATTCGCTCCATCCAAAAATACCGTGACGCCTCCCGGATTGAACTGCGCGTGCTCTCGACTCTGGCCTCGAACGACAAAGCCAACCGCAACAAATGCATCCACCTGCGGGACTGCTTTGATTTCCGGAACCATATATGCATCGTCACGGATTTGCTGGGCCAGAGTGTGTTTGATTTCCTCAAGGGCAACGGCTTTGTTCCCTTCCCGAGCAGCCAGATCCAGCAATTTGCTCGTCAGCTATTTACCAGCGTTGCCTGTGAGTTCCCTCCAAACAGCAATTGGATAATTCCGGCACTAATTAATCATCCAGTCCTCCACGACCTCAACCTCATCCACACCGATCTGAAACCCGAAAACATCCTCCTTGTCAGCAACGCTTACCAGACCTTTACTTATAACCGCACCATCCCCTCCTCCTCTCACGCGAACCCGCGAAATGCCCGCCAACGACGAGTCCTTCTCGACGGCGAGATCCGGCTCATCGACTTTGGCTCTGCCACCTTCGACGACGAATACCACTCCTCCGTTGTCTCCACACGACACTACCGGGCCCCTGAAATCATACTTAACCTGGGCTGGAGTTTCCCATGTGACATCTGGAGTATCGGGTGCATCCTAGTGGAGTTCTTTACTGGTGATGCACTTTTCCAGACCCATGACAACCTTGAACACCTGGCAATGATGGAGGCAGTGATCGGAGGCCGGATCGACTCGAAGTTGGTCCGGCAGGTAGTGCAGGGGCGAGCTGGAAGTCATAACTCGGCTGCAAAGTAAGGACACCGATGATAGTCGCACGGCCGGACGCTAACTTGCCCCCAGGTATTTCAACCGGAACAAGCTGGACTATCCGAATGCTGAGACGACTCGCGCTTCGCGAAAGTATGTCCGCGCCATGAAACCATTGACCGTAAGTATTTTTTTGGATGTTTTTGATTCACTTTGATCTGTACTGACCGTTCCGTAGGAATTCATTCCCATGAACACTCCCTTCAACCGCAGCTTCCTGGATCTGCTGCAGAAGATATTTGTCTACGACCCGAAACAGCGCATCACTGCGAAGCAGGCATTGAAGCATCCTTGGTTCAAGGAAAGCCTCATTGACGACGGCACCGAAGCGTTCCGCATCGGCGCCGGACTGCACCGCCAAGGACGTGGCTAGTCACATCCAGTCAGAGCCTGCAGCACATGGCGGGCACTGTCTCACTCGACAGCATCTGGCGTCTTTGAGGGTTTCGGCATGGATAGACGGTTCATATCTTGGGTAATTATTATCATGGACGGGAGGGACGGTGTTTTGCCTCAGGGGAAAATGATGATCACGATGCGTCTTTATTTATTATTTATTTCTTCCCCTCCAGTGGATGACCTCCACCTCTGCTGTACCCTGGAGGGTCGCCGTCTTTCCCATTTCCCGGTTTTTAGCATATTCGCGACGTGTGATCCGATCGTGAGATCTTTTGCCTTATTTATCTTTTTTACCATTCCTTTCCGGCGCTGGGTATATGTGAGAGGCTTTTGCGATTGCATCTGCTTATTATTCTTGTTGGCTTTCTTCTTTGGGAGACTCTTTAGGCCGAGACTCTTAGGCTGCGATTCTTATACCACGATTTGATTCAGGGCGTGCGTGCGGGGGAGGAATGTATATAGCCTATGCATCGGCCTGACTTGATTGATTCTGATTCTGGTTCTGGTTCTGGTTCTGACCATGGAATAAGACTCATTTGACTCATTTGACTCAGACGAGCAACACACCGTACGTCGGAAAGGCGGAACAACTCCGTTCCTGTCCCGTGGACCCACCCAACCCGACATCCCACTTTTATCGTTGATATCGCGAATCCTCCCCGCGGTGAATCATATCACTTTGCGCCCCGACCTCCAACCCTTCTCCCCTCTAATTCCCTCTCGATACCCGCTCGAGCCCTCGGTGCCGGACTATCGACCGCCATGGCATTGACCAAGGAGGAACAGCTGGCGCTCATTAACGAGAACCTCGCTGAAGTTCTCAACCCGGAGATCATTGAAGATGTTCTGAACAAAGGAGAGACCCTCAAGATCTACTGGGGTACCGCGACTACGGGAGCTCCTCACTGCGGATACTTCGTTCCGGTCGGTGAAGACTGATATACACCTGGTCGCTGGCGACCACTAACGGTTCACAGATCATGAAAATCGCCCAACTTCTCAAGGCTGGCGCAAATGTGAAGATCCTCCTTGCGGACGTACATGCCTTCCTCGACAGTAAGCGTCTTTTTCCGTGCCCTTGAAAAATTTTCTGTTCGAAATCTGACTTATTCTTCAAGACTTGAAGGCCCCGATCGAGCTGGTCGAGTATCGCGCGAAGTACTACCGTTTCGCTATCACCGCCCTGCTCAAGGCATGCAACGTCCCTGTGGAGAAATTGGAATTTGTGCTGGGTAGCTCGTACCAGGTGAGTGAGCTCCCTAGGGATGCAGGCTTCAGATTAATTGACTTGAAACAGCTTTCCTCCAAGTATACGATGGACACATACAGGGCGTGCTCGATTACGTCCACTCACGACAGCGCGAAAGCAGGCAGCGAGGTAGTCAAGCAGTCCGATAACCCTCCTTTGAGTGTAAGAATGGCCTTCCTGTTGTTCGCATCTATTTACTGACAACCACTTTGTAGGGTCTCATCTACCCTATCCTCCAAGCTGTACGTTCCCTTTAATCGCAAAAGCCTTTCAACAAACTAACTGTCCACAAAGCTTGATGAGGAGTATCTTGGAGTTCACTGCCAGTTCGGCGGTGTTGATCAGCGGTAGGATTCGCCGGGCTATTCCGTTTTTGAGGGTATACAACTGACCTTGAGCGTAGGAAAATCTTTGCCTTGGCTAAAGAATTGCTGCCGAAATTGGGCTACTCTCAGCGTGCACGTATGTTCTCGAACCGGATCCGTCATGGAGTAGGAACTGGCTGACCATGTCCAGACATCATGAACCCTATTGTCCAAAGTTTGTCTGGAGGCAAGATGAGTTCCTCCGACGCCAACTCCAAAATCGATCTCCTGGATACACCGGAGATTGTGGGCCGTAAGGTCAAGAAGGCCAACGCGCCCCCGAAGCAGGTCGAGGACAACGGTCTCCTTGCCTTTACGGAACATGTGCTTCTTCCCGCCAGCTCACTCCTTGACGGCGAGCGAATCTTCAAGGTCGAGCAGAAGGAGGGAGATCCCCTGGTCTACCATGACATTGAGAGCATGAGGAAGGACTATGCCGCGGATGTGGTAAGTCAATCCTGACGTATCATGTTTGAAGGACTTTGCTAATGAATTCGATAGCTCACCCCGCAATTGGTATGTTGAGTGCTGATCGGTTTTGAATATCACTAATACGACCGTAGCTGAAACCCGCCGTGACCGCCGCTCTATGCCGTCTTCTCGCGCCGATCCAGAAGGAATATCAGGAGTCTGCTGAGTGGCAGGAGGTACGTTTTGTCTTTCTCTGGCATCTTGCTTATTCTAACCAAATTCCACAGATCCAAAAGAAGGCCTACCCCGAGGATGCTCCCAAGGAGAAGAAGAAGAAGAAGGACAAGGGCAGCAGACACCCTGGTGCCAAGGCCACTGTTCAGGCTGAGGAGGGCAAGGACGTGTCCAAGGAGCCGGCGACCGAAGCCGATGTCGGCAAGAGTGCCGCGGATGCCATGGACAAGTTGGCCGTTTAGATGCTAGATTTTCTATAAGTTGAATGTAAAAAGCATTTGCAAGTTTAGATATGGATATCCAGGGGTCTATGGGTCCTGGGTCACAATTCTACCTACTACTTTCAATGTTGTGTTAGTATCGGCCCCGGATTCTCATCCCGACTTCGACTTCCCCGCCAAAGAATCACAGATGCACAGGGCGTCAATGACAAGAGAACGAACTCGGTCAACTTCCCAATGGATATCACCGAATTTACAATCTCTACCTTCCACAACGCGCTTCGCCAACAAACCACCAGCTGCGCCGTGGTGGTGCGCACATATCTCGACCGCATCGCGCAATACGACCCGACACTGAAAACTCTCGTCTGCATCAATCCGAATGCACTGAGCATAGCTGCTGGGAAAGACGAACAAACAAAGCGGTTTCTTCAAAATGACATTCCGTTCCCACCCTTACACGGGGTTCCCATCGTTCTCAAAGACAACTACGCGACCCACGACCTCCCCACCAGCGCAGGGGTAAAAGCACTGCAATGCCTGCGCACATCCACAGATAGCGAGGTTGTCAGTCGTCTGCGCGATGCAGGTGCCATAGTCCTCGCCAAAGCCAATCTCCACGAATTTGCATTCCACGGGACCACGACCTCTTCACTGGGCGGCCAAACACGCAACCCATACGACCTCACCCGCACACCCGGCGGTTCCTCGGGTGGCACTGCCGCTGCTCTGGCAGCCAATCTGGGACTGATAGGATGTGGCACTGACACGATGAACTCTCTGCGGTCGCCGGCATCTGCATGTGGAATTGTGGGATTTCGACCGTCTCAGGGCCGGGTCTCTCAACGCGGGATTGTGCCTGTATCGGAGACGCAGGACACAGCCGGGCCCATGGGGAGGACTGTGGAAGACGTCAGGACTGTGTATGATGTGATGACACATGAATGTAGAGGCAAAGGATGCGAAAGGCCCTCTGCAGATGGTTATAAGCGTATACGCATTGGAGTCTTGGAGGCATACTTCAGCCTTGAAGAAAAGGATCCAAATCTCCCAAAGCAGCTCGTTGCTGAGAATGCCATGGTCCAAAAGATTGTGCGGAATGCTCTGGCGGTTATTCAAGATGCCGATGTCGAACTGGTCCCTATCAATCTTGCGGCTACATCGGAATGGGAGCCTAAAACTTTGCTCGCGACTGCAGATACACAACCGTTCGAGTTCAAAGGCTGCTTGGAGCAGTTTCTCCAGTCACCTGAGATATCGTATACACCACATCGTACCCTGCAATCGATAGCACAGAGCGAAGAGTACGACAAGGATGCCGTGACAGAAGTATTCCACGCATCCTTCATTGATCCCGAGACGTATTCTCGCACCAGCGAGGCATATCAGAGTCGGTTGAGCAAGATCGCAGAATTGAAACAGTCTGTCCAGAGGTGCTTTGACGAGAACAAGCTCGATGCGTTGGTATATCCGCATCAACGACAGCTCGCTATTAAGATCGGGCCAACAGTACAGCCTCGACGCAACGGTGTGTTGGCGGCATTGACTGGGAATCCTGCTATTTGTCTCCCGGGTAAGTTACTACCTAGCAGTGCTTAGGCTTACAATTTTTTTTAAAAAAAAAAAAAACATGAGGCTGATACAGAGTCTATGACAGGTGGATTCAGTCCTTCTACTCCATCTGCGCCTCGGGGCGTGCCTGTCGGCCTAGAGCTGATGGGCCAACACGGACGCGATGAAGACCTGTTGTCTCTTGCGGAGCGTATTGAAGGAATCATCCATACAAGGAAGCCACCGGATCTGAGCAAGATAGAAATATAGACAAGTTGGATTCAGTGGATAATAAATGCGGCATTTAGAATCTATACCAAGGAAGACAAACGAGAAAACATGCAACCCAGGATATCTATTCACATGCATATCTGGGTATGAAATGCATACGCTGCAACGCCTAATTCGAAAAAGCTTTACATACCACGGTTGAACTCGACCATGCCTTCGTAACCACCCCGGCCGTGGAACTCCTCCTCAAGAGTGGCAGCATTGATAGCCTGACGCTGAGGGAAGGCAGCCAGAGCTAGTGGCAGTGCAAAAATGGAGGTACCCAGAATCAGGCCCAAATTAAGGGGCAAGATCATGCGAGGGCGAGCACGGAGCCACTGGGTCTTCTCCAGACGGACCAGGATCAAAGGCGGGAGGACCATGATCGGGGTAGCGTTCAGGACTCGGCTGATAGCGGTCTCGCCGACGGCCAGAGTGGCAGCCTTCTTAGACTTGCCAAGGCTCTCCAGAGGTGCAGCATCATCGCCGGACTGTTCGCGCTTGGCGCGCTCCTCGTCCGACAGAACGGGGTAAACATCGATACCGCGACGGATCTCCTCACCGCGCATAAGGAACACATTGAGAGCGCTGGCGCTGGCGACGGCCGCGAAGGGGACGAGGCGGGAGAGAATAAGGCGGGTGTTGGGAGAAATGCTCTTGAGGCGAGGCACGAGGGCGTTCAGGCCCAGGGCAACGGAGCAGGAAGCAGAGACAGCCATGAGGTAGGACTTGGCGATCTGGGAGTTGGAGAGCGGGGTGGACTTGTTTGCGTTGGCATTATTAACTGCGACATTGAGCGATTGGTTGCCGATTTGCCAAAGAAGAGTGCCAGCGGTCTAAAGAGGTCAGTTTTGGTTCTTGTACCACGAAGCTCGAAGGTGTCTTTCTTACCCCGAGGCCAGGGGTGAGCATGCCCGCAGTGACCACCAGGTTGGAGAGGACGTAGCAGGACATGCGGAAGGGCAGCAGCACTGGTTCGCCGGTATCTATAACCATGTATCAGTCAATGACACTCCCCATCGTGTTCTTCTCAGCGCATACCGGGGTGAAGGGTCGAGTCGATAACCTTCTTCGCCCGCCACAGCTCCGAATTCATATTAGAGATCTTGTTTTGCTTATACGAGGAAATAAGCTGCTTCGCATGCTCCAAACCCGAGGACGAAACGAGCAGCGTCCTGTTCCTCTCCATTAGTCCAAACGATCATACCGCGCATATCGGCAGACTCACCGAGGGTCAGAAATGTCCGCCGCATGGCGAACGCGGCCCCAGTAGGTAGTCAGATCATACTGGGAGACGGGGAGATCCCGGTTACCGGGGATCGAGGCAGACATGGCCGAAAAGCAAAACAGCAAAAGAATGAGTGAACCGAGAAAGAGGGATGCGGACTCTCTTTTGCGGGGAGCCGATTTCATTTTTGACGATAAAAAGGCGGTGAGCCGATAAGTGGGAAATGGCCAATCAGCGCACGCGATACCCCAGGTACAAAGTTTACATGAAAAACACCGGGTGGCGTTCCGATTCTATGCGAAATGGGCTTTCTATTGGGTAGAAGTCACTGGTAGGTGGTGCAATAGTACATAGGTATCATCATGACAATTAGAAAAACAGCGGGCGGGGTCCCGGGCTAATGCAGAAGAAGGGGCTCGGGAATCGGACAAAGGAAATCAGGTCGTCAGGATGGAACGGCAGGTCTACCGGAATCGATATGACTTGTGTGCCAGAGGTGATGGAGGCCCACCGCCGGGCCCGTAGCTTGACCGGACACGGTTTTGTCGTGAAGGTGTATGGTCGCAGAACATGCAGACATAAAATGAAGGCAGGTTTGCGCGCTCCAACCCGACACATTTGGTGTGTAGCCAGTGATTACATGATTCACTGAGAGAGATGTTAATTAGATAAATCAGACAAAATACTTTCAAAGAAAAAACTCACCACTGAATCATGAGATGGCCGCCGTTGTCCATCGAGTTGCAGATGCAGCGCGTGCCGTTGCTCGGATTGCTAATGTTGCGGTCGGTGCTCGGGGTGGCCAGATCAGGATCGGTCAAGGTAGTGGGAGAGGCATTAGAGTGTCGAGGGTGGATATCGAAGTCGCTATTCAAACGAGGAGGTGAAGAAGTGAGGTGGGTGAAGGTGTGAGATGAACGCGGAAGTCGAGCACCATAGCCACCGGTGGAAGGCCTGGGACCGCGGCCACGGTCTTTCAGAACCTGTCGGAGGGCATGGGTGGCATCACCATTGTCATCCTCATCACCGGGGAGTGTTTGAGATGCAACACTGCCGCGGGTGTACGACGCATCAGAAGGGAGGAATGACGAGTGCCGCTTCGGTGTCCGTTTGATAGCGTCGGGGGATCCCCGGTAGGTAGATCGACCACTAACACCTCGGGAGGAGCCTGTCCAAGGGGACATCCGTCCTGAATGGGACGAGCTAATAGAGGTGTAGGATCCTTTTGAAGGGGGACGAGAACCGGAGTCACTTCGACAAAGAGGAGGTTGGCTGCCATCAAAAAGTCCAAAGGAAGACTGAGCGCGAGGTAGAACGGGATAATCAGAGTACTCTGCAGGGTCGACCTCGCTCTCGGTAGCCGAACCATCGAGATCCATGCCGGTCAGGGGATCCGTCAGCCCAGAAGGCCCCTCGTCCACAGGCTGCATCTCAGTCTTTGCGCGGCCATCCCGGCCAATGCGGAGCACCACCGAGGAGGATCTAGTTGGAAGCCCGGTAGCAACCGAATTGGACCGTCCCAGGGGGGTCGGTCGTATGTTCTTGGCTGGAGACGCTCCGCCTTTTGAAGGGCTCTTACGGATTCCGCTCGTCGAGGCCATCATGCCCCCAGCTTGACTGAGCGGTCGATGAGAAGAGCTAGTGATGGCGGTATGCGTCACACTTCGGGTCAGCCCAGGACGACCACGCGGAGTGAAGTCGTCATCTTCGGTCTCGTCCTCTGAGAAACTTGAATACGATCTGGGAGGTCGTGCCTCCCCTCCCTGAGCCCGGCGAAACTCTTCTCGTTTCGACTCTTCCGTTTGGTGGTGGTAGGGCTGCCGCATTCCGAGTGGCCTTCTCTCGGGCGTCAGTTGAGGGCCGCCGAAGCGCCGTGCAGGAGAACTCAAGAACATCGAGGGGTCCTCTGCCTTGGCGACTGGAATACGTGGAGAGGTTGAGAAGGGAGCAGGGAACAGAGCGGCATCGGTGGGCGGCGCGGAAGAGATCCCAAATCCACCAAAGTCGGGCAGATCCATGGTGCCATCAATGGTGGGCAATTGGGGGATGTGAATATTCATAGAGGATTGGGACGTCGGCCTCTGTACGTGCTCATTGATTCGACCGGTGCCGGGTAAAGGGATATCAGCGGCCACTTGCTCGTGATCTTGGTCCCAGAACAGTCGTTGTTGTGGAAAGAAGGGAGACGCCGAAGGATCCATTGAGGCCAACTGGAAGAGGTCCGGCGAGGAGTGTAGATTGCCGAACATCCGCGGAGACGCCCCCATCAAACGACTGGGGGTTTCGAGGTGGTTCCCCATTCGTGGTGTATTCCCTCTCGCAGAACCGTTGACCGTCTCAAAGTCGGGGATCTTGCGTCTTGACGCGCTTGTCGGAGGCGGCGTCTGCATGGAGGCCGCAGACTTGGCCGAGCCCACCTGCGGACCGTCCTCGACCACACTGGGCAGCGGTTTTACGGACCGGATTCGTCTGGCCGTATTGGTCTGCTCCGAGGCTCTCCCATCCTTCGGGACCTCCGGTCTCAATCCGTTCGAGGGGGTGCCGATACCGAACTTCTGCGGCGAACGGAGGAACTCGGGGCTCGAGGCATAGGGGTCTGCGGTATCCCAGGTGACTCGGGGGTCGAAGAAGCTGGACTCGAGCTTGGGAGTGGTGAAGGAATCGAAAGCGGTCGTGGTGGGAGTCCTCGTCGGGGTCTGAGGTTCGCCGGTGGGATAGCTGAAGCTGAACATGGCCGGTCTCATTAGCATCATGACGGAGACACATGAAGAAAGAAGACAGGCCCAAAAAAGCCGAGAAGAAGCACACCCCGCACGAAAGGGGAAGAAGGGGGGCAGCACATACCTGTGGACAGGGTGATCCCAACTCATGTCAGCAACACGGACCCAGCAACCATTGAAGGTCGAGCTGCCAGGCAACCTTGAGGAGATATTCGAGGACAAGAATGCTATGGAGGGGGGTCGAGGGTCATTGGAAGCCAAGAGCCATTCGACTGCTTGACTCGACAGCTCGACGAAGGGGGAAGTGTAAAGTGTAGAGTGTAGAGAAGGAGCGGAGTGGTTCCTGTTTCTGATTCCGTTCCTGTTCCTGTTCCTGTTCCTGATCCAGTTCCAGTCCTAGTTCCTGATCCCGTGTTCCCTGGTTCTATGTGGCGAGAATGTCAACGGTGGGTAGAGAAAAAACGAGGGGTTTCAGAGTGTTTTTCTTTTTCTCTGTTTGTCAAGATTGAATTTCTCCTGCGTGGGGACACTTTTTTTTTTCTTTCTTTTTTTTACTTAAAAAGCCTCCACCGATCCACCGTCTCCGATACGATCCCCAGGCAAACGGGACCAACGGGACCTGCTCCGGGACAGCTCCGTCCAAACTACCTGACTACTCCAGGTACTATAGGATAAATGCCTAGGGACCTAGCACGTTGCTTTCGTTCTACCATCTATATCTATCGACACGTACGTGCTCATCTCGATACGAAGACCAGAGTCATCCTCGGTCCGATGGTCCGTGGCCAGCTGAAAAACGGGGCGCGTATCAAGGAGGCCGCGGATTAGGGCCTCCGGCCTCCCTTTGGGTCAAGCCCGCCGATCCAGGCCTTACGTGGGGGGCAAACGAGATCCAGCCTTGTTCCAAAAGTCCGTTAGTTTTAGTTCGGGGAAGCCGTGCCCCAGCAGCCAGTAACGGGCGGGCGGCATCCACGCTCAGTCCGTTCGAGTCCGTTAGTGACCTTCAGGGCGGGCCAGTCTGACCGATGACGACATAGACTTGCGAGATGGGAAGTGGAGTGTTCTTTACGGGGTAGATCTCGTGGTTTCCGGGTTTCGGCAAGTGGCAGAAGACTACTCCCCGGGAAGTATGGGAGTATGGAGTATGGAGTATGGAGTACTTGTTGATTTGTTGATTTGTTGCGGTATACCTCGGCCGTGCGGATATCAGCAAAGGGGAGCCATGCGCACCACTCTTTCAGCTCGAGGATGACCTGCAGCCGGCCCCTGGCATATGAGCTCAACTCGGCGGGGCCTTGCCTGGGCCCTGTCCTCCGTACTCCGTACCTGCGTTGCACTCGTCCCTCGCTAGCGTCGCTCAGTGGCCGCCCTTGCTCCCCCATTTGCTGCCCGTTGGGTGCCCGGCCCTTTTCGATGCTCGAGACCCCGGCTGTACTTGATTTGCATATTAAAGACTGCGCTCCAGCCCAAGGTCTCGGTTTCCGACATGCGACACCGCAAGCCCGGAAACCCACCTGAGCTCTCCACGCGAATCTGGTGAGATCGGGCGGATCCCAATTTCCAAAACCCGGTTCGCATGAATCATCTCCTTCCTTTTGTTAAGATGTGCCGACGATTAACTCGACGATCCGATCTTGATCCGCCGGCTCGACTTGAATTGACTCCCGGTCTCTCGTTCACCGTCAAATGCACGATCCGACATTGGGAACAATGAAGCACTAGTCACCTCCACCGAACCTGTGCTTCCCCGAAAGACGCCGTTTCTTCTCGGGTCCACACAAGCTGTTTCCCGGGCTACCAAGCCCCATTGGTTCTTTTCAGGGGATAAAGAATCCGCTGTTCAGCTCTTCCTAGCCGGCAAAATCTTCTCGCCGAACGGTATATGGATGTGGATTCGATCCGATAAACGATAGATGAATACCGAGACCACTCGTAGTAGCCAAGACAATTGCATTTCAAACCAAGATCGGGGTCTCTCCAATTGAATTGGATCTAGCCCGATGGCAAACGCCAATCTCTCGTGGTTCATAGTATTTGGTATCTGTTTGCATTTGCTTGCAGTTAGGACGTAGCGAGCACCGGTTTTGAAACGTGGATGGGAATGTTCTGCCTGATCTGCCTGATCTGCCAGGCACCATCGAAATCCCCACGGCCACTCAGCGCCGCATGCCACGTCCCCATCGGCCCCGTAAAGACATCGGACAACCCAAAATGGTTGTCTTTGAGGGCAATTGACGTGAGGGCCCCTCGTTTCTTTGATTCTGTCGACTCACCCTCCTCTCCTCCCGTCATTTTGTTCCCCAACTCCATCAAACATGGCACCTCGCACCAAATCCAAAGACCACCGACGCAAGAAAGGACCCGTCCAGCGTAATGGACGCGTCCGCAAGACATCCCGGCGCAAATCGTCATTGTCTGTGAGTCAAATAAGCCCCGGCACGGGTCCTCTGCTGACCTCCCACGAAAAGTCGTCCTCGAAGAAGAGTCTGATTCCTGAATCGAATGACCCACTGGAAGAAGTATGTACCTCGACAATCAGCCCATTATAAACTTCCATTACTGACTTGGATGTACAGAATGTTACCGAGTCTGTACCGATGCCAGACGGCTACGTCTTGGTTCCCAAGGGAGATGTGTACATGACCCGCAACTGTCGCAGCAAGACCAAGGAGTCCCACCGGACTGTCTTCGTCGTTTACGTCAGTACAAAATCCAGGCTTGAGGCTCATGAAGTTCTAATGTCCTTTAGAACAAATTGGGAAAGCGAATTCAAGGCATCCGAGTTCCTGCCGAGATCTATGCCAACGTCGTCGAAATGGCTGCACTGACGTCCGGCTCTCGCGCAAATGCCGTTCAGGCCCGTGACACTAAATTCCTCTCTCACGGTCGGAAGCTACTTAAGGAGCAGTTCCCACTGATTCCTGAGGAATCTCTTGAGATCATCGTGAACCATTCGTTCCTCAAAGGCTCTGGACGAGTCGGCCGTGCCACGACGACAACCGACAAGCGCAAGGCTACATTGGCCGTTGAAGCGCACATTCGACACAAACATACACCCTACGAGAAGCTGCTCTCCTCCGGTATCGATCGAAAGGATGCTCGAGAGGAAGTGTGGCCCGCGGTTCAGGCAATCAGGAAGACCTGGGAGGGCAGTGGAGAGAACAAGGAGAACGACGTTGAGTGTTTGGCCATCCGCTCCGCAGAGGTGGTGGTATTGGATTGATTTTCTGCGAATCGTTGGAGGTTATGCATTTGCATAAGACTGGAGTTTTCCGGACGGGATTGTCCATTTGCACGATACCACGAACTCATACACTAATGACCCGGCATGATAATGTACGTACGCATTGCTAGTTCTAGATTGCTAAGAATATGGTTTTTTCATTCTTCTTCTCCTTCTCATCTTTGATTCTCTCCCCTCATTCACGTCGCCATTCACGGACCCCGTCACATGGTCCAGAAAAGGTCGGAATACACGCAGTCCACTGTCTCGGCCTCAAGTACGCGGACAGAAGGTTTCAACTCGGAAGTGATGGTGGCGCCACGGAAGCCCAGGGAACCAGCCCATGCCCTCGTTGATCATGTCTTGCATGGTCAACATACGAAGGCGGGCATAGACGAGGGCATCAAGTCGGCTGGGACTCTTGGTATCGATGACCACGCGTAAACGAGTACGGCAGTCTCTGATACGGCGCATAGCATCGTCGCGCAGTCCCGCACGCTCGAGAAATCCCATCTGAGTGCGGGCATGCTCGATAATCTCGAGATCGGTTACTCCACTCGCGCGGCTGGAGATGTCTATTTCGAAGGTGTGTCGGTAGACCTTCTTTCCGTCTGTAGTGACTGTAAATGGTGTTCCATCGGTTGGTTTTTGTGAAGCTGCCATTGCTGCAGGGCACGTGGGTATATTTCGCCTGGGAACACTAGGCGCACTAGGCTCAGAATCGATATCCATCGGGTCGTCGAAGGACTGTAGCCACGGCGGCGGGGTCTGGACCTGAGGCTGTGGCTGGTCTCCGGTGGTACGTCTTGATGGATGAGGCTGGAGATCAAGTGGAGCAGGAGGCTTGCGGTAAGACATGACAGTGATGAGACAGGGAAGTCCTTTTCTGTTCTTTAGATCTGAAGAAGACAAGGTCGACGGGCAACTTCACTTGGGGGAGAATGGGTATAACGGGGATGACTAAAGAAAGGAACAAAGGAAACAAGACTTTCAAAAACCTAACAGAATTCCAAATGAGAGTAATTGATGAAATGAGTAGATTGAGTGAAAAGATTGGAGGTCGATGTAGCATCGTGTCGACTCTACACTCAGATGGCTGCCGGAGTGTCGTCGAGACATCGCCCATGTAAAGGCGGTCCAAATACTTCCGACTTCAAAGGAATCGAACAAATCCCCAGCAGACAGCAAGCTAGACAAGATCGAATTTACCAAAGTGTATAAATGAGACACTGAAAGATAAAAATAGACCCACCGGGCTCCACTCAGGGTCCCTCAGGGTCCAAACGTGGGTTCAACCAAATACAGAGTTCAACTACGTTGATCGGCGTCGATGCGTGCCAGGTACTGCCCCCTCGAACTTTCTCACCTGTTCCTGCGGATTTCTCCTACTCTCGACATGGCTCACTCACCATGCTCAGACGACGCCTACCTTTCTTGGGGCCAGGGCGATTCAAATATATTGCCATCACCGTCGTATTAGCCCTGTTCCTGCTGGCTCAAGGTCTACCGTCACTAAAAAGCAGCTTTGAGACGCCCACGTGGGCGATTTGGCCGTGGGGGACGACCGGCCGCGATACCTCTATCACTCCACATTCCGCGACGAGCCCGACCTCGAGTACGAACACCATGTCTCCCGGGCTATGCATGACATCGAAGAATTGCAATTGGCGCTAGACGGTGAGGACACGACGAATACTCTGTGGCAGATATTATTGAACCCGTCCGAACAGCGAGGCGATGACTCACTTCAGTTCGATGAGAAGAACTCGGAGTGGAAGAATTTCGTGAGGATGCCTCTCCCGGTTCTCGCTCTTCTTGGCACACCTACTTATATTTTGGCATCCCTAGCTCGTCAACAACGAATGAGCCGAACAATTCGTCACTATAACCTTCGGATCCGTACCAGGTCTGGCGACTCTATACCATGAACACCCCCACAGAGTCCTCCGAGGCGATCTATTACGCTATCTGATACTATGGTATTATGGGGGCTATTATTCAGATGTGGACGTATTCCCCGCAAAACCCACCAAATCATGCCCGCCTCTCCGAGACTCCGTGTACAAGACCGATGACTCCGATATCTCCCTGGTCGTGGGTGTTAAAATCGACGAGCCCTTCGCTTCACCGCAGAAGATGCACGACTGACGCTGGGTGCGAAGCTATGGATTCCTGCAATATACCATATACGCACCCCGGCGATTCAGTCCACTTCTGAGGGAGGTAATTGTGCGAGTCCTGTCACACACCAAGCGTCATCGCGAAACCAGCAACGTCATATTCGGGACGAAATATAATGAACTGACCATACTCGAGATTACCGGGCCGGGCGTGTTTACAGATACCATTTTGGACGACGTCTTGTCTGACACTCTACCGGCCACCCACCCGATGGTTTCGGTGTCAATGAAGGCAGACACCGGCTTAGGGGACCTTGTTTCCGAATCATCCGGAGTTCCCATTGACCGTGTTACATGGGCGCCTTTCCATAAGCTGAAGGAGTCGTTGTGTGTGAAAAGCTCCGAGGCCAAAAAAGGGAAGCATTTCGGAGGTCTATGCGCCCTTCCTGTGAATGCCTGGGCTAATGGACAACGATACAGCGGATCGGAAGGATTCGATAGCTCCCATGCGTGTATCAACCATTGCTTCTCTTGGCATTGGAAACCCTGGAAGCACAGTTGGAAGAAATACCTTTTTGGATGAGCAGAACTGGGGAGCATGCCCAGGTGGTTGCAGGATTGAGTTTTGTGTTCTATTACGGTTCCGGTCTCGGGCATGTATTTTGGGTTATTGTATATATTTACTTGCATATATTAGGGAATTGGATCTAGCGAACTTCGAGATTCTGGTTTGACATCCAAACATGCCCGTGTCCTCAACAAGTAAACCTTTTAAGAGCCGTTGGCCCCACAAGGACTCACTTGAATACGTTCATCACTGAAAGCAACATACTAGGCTTAGCATAAATCGCTAAACCGATGTACGCCTGGCCCCAAACAGTCACAGGTAAGCCCTAAGTCCTTTCTCATTGTTAGATATGAGTGCTTTGACGACGGTGCTCGCCCCTGGGGTCTTCAATGGCCGATAATACGCCAAAGGGGCCAAGTCCAGTGTAGCCCCAGGATCATGTAGATCGAACCTTCCGGTTATTTCAACACAATCACCCAGCCAGCTCACATTCAGAGTAGGAACTTCTCTTATATACACAGACCACGTATGGCTTATGACTATCTATAGTTGGGACGAGTCCTCGTGAACCTTGCAAGCATTCAATGCCATCCATACAAGAGTAGCTCAGTGAAGACGGCACTCTTTCATAGTAAGGTCTCTCTGGAATCACCGAAGATAGCTCAGAATGGGATTTTCAATGCCAAGGTCAAGTAGGATCGATGTTAGATCCGGTAGGCTGGGCGAGATCCCCATCCTTCAGTTTTCAACTCTCATTCGGCATCGCTTATACGAAAGCTTACTGAGACATAACAATTTAATGCTGAAATTGAAGTCGATTTAACCAAAGAGGACTTGCTCATGATTCAAGTTGACTTTCATGCCGTGAATACATGGCTCATCCATTGTCATGTTTCCCGATCCGGAAATGAGGGCTAGCCCTACCACGCTATTCCCAATGCGCTAGCAAAAGTTCCGGACGGCGACTGCGATTCAACTTCCCATATTCAATTGCGCAATGGAACAACCAGAGATTGCGGAGTCGCCGCGGAAGCGGCAAAAGACTAGTACCGTCGATGCGACCGATGGTGCTGCAGATATGCCGCCCCAGAGCAACGCCGTCGGTCAAGATGCCCAGTCGATGAAGGAACTCGATGTCGGAATCACGGAGCTCGTGACAGCTGACAATGAGGGCTTCACGGGTACTTTGAAGAAAAGGTGAGTTACTGAATGCGACCTCTGTTTTATCCTTGCTTACCCGCCTCCAGATATACCGACTTCTTGGTCAATGAGATCCTGCCCTCCGGCGAAGTCCTTCACCTTAGAAACACAACAGCGCCCGGTTCTTCGAATGAGCCCGCATCTCAGCAAGTTGAAGTCAAAGAAGAGGTCCCTGTCCAAGAGGAGCAAGTCGAGAAGCCTGCACCGGCCGAATTCGAAGTGTCGGAAGAGGACAATACCTTGCTGGTGGAATACTTTGGGGCCGAAAAGGCCTCCGCTATCGTGGCGCTTCACAAGAAGGCTATGTCGTCGCCCAAGTTTAGGCCAAGCGAGCTCCCCAAGATTACGGTGGCTGTCTCCGACCGGGACTTGCGCACCAAGATCCACCAGGCAGTTCGTCGCATCTTCAATTCACAGCTGGAGTCGACCACTGATGGCGAAGGTTTCCTTGCCGTATCTGCAGCTCCCAATCGCTTTAAGCGCAGTGCTCAAGGCCACCGTGGGGGTGGCCGTCAAGGCGGCAACAGGACAAACTGGGACGAACTGGGTGGTCCGTACTTGCATTTCACGATCTACAAGGAGAATAAGGATACTATGGAGGTTCTGTCATTCATGGCCCGCCAGCTGAAGATGAACCCCAAGAGCTTCCAGTTTGCCGGTACCAAGGATAGGCGAGGCGCGACCGCCCAGCGTGCATGTGTCCTTCGCGTCCAGGCCGAGCGACTGGCGAATCTCAACAAAACTCTGCGAAACGCCACCCTCGGCGACTTCGAGTACCGCAAGGAGGGCCTCGACCTGGGTGATCTTCAAGGAAACGAGTTTGTCATCACCCTTCGTGACTGCGAAATCCCCGGCGTAGACAAGGAGAATCCTCAGGCGGCCGTTGCCAAGGCCACCGAGCTTGTGGGAACCTCTTTGAAGAACCTTCACCGACGAGGATACTTCAATTACTATGGTCTCCAGCGCTTCGGAACATTTTCGACCCGCACAGATACCATCGGTGTCAAGATCCTACAGGACGACTTCAAGGGAGCCGTGGAGGCCATCTTGCACTACCCCCCGCACGTTCTCGCCGCGGCCCTGGAGGGCGAGGCTTCCACGGCCTTGATCAGCTCCGATGATAAGAACCGTGCCGAAGCTATCCATATCTTCCAGGCTACGGGGAGTGTCAACGACGCGCTGAACAAGCTTCCACGGAAGTTTTCCGCCGAGTCTAACCTCATCCGCCACCTGGGACGTGTCAAGAATGACTACCTGGGAGCACTGCAAACGATTCCGCGCAACCTGCGGCTAATGTATGTGCATGCCTACCAATCCCTTGTTTGGAACTTCGCCGCTGGAGAGCGCTGGCGCCTTTACGGCGACAAGGTGGTTGAAGGTGACTTGGTCATTGTCCAAGAGCATCGTGACAAAGAAAAATCCGAGGCAGCTGAGCCTGCCAGTACCGTGGATGCCGACGGAGAGATCATCGTCGTTCCTCAGGGCGAGGATAGCGCATACGCTGCTGAAGACGCTGTTACGCGTGCTCGTGCTTTGACTGCCGAGGAGGCTGCCAGCGGGAAATACAGCATCTTCGACGTGGTTCTGCCCCAGCCTGGCTTCGATATCATCTACCCCGCTAACGAGATGACTGCCTTCTATCGTCGCTTCATGGGTAGTGAACAGGGCGGCGGTCTGGATCCGTTCAACATGCGCCGCAAGTGGAAGGACGCCAGCCTCACTGGAAGCTACCGCAAGGTTTTCAGCCGTATGGGTCCTGACTTCTCCTTTGACGTGAAGCTCTACTCTGAGGATATTGAGCAGTTCGTGCAGACGGATCTTGACAAACTGCAGCAGAATAGCGATGCTACGGATGCTGCTGCTAGTGCTCCGGCCGGCTCACAAGTAGGTGACAAGCTGGCTATTATTCTCAAATTCCAATTGGGATCTAGCCAGTATGCCACCATGGCCCTTCGTGAGCTGACCAAGGGCAAGGTCAGGGAATGGAAACCTGATATGACTGGGGGCAGGTAAATTATGTAAACGGATACCGTCGCTTTCACTGCACATAGCCCTCTATCTAAATCTAGGCATACATAGCCGTTGCACCTAAATAAAATTTGAGATTTGCTAAAAAGAAAGGAAGTGGTATGAGGAAACCGTATTGTCCAACTCATCACCGTGTTGCCCCCATGCCCTTATACAAAATCTACAACCTGTGCACTTTGTATTTTGGAAACGTCTGATGTGAAAGCGAACTTTGGAAACAAGTACTCATCACACTTCTGAACAGTAGACCTGAGAACATTTGTGTGTTATGGTAACATGTCACCAGAGAGCCCAGTTAGATCCCCAAGTTAACGCCGATGCTCAAATCCAAGGGCAACAAGCGACAAATCTCCATTTCCCCTCGCTGTGCAAGCCCCAATCTTTTCCATCCAATTGATCACCTTGAGGAGCGGGTATTATGGTTGCCACGAGGATTATCATCGTTGAATGATGATACTGAAGACATATCATCAAAATCCTCCTCATGACTCCTGCGTTCGTTCAGATCCGAAACCACAGACACGGCATCTTCTTCACGCTGGTTCTGGGATGGCGAACGAACAGCAGACCTTCTGTTCTCATTTGCAGGGGAACTTCCAGTCATGCCTCGCATGTCGTGCTCTGTCGCACTCATCCGTTGATCTACAGAAACGGCAACCGCAAGTCCCGGCTCTGTGTTTGCATCATCTGGCGATAGAACGGTCCAAGATCCGGGTCTCGAATCCTGGATTTGGTTATTGGGAACGTCCAGTGCAGGATACCGGGTTGTCTGTTCTGGTGTCACAAATTTGGGAACGACCATGAGCTCGGAGGTTGAAATGACCTTGCTTTGGTTGGCGGCGACGTCGTACGCAGGCGGTGCACTGCGCTGGCGTCTTCGGCGGACGTAGAAGAAGATCCCACCAAAGATAACCAAGAGACCGACGATAGCGATTGGCAATGCAATAGCCAGTTTGGTCTTGGTCGAGTCAGAAATACTGGATAACGCGCCGGCTTCGTTGTTTGCGATGTTGGTGGTCGAGGTTGCAGGGATAGAAGTTGAAGGCGAAGTTGACGCCAAAGTCTCATAGTTGTTAACGGCGGTGGACGGTGTTGGAGCCGCTTTTATCGGCTCATTGGTACTTGACACTGCTTTTGTATTCCACGCCGCTATTCCTGGTGTCTGTGTACCCTCTGCTTCAACGTCCGAAGTTGAGGTTTCCGATGGCCCATACCCTGCAGCATCAGTTACTGAGGAATGTTGTGCCGCTTGGCCTTGGTAGGTGCTAGCAATGTCCGTTTCTGACGGATTCGCAGTTGTTTCTGCCCGGCTTTGCATATCTGAAGATGGTGAGGATGATGAGCTTGTGATATAAATGAGTATTGAGATATGAGGGCCTACCTGCTATTATCCATCGCTTTAATGATAGCCAAAAAGGGGACATGATGGGGAAAAATTAGAATATGGAACTGCTTGGGTGTCGAGGGTTTTATGCAAGACTTCGAAGGGACAAACAAAGAGCTAGGGATGTAAAGGCGACACAAAGAACGAGGCGGGGAATAAATTGTGATCAGTGCATCCGGGTTACCGGACTCTCACAGTCGAGATAGCTGTGTCGATATGTCGTTATCTATCACTATACCAAGCTGGAGGGAAGGGAAACGCGCCGCTTCCGTGGGAAACCCGTAGAAAACACAAGCGCTCACAGCCTCGATGACCCCAAGCCATTGGACGAGCCAAGTAGGGGAAGGATCAGCTCGGAACCTGCACTGCCCTGGGATGAAGCTGGTGCACAAAGCACTCGGCGTCAATGGAAACGCCGGACGTCGTAATTTCATGTCGTGAAGCGCCGAGTCAAGCCTCTATTTTTTGCTATTCCGTACCTCCTAGGTCTTGGCACGCAGCGTTAGATGTCTTTATTCTACTCTTCAAAGAAATTCTTACTTAATCGTCGTTCTATAATTACCTTTCTTGGGGCTTCGGGCCACGCAGTTTTGGGGGCCGCGAAGATCACTGTCCACCCTAAACTGCTTTCAGCTTAGTCCAACACAGTGCAGGTGAATGGCAACCTTATTGGATCCCGTTGGGGGCTGATGCCGACTGAGATTATCATAGGCTCGAAGATATTCCAAGCGGGGTGGATTCCGGTTCCTACAGGTATCTATCTGCCTGCGTAATTTTCTCGATAGTTCCATACAGCCTAGTCAAATTGTCGACCATGTGGTACTATTGATGAGCCTCAAGGGTTTTCTAATCACGACTTATATGTTTTATTATATATATTAGACGTAATTTTGAAGTGCAGAAAATGATCATGATACTCGGAGGATGTCAGCGATGCTGTATGGGGCCTTACTTCACAAAAGTGATTACACGTCAACTTTCCAGTCCTTGTCGGAGGATTGGTCATATTTGAATCGGTGGAAGAGAAAGAGACGAGGTCGCGCACGGATAGGAGGTTCACGCGCAGACCGGGTCATTCGAGAAGAGTTCCCTTAACTGTTGTGCACGTTGCCAGGCATGATGAGGCTTTATGTCGGCATCATCTGGCACAAACACTGACGCGATCTATATCTCTTCCGGGTCCTCTGGGTCTTCCTGTAGAGTGTGGAATTTCGCCAAGGCACATAGAACACTTCAAGGGGTCGAATGGTAACAGAAACGAGTGCAGTGCGACTTCTCTTCGCTCGGATCCTATGATTTCCGAATTCGTGAAGTAGTTCCGGGTGCGACAACGCGTGGTGGGTGTCGACGTATTTTCCACATCTCAGTGCACCAGCACTAGTTGAAGAGTAGCAACGATAGTAGTATTGACCCCTGAGCGAATAGCCCATGCTGAAATAATCCGAAGAGGTACGATGGATGAAGTTCTCTACAGGCTAGTCTCCACATCGGCTTCAAGATGGCAGCTGCGTGCGCTATTCGTGAGTCTATTATTTCCCCCCTTTGACCAGCTAATCAGCCAATCAAATATTTACGCGTTGCGTACTCTTGTTACGTTATATGACAGGAATGACGTGCTCATTGGCCTGTGAAATATCAGCCCCCAAGTGGCCCTAGATTTACACGAAAAGCAGTGTGAGCATGGCCGTGCTAGAGAATTTGGATGTCATTGCCAAACTATTATTCGAAATTTATTTACGGCCAAGGTCACAGATGGCTACGTACCTAGGAAACAAGGTGAATCCATCTATGAGATAAATCAATACAGGCCAGTGGCTGATTTCATCAGAAGATACAGGAAGAGAAGCCTGGTTATACCACACAGTGGTAAGAACGTCTTCTGTATACGCACTAAGTCACCCCTGGGCTAGTCTAGTTCATGCAACAGGATAAGACCATCCTGTGCTCCGGCTTCCGACAGGCCTCCTATCATTTCGCTACCTGCACCGGCTCTGTGGGATGTTCGACCACTATCCCTTCAACAGCATCACCAAAAGATAGCTTAGCTATCCGATGGGGGATCTTTGAAAGGTGAACAAGGGCTAAGATAATAGGTTCAGTATGGATTATAAGCAGAATAGTATACCACTCACTGACATATTGGATATCAACCGAACTGGCACTTGACGTTGATCCTCACTGCCTCGACGATGTTCTTCGGGGCTGGAGAATAGCAGAAGCCACTTTTCCCGGATCGCGTGGTCCTGGCTCCGCAGTGGACCGGTACTTCCTGGAATGCATGGCCACAGACATTTGAGTAGTAGACATACCAACCGCAGAAGCAGTTGTTAGGGCTCTCGGGCCTATTGAATAGTCGGGTGCGGACATCGGTTCCTATTCTCCCTGGCGCAATTCCGGCCATGTTGATCACGGGTCTATAGACAATGATACAAGTACCGAGGCACAAAATGTAGTAGAATGATCAAGAGCTTGATTCTAGATAGATAATCAAAACTTCAAGTGACGAAGTATGTTAAAGTCGAGATGCACGAGCAAGAAAGTAAGTGAACATACCCGTGCTAGATATATATAGTTCTTTTTCAGGGATGCTAAGTATAGCCTTAGCAACTTCCATTACACTTGAGTCTCGATTTAGAATATATAACTGAGCTTATGACATTTTGAAACTCACACCGCGCGCGGCAATCCATCTTAACCACCTATCATTTATTACCGACCACAAATACCCCGGGAGAGGGGGAAAGAGGGGGAAAGAGGGCTATTATTATGAGTATACGTAGTCAAGTGCGATCCCCAACCCATAGAGCATCATATCGCGCGCGGCACTTGCCCCTAACCACTCATAATCTGTTGTTAACCGCCAATAAACAACACCAAAGCGTTGAGGCCACGCTTACACCTCACAAAGTCTCCACTTCTCAAGATAATGTTATACAATAGGCGCTTCGAGGTTTCTGGATGACAAATAGGCGTTAAGAGAAGTCAACTAATGTCTCGAGTAAGCGCTTAGGTGCTCGAACATTCGAACGTAGTCTGCCTGTTTACACCGCACCCACGTGATCCCTTGGAGATATAAAACCCCCTTCGCAGGACAGCCACTATTGAGGGACTCATACACACCACCAGCACACGAATGTTACACCAACCTTTCTATTAATATTTCCGTCATGATCAATCCCGAAGAAAGATTCTTTTCAGAGGGTCAAAGCTATTTTGGCCCAAGGGAAAACCCTATAACCGAAACACACTGTAACGTCTGGGATTGGGATCAGCTGCGATTGATCAAAGTCAAAGGAACGGCCAAGCTTTTTCCACCTCAAGAAGATGTTGAGATCTCAATCCTTGCGCAATTTGCAGATTACCTTTCGCCGGAGGTTCGTGCAATCACAGTCGACGATGACGGGCTTCTTATTGGAATCTCGACAGATCCGGAAGAGGATGATACATTCTTTATTGGATATATTCCCTTCTCACTCTGTTATTCACTCGCAGATTGCCCCACAATCTACTTCTCTCAACTTCAAGAGCTCGATCGGCTTGGACCAGGTGTCGACCTCGTATCGTATCATGATCAGAGGGTCGCATTCAAATTCAACCCTTTAGGTATGCCTCGGAGAATACAAATGTCCTGGAAGGAGATGAACCTACTCAGCAAACTTCCACCACATCCCAATATAGTACCGTTTGATCGCATTGTTCTCGAAGACGTAGAGTCTCGAGTAATTGGATTCACAACAAAGTACATCCCAGGTGGAACGCTAGCAAATGCCGATCCGAAAAGGCCTTTCCGATTTGAATGGTTACAGCAGCTTACCCAACTGGTGGATTTCTTGAACCTAGAATTAGGGATCATGCATCAAGATATCTCACCCCGAAATTTGCTTGTCCACCCCGAAACAGACAAGATTCTGCTCTTCGATTTTGATTGGGCCGCTAGCGGAAAAGAATGCCTGCTAGATGGTCGAGACGACGTGTCTAGTGTTGTGTTCACACTATACGAAATCATCACAAACGATATGCATTTTACGAGCATTCCTCACTGGGACAGAAACATAGACATGGTGCAGACTATCGAATGGACCTGTCACCGCGAACTAGACTCTGATGTGTCAAAGTTCCGCAAATTTCTGAATGAATGGATAGAAACAAGAACCGACAGAGCCATGGAACGATATCTCAATGCTCCCAAGCGGCTTATATGGCTGGATCTCCCAACCCCTCCAGACTATAGTGTGCCCTTTGAGCTAGGTTGGACAAAAGAAGGCGAAACTATTTGGCAAACGGGTGAGCGTTCGAGGCGCATTGCACTAGAGAGGGGGCAATACTGCTTTCGGTGGGAAAGACCCCCACAAAGCAGGCTGTTGAAGAAAGCCAAACACAGCATCTAATAGCTTAAAGATTGCTCGGTCAGTTCGCATCTAGATCAATCATTTGTCAGATAGCAGATGGTACAAAATGGAACACATTAAAGCCTTGCATAAATCCCATACTTACCTAAAATTTGTCACTTTTAATGCGATCTGATTATTCACCTAACAGTTATCTTACTGTCTACGACCCAACAGCATGTAGCAAGTTTCTTTGAGAATGATGAATTGAAGGAGAGTGATGAATTTTGGGAACCGCCGCCTGGCACAATAGAGAATAAGTCATCGAGGAAAGTTCAACAGCCACTCGAAAAGCACTATATCTATAAATATCACGAGAAATCGCCATCAATGTCGCTGGAATGGAAGTAGAATGGAGGCCCTTGAACTTTCTTTCACTGGCAACAGACTCTCCTGCACGTCACACCACACCCCATTCAGCCACATGGCTGTTAATCTTTGATCCGCCGCTTAAAATTACTGATACCATAAAGAAAAGCTAAATTGGCGTATTATAAAGATTCCTCGCAAAAATGACCGGTTCTTGACACCCCTATCTTCAGGCATAAAACGGTTCCATTTAGGTTTGCACGTGACTGCGGAGTAAGCGGGGTCGGTCCCTGGCGCTGTCTCCCCAAGCTTCTTGACACATATCATCTTCACATATCATCATGAGTGGATTCAGCTTAAAAGAGGGCTGGCACCCTAAGGGCAAGGATGGCAAGAAGGAGAGCTGGCGTGGGGATTTCAAGGGCATCAATCAAGTGGTGAGCTTCTCAGTCTGACGTCTGCAAGGCTCGGCCGCTAACCCTGTTCAGGCTGGATGGATGGGCAAAGGCAAAGATGCGAGCGATGACCGTTCCGAGCATATCTCCCAACCATTGTCAGCATTGAAGGATCCGTCTGCTTTTGGACCACCGCCGAGGCACATCAATTACCATGGCGCTGGTGCATTGCCCAACGAGACTACACCTGACCGGCGAGGCATGGGAGCTCCGCTATCCCAGGAACAGATCGACTATCAAAACTATCAACATCAGCAGGCCATCGAAGCGGAGGAGGAGGCAGCTCAGAAACCGGCGCCGCCTCCGGTTCCTTACCGCGTAAACACCACGGGATTGTCAACGAACAATCTCCCACCGCCGCCCGTGCGACACCTCGATTCGCAGAGGTCCGGCTCTTCGGCCAGTACGAAGCCCAAGGGGCCTCCGGTGCCTCCACGAGTTCCTCCCCGAAACGACTCGCCCGCGACAAGTACTCTCCCGCCTCCCCCATACTCTGTTACCACGCCATCGGCGTCCCAGGGATACGTCAACCAGGAAGCTACATCACGCCTCTCGAACGCCGGTGTCTCTGTTCCTGCTCTTGGAATCGAGGAGCAGAATGGGTCATCTTATACATCAACCGCTAGGAACAAGATGAACGACCTGCAATCCCGCTTCTCGCAAATGCGAACCGACTCGGGGTCCTCTCCAGCGGCTACTCCGACGGATCGGTTCCCGCGCACAAGCACGAATCCGGATTCCTCCCTCCCCCCGGCTCCCGGCTTCCGCGATCGTCACGCGGACAAGATCGATATGGGCAAGCAGAAGCTGGGCGGAGTGACGTCGCGCGTTAACGCTTTCGTGGAAGATCGCAAGTTTTCTGCCAACGCGAACAAGCGCGTTCCCCGACCGCCAAGCAATTATACTTCACCGTCGTCGCCTGTTACACCTGTGAGATCTGCTGCGCCCGTTGCGCCCACTGTACCTGCCGCATCTGAGCCGAGCAGGGCGCCGGACGTTCAAGCTCAAGCGCAACGTAAGAAGCCGCCTCCGCCGCCCCCCAAGAGGGCGGAAATTCGCGCCCCAGCTGCCAGTGCCTCGCCGGTGTCGTCAGCCTCAACGCCACCGCCGGTGCCGACCAACACTAAACCCCGCTGAGCGGGACCGTTTGTACAACTTGAATTGGACTGGCACCAGTGGGGGGTTATTGAGAATAGACAAGTGCAGCGCACGTATGTACAGTAGCTCGATACGATCGACGTGATCGATATCAGATATTCATTCTTATCACCGTCATTACAAGGCCAAGGCCTCGGCCGCATGTGAGCCTCCGCTTGGCCGGACCTTCTAGTCTGATCGGCTGCGTTTTCCGAGATGTTGGGAACTGCACGACGTACATTATGAGCCCATTGGTCCCAACAGAAGACCGAGAACGTCACCTCCGAGCATCCGCATCCATGCAGTGTCGTACAGAGGGATGCAGAGGCATGGGCTATCGAGAGTGGCCACCACGGGGCGGGCTGAGTCATCTCATGGCGCCTGACGGTTCGGGCAAACACGCCAAAACGCCAAAAAAGCGTGGGGTTCAACTCCCAGTTGCGTCGCGTGCGCTGGTGTCGCGTGAGGGCGATGGTACGGGTGCTCTTCCACCGACCTAGCTCCTATATAGTATGACGCAGATCGACCACGGGTACGGATATCTACCTAGGCGTAGATAGCATGTCTCTGGATGATACACAGTCCGCAAGGCGCAAGGGCGATCAACCTCGGTCCCCGTTTTCCCAACAAATGCAGGATCCACTTGCGATAAGGCGTCTTTATCAGTTGAGTGGATCCCCCTCTGCACTACTTTGGGCAACACCATCTTTTTTTTCTCTTCCCTTCCAGCTCTCTCCTCGTTCCAAGGTTATCCGTTGGTCTCCAATTCCTCTCTGGTTCTGGGTTCACCATGTTCGACATCAACGTGCCCTCCCAGTTTGGTCTGGCCACCGTCCGCATCGCCCTGCCTCCCGCCTCGCTCCTCAAATTTCCTCCCAACGAGCTCCCCGAGACCGTCCCGGCGCCTCACGTCTCCGGATGGACGTGGAAACAGCCCTTCAACATTCCGAATGGCCTCTATAATCAAGCTCTGGACGTGCGGGTCCCTATCACCATCGCCAGCGTCTATGCGCTCACCGTGCTCCTGATCAATCGCATCAATAAGGCCCGCGGCTACAAGCCCTACGCCTTCAGCAACTCGCGACTTTTCAAGGTCTTCGTGGTGCTACACAATGTTTTCCTGGCCGTCTACTCGGCGTGGACTTTCGTCGGCATGCTCCAGGCATTCGGTAACTCCTGGCCGGACCGCGACCAGCCTAATGGCCTGGTCGGCGTGGTGGACTCGCTGTGCAAGATCAACGGACCCCGTGGCTACGGCAATGCGGCTACCTACAGCCCGTTGACTGACCAGTGGTCCATTCCCAACTCCACGCTCAAGCTGGCTGGCGGTCAACCCGACCCTAGCGACGTCGGCCGTCTCTGGAACCAGGGTCTGGCTTACTTCGGCTGGATCTTCTACCTGTCCAAGTTCTACGAGGTCGTTGACACGGCTATTATCCTTGCCAAGGGCAAGAAAAGCTCCACCCTGCAAACGTACCACCACGCCGGTGCCATGATGTGCATGTGGGCCGGTATCCGTTATATGGCGGCTCCCATTTGGATCTTCTGCCTAGTCAACTCGGCTATTCACGCCATGATGGTACGTTATTTTCTACTGGTATTGTAGTACATCATCAAGCTGACTCAATTACGCTTTTTTAGTACACCTACTACACGTGCACTGCTCTGCGCATCCGCGTCCCCAACCTGATCAAGCGCAGCTTGACATCCATGCAGATCACTCAATTTGTGTTCGGCACGAACATGGCCGCTGCCTACCTTTTCGTCCACTACACCATTCCCTACCCGGCTGGAAGTTCTGCTCTGCGCCACCTTGCCCAGGCTGTTCCCGCTGTGGCCAATGCTACCGCCGAGGCCGGAGTCGTGCCATGGCTCAAAAAGCTGGCTTTCCGCGCCGCCGGTGCGGAGGGTATTGCCGAGAATGTGGGTGGAGCTGCCACTGCTCCTCGCGAAGGATACACCCAGAAAATGGTGACTTGCATGGACACTTCTGGCCAGGCCTTTGCCATCTGGCTCAACGTCTCTTACCTGCTCCCCTTGACCTACCTATTCGTGCGCTTCTTTGTCCGCTCCTACCTCAACCGCAAGGACCCCGGTCTCAAGCAGCCTACCCACATGGAGGCCGCTGAGAAGGCCGGTGTGGATGCCCTTAAGGGTCTGAGTCGCGCAATTCAACGGGCTGCCATCGAGGGTGAGAACAGCGAAACCACCGACGACGAGGTTATCCGCGCACACGTCCAGAAGATTGTTGAGCAGACGACCCAGGACTCTCCCATCCGGACCCGGGCTTCCGCTGCCAACAAGGCAAAGGCCGATGCGTCGCAGTCTGGCTCGGACGAGGGCTTTTCCACCGTGAAGAAGGGTGCGAAGAAGCAGACCAAGAGCGAGCAGAAGACGAGCTCAAGCTCTCCGACTGCAAAGGGTGATAACCCGTTCGGAGTGCTCGATAGAAACGCGTGATGCAGTCCGGAACATTGGGTTTCGGCATGAAAAATTGGAGTCTTGGAGTTTTCATAGTAAAATATCCACTTTCTTTTGACGAATGAGATGCGGCATGATGTGCTCTGCCTTGATAATCTCTTGACTGGAGTCTCGGTCCCCTGCAAGACAGGCCTCGCACTAACTGAGGTCCTTCTTCCCGACGGGGCCAGGGCATTGGATGTCATGATTTTGCTCCGCAGTGGATCTTTCGGAGATTTGCTCCATGGACATAGCTTTAGCCGGTACTTGGTTTAGCCCGGTACCTGGTGGCTTTAGATCACACGATTGGGATGTACATTATATGGAACAAGAAAAACGAAGTTATGTTTATCCATCTTCACTGGCCCTGCATCCGTAGATCCTTGTTTGCCGTGGAGATCTGAGATCCTTGGTAGCCCAGCCATGAAGGAGTCATCCCGTGGACATTCATGGGTGCATTTAGCTACCGTCTCTTCTTAGACCTTCAAACACTTTAAAACGGCTAAGTTTCAACTGAGGTTAGACTAAGATATCCCCGCTGCGTCTACGAGCTCGCTGAATGGAGGAAAAATATTGTCGCGCGTAATTCACCCAGCCCCGCGGGGGAGCGAGGCCCTGGCACTGGCGGCACTTCGCTGAGATCGCTACAATTGGGCAAATGTCAAGCTAACGAACATCGTGCCTCGACAATCTCCGCAGCTACTCCGAAGGAAGGACGATGCCGAATTGAACAATGCGGTATAAATTCAATACTGTTGCCCGCAATGTCTTCAACGTCGCCGCTCCCCCTGCATTCTAGGCCTCGGCAGAAGTCCGAGTTGCTTCAAAATGGCGAGCCTCGCACGGCTAATTGCCGGTCTTGGGATAATCCTTTCCTTTCTGAGCCTTTCTGCAACTGCCGACACCGAAGTGTCTCAATGGCCTCTCCACGACGATGGCTTTAACAAGGTCGTCCAATGGGATCACTACAGCTTCCAGATCAACGGGCAAAGGATCTTCATCTTCTCTGGCGAGTTTCACTACTGGCGTATCCCGGTCCCGGGCCTATGGCGTGACATTCTCGAGAAGATCAAAGCTGCAGGGTTCACCGCGTTCTCCTTTTACTCCAGCTGGGGATATCATGCGCCGAATAATTATACCGTTGACTTCTCCACGGGTGCCCATGACATTACCCCGATCTTCGAACTAGCCAAGGAAATAGGACTGTACATCATCGTGCGTCCAGGACCGTATATCAATGCCGAAGCTAGCGCCGGTGGATTCCCCCTCTGGTTGACCACCGGTGAATACGGGTCCCTGCGGAATAATGACACACGTTACACGTCGGCTTGGAAGCCCTATTTCACTGAGATGTCCTCGATTACCAGCAAGCACCAAGTGACCAATGGTGAGAACGCCCTAGTCTACCAAATTGAGAATGAATACGGGGAACAGTGGATTGGCAGTGCTTCGGAGAGGGTGCCGAATGAGACGGCGATTGCATACATGGAGCTTCTCGAGGCCAACGCTCGTGCAAATGGTATCAGGGTGCCGCTGACGTCCAATGATCCGAACATGGACTCGCACTCCTGGGGTAGTGACTGGTCTAGTGAAGGTGGCAATGTTGACGTCGCTGGTCTTGATTCCTATCCATCGGTTAGTTCTCTTCATACAGGATGCAACCATCAAGCTAACGCAATAGAATGCAGTGCTGGACATGCGATCTCAGTCAGTGCACCTCCACCAACGGCGCATACATCCCATTCCAAGTCATGGACTACTATGACTACTTCCAAGAATCACAGCCGACCCTGCCAGAATTCATGCCCGAATTCCAAGGAGGCTCATACAACCCGTGGGGGGGACCCGAAGGCGGTTGTGCCGATAACACAGACGCGGACTTTGCCAACTTGTTCTATCGCTGGAATATCGGTCAGCGTGTCACGGCCATGAGTTTGTACATGCTCTTTGGTGGAACGAACTGGGGTGCCATTGCTGCGCCCGTGACTGCAAGCAGTTATGACTACTCTGCTCCCATTTCGGAAGATCGTTCGATCGGGTCAAAGTATTACGAGACCAAGCTTCTCGCTCTATTCACTCGTTGTGCGAGGGATCTCACGATGACGAATTTGGCGGGTAATGGCACGCAGTATACCGATAACGCGGCCGTGAGGGCGTACGAGTTGCGAAACCCGGATACGAATGCTGGATTCTATGCAACCTTCCACTCGAACACTTCTCTGTCCACGAATGAGGCGTTTCACTTGAAGATCAATACGTCTGCTGGGGAATTGACCGTTCCAAGATATGGTGGAATGATTCGTCTCAATGGGCACCAGTCCAAGATCGTCGTCACAGACTTCACTTTCGGGTCAAAGACTCTACTGTATTCAACGGCGGAAGTCCTGACTTATGAAGTCTTCGACGATACCCCTACGCTGGTTCTTTGGGTTCCTACGGGTGAGTCGGGTGAGTTCTCCGTCAAGGGAGCCAAGCAGGGGTCAACCAAAAAGTGCCAAGGGTGCTCGAATGTGAAATTCATCAAGGATGAAAGCGGCTTGACGGCATCATTCACCCAGTCCTATGGCATGAGTGTGCTGGAACTCGATGATGTCCGTGTCGTTCTCCTTGATAGAACATATGCATACCAGTTCTGGGCTCCTGCATTGACAAATGATCCATTTGTCCCTGAAAAAGAGAGTGGTGAGTTTCCCCCAATGATACCCAAAGCCATAAGGTCTAACTCCTTCCATAGTGCTCGTTCAAGGACCATACCTCGTCCGTAATGCCAGGCTGTCTGGCTCAAATCTTGATGTTACCGGTGACATCGTCGATACAACAACCCTCGAGGTCTTCGCCCCAGAGGCCGTCAAGCGGATCACATGGAATGGAAAGTCATTGGAGACCCATCGCACGGAGTATGGCAGTCTCAAAAGTTTGGTCTCTGGGCCGAAGTCTATTACACTACCGACATTTGGGTCATGGAAATCGAATGACAGTTTGCCCGAGCGTTTCCCATCATATGATGCTACTGGGCCAGCATGGGTCGGTAAGTTCGAGTCACAAAGCTCATTTCATGATGAAAGCTAACTTCACAGACGCTAACCATATGACAACATTGAATCCGAGGGCTCCTACATCCCTACCGGTACTGTATGCCGATGAATATGGTGAGTCGTTTACCTTATACTTGTGGAAATTTTGACTGATACTTCTTAGGCTTCCACAATGGCGTCCGTCTCTGGCGTGGTTACTTCAACGGCACTGCAACCGGAGTTTTCCTCAACGTGCAAGGTGGAACTGCCTTGTAAGTACATCCCAAGCCTCACCGCAAGCCCATCCCTAACTCGTATTCTCTACAGCGGCTTCTCTGCCTGGCTGAATGGCCATTTCCTCGGCTCATACCTCGGCGATACGGCAACGGAACAAGCCAACCTCACCTTATCTTTCTCCAACGTCACCGTGAGCACAAAAACGCCCAACGTACTTCTAGTGGTACACGACGATACGGGCCACGACGAGACCACGGGCGCATTAAACCCACGCGGCATTCTCGATTCCAAGCTCCTAGGATCGTCGAATGGATTCTCACACTGGCGTCTCGCCGGCACAGCAGGCGGCGAGTCCAACCTGGATCCGGTGCGCGGCGTGTACAACGAAGATGGGTTATACGGCGAGCGAGTTGGATGGCATCTCCCCGGATTTGACGCCTCGGCCTGGACCAGTGCATCGAGGATACAGACGGTGGTAAACGGGACACGTAGCTCGGTGCTCAGCTTCCAGGGCGCCACGGTGCGGTTCTTCCGAACCATCGTGCCCCTCAACCTCCCCTCCAACCGTGACATCTCGATTTCATTCATTCTGTCAACGCCCACCGGCTCTACCGCCTCATACCGAGCGCAACTATTTGTAAACGGGTACCAGTACGGGCGGTATAATCCTCATATCGGGAACCAGGTGGTATATCCCGTTCCGGCGGGTGTACTCAATTACGATGGAGACAACACGATTGCGGTTGCTGTATGGGCACAGAGTGAGGAGGGAGCGAGTATTTCTGTTGGATGGCGGGTGAATTATGTTACCGATAGCTCATTGGAGGTTGTGGGCCTTGGAGAGGGATTGAGGCCTGGGTGGAGTGCACAGCGGGAAAGGTTCGCATGAGTATGCTGGGAGCCATTTCAGAAATTCAAGACAGTCTACGCTGAGAAAAATGAATATTTCAATGTTCATCGTAATTCTTTTCTAAACATAAGTTTAGCTCGTAAGTCCCAGTGGTCCAGGGGTCGTAGGAATGCTATAACCAAAGCCAAAAGTACGATCATGATCATGATCTGGCCAAGGAAGTAAATCTAGGTCTAAAGGATGAGGAAAACAAGCAATTTTCGTCAAATAATAGCAAAAGTGCACTCTCCGTGAGATCAAACCAGGAAACGGAACCCGCGAGTGCTAGCCTGTCCAGGCACACCGCCGTTAAGGGCCTCACCCCGGTCGAGCTTCTTGTTAAGACGAACCAGCATGAAGCGAAGGACGGTAGCAGAGACGATAGCGATAAAGGCGGTGGCGCAGTTGACGGACATGGCGGGCACAAAGCGCGGCGCATCGCTGTCGGGGTACATGTAACTGGCGTAGATACTGCTAGCATTACTGACACAGTTAATGCCGGCCAGAGCGGCAGCACGCTTGGAGGCGGGACGAGGCAGTGTGCTCGAGATCCAGCCCAGAGCGACGACGTAGCCGGAGTAGAAGGACGGGACCATCAGCATCATCGAGACGTAGCGTGGAGCGACGCCGGTAGTGGCGGCAGCGATGATGAAGGCCGCAACGGAGACGTACAGAGGCAGAGTGACGTGGAAGTAGCGCTCTCCGGAGCGATCAGCGTGCCAGGCGTTGCCAAATGCGCAGATGACGGCCAAGCAGTAGGGCGGAGCAGTCAGGAGGAGGGTGGTGATCTTGTTGTAGTTAAGGGTCTCAACGACTGTCGGGAAGAAGTTGGTGACGGAGGCGGAAGAAACGATGCACAGGATCATGAGCATCTAAACAGAGAGTAGATTAGCGATATGTCACACTACAATCGATAGGAACACTTCTTACCAGAACCCAGGTCTTCATGTCAGTGAAAGCCAGCTTGCAGCCATATAGGAAGGATTGCTGCTCGCTGTCGACCCAATCATCCTCACCGATATCCTCCTCCAGACGCCACACAGCAAGTTCCCTCTCCTCCTCGGTGAGCCAACTAGTGGTACGGGGAAAGTTGGGAAGGATGAAGATGGAGGCAAAGGCAATCACAATTGTGACGGCACCCTCGATGATGAACAGCCAGCGCCAGGCACGGAGACCCTTGACGTAGTCCATGTTGTCGGTGATACCGGCCGCAATCAAACCGGAGAAAGCACCCGAAAGCAAAGAACCGGAGTAGAGGGCAGCGGTACGGAAGCCCAGTTCCTTCCGGGTATACCAGGCACTAAGGAAGTACAAGCAGCCAGGCTATAAGAAGTAGACGGTCAGATAAAAATCACCAAAAGGACGGGATGACGCATACGAAGTAGGCAGCCTCGACGAAACCGAGGAAGAATCGAATAACCACGAGGTCAGCGTAGTTCCGAGCAGCCGCAGTGAGAGTCGAGATGACACCCCACGCCATCATAGCCAAGGGCAGGTAGAGAGCCGGCTTGCCGAACTTATTGAGCATCAAGTTTGACGGAATTTGCATCAACAAGTAACCAACAAACAAGATGCTAACGCAGGTCTGTCATCCGTTAGTAACTTTCCATGGAGGACATATGCTATGGGTGGGCCTACCAGGTACTGGTCGCCGACAAGACCGAGATCCTCTTCGAGACCCGCCAAACGGGCCGAAGCCTAAGGAGAATTAGTATCAACCGGTTGAAAGGGCCAATGCAGAGATACTCACAATGTTGTTGCGGTCCAGGTAGTTGAGGATGTACATGATAATGATCATGGGCAACAGGCGGATATCAATCTTGCGGACAAGCGCCTTCTCGGCCGTCTCACGCTCCTCCGGCGTCAAGCCAGCGACGTAGGCCGGTGCTTCCTTCCTCGGGTTGGGCTTGTCGGCATTGGCAACGACCTCGACATTGTCCACGTAAGACTTGTCAAGATCGGCCGTCTCGATGTCACCAGAAGGTCTGGGAGACATCTTGTGTTGCTTTGGGGGAAATAAGACGGTTGGAAGGAGAAAGCCAGCAACCACGCGGGCAATCTATAAAAGCCGCAAGCAACAACAAAAAGAGAATGCCAAAGCAAGCAAGGGGTAGAATGGGCAGGGAGGAAAGGTGTAAAAGACCTAAAAAGAAAAAAAAAAACAAGAACGAAAGACCAAGGCGGACCTCGCGGGGAAAAGAAACTTTTCAAGTCTCAGGACCCGTTACGCTTTTTGTGGGAGGACGAGGCGTGGCGTCGATCAGACCAGTCCGAAGATGAACGACCCCGAAGCATGTTGGAGAGAGGGGGGTAGGATGGACCGATTGTGACCCCCAACTCTTCTCGGCATGGCGAATGGACCCGATTTACCCCACCGGGAATACGGGGAGTCGAGAAAATCTCGGTCAACTCGGTCAGCTGGCCAAGGAACCCGTCAGGGCATGGAGGTACGGGCCAATGGACAACCAGGGACGGGGCCGCGAGAGCGTGGGGGAAAAGAACCGGGGAAAGCAAAAACCCGAAACGGATCCCGAGTCTGTGCTTTCTCGCAGTCGGCACGAGCGATTCTTGCGGGGAGAAATCGAGCAGAGGCGGCCGACCCTTCGGCTGTGACCGCTGGGGAAAGTGTTGGCGGCGGGGCGTGGGGGTTGAGCTTAGGAGGCCTTCGGAGACTGGTGAAGACGTGCGGGTTTGGCTCGCGCTAAACCTTGTCCAGTGGTGGAATCGACGTGGGGGTCGCTCCGGGTGGTCTTTCGGTCTCCACGCCATACTCGGAGACTTGGTGCTTTTTGATTCCCTGGTGTCGTGATGCCCTAGACTGGCACTGAGGCAGAGTGACTGCGTGGACTGAATGCACTCACCGGTGCCCCACGGGGAGACTGGGGAAGCTCAGAGGGAGAGTGGGAGCATCCCATACTATTCAACCGACGTTCAACCGTATTCATAGCCCATTGACACTGTGAATGGAATTCGGAATGTCACGGCCGCACGTGGAGGACGGGAACCCGCGGGTGAAGGAGAGAAAGACTTCCCGACCCGACCACCTTCCAAGTCAATCTTCGATGTCAATTGCATCCCGTATATTTTCAATTGATCTACAAACATTGTCTGAGTACGGCATTTACCTCGGTCGAACTAGCAGTGCAAATATATGTCGTCCTGATCGCAAGACCTCGGGACGCAGGTCAAGGCGGTTTGTCCATACGGTCCACCAATCCATGATGGCTCTAGAAAAATTACAAAACCGTAGACCACGCATACCGATGATACATCATCAAAGCTGTTCAGCAGCGGCAATAATCCCATTGGGTAGGGTCTCCAAACGTACGGGCGCATACGGCAACTTAAAAGGGCGGGCCCGAGATCGCAGATGCAGCGAACCTCCAGTGCTTGGAAATCCGCCCGGGCACAACTATCGATGGAAACAGGGGGCATGGAATACCGAGGACATACAATGAGACTGGCCAGAGTGAGCACGATGCAGAGGCGCTCGGTTGCATTCAACGAGCTGGATGATAATGAAAAGAAAAAGGGCCCAGACATGACCGTCGACAATGATGTGCTAGAAAACAAAAATGAATGAAACAGCCCAGTAGCCCACGCTCCCAATACTCGATGACAATGATTCAGATGCATGCGGGAAAGACAGGAAAGAAAGAAAAAAAGACTCGAAGAACGATGTCCGTGACGCCCAGTAGATAGCAGGACGGAAAATTCATTAGATCAACGCTTCAAGGTAGTAATCGCAAGGGAATTTCAGCCCCCGGGTCGGAACAGGGGGCATCGCCAAGCGTCAAGAGAAGCCACACTATTTTGTTATGCGTGATACCCCCCGACGAGAGGACCATACCGAAAGGCGGAGACGGCACGAACAGGATGGTCGAACTGATGAGGCTCGGAAGACAGATCAACCCCGACTGAAAGAATCCAGGATTCGTCCCTTTGCTGCAACACGAAGAAAAATCATCAAACACCCCCAATCGCCGAAGTTTATGCAGATCTATGGACAAGGGACGCAAGTCTTGCTCAATCCGAGCAAGCCAGGCAGGAAGATCCCGGTCAAACTCAAATGAAGTGCGTGTAGATCTTGGAGTTTTCATGGACCTCCATCTCCTGTAGACAAGTTAGCACCGGACGTCGAATAGCGCGACCTGCATATACGGACCATCTTGAAGTTGTTAATCTCCTCCCGGATCTGCTGGGCCAGCAGAGGCGTCAGGCGGTTGCAAGTCGCGATCTCTCCACGGCGATCGTACTCGCCAGGAGGCCAGGTGTCGTGGAATTGGATGCGAGGGCTGAAGGCAATGTTCCTCCCAACACCGTGAGGAGTGATTGGAGCACTCTTCGCTTCCGTACCGTTGAAGCGTCCGCCTTCGGTCAGGAAGTAGTCTTCGCCCTCAATCTTCACGTGGTCGTTCGGACGAGGCCGTGCCGATTCTTCGGGCGTTGTCGGGGCACTGGAATGCGGCGAGTCACCGGCGGCGAGCGTATGGGCAGGCGAGGAAACACCCAGGTCGGAATGGGTTTCTAAGGCGACATGTCAGTACTCGGATGAAACCCGTGCAGGCTTCGGGTGAAAGCACTTACTCTTCAGAATGCCCTTACGGACAGCCGCAAGGATCTCTGCCCGTTCTCGGTCGCTTCCCACGATGCTCTTACGCGATTGGGAAGTATCCGAGACATTTCTTTCACGAATGGAAGCGGACCGACGAACGTCCGATCCATGTTCCACCTTGGGGAAGACAGTGGCACCACGCGGCATCTCCTGCGGGTCGGGGTTGACCGCGACACTTTCGCCATCGTCTCTTTCAACATTTACAACGGTGATCTGAGGAGCAGCTATCGGCTCGGCTGCTCCCTCGATAGAACTGATGCTTGCAACCGACTTCGTACGGAACATGCCAACGAGAGATCGACCACCCTTCTTCATGCCTTTGCCCATTTTTCGGAGCATCATGGACGCAGAGGACGCCGTCGATGATACCGACAGAGCATCGGTGGATCGAGAGAAGAGGCCGCCTTGGTGGGAATAAATGCTCTCACCCAGGCCCATCTCTTCTTGTTGCTTGGCAATGGCGGCCTGTTCCGGTCCCAATTCTTCCAGCAAAGCCTCCTGGCGAAGTTTCTCTGCGGCAATCGCCTCTCGCTTGGCGGTGCGGCTCTCTCCGGAATTTTTCAGAAGCTCCGAGGCGCTGCCAAACGAGAAAGCACGCCTCAAGCGTGACTTCCCAGGGCGCTGGGCCCCATTTTTCAGCTCGGTGAGACGCTTGGCCGCAGGGGAGTCTAATGGTGGTGACGAAGGTGTAGTTTGGTTTTCTTCAGGTCCAGCCGTAGGCGATTCGGGAGATGTCGATGCAGGTTGGGAAAGCGGCGAGGGTTTGCTCGTTCGCTTCTCGTCGGGTTTGCCGGTCTTGCTAGTCACCGAGTTAGAGTCCGGAGATCCGGCTCGAGCCTGAATTTTACCAATAGTTAGCTTTCATCAATCTGTGTCATCTGAAGAGCGGAGCCTACCGAAGAAGCAGAGGAATGTCTGGAGTGGTTGCTCCCTGAGCTATCCCGACGGGAGTGAGATGAGTGTGGCCGGGAATTCGAATCGAACGAAATGAAATCGTAGGAGCCCGATTGGGGCGGCGACGATGCTGTGGGGAGCTGAAGCTGTAAGCTTGGAATAGACGCAGGGTCCATATTACCCAAGCTCCGTCGACGATATCGCTCCGGGGCCGCCTTCTCTGCATGAGATGAATCATCCACGCTCGATACGCGATTGTGAACCGTAGATCGGAGGATAGGTCGAACAGGCATAGCACCGCTCGTCTTGTCCTCAGCAGGCAAGGATGATGACGAGGCCGGTGCTGGGGACTGGGCGCGGATGCCCTCTGCACGTTGAGGACGGCGATATCGATTAGGGGAGGGCTTGACAGCACCTGTGGGTGAGGAGCTGTTCATGATGGGAGGAGAGGGGAGATTGGCGGTGGAAAGAGGACGGATGGGCTGGTCACCCCTCGGTTGCCTAGAGGGGATCGCACTGTCGTCCTTGGAAACATGGGAATGGAAAGAGGTGGAGGAGGTATTCGATACAGAACCAGCTGCAGGATAGGCGACTCGAGGGTTAACCCCAGCGGAAGACATTATCGGCCCCTGAGGGATAGTAGGGGCGGAAAATGTGCGGTGTTCCGGCCGGAGATGAGGGGACCACGACTGTCGATGTTGTTGGGGGCTTGCGTGGTGACCCAGGTTCGGGGCGAAGGCGTAGGGAGCAACGATAGGTTGGCCGGTTCGATATGACCCGGAATTGCCTGCATTGAAGGAGCTCCACGACATGTTCTGATAGCGGGAGCCCTGGGTCTGAGGTGAAGAAGCAAAAGTGCCCGAGGAGGAGGAAGGACGCGTCTGGAGCACCGGTACCGTGCTAGTGTGTTGCGGAATCGTTTGAACCAACGCAGCCATGTTGCTCTTTCTCCAGATGGTGGAAGAAGGTTCACGAGCGTCCGGATCGGTGCTGGGATCTCGACAAGGCAACTCGCGGCAAGGACGGGGGTAACTCGTCAGGAGACAGATTGAAGAACGAAACGGAGTGCTAGACGGGGGAGATGTCAGCCCGATGCCATTGTTTCAAGATCCAAGTAGACGTGTGCGTCAACGCGAAATGGAAGGTGGAGTCGGATGGGAAAAAGGGGTTTGTTGATCGTTGTTCTTTTTCTCTCGTGTCGGGGGGGGAGGGCAACGAACGGGACCGCGTCAGCCAGGGGCAAAGGGGACCGTACCTGTTCTAAGTGACGGGAACGTAAACTATAGTGGTACAACGATTAAAAGAGCGAGACGCTGGATGCCAATAGAATGCAGAAAACTCGAAACCAGGCGAGTGGAAAGAAACGAAAGGTGGTCAAAGATGGAAAAAGAGCCCCGGGATGACAGATGAAGGGGGGAGATGTACAAGAAGGAAAAAAAAGCACCCGAAGAATACAAAACCAGATCCTTGGAAAGGCACCCTGTCATAGACAAGAAGAACGGTGCCGTTCGTCTGGATTGGGGGAGGGGGAGATGGATGGAAGAAGGGGAAGGTTAGTGAGGAAGAGAGAGTGAGAGAGAGCGAGAGAGCAGGGGGGTGGTGGAGATCGGGAGATCGGGCTGGGGGAAAAACTAAGAGGGGTTTTTTGCCCTCTCACACAGGGGGGTCAAAGGTATACTTCGAAGACAAAATGATGATTCGATTCTTTTCCAATATTTATTCTCTCATCGTCCAGTATTCCATCACTATCTACAGAGAAGGTTCTCGTTGCGGAGGTTCTCGCATCGCGTTTTCCCCTTTGAAACGACGCCGCCAATCATACGCTGCGGAGGCCCCCCTAACTCCTCTCGCGGAATTCGGTTCTGGGCAAAAGTCCTGCCTGTCAACCTTGGGTAAGGTAGCTAGCTACCTAAATAGCATCTCGCAAGGTACCTCGGATCTAGGTATCCAGGTGAACCCAGATCTTGCTCTCGTTCCCCTCTTATCAAGATCGAGTGTCGCAACCCCTCGATAGAAATCCTATGTGTCCCGCGATTGGGGACTGCACTAAAAGTACCAAGTGCAACGCTATCCCTCGACGGCGTTTTTCTCCACGGCTGCAGCGAATCCACTGGCGTTCGGCGAAACATTTGGCGGCTCCGTGCACCGCACGTGCTGCCAGCTGCTATTTATTGCTAGGCCTACGCAGCATCCAAAATTATGTGCCTTCGCCCTCGTTACTTGTTGATTGTGCGATAAGACTGGAGACAGCTGGTTCCATGGACGGGCGGGATCTGTCCAACCTAATTATCCCGCCGATTTCGCAGGCGACACCAGGTACCCGCTGGCTGCAGCCAGAAAGCGAATTCGGGATTTGAACACGGCCGGTACGCTATTCTAGAGCGATGCAGCTGGTGACATGGCATGGCCGCTGAGGCTGAACACCACAAACCTAAGTTCTGAGGTGATCGTGCTTCCCGTCCGGGAAGTTTGGAACCCGGCGGGGACTCGAGCGGAGTTTGCGGGAGCTTTGTGTCTTTCTGTTGCCGGTGGGTAATATATATCAACCGACTCGTACCCAGATACCTATTTTCGAGTCGTACCCGTACCCGACGCCTGTACATGACGTACGATGCAGGAGCGAGATCGCGCATCTGACGAACGCTCCTGTCAACAGGACCACCTGTGACTTAGAAATTCATGCACCGCCTATCAGGCCTGGAGCCGACCCGACGACCCTCTCGGTTCTAGGGTTCTAAAATGGTTAGCATAGTACTTACTACTGCCGATACAAAGCACCGAGTGCAGAATTTCTCATCTTCCTTCTTATCTTAGCCTCCCACTTCCCCACTGACAAACCACTGATGTACGAAGTTCCGTCCCGCGTGATCGACATGCCCTAAAACCAGATCAGCACGGATCCTGGTTTTGTGCTGTTTCGGGGGAGGGGAGGGGCTGTGAAAATCTGCATATGTCTGCGCATCTCAATTGGAATTCTTATAGGGTCAAGACAGGTCGACTCCATCGCACCCGGCTCTCTAGCTCTCTAGCACTTACCCTATGCGGCCTGGTACCGACCTCTCTTCGAGCCGGGGTTTTAGTGCGGGTCTTGAAAGGGGGGGGTCCACGAGGGGCATCTGAAACCGCAAATCATGGTACATATCTCTCTTTTGGTGCCCCATTCTTCCCGTGTTCCGTGCTCCATGCTCCATGCTCCATTGCTCTGTGCAGCAGTGTTGATCATCATGTCTCACGTTGCAAACTCCTCGCTGCGTTGTCTACGTAGGGCTTAGCTGACATCTTTAATGCGGCAACGGGAGGCGACGGAATGTCCGTCTCTCATCGCTTCTCGGATTTACCTCTCCCGTGCCGCTTTGTGCTTACCCTATGTGGCTTCGCGCCGGCCTCTAACGATGTGTATGCTGCATTGGGAGAAAAGAGCACAAGCGCGAATAATAATGACGGGCAACGCCATCTTAGGCAGTGATCTGGCACCCTGGTAATTTCGGTTCTATAGCCTTGGTGATTGGCGCTGCGTGACGGAACTGGGACCCGCGTCATAACACCCAACCCGCCGTCCTTTAAACTCCCCTAAACAAGTGCATTTTCACGCTAATGGCCGTAGCCGGTCGAAGTCCGGGGAAGCAAAACCGTGGAGCTTTATGTAGCGATGATCACTGCACCGTTGTCCGCCTCGTGTCTCCGGTCGCGAGCCCCCAAGGCCGTGCACCCCGTGTCTATTGGATGGACTTCGTACTACTGTAAATTGAACGGTCTGAGCCTACAGTACTCTAATCACTTGTACTCTTTTCGACACTTACAGTTCATGTCAACTAATTTGCTTTCCAGGTCATCTCATTAGGGGCGTTTGAGTTTAATGAAAGTTATCAACCCGTTCGTGGGGAAATCCATTTTTAATTACGCCCATCCAATCGCATCCTCATCGTCTAGAAATTGTCCGAGCCCTCGCTAACCATTGATAAAAATTTTAGTCTCTAGTCTATTACCCCCTGGCGTCGGCTGATTATCGTATGACAGTCTTCAGAAGATACGTTGACCCACCAACTGCCAAGTCAACGCAATGCACTCCACAATGTTTTTCTTCCGAGCGTCCGCCAAAGTACGATCTGAGCGACAAATACGCACGTCCGCCGCCTCCGTAGCGCGCAATTGTCACTTCCTGTGGAAATTGGACCGACGCTAGCCACGTTCATACCCGGGATGTGGATCTGCCGAGAACGATGACGAGCGTCGATGCTAGAGGAAATCAAACCCCGCAGAAGAGTGGCACGGCAGAACTTGGATATATGTGGACCAGCCCGATCAGCTGACGAGAGCAGGCCAAATTGTATCTCGTCCCGACCAGGTACGAACCCAAAGCCAGTAGAGTTCGCCACGATGCAACTTTATTCCCGCGAAGCATCTCGAAAAGAAGCCGGGTTCAACGAGCGGAGTACTGATACTCGGCCAATTTGGGAGTTACATGGTGATATGCGCAAGCTCAGTGCATGGCTCGAGTCTCACGACAGTCGACCGCCAGGTGGCACTGTACATGCACCTTGGTATCGAGTACAACTGACACGGGCCCTCGACGCTGAATTTGGCCCCGTTGCTAATACTGTCGATCCCATGATCTAGGGAGTAGCGCTGCTTTCGAGTCTGTCGTGAGGTAATTTCAATCATGACTACCCCTCGGTATGGCGCTGCAGGGCTGAGGTTGCTTCTGTGATGGGCTGGTAGAGTCGATCTTCGAGAGACTTGGCGACTAGTACGTCGTAGAAGGTCGCCTGGGTTCAATGACGAAAAAGGCTCCATTATTCCAAGGCTAAAATCGGATAGGTGGGATACATGAGTAGATGACTTAATGTACCTTCCCCTAGACTGGTGTATTAATGTAGTCTGCCTTTTAAATCAGGATGGCTCTGTTGCCAAGCTGGTCAGGTGACCACCATTAGTTAGTCAGTTAGCTCGGCTAGAGAATGAGATCATCTTTACCACCACACAGCTTTCTGCGTACCATCTTGGTAGCATGTCCTAGTGACTTTCCGAAGGGTTTCCTTCTGGGTGCATTTGTTTCGTTCAACCTGAATCCCCCTAGAGCACTCCGGTCCTGGATTCTAAGAGCTGGGCTGAGCTCTCTGCCAAGCTGTTGATCATCGGTCGCGCGTCGCGTCCGAGCTAGATCACGGTCCGAGCTAGATCACGTGACCGATCCAATCGCATCGGTCGCACCTTCTCCAACTATCTGATCCCAGCAAAACAACCAACCTAACCTCTCCCTCTCTGAAGATACGCTGCAAAGCTTGTGTGATTGATAGACAGTCGTTTTCGTCAAGCTATTCAGCTCGCCCATTAATTCGGCACTTACCGATCGCGAGGCCTTCCTTATTCTACCGAATTTGACCGAGACACGATCAGACGGATCGCGTATCTAAGCTAGAACCACCTATGCCCTTAGCTTCCGAGTCACGAAGATCCTTTTCCACTAGACTAGCCTATCGACCGATCCACCCTTAACTAAGCTGTCAAACGTTTTCTCCGACTAACGGCAAGCTTGCCTATAAACCTTCCTCCGTCTCCTAAGGAAGCACTCCTCTTACCAATCTCTAATCCGCTAGGAAGACCAAGGGCTCATCAAGCTTAAAGTTTGACTAAGCACTTAGCGTTAAGCAGCCGAAGCCTAAGTCGACCCGTCACTCCCACTACCCTACGCTAACCCCCCTAACTTCGCTCCGACCCCCTAATAGCCGTCCACTATTCACGTTTACGCTCTATAGCCTACGAGTTCTCGCCTATCTAGTTACCTTATATCGTCCTAAGTTCCTTAAACGATCCTAATTTATCTTTGGAAGCTAGAATTTATAAATCCCCTATAATAGCGCCCCCTTCGGTTGCCCTAGGATAAGCTAAGCCTAAAATTAGTTTCACGAGAGCTCAACTTACCTAAATAATAACGCTC